AACCCTAACCCTAACCCTAACCCTAACCCTAACCCTAACCCTAACCCTAACCCTAACCCTAACCCTAACCCTAACCCTAACCCTAACCCTAACCCCCTATGACACTCAGCGGTTACGGGGTTCTCTAGGTTCTTTTTTACTTTCTTTCTTCCTCCCTTCTTAAACTTAGTAATCTTAGCTATTCTTTCTCTTTTTCTACTTCTTTCTTCTTCTGTTAATATCTTGCTAACTAGAGCAGCTATTAATAAACTGGGCGCAGATCTGAAATCGTGGCGCAATTCTGCACTAGAAAGTGTGGCTAGAGATCTTCTGCAGTGGCTGTGCGCTGTGCAGTCACGTGAGGAACATTAAAACTTTACCTTTACCTTTCCACGCAGATATCTCAACAACGAGAGCAGGTATCAACAAACTAAGTAAAGATTTGAAATGCTGGCGTAAATCTGCACAGAATGGCTTCTTTCGATTTTCTCTAGCTAGCTCTCTAGTGTAGCTAGCTAACCGCGATCCTACTACCGCGATCCTACGCCTCGCTTCTTATCGCATTCTTATCGCTACTAACAAAACAGCGCGATTGTAGTGCAATCGCGCACATCCTCTAGGGTAGTGTCAATCCGATTGATGGTTCAAGCTCAAATAGAGGGTTCAGACTATCGAACCAAAGGGAGAGAGCAATTATGGCGAAAGCTCTGACAGTGGGTTTGGTGAGGTACTCGCTAAAACTTACAGAGCGACGATGCTTGGGGTCGGTCAGTGGTGTCGTGAGTGACATGAATGTAGGATGATAGGGTGATATATGTGCGATAGCTCCGTCATCTTCCTGCACAGCCGCATAGCTGACGACGGTATGCGTCTCCATCGCATCCGAGCGATGCAATTTCTACGTTGATGTCGAATAGCTTGCACCGACAAGTCTGTGCAAAGGGCCCGAAGAGCATAGCTAGCCATACGTCACCCGTGTGCTCGGGCGTTCGGTCTCGAGATATGCGAGAGCCTGCTTCGGTCCGTCTGGGTTTGACGCCGTAACAGACGAAGTTTCTATCGTAATGTGGAGCGAAGGTTCGATGCGGTGATAGTTTACCGCATCGGCCCCCGATCGGATTGCTTGGCAGGCCGAGCTCTCGGGTCGGACCGACCACAACACTGCTTCCAAAAGTCTGAGTTATAACTGTAACACGGGATCCAAGGTATCCGCTGCTTATAGTAGACATGTGTTCTTACAATTAAGATTACCAAAGCAGTCTCCAATTAGACGACTTTACCTAGGAGGAGAAACGCTGACGCAGAGCATCGCTCTGATCTACATGCTGTGCCTGCAACGCTCAACATGTACCGTCAGGTTTCCTTTGAACGTTTATCTCTTGTCTGGTCAACCCCACTTTTGATGTCTGTGTAGTCTTGCTGCGTCCTTCCTGTGCACCCTAATTCCACGCTCTTGAAGACATACCACCCCGTGCAAACAATAAAGCCCGCCAGTTGCAAGGCTACCCCTTACAAAGTTTGAAAGTGGATTCGTAGCATCGTATTCCAGTCTGTAGCATCAGGACGCTTTTGATGCAGACTGAATGTATGAATGGAACGATGATGCCAAGAACGATGAGGATTACGCCAGGTATGTGGGCGAAGCACCACGGAACAAGCCTGGCAACGCTTCGGAGGACCTTGTTCGTTCGCTTTTCGGAGTCGGTCATGACTATCTGCTTTCCTCTCAGATCTGGAATTTTCTCGTCCTTGAACACATGCCAGGCCAAACTGAGATTTGTGCCGGCTAGAGTTAGAAGGAACCCAGATACAAGGACGAGCCAGATCAAGAATCTGTAGTATCCGCCGGGGTCTGTGTGTGTGAAAACGGTGTGGAGTGCATGGCCGAGGGTGAAGAGACCGAGCAGTGCAATGTACAGGCCAGGTATGTAGAGGTAGCGAAACGGAATTCGATAAAGGACCTGGAACGTCACGATGTTTGTTTTTGAGGCGTCGGTCATCTTGAGATACGTGGTAGATGTATGGTGAATGTTGGCATTAGGCAGTGATAGTAGTCGGGTCTCAGGAGATGTTCGGTCTCTGACCTGGAAACGTTGAAACCTTGCGGTTGCGGTTGCGAGACGCTCAGGTCGCCGCAGGAACGAGACGAGACATCCCGCCGTTCAACCACCTTCCGACGTCATCGTACGCTCTCTCAGAAAACCCAGCCCAATCGTCACAAAATGGCACAGCTTAATGCCATGTACCTCCGAGGCTTGAGTCTTAGGCCGTGTGTGATCCCTGGCAGATAGTCGTGCCTCCGGATGGGACGGCAGTCACGGCACTCTGCACCCACAACTTCTCGGACATCACGATGTCACATGTACCCTATTCTTACAACGAGCTGGCGTTTATGGACTTTCATATTTAGCTAAGTGCGGGGCTACAGAGTAGCCCCTCGGTTAACCCCGGGGCGGCGTGCCGCCTCTCACCCGTCCATCTATCGCGCACTTTGATGCTATCCTCTACCTTTAAGCTTTTGTAGATTCGCAACTTGACTCGAGGGCATGTCTTGCACAGAAGTTAGGGTTATTGAATCCGATATGTTTGAACCTCCACTGAGAAGGCTATTGCTTAGCGACCCTTGTGCTATCTGGATCGCCTAGATATCGTAGTTTGGATCGCGAGGCCGAATCCAGAGAAGAGATCTGTAGGGTCAACGGCAGCCTTAATCTTGCGAAGCCTTGCGTAGTTGGCACCATACAGCCTAGAGCTCCATTCCTTTACGCTGAGTTCCGAGTTCACGTAGTTCACAAAACTACGGAGCGGAGCAGACTTCATTAAAGTATCCTCGAACGGCTTGAAGAGATTCTGCATGTATGCAACGCCATCGCTCGGCCAGACACCACCCGCTCCAACTCCATCAACACGGACCAGCCAGAGGTTGTTGCCGTGCGCGAACGCGTGATCGCTGTCGGCGACGTTACGGCTGACTCCGCCCCACAGATCGAGGAACCCAGAACCGGTGATATCGGTGCGGTTGAGTGAATCATATCCATCCAGCAATGCTTTTGCTTGCGTCAAGGTGAACGGGTGCTGATTGGTCGTGGTCCACGACTGAACGAGTGACGCGCGGCCACCGAGCGTGCCTCCAGTCGGCAAGTTCATGCCACTACCAGTCGCTGCTACCTCCGACTCCCAGAACGTTGGGATAATGGTCTTTGTGAGGTTGACAGCTGGGCTGATAGATTGGAGAGATTCGACAAGTGGCGCGATGGCGGAGTCAAAATCTGCTTCTGGGCCATAGAAAAACCCGGCAGACGCGAAGTTGGACAAGCTGAAGCGCAGAGAGAGCGTGTCCGGCGCCTGACCATCAAGCACCCATTTTTGGATCGCTAGAAGCGCAGTAGAAGCGGCATCAGTGCCCACTTCCCCAATGGCAATCGAGTAGCTCACGGCTCCATTGTAAGGAAGGTCGTATGTCTTGGTCGTTGCAGAAAGAGCAACTCCAAAGTTCGAGCCAGCGCCCTGAGCCGCCCAAAGGAGATCCGAACCAAGACCAGCGTTGACAATGGTACCGTTGTAAAGCATGTACTCAACAGAAACGAGATTGTCGGAAGGGATACCGAGAAGCCTGCTAGTCGTGCCGAAGCCACCGCCGAACGAACTTCCAGTCAGGCCGACATGAGAACCTCTCACGTGCGGAAAGTGACGTCCAAAGTTGTCGTGAACGTACTTAGCAGTCTGGTTTAGTCAGTAAGGATCCTCTCATGCGTTATCCAGGGCTATTTACAGGTCCCACGTTCGATCCACCTCCGAAGGTCAGTTGGTTCGTCGAATCATCAAAGCTCAATTCAGTGAATGCGCCCATATCGATGACAAGATTGCCTGGGGTTCCAAAGCTGTAGCCTTGGAAGGAATGTCCACGACCAAGGACAGATACCTTCACTGACGCATTCCGTGCACATCCGAGAGCTGATGCGACATCATCTTTGGTTTCGGGGAAGGCGACAGAGACAGGCTGTCGTGGAAGTCGGAATTGGAAGGACGCTGTGTCGTTGGCCCAGGTCTCATCCGTTGATATCGTCGATTGTACGCCTGCGCTTGTGAGACAGGTCTGAATACTGTCTGCTTTGCTGCTCTGGCCATGTACAAGGGTTGGTGCAAGGAAAAGCATTCCAAGCAGACCATGCTTGTACAACTCAGAAGGCGCCATATTCCTGGATCTGGTCTATTTGCGTCAGAGTTTGAGGTTTCAGTTATCGATGTTGAGTCGTAGTGGATGTTCCAACCTGCTAAAGGGAACTGCAGGCTTTCTATACTCAGGAGCATAGCCAGGTCTTCGCCTCCGAACGATGGCGTAATGGCCGCTACGGCCCTTCTCGAATTTGAGAGCAACATATGGCATGGTCGCACGCTTCGGCGCATCTCGGTGTACCATCAGCTTTGTTCTTGTTCCTGCCTGATGCGACTGGGCCAAGCCTTGGCGTTCCTTTCACACCTTCCACAAGGCGTGCTTCACCGCAAAGCATATGCCCCTCTCATCGCATCATGCTTCACTGGATTCCGCAATTGATAAAGCACAATCCTTTATCTGATTTCAAGATAATCGCTCCATCCTTCGTATGGCGACTTTCCTAACGCGGTAAGATACCCGGCGTATCTTGTGGGCTCTCGGAGATTAGCGTCTTGCCCAGGCTGTCACCGATGGCATCCGCTGGCAACGCGTTGCTCAAACGCTGCCATGACTGTGATCACTCGGCGTCTGTTCAGCAAGCAAGGCCACATTACATGAATGTGTGGCCTGGTCCTTGAGGTATCATGCTGATATATGAGATGGCGTCTTGGAAACCTCTCATTGCATCTGTTCGACCATGGATAGCCTGTCGAACAGTGATAAGACGAAGTAACTGGAAGGACGACCACCGCGTTTAGATACCTCCATTATATCTTGATAGGATACTTCGTGGCGTACTGTGTACACCCCAAGTTCGTTCTTCCCTCGCGGCCCGCTGAAGTCAATCCCGAGCTCAACTCCTTGTTGCGACGACGAATGAGCAGACAGGGCGCTGCACAACCTTGGAATCATTAACAAAGGATTCACAAGGCGCCTGCTGTTGTTATTTTGTGATTAGAAATTGCGCAGACGGTCGTTTTGTGAAGGTGGCAGGAAGCTCGGCGAGGCACGATGCATGATGCTCTCATTACACATACACACTATGCTTGACAACCCAAACAAATCTGTTCCAAATTGTGCGAATCCAGAGTGTATCTCGCTACCCTCAAAACTAGACGTCTTTGTAGAGGATGTCGAAAGCCATGTGGATCGCGTGCCTTGATGCTGTACAGGAGAAGGATGGCAGTTTATGAGGCTCTGTGGGCTCCTGCACCCGTGCATCGGACGTGCGCTGTAAGTAAACACGCGGAATCGGCCCGAATGATCACTAATCAACCTCAGGCCGTAGTGATACCACAAAAGCTGTTACATCCAGACTATCTAGCAGAGCAATCTCCAAACCTATGCGGTACCTTCCGCCACCATAGCATACGTATTTCATGTATCTCACCGGCGCGGCTGTGTACTGTAAACACGGGTGCGAAGCAACACTACTACTATGCACACCTAAAGAACCACATCCCTGCTTCTCCTAGCTTCTTGTTGCTGCAAAACTTCTACCCTCTCGTAATCCCTGCATTCGTAACTATCTAATCGGTTTTTGCATTCCTTTGCTCTACACTAACCACGCTTTCTGGTCACTCCAATTCTCGATCTCATGGCACAGGTTAAAGTCGAAGTATCACAGAATGGTTGTGCAAATGATGCGCATCTCGTGGTATGCTGGGCCGCAATACTCCTTAACGCTGTGCGCTTATCAATGTCAATAAAATAGATGATAACTGACTTTTTTCCTAGGCAGTGTCTCGGCCCGCAGAAGAGAGGTGACATGACTTGTTTCATGTCGCCATCGTAGGCAGTTTTTGGCAGCCAGCGCTCAAAAGTAGAAGACTCGTGGTCCTTGCATTCGAGTGGAAGAGAACAGACAGCGTCTTCAAAGACGTAGATACGAGTCTGGAATTGAACTGTCTGACAGGTCGAGAGGCTACATACAGTGTGCTCTTTCAAGTACCTTTGCTGGTACCCAAGATCATGATTAGATAATCACTCTATCTAGACCACATTCGAAGACACTCCCCACAACGAAAGAAGGAGAGTAGAACGTCTTGGCTCTTGTATAAGCCACTTTAAATCGGACCTTGGCTGGCTTGGTTTGCAATTTCCGGACTATCCGCACGTACCAAGACACCGGAGTCCAAGCAACCGGAGTCCAAGACCATCGGTCTTGGCTAGCGCTTACTGTACAAAGTAGGTTATCGGGATCAGGTCGCTGCAAATGGTATATACCATTGACACTTGATCCCGCGACAAGACTTCTCTAAAAGCACTTCCGCGTTTTCTCTTCTTTTCGACTCAACGAGCACATACGAACAAGCACACACAATGCATTCGCTCATTTTGTACTTTGTGCTTCCCACCCTCCTTACGGTTATGCCAAGCAGCGCCTCCCAACTCTTCGCTGCCGATTCTAGAGGAAACGTCAGCACACTTCTACTCGCAGAAAACGGGAACACGTCGAGCCTGACTGTTACCTCTATGACGGCAGAGTGCGGGCCTAACCCTGCGAGTTTGAATCTTGATTACCAGAACCGCGTCTTGTACTGTCTGGATCGTGGACGGGCCCCTGGTACCGAAGGCTCGCTGAACAGCTTGCGCATCGCGGCTGATGGGTCGCTGAGTAGAATTGCGCGGGTAAGCGCGCCGTTTTCGGGCGTTGCTGCTGAATTTTTCAACGACGAGGAGACGGGAGTTAGAGGATATGTCTCTACTTCATAGTAAGTTAGTTCAGTCCCTCCACTCTTTTTTATTCTTGATCCTGCGATCTTTTGCTCGCATCCACCCAATACATGCGGCTAACGCATCCGGGAACAGTAACAGAAGCGCTATCGGCGTATACCGCCTCCCTGATGACAATGGTGGTCTCTCTGAGCCAGCTCAGATTATCTTTCCTAACACGACTGCCGTCGGCCCCGTGACTGCGAGGCAAGATCGGAGTTACCTGCACGGCGTCTTCCCAGACCCTACCCGCAAGTTCCTGCTTATGACTGATCTGGGTCAGGATAGAATTCGGGTGTTTCGCTACAACCAGCAAACCATTGCGCCGTTAGTAGAATTGGCTCCCTTGGTTACACCGCTGGGATGTGGACCGAGGAAGGCGGTCTTTTGGACTGCGCCAGAGACGGGAAACTTGTTTCTGTTCGTTAACGGCGAGTTGGATCAGAGAGTGTATTCGTATCAGGTTGAGTACAAAGAGGACGGGTTGGAATGGAGGCTTGTGGATGATGTTGTATCCATCAGTGAGTACCTTCCGGTGACGACGGCGCCGACGAGTGAGATTGCTATCACGGTGAGTTCTTCTTCTCCGATACTTGCGAGTTGTCATGCTAATGTTGTCTCGCCAACAGCCCGATGGTCGCTTCGTGATTGTATCAAACCGCGACGTTTCTTTCCTTGGTTCGCCTATCCACAGAACCAGATCCAGCGATACTCTGTCCATCTTTTCTGTCAACGCAAATGGAACGTTGACGCTGGTGCAGCACGCACCATCTGGAGGCTACTCGCCCCGCCAACTCATGATCAACACGGATGGTGACAAGATTGCGGTTGGTCACCAGAACAACAATACCGTTGTTGTGTGGAAACGCGATGTCGAGACGGGAAAGATTGTGGAGGAAGAGGATGGAGGAATGTTGGGTGTTGTGACGCTTTCCGGGCCTGTTGTCTTTACCCAGTGGGACCCTTAGAGAGCAATGCATTAGCATGCTGTAGCGCACATCTAGCCCTGAACTCGTCCCCCAATAAGTCTTGAATTCAGAATTTGTCTTCGCCTGCTTCTCAATTCTGCCAAAGTTACGAGGCCTTGTGGCACTTTGTTATATGGCAAGTAAGTCAAGCCACGGTGTTGTTGCTGTTCGCAGCGGAAAACGTTCGGCACAGTGTGGTACTTCAGATCAGACATGTCGGATGCTCCTGGTCGTGCATCTTAAGAGCGCTATATCCAATCAAAGCGCACTGGAAACAACATGCATATGGTTGAGATGATTGTGCTGAGCTGAGTACGGGGTGTGACAAGACTTTGAGGTCTATCTAACTACGTAGCCAGTTCCCCGCTGCCTGAGCCCCTCAACAAGGCAACTGCTCAGCCTTCTTTCCTTACCTTGCATAAGCTAAGATCGTTCCGAGATCCCTCTGCTACCCTCCGACTTACGCAACGATCCTACAACGCGAAGTTCTTAGTCTTCAGCCATTCCTCAAAGCCCGGAACTTTGGCGTATAGCGACCGCTTGTGACGCGAGAACGCAAATCTTGTTGGCGAAGGGTCCGTAGTGGGAGTATTGCAAATACCAGTACCGCGCTGGTCAGGAGGCACGATGACTGTAGTCAAAGTACCCGCTCCGTTGCTGCCACCCAGCACGTCGGTAGAGATAGCGCTGACACGGCTGGCCGTCGTGGTACCTTCATTGATGGTGGTGCGAACAGCCTCTGATTCTGGTCCCGGAATGCAGTCCGGTGCAGAGCCAAAGTAGCGAGCGCCGATAGCCCCAGTTGACAGCCCCACGGCGAAACCAGAGACGTATGGATTTTTCAGGAAGTTCCAGATGCTCTCCGCGGCCGGCTTTGCGGCGTTGATCTGGTTGACGACGGCTTCGGTTTGCGCGGGAAAGTAGTAGTTGGCCAGAATGGGGAAACCATAGACGCAGTCACGGATTCTCCGGCAGACGTCTTGACGCTCGAACAGCTCTTCGGCCTCGCGGGGAGGGTTCGGAGTAGAGCCTGCATCGAGCCCGGAAGCGGCGGTGACAGCGCGTTCCGTCATGGACGACGACGGATTCTCAAGGTCGTATTTAGTGAAGTTGAAAGGGAAGTCTCTGCCATACTCAAGAGGCGCGAAGTTCGCGATGCGAGCAGTGCCGGACCAATCCTCAGGTTTGACACCAGAAAAGGTATCCTGGGCAATCTGGTTCCATCGCCATAGTTCGCCATCCATCTCAAAGAAGTCGCCATGAGTGATGCCTATGGCAGAGGTGGGGGCTTCTTCTTGAACTTCTCCTCGCTTAGTTTGTCCACTGATAACAGTGTATCCGCCAAATGAATCTCCCTGGTAGACGTTGACGCAGCCCGTATTGCCAGTCGAGATGGCCTCGCCGAGAGCGCAGTCAGCACCATTTGGAAAGAACACCACTGTCGACAGGGGATCGTCGCCCTCCTCAGCAACGATTAGGACGGAGCTAGTTTGCGAACCTAGAGGGCTAGGGTCGTAGCAAGTGCCGTCTTGAACTGCTTGTCGAGCTCCGAGCCTTTCGCCATTGCAATCGAAGCCAGTATAGAACACAAGTCGGTATGCACTTGCTAGTGGAAGCAGCCCTGCGAGCAGTGCTGCTTGATGTTTGATAAACATGTTGTAGGCGTGTCCTAATCTGGTGAGGCTGACAGAAGGTAATTGGTGCGATGATGAGACTGAGTTAAGATGGGAGATGCTTCATGTGCTCGAGAAGTGCCCGCCTTTTATGCTTACAGATCGCTACTCGCTTGCAATATAGCTGTCTTGGAGGTCGCACCAGCTAGCATGCTTCCGCCTAGTGACCTCAAGTTCATTCGCCGCGATAGCTATCTTCACTTGCCGGTAGCCGATGATGAGAGAGCATGCCTCAAGACTATCTCTTGATGGGGCATTGAACAGCTACGCATGTCGCAAGTATGACGATGCGACAACAGGATAGTCGTGTTGGAGATCGTGATCGTTGGCTTGGTCTTGGTTTAGGCCCCCGAAAGCTTCTCGAAAACTGCATCCAAGCCTTGGTTCGTGATGAGGGATGCAGGAGGTGTACTGGCAGTATGTGAGCCTCAGGCGGACATGTTCAGTTTGCAGTAGTCCATACCACAGCAATCGTGACCCATTCCCAATCCTCACACACCATAGTATGCTAGTCGCATTCTTTCAATGTTGAGGTTAAGATAAGTATCCTACGATAACGTGGTAGTGCCTGAACGTCTTCCCATAGATGTTCACAGCGAGTAGTAGAAGCAGAATAGGTAGCGCGATTCGAACAATGTTACGATCCTTTCGACAGCTCTTTCTGGTCCGTCGACTATTCCGTCAACATTGTTGGTAAGGTCAGCAGGAGGTGCTGATTCGAACAGCTCAGCAAAGCGGATGCGGCGAACCTGTACGCCAAGAAAAGTTCGTGTGACTACTGTGATTCCCACATCTAATAGTAAGTACGGGCCTAATATGTGATGAATACCTAAGCGCTCTGCGGAAGGTGAACCACGTAGTCTGATTAGCCCCCGTCAACGGCACGCCCCGTTCCTTCGTGTGGTTAGAATGGTCGCCTGAATGGTGGACTAAACAAGGCTGGCTTGGCAAGCGACTACCAAGTTCATGTATCCAATGGCTTTGAGCTTGTCGAGAGCATCTCCATGGTTGACCTTCACGGAAGTCTGTCGTTGTAGAACATATAGTGCGAGGATGCGAAGTGCTAAGTCCTTCCTTGCTGATGCAGGGTTGAATAGAGAAACGGGCTGACCATTCAGGACGAGACGGGGATGCTTGAACCAACTGTGACTACATCATTGGTTGCATTAGTGATGGGAAAGTTGATAGATCAGGGATATGGATGATGTAATGCCTGTTGCGGAAGGTGTATTCGGGTCCTTCCAAAAAGGATTAGCTGGGCTTTTACGCTCAACCTTGAGGCTGCGCAAATAAACGCCGCCGACTTGGCCTGGTCGCCTTGCCTTCGCATCGATTGAATAAAGTCCTGTGGTAGCGGAGATCTGCGTTGTCTTGCAGATCAAGTCCGGATGGGGAACATGATCTTAGGTGGGGAGGAAGCCTGAGCCGGATATATCGGTTCCCTCGTGCTTGGCGTGGTTGGACCACGAGACAAGAGATGATGAAGGTACGTGACGAAACCTAAGCAAACTCTCGGCACTTTGAACAAGCGATGTGATATTGGCGATCTGGTCTCAGTGATAGGGTACGGTACGGGCACAGACAACCTTTCGCACACCCAATCTTCTTCGTGCATGTCCTCGAAACGCTCCCCGAGATCCTATATAAGGAGCGTCCCGACCTTATCAACACCTTACCACTCACGAATCCTGCTTTGCATACCTTCTCTTGTATGAACACTTCTTTCGGACAGCTACCAGGATGCCTAACGACAAAGCCTCCCAATTTGAAGCACCACGCTCACCCAACGGGACTGATACCGCGTTCGCAGGAAGTCTCGCGACCGAAGAGGAACGTCACGACCCGAGGCATGATATCGACGCAAATTCAGCGCAGAGAGCAAGGTTGACGTACTGGCTCAAGTTTGCTGTTGGGAGTCTCGTAGGCCTGCTTGTCGCGCTCCTGTACGACAGGTATATAGGCATACCGCGACGGCCTTGTCCTCCTTGCCCACCCGGCTGAAATTTGCGACATTGTGAAAACGGAAGAGAACGGCTGTTGGATCAGTGGAAGTCGAAGGCAGCTCATCGTCCATGTGCGTTATCGCGGGACATTCGGTCTCATCACCGCTAGTTACCCGCCCTGTACGAATCATCTTGTGGCAGACCTACATAGCGTATCTCAATGAGACATCATGTTTGGTGAATGTTTGTGTCAAAGTCTCGTTCCTGGGCTAGGCTTGAACGTAGTTGATCGACCGGCACGCGCACGGACAACGCCCGGCAGATGGGCGTCATGCCGTCGGCGTCATCGACACGACACCCCATCTTCACTTGGCACACCAGCTCGGTGCTCTCGCCACGTGTGAAGATGGCGGCCTGGCTTTGGTACGACTTCGTTACGATGCTAAGTCACACACAAATCCCAACTGCAACGCTTCTTGAGCTACAAACCTCCTCTTGCCTTCATACTACTTCCAAACTGCTACCACGATGTCGAACGACAAGCACTACACATTCCCAGAATCTCGCTCGATCAGAGTAGACAATATCGATTGTGCAGGTCATCCCGCGATGAACGACGAAAGCCACATGACAGAGCATGACAGTGGCGGAACAGGATGCCAGACCGCGAGAACGGTGTCGTGGCTACAATGCTTTGGTTTCATCGTTCATAACGCTTCTCGCCATGTACCGCTACTATGAGCTGGTGAGCTTTGCTTCCGAAGTTCTGCCCTATCGAAGTTAAGGTTTGACAGAAGTGATGTCCGGATAGCGGAAGTTGCGTGTTCGTCGTGCATGATCGCTGGGTAGCAGGGGCCCAGCGACCCGGCATGAACGCCATGTTAGTCCCAAACAATCCAAGCGTGAACCGCCTTTCCCTAGTCAGGGTCCAATGGTCCAAAGCCCACAGAAAGAGATGGAAAAAAATGAAATCGATGGTTCTCCCTTCCTATGCGGAGGTACGGACTTAACAATTTGGCATCTCGGCCCGCTTTGTTGGGCAAACAGCTAATCCTGGCACAGTCTAGCGTCGCAGATAATCGGCATCGACGACTCATGGACGAACCGGGCATTACTCTCGCGAGATCGAGTCTGGCGGAGAGTGCATTTCGTGATTACTATTCCGACTGGTAAGGTTTGGTACTATGCCTGCGCTATGAGGAAACGGGGTTTCACACTCGGTTTGCTCAGTTAGGCAACTGAACCTTAGTGCAGCGCGGCTCACGGACAAAAACTACGATTGCATCACTCGAATTAGTGCTGCAAATGGCTTTTCGAGACCAAATGGCCAAGCTGGTTTAAACTTTGTTGTGTTTCCAACGGGGCTCGATTTTTTTTATCGTAGTAGCAGGTGAATAAAGCTGAAATGTCCCTCCTGGTTTAGTTCCGTAGACCCTATTCTCCCACGTGCCAATTTTCCAAGCTTAGGAGCCTGCCACCAGAATCAGAATGTTCTTTGTGCCTTGCATTCTTGCTGTCACTTCAGTTCTAATCCTGCCTATTTTCGCTCAGATTGATGGCCTCGCCAACTTGCCAGCATGTGCTGTACGTCTTCTTTCCGCTGATCTTATTATGAAGTAATGAATGCTTACTCATATCACAGCAAATATGCCGTGATAGCACACCAGCATGCGATTCCTCTAATAGCTTGCCCTGCATGTGTAGCGATGCCACCTATCTTTCGAGTCTGCAAGACTGCTTCGCCCTGTCATGTCCCCCAAAAGACGTCTTTAGCGCGATCAACGTTACCACGACTACTTGCAACATGCCGGTCCGCTCCAAAACACGCACGTACAAGATCGTAAACATCGTATTTTTCGGTCTAGCGACCGCGGCTATCTTTGGACGATTTGCAGCTCATGTGATCGTTGGGCGTATGCAATGGCTCAATGATGGTAACATGGGTGTGGTCTTGGTACGTGGTAAAGCCCCGACAGGGGCGATTCTTTTCTGATCAATTTCAGGCTTTGAACTCTGTCTTGTTTGCTACGACGTATAAAATGGGTCAGTTGCTTAGGTTTCTTTTCTTGAGATGCATTGCGCTGATTTCATTTCAACAGCTTTCGACGGGCTCGGACAGGATATATGGAAAGTCCCCTTTGAGCATATAACATCGATGCTCCAAGTAAGTCGACCTGTGAATAATCTTCTCCCTTCCGCAGCATCTAATCTCAAACTTAAAATAGTTCTTTTGGATTTGTGAGATGGTCTACTTCAACCTTATCGGCTTCATTAAGATCGCCTTCCTGCTCTTCTTCTTGCAAATCTTTCCAGATAAACGCTTCCGCGCCACTATTTGGGGAGTCATCGTCCTCAACATAGCCTCTATGATTGCCTTCACCTTCGGAGTCGCATTTATATGCACCCCCGTCAGCTTTATGTGGACGAGCTTAGACGGCAAGCATCAAGGTCATTGCGGAAACAACAACGCGCTCGCGTTCTCGCATGCTGGGGTCAGCATAGTGTTGGATCTTGTCACGTTGGCGTTGCCAATTGGACAGATTTGGAATCTACAACTCAAGACTAAGAAGAAGATTGGGGTGCTATTGATGTTCAGTGTGGGTGCTTTGTAAGTCGTGATCGGAGAAAGGTATATAGAAGTTCGAAGCGATGCTAACGCAGACAGTGTCACCGTGGTGTCTATCCTGCGGTTGCGAGCTCTTGTCTCCTTCGCACGCACCGAAAACATCACCTGTAAGTTCCAGCCCTCACCACGTACGCCTCGTGTCTGACGCTCAGAGCATTAGGGGATTACCTTGAAGCCGCACTCTGGTCCGTCATCGAAGTAAACGTTGGCATCATCTGTGCCTGTATGCCATCGATTCGCCTTGGCCTCGTTCACCTCTTCCCGACGATCCTAGGAAGCACGAATCAGTCGATTTCGAAGACCCCACTGGGCGGCCGAGTCAAAGGCGCAAGTTCAAGACCGGACGCAATTGCGGTGCAGACGAACTTGCGTGTATCGCATGCAAGAAAGCCGCATGACAGTGATCAGGGAAGTTTTGTGCAGCTGGTGGAAATCAACGGGTACGAGGATAGTACTAAGACGAATTAAGAGAAGCCAGCAGCTAGCTTGATTTGTCCTACCTTGTCGCGCGACCAACGTCATAATCCTTTCTCACCACCACACCATGCCACATCCCGTATTGGCATGCGCAGTGCCTACGAAACTCTTCGCGATGCCGGTATGAAATGCCCCATGAAGGGGTGAAGCCACGACTGCAGAAGGACGCTCCGTATAGCTCCACACACGCTGGCCCGATCAAGACCACATCCCTCCGCGCGGGCAGCGCACTCGGCGCATTGTCCTCCAATACTAAGCCAATGTTTCCCAGCAGCGCGCACTTCATAACGTGAAATGGGAGCTAGTATAGGCTTGAATAATGCAGAGGGACGAGGTCTCGATACCATGACTTGATTCACACGACTGCACATCAGCGGGCAAGAGTGCGCATCTACGCACCGAGCATGTTGCGACGCCATGGTGGACCGGACATGCAGGAGAGAAGTCAACGGGTCCGTATTCGGCGCGCACGTCAATTCTCGTCGCGGTAACGTCTGTCGCCATCGCCTCCCTCCATCGAACCCCCTTCGCCATCAGCGCAACGCGCCACGCATCACACGTTCACCCTTCGACGGCTCTTCGCCTCGCACACGATAGCCCTCGACAAATCAACGGCACGGTCTTCGATTGTAATATACAAGGAACTGGATAGTCGGTATCTTTTGAGGGACGATGTGTAGGAATCCTCTTGCGCAGATTTCGACACCATTGGCATATACTGCAACAGTACACATGGGCGTGCGCAAATCATTCCGGCCCTGCTGAAAGTCGGTGCTCGGAGAGTCAAGCATACGCCACAACGGTCCGGCAGCGAAGCGGGACCAAGCCTGGCTCAGACCCCTCGCTCGTGCGGAAGTAGAGCGATCAATGCCAGGCAATGTGGTCCTGCACGCCCGCCGCCTTCTGGTTGCGACGAATACCAGCAGCACTTCACTATCGTCGCAAAAGGGTGCCTGGCCTTGCGCTGAAAGAGCACCCTTCAACAACACAACTGGCTGGAGAGCTATCACCAGGGAGGCCACTCGTGCGTAGACCGCGGTCAAGATGCCGCTCCATGTCCGCGCACGACCCTGCGCGGAAGGTGAGATTAGTATTGCACGATGGTTGCCGTCGCGTCAGCACGAGCAGACCATGCTTTGCGTATCTCGGTCCGCCTGCTTTACCTGCTTTGGATTCGTTGTTCGATGTCGTTACTTGCAGGTGTGTGTCTTAACCGTCCGTGTGATCTATCACCAATGCCTTGCTCACTACAGCAATGACGACGTTCACGCGCACCTCCACGCCACCATGCATACTTGTTATACGGGCAATGCGATAACGCGGGAGGAAATATGTTTCAACACCACACGTCAAATAACATTAAATACTATATTATCTCTACCACCCATCAACTCGGCAACTCCTGCGCCTCGCTCTTAGGCCCTTGATTATGTCCATACTTGACACTTGCGGGCAACTCGCTCATGCTCGTAGCGTGCACCTCAGACCGGCTCGTCCCCAGGGGACTATACACAGGCGTCGGATCGTAAGCAGCGCCTCCAGCGGGCTCTGCGTACTTGTCCACTGCGGAGGCCCTCCTAGCTTTCCTTCTCCGCCACCAGAATATCGCGAAGCCAATGGCGGCGAGGGCGGCGATGCCCCCGATGACTGGGCCCGCGATCCATGCTTTGCTTGGTGAAGACCCGGAGGAGCTGTTGTCGCTTTTTGAAGAGGCTATGGTGGCGTAGGTGGCGTTTGCTGAGTCGATGACTTCGTTGATCGTCTTTTGTAGGTGGCAGTTTTCGTAACCGTCGTCGAGGCTGGAGGAGTATAGTACTGCTGTACAACCATCCTTGTTGGCTGCACATGCGTCCATGCAATACGTAATGTTTTGCGCCTGCAAGCTAGTAATGTTCAGACCTTGGTTTAGTTTCCCGCAATGGATGTCAAACTGGGTACCGTTCGCTTGGCCTCCGGAATGATACACGTTGTCCTGGGGACACGCGCTATCTGGGGTAGGGGCTTCGATGATGGCGGCCGAGTGCATGATGCCTTGCTGTGGACTGGGTTGGCCCAGCTTTGGGTTTTGATTTCCGAACCTGGGCCAGCAATTTGCGAAGCCGACTTGGAGACCTGGGTTCCAGGACACTATGCGACAACGGGGGTGCAGGGCGACGCAGAAGCCCAGGCATTCTTCAAGCGACTCGGCGTGGTAAAAGTAACGAGCCGGATCAAGGCAGGGATACTCGTCTTCGTCGAAGCATTGTATCTCGCCTTGATACACCTGATTGCAGTTCGTGGTGTAGGCGATGCCATCGACACCAGTAAGTTTCTGGTAATCCTCGTCCGTACATGCAGTGTCGAAGCCTTTCATTTGATTCCGATTGACGAGGGCAGAGACCGATCCAGTGTCTGGTTTTAGGTCCGATGTCGAAACATTGCTGTTTCTTAACCAACAATGTCCTCCATCTACGGTCCAGTGAACGCCGAAGCAGCCTTCGCCGTCTCCCGCAAAACGTGAGCAAAGCTCTAGGCAATCTCCGTACGTGGGTGTGTACAACCAGTCGTAGTTTCCTTGCGGGTTTATGTATGCGTCTAGCGTTCGTCAGCTGGGAGTATCGTCGCGAAGCAAGTACTAAACGAGGCGCACCGTTGTTTGGGTTCCTCTGCCCGCAGTACATCGTAAAGTTGAGTCCATTCTTCGTCGAATATGTCCCTTGATCGTCACATGGTCCAATCGTATTTTCCCGTACTACAAGGTCCCGCGTCGTTACTGGTGCAGCCGTCGGCGTCGCGCCGCTAGCGCACACGAATGCTAGCAAGATCTGGCAAGCCAGGGCCAGCATTTTGTAGGGTCTTGGTTCTGTGTAGCGTTCTCCCGCCGGTGGTGGTATGGGAAGCGGAGAGCGTGGACGCGCAGAGGCAAATCTGGGATCGGCCTAATTGTATCTTCTTGCTGGCATTGCACCAGAAGAAAGCACACGTCTAGACTAAAAGGGCGTTACAGCATAACGGGCAAGCCAGAGGCGTTAGGCGTCCAAACGTTGGACAGCGTATCGTGGCCCCCAAATTAGATAAACCCTGGCCCCCTATGAAACCTTGCTAAAGTCGTTGCAAATGTGCATCGCGGAGTATGCACGACGGGTGCGTAGAGGCAACGCTACCTTCCACGATATGAAGCGCAGGCTGTGAGTGGACATTAAAGATGCATAAGTTAGAAGAGGTCGGCGACCCGGGGACCAGCAACAGATTGAACAGGGTGCTGTTTTGTGGGACTAGGAACGCCTTGTAACACCAGTTGGCGCCTCACCAGGCCCCTGAAGTCGAGATTCGGTAGTCGCTCGATCGTATACACCGCATACCTGCTATGGTGTTCCAACGTCGTTTGTGATTTGATTTCCTTTCCGTTACGACAAAAGAGATCAAGCAGCTGGAAGTTAGCTTTCCGACGGGTTTCGCGGTATGGCACCAGCCTCAGGGGAAATGGGTCTTGTGCAGGCATCGTTGACGCAGTATGGTTATCGTAATCTGAGTCGCCAGGGTTGCGGCTGCACAGCCGACCACAGCAAAACCAATGAATGCTCAGCTATCGCAGCAATCAAAATGATTGCGCTCGACATTGTCTCCTCTTTAGTATCGTTGCGGTAGATGCACAGTATTGCTGTTGCGCTCGGCGGTAAAGTCAGCAGGCAACCTTTGGCAACGACGTGCACCTCACATGTGTGAGCATTCAGTATCTTGGAAAGTGAAAACCTGTCTCGCGACCGAGTGTGTCGCTGAGTTCGAGCCGCACTTAACTCTGATGGTCGCCGAGCCCAGGCCAGGTCGGCGAAATGCTCCGCGAGGCGGGGTGCGCACGCAGAACTAAAGCTGGGGGCCCTGCGGAAGGAAGCAACCGGGCGGTCATATTGCGGGGTCTTCCATGCAGATAGCATGCCATCTTGTTAGCCTGGAGCGAGACCCAGCTGCCTGAACGGCGGTCAACAGGTAGGCACTTTTCGCAAATCAGGACGTTGATATCCTTCTTCCGATCACATGCTACTCACATGACTATTTCATCCTCAGCAGGGTACCAAAAAGCACAGCGACAAGCCTCAGTATGTCTGCTGCGCGGATAGTCCTTGACTGTGCAACTTGTACCATATAAGATAATTGCCAACGTATCTACAGCTGTGTCCCTTGTCGTAGCAATGTGCATCAAAAATGGAGCATGCGTTCCTGTGTGGTAATCCCTTCGCTTATAGCCGCGAGATGGGCTCCGGCCGTTATTCCGTTGCTTTTCATGCGTACCTAGGTAGAGATCTCGACGCTCCAAGCCCTATAATCAGTGGGCGAACATTGCAAACATGAACGTGACACAAAATGGGCTGAAGGACTTTCTGTCATGAGATCTGCATTTGGAAACATGACGAGGAGAGTGATTGACAACAGCTTCTTCATCGTATGCACTCAGTGCCTTCGCTAGTGGTATGCAAAGTGAAAATGGAACTAACAGCCTGTAAGTGAGTACATGAATGTGAAATAAAGCTTTGATTTGACACTGATGGCTGCAGCACCTTCTTGTTGGTTGTCTAGGCTGAAGATCGTGATGCAGGCAGGTGAAGTGCAGGGGACCTTATGGGTTCGCTGACCTGCTCGTCCACGCTAGAGATTGCAGTGCACATTGCGGCTCTGCGACATAGAAGGGTTGTCTAGCTATGAAGGTAACCACACGTCTTCCGAACACGCCAAGAAGATGTTCGCCAATTACAGGCAGCTTGCAAAGCCTCACTCGAGCTACGAATACAGCATCGGCAGCCTAGCTAGGCTTTTGACGAAGGACGAAGCAAGTACACTTGCGACGACATGGTGAACACAGGATGTCAAAGTGTGATGCCGATGTCGACTTGGACTAAAAGTACCGTATTGATCGTGGTAGGTTATATTTGCTGCTACTAAATTTGAATGTGAGCTTTTATCGGTCATCCTGTGTAGAACTTGGGCGGTGTGATCTGCTCATATAGGAACATCCTCCGTTCGACGCAACGCCCTACACAACGATATGTCACATCAATATACCTTTCGCTTTGATCTAGAACCTGTGTCGCACAAGACGATACTATGCCACTTTCCAAAAGTCTTCTTCGCTAGATCGTGATACAGGTAGGTACAGTGCGGGACTCATGGATTTGCTTACTTTCTTGTCCACGCTAAGATTGCAGTGCAATGCGCAAGTTTCGTGGTCTAAGCCTCTGCTTACTTACCTGCTCTTCCACGCTAAAGATTGCAGTGCAACAATTACCTCATTCCAGGAGATCTACCAAGGCGCTACCTTGGATTCTCTCCTATATACGGCTAGTTCATACCAGCTCTTGGCACACCTATGGTCACATGGGCTGCAACCTGGGAGCTGAATCTCGTGGAGGTGTCTTGGCACAGCTATTGTGTGGCGGCGCTCCCAGTTCGCGCCTACCCTCAAGTACTGCCTGCCCTGCCACACCCCACACAACCGCATCGCGTACACTGTTCTAACACCGCCCTTTATCATCACGCGCGGCGCATCCTAAGTAGCAGATCGAATAACCTATTATGTTCGGTCACACACTCTCGCGGCGCAATAGGCAGGTTACCTACTAAGTTCGTCACGATCTTCGCAAGCGCACCGGCATCACTAGGCTCAAAATCATCAGATCATAGTACATAGAGCTGGGTATCTCTCGCTAGCTAGATAGTGACATCGTGCATTCAGCTGATACGTAAGGCTATTCCTACGCGGATCTTAAAGAGCGCGAATAATGGCACAAAAGAGCGAATCCGACGAGCAGGCAGCATGTTTTATGAGGAGTTGGCGCACGGAGGATGTGGGAGAATAACCTGTCCTTCACGACCCTGATACGTAACGACCGCCGGTAACAAGACCCATCTTCGCCCCGGTGCGACTCACGTCTCTCACGTCCAAGGCGAAGCGTTACTGACCGCCGCAATGTCCAACACTACCACCCAACCGCCCGAAGCCACAACGATGTTCAACTTCAAGTAGCTCACCCTCTGATATCCAGATACTCCAAAACGGTGGTCATCCCCGCCGTGCTTATGCTGCTAGTTGCTGGAACTTAGCATATAATGGAAGGCTATGAAGTGCTTCTGCCAATCCGAGAGAGGCACTGCGCAAAGAAAAGCCTGGGAAATTGTCGATGACGGAGCACATAGTGAATACTGCGGAAGCTTCCATAAGGGCCTGATATGGTTTGACTTGCAATGCCGGTACAAAAGGATTGAGCCACGCACTGCGACAGCCACGCCGAACATAGCTTTGCATGTTGATACCGCACTCATCAGACGCTCGGTCCGCGACTTCTGGTACAGCTCAAGTCAACGACTTGCCTGTGAATCGACCTCACCAGGGTATCATCTCCTGTTGGACATGTAAGAACCAGTGCACATTGGGAAGGTCAGTCGATTAAACAGAAGGCGATGGCAAATGCCAGGCACAGGTCGAGCAGAGAGCAGAGATGTCAACAATCAAGCCAATCAAGCTGAGCTAGCCTCATATGGTAAGCTACTAACCGATTAAAGCTAGCCACCTACTATATAAGGCTAGCTCAGCTTGATTGGCTTGATTGTTGACATCTCTGGCAGAGAGCCCGGCCGGGACAGCTCACGGCCGTCGCAAAGAGACGACTTTATGAGACCTTCGCTTCGCTAGAAGGTTTGTTTTGCCCACACATTCTCATAAGACGTATAGTGATGCTCTGCACTATCGCGCCAGACCGCACTAATGTCAAGGTAACGTGAGGCCGTTAGTGCAGTGAGAGTTCAACTACGGTCACAAGATAATGAAGTGTGCTATGGATATGTAGCGACAGATCATCCGTCAAGCATGCTTTGTATTGCCTACTCTGGTCCACATCCTCCAATTTTTGTGAGATACCACTTCTTACCTATCGTACGGTGTGAGGTCCATTCATCACCACTCGAGATTAGAAGACCTTTCCGACCATACCGTTCCTGCGCATCATACCTGCCTTCGACTCCAGAGCAGCGTACGACGTCGCCGCGTAGATATCATTAGAAAAGTCAAAGAGGTTGTCAACGCTAATCTCTTCACTGGGTATCGTCCAGCCAATCTCTGTCGGCAAGCGCTCGTTGACTGTTCGCTGATCAGCATGCGTCGACCTAATCACCATGGATAGGATACATACCAAAGAAGTACTCCACGAAGTCTCTGCTCGCTGTCTTCTCCGTTTTGTTGCCGAATACGAGCATGTATCCGGCACCTTCGCCGGCACTGAAGTCTGCGGCCAAGTCCGACAAAGCGAACCTGGGGTTGTACTTCACCGAGTCGATCATGCGAGCAAGTCGTGCGTTGGCAGCCATCTGGATAGTGATCTTTTCGTCGGTCCAGTAGGCGCGGGTTTGATTGTATATGGTGGCGTTGAAAGAGACGGCATCGTCATTGAAGAACTTGTCGGAACGACTGGATAACGGCTCGTGTCAGTCATGTACTCAAGATTGGGAGGACCCTGGCTTGCACTTTGAAAGGAAGAACTTACCTCAGACTGGCATCATGCTCCAAGATGTTGTGATTGCCCAATGTATCGAGACCCCAGGTTGTAGCATTCGGACCTGGGTTTGTCGTGAGCGCGAAGTTATACAACAGCTCCGAGATGTCTTCGCTGATGTTGAGGCCTGTCAAGAGAGCGTGCTTGACGGTGGGGAGCGTGAAGTTGCGACCCTCACGCGGTAAGAAGCCGTGGTTTGCCAAGGTGTTCAGCATAGGGCAAGGGCCTCGAGCTGGATGGTATCAGCATTAGTCGTGATGGCTTGAGCAAAGGCAGTTGGATTGAAACGTACATTCTCCAGGCCTAGCTGGGTGCCAGCTTTCTAAAGAGCCTTGGGCGCTGATGCCAACACTCATGAGAGCACCGATGATGAAAGATGGCATGTGCATTGTGTCGGTTCGCTTGGGGATGAAAGGGGGATTGATGGTAGTACTGGCAAGATCCTGATGAATGGTATCGCTGTGGAACGAGTTGCGATGGGTGATTTCACAATCGTCTTATAGTGTATCACCTGGACTAAGATGAGCACTCTTGCATAGCCTTCACCAGGTCATGTCGCTAGTATCGCAGCCGCGCCATATCTAAAACTTCTCTCGGACGTCTCTACAGTGCCCATTACGTGGACTTTCCCCAGCCGATGCTCCTTTCGGACCATGACGCGAGATGATGCGAGATGATAGTACTCAGGTCCGCCATCTGCTTAGTGGTAGGATTTTATCCATGTCCGAGATCCCGAACGACATTATGTTAGATATGCTGGAGTTTTGAAACAGTGGAGACAAAGCCGGGTGAATTAGCAATGCCTGCGTCTTCAATGGTCACTCTGGACAGGGGATTTGCTTGTCGGTAATCATACAACAGATGTCCGAATAGCCCGACGACCCAGATTTCCTTCAGATGCATTTGTAGTCATCATACTATAGTAGTGCGCCGAGTGGTGGGACGACTAAGGTACCAGTGTACTTCGTAGGCGTGGGCTTGCTTCGCCCATCACGCACGGCTATGGGAGGCATACATCGTCAAGAAAAAGAAATAAGCAACGGCTGTGTACATGCAGCCACACGAGCATGGCATCCAAGAATAGACAAAGTCGCGAGGGTGGTACCGGCTGAGGCGCAGCGGGCATCGCGTAGCGAGGAACGCGCAGAGTAGCGAGACTCGGCAGGGCACCCTCCCGCCCGTCACCACTCGGGACGCCAAGACAACCGCATCCGGGTCATGATCCGCTGCGAATTGGTGGGGTAGGCGGCGATCAGTGAGGATCAAGTGATTCTCGATATATGCCGTGGGGATATATCAGAGTTTCGATGCTACCATAGTTCCGGCTCTGAGCACTACCAGCGTCTTGCAAAAGCGCTGCAAGATTGTCGCTCAAGTCAACTCACGTCGCGCTGCAATCTCCAGCGCATGGAAAAGGTGACGCAGCGGCCAATCATATTGTTCCGCGAAGGATACACCACGGGATGTTATCACGTGCTCTTACGAGCCAACCAATCACAGGATCATTGGCCCGCATGTGCCCACCGGATGAATAGCATCTAAGATTTCATTAGTCTGCACACGCCCTGCGACACCTTAAACGCCAAGACATCCGGTCTTGAGGGCATCCTGATATGAAAAGTTCAACCATGGAGAGAGACGATATCATCGAACCCTGAACCATTAATGAACCACTTAGATAGTTCACATATGTTAGGCAATGAGGTCCTGTTGCATCGTCAGTGAACCAATGCTTCCGACTCGCGATACACGCACGCGCAGCATCTACATCACACAGCATTCCAGGATTGAAGGGCGTCGGTTTGATTCTTACTCTCGCTGCTACATTACAAAAATATCAACCGTAAGGGTCTTCTAGACTGCGCCATTATTGCCGGGCCTGTCGTGTATTTTCTTATGTCTTGTGAGATCGTTAAGTCTCGTGAAAGCTTTGCCACATTCCTCGCACTCGTGTGGTCTTTCTCCTTTATGACTGAGCTCATGATCCCTACGATGGTAGCTGCGTGAGAATGTTTTCCCGCAGATCGAGCATGCATGATTCGTGTTCCCGCGTTTGGGTGCGATAGCAGAGATAAACGTTTCTGCTAAATCACTCTTGTCAGGATGGAACGTCCGAGTGTGTTTCTCGAGATCTTTTGCATTCACAAACCCTTCTGCGCCTACGCAGTCCGGTATCTCGCATTGGTACGGTCTTTCGTGGATGTTGACATGCCGCTTACGAGATTTCTCGTCTTTAAATCCTTCAGAGAAGTATCGGCAGGTGATCCGTGTGCATTTGTAACGCCGTTTCTCGTTGTAGAATTTACTGTACGCTATCTTCTCTTCTGCTGTCGGACCAGGTTTGGCTTTGTGAAACTCCTCAAGCATCTTCCGGTTCCGATCTAAGGCCTCCGAAAGATCGCCGATGCTAATCTTGTGTGATGCATCGAAGCCTTTCTGTTGAAACGTGTAGATATGGCTAGTGAGCTGCACAACATGCTCGTATAGACCGAGATGTTCAAACACCCTGCACTTGGTCTTGCAGTCATCCACAAGTCCTTTCGACCAATCTATCTCACTATAGCGCGTCATGAAGTCTTCCATGGCATTAAAGATGCCAGCTAGTAGAGCTACCTGGTCCTGAGCTTCTTCAAGGAACTTTGTGCCACTTGCCACCCACGCATTGATGTGGTGAAACCATTTGGCAATCGCGTAGTCTTGGAACGCGAGTGATCCATCCAGTGCGTATCGCCGTCGTTGTACGACATCGTCAGGACTGTCGACATCGAAGCAGGGGAAAGTCAAGTATTGCATACACAATGTCGCAAGCTCGCACTCGATAGATGGCTCATGAATGTCTTTGGTGATGGCAGTGATGTACCTAATACAGTCAGCAAATCAAGCTTCTCGTTGGGAGTGGGAAGATTACGTCTTCGCTGTGCTATGAACGAGGGTTACGCGGTCCCCATTAACAAGTACTAACGAGCCGCAAGTGACGTAAATGTGATCGCGTACCCGCTGGTTTTCGTAATCAACGATCTGCCTCTCGGGATCGATCGAAAGCGCGACCTGCATCTCTTTCCATGTGAGCCTGCGTTTAGCACAAACTAACCTAAACATCCGATAGTTGTTAGCTTTCGATTCACACACACATTAGAGTTAGGAACCACAAACCATCCAAGTAGCTTCTTTGCTTTCGGCCAACCTCTGCCAGATGTAGTCTTGATACGTCTCAGGATTCGCTCGTATCTGCTAGTGTATCAACGCAAGCCCATGTACTGGTACAGGAATATAGATAGATTGGGTGTCCGTCTCTACACAACTTTGGGAATACTCACGCGTCTGCTAGCTTATGTGGAAAGTTTTCGGTCTTGATACTGTCTTTAAGCTCCGCTAACGTAGTAGAAGCATAAAGGTCAAGTAAAACAAGTTTGGCGTATAGAAACATGCCTATAACAACGTTAGAGACTATAACAGGATCGGGTTAGCGGTGTACAGCATACCTTTTGCGTTGACTACTGTAAGATTCTGGAGGTACTCTTTCATATCCTCTGAGAATGGCGGAAATTTTGATGCGATCTTATCTACCCATAGCCTGGTGAAAGCTCGGATATCGCCTTCGTTGTCCGTCTCGGAGATTCGCAAGATCATTGGTGCAACCTTGGTAGATGCAGAGCTATTGAATCCTTTTCGAATATCAATAAGATCTTGGCTAGCAACGAGAAGACGGAGTGTGCCTGGGTCGATCGTGTCGCGGCAACCTACGACTTCGGTCAAGATGTCCAACACCTGGCTCCTTTCTGCCTTCTCACATTCGTCCAGCCCATCGATAACAATGAACAGTTTAGGTATGGTATTGCAGAAGTCCTCCAGGAGTTTCTTCGCTTGAGAAATTGACCGGAGCGATGGCTCTCCGCTCGATCTACGCCTTGTGAAGCAAGGTGGCAACATCTGCGGGTATTGATCCAAGAGTTGGTCAGCGAGCCCCTTCAGTATACCGACTGCAGTGCTACTCATTGGATCACCATCGTGACAATAGAAAAAGCAAGTCAGGAATTCCGGCTGAGCTTTACACTCATCAATGATGGCCGATGATAGTATCGTCTTTCCTATTGCTTATCAGCGTTGGACTATGTTCACGTTGAGCGTACTAACCAGCACCAGGAATTCCATACATCCAGACGACTGGGCTTTTCGGTACATCGGCGTGTATCCAATGTTTGACAGTTTTGTGCTGCGATATCCACTTGGTTGTAGTGGCATAATCTGCTCGGATTTTACAGTAGCTAGCATGATCAAGTTGTGGTAACTCTCCTACACTGAGCCATTCCTTGACAATCATTAGGTTCTTGGTTTCTTCTCGCACGACGTTTTCCTCGAGCTTTGCTTTGAAACTTGCGACATCATCCTGGTAGAGGCGGTATTGGACGAGGTTAGCACGGCATTCTACGATGTCTTTGTGACGGCGAAGACTGCTCAGAATCCCATCGAACTTGGTATGGAAGTTCTTCCACCTGTATCCTAGGGTCAATTGTATATACAGGCTTACTGGGTTTCCATATATGAGGAGCACCTACATCGACTTGAAAAACCGAACCCATACTGAATCACTCTTAGTCTCTAGAAATGAAAGCGACATTTGCGCTATCACTCACATCTGCCTGAGAAGAATTTGCACGCTTGTTGGTGGAAGTCCAGTATGTCGATGTAGATCAACTCGAGGGCATCAACCATGTGAGGTGAGTTGCTGAACAATGAGTGATACTCTGCTAACAAAGGTAGTTGCTCGCCAATTCTTTCGTACGCATCCAGAAGTGAATCGAAAGAGTCTGCAAACGTACTAGCTGTCTGTGCCGTATGTCAACTGAAGCACTACTTTACACAGCTAGCAAACTCACCAACAAGAGGAACTTCATCGGGCCCCACACGAACGCGACTGCATCCGAAACGTTGAGGAAGATCTCGATGACTTGGCCGAATTGGTGCATCGCTTCGAGACAATGTTTGATGCGAGCAAGATTCATCGTCTCCAGGCGAGCCTCTTGCTTCTCCTGAACTTTGAGAAGCTCTTCGCGCAGATTATCATGTGTAGTCCCCTTGAATTCCATGAGTTCTGTGCCATTGAGTCGATTGCGGAATTGGATGATGGCTCGGTCAAGGGCGGCTCCGGCTGCACGTGGTGGTGGGGTTGTGCTTCCTATCACTGTCGATTGCTGAGAAAAAGCAGTGGTCGAGGTGCGACTACTCTGCTGCGAAGGCATAGGGGTCGCCATCATCCATGATACTCAGCTACCACGCCAAGACACTCATATGATACGAGTCGATATATGCAATCAAAAGCTGCGCGTTATGTGCTTCTACAATCTGGAAAAGTTGCGGTAAGTATAAACCAGATGCGAAAGTCGTAGGTAAGAAATCGACGTTCCTATGGAGGGGGCGGAGCAAGGTTGAAACGCTGCGCGTGGCTCACCGGTGTGCAGGAGGCTGCGACTCAGCCTTCTGCACGCACCGAGCTGAGATGCGCCCATTTCACAAGCATATCTGGCAGTGCCTCCCTCCTCCACGTTCCATTTGAAAGACCTCGACCGTTGATTGAAGTTGCGCGTCTTCACCCAGGGCGACTCATCGAGGTAGCACGTTTGCCAAGCCGCTAATATATCAAGCGCTTACGTCACACCCAAGGCCCAGATGGCGCTCAAGCACCTACTGAACGACGCGGAAGCCGGCGACGACTACCAAAACAACTACCGGCCGCATGTGCAGTGCAGAAAAGACGATGATACAAATCAGTACGCAGTAAACGGATTGTGATCGTTGAAGCAAGGCTGACAAGTGTAGGTTTATAGCGGCTTTACCAGCTCAGTCTTGGGACCGATACTTGGACGAACTCCTCGGCTCACAAATCGCACAATGCGACCTCGCTCTTGATGGAGATCAGATTGAGCTGTACAGCTCGTTTCAGGAGACCAGCGCCGATATTGAGGAATGGACGACCGGAGATGCGTCTCATCGACTTCTCGACAAACCTCCACCCGAGGAAGCATACGTATGTTACGGCATGGTGAGTAAAATGCTATGTGATCTATATGACGAGTCCCTATAGACCTCTTTCAACCGAGTGCCATCGCTAACCACAACCAATCTTCTTTCACGGTTAACTGACACGCATCCAGGTTTTCAGAGCTGCCGTACGGCTTTGCGGTAACATGATAGAGCTCAACAAGAAGCTCAATATGATTGCGCTATCACCTCTTCATGGACATGCTCAGATGCTGATCATCAGGCCCGAAGCTCAATTTCTGGTCGCTTTCTCAGACGGAACAGTTGTCGGAGAGGTTAATGCGCAGCTGAATAAAGCACTCACTAGCATTGCGGAACAAGGTTATGAGCCTGACCTCGAAGTTTTTGCCCCGATAAGAGCTATTCAGGACACTATAGGTCGGGCTAAAAGAGAGAAAGAAGCTGTAATTCGGGTTCAAGTGAACGTGTATGGCCCGCCAGCAGCGGCTAACGAGATTGGAAGAGAGCTCTCTCAACACAAGCTTTACCTCCAGCGTCCTGCATACGTCAAAGACGGCACTAGATATAGCAACCCTCATATGCTCACGCTACCTGAGTTTGAGAACTCAATGACGGTGACAAGGCCATCACTAGAAGAGACTGTACCCGAAAAGCCAAGCCTGCAGACGTTCAAAAACACGATTCAAGACGTATACTCATCACTAACACGAGATCGTGATCTGAGTGGACTGGAAGGTGACGAGCGCCTTCATACCACACTCTTATTGTATGTAATCACGCTGCTGCAGAACACGCAAAACACCGTCCGCGAATGGGGTTGATTCCAGAATCTGATGCTAAGCGACACAGACATCAAAAGACAGCGCTTGCTTTTATGATGCAGCGCGAAGATGGTCCAATACCAGAGAAATATGCGCTGTGGAAAGCTACTGAAGAGGAAGGAGTACAATGGTCAGTACGTGGTAAACAAGCTGGCTTGGTCTTGCTGATCTGAATGACAGCTACCGGCATGCAGTCTCGAACGCGCGTTGTAGGCTCTTTCGTCCAGGATAGTGACCTTTGAAGCATATTAACGAACCTGCAGGCATGTTCAAGCCGGAGGAAACGGGCGGTGGTATCCTCGCAGATGAGATGGGAATGGGCAAGACCCTCTCTATATTGGCCCTCGTTATACGAACACTCAATGCTGCACATAGTTGGGCTACTCAGAATGAGACTTCAGAAGGTGAAATATCGCAGACACCAAGATGCAATCGCCGTTCCAGAGCAACCTTGATTGTCGCGTCATCGGACCGTAAGTGAATCATGGCTTTGTTTCGATCACAGTTTCTGATTGTCTCCATACAGTCATGATCAATGAGTGGTTTCAAGAACTAGACAAGTGAGTAAAGATCATTGCGGGAGTAAGGGTAAGAAATTGATGATTGAAGGCACTTCGACGAGTCTTCCCGTAGAGTTCTGAAAGCCATCAAGTATCATGGTCCTCATCGACACGCCCCGACAGACAGGTTCCTCGAAGCGGATATTGTCATCACAACTTACCATACGCTCGCGTCAGATCTCACCGGAACCAAAGGTGTGCTAAGAGACATAGAGTGGTATCGCCTTGTGCTTGATGAAGGTCGGTATCCCATATACCAGCTATCGTATCTCACTAACGATGATTTCCTAGCTCATATCATAAGACGGCAGTCCACGGTACTGTATCGTACCGTAGCTGAACTCTCAGCTCGATCGAGATGGTGTCTCACTGGCACACCTATACAAAACCGCCTCGAGGATATCGGCTCGTTGTTCGCCTTCCTGAGAATCAGCCCGTTCCACAGCTTGTCAACCTTTCGCAAATGCATCGCTATACCCTTCGATGAAGGCAGTAAAAGACGAAACATGGCAATCGAACGCTTCACACGCCTGTTAGACTCATTGTGTCTTCGCCGGACCAAAGATGTACTTCATTTGCCAGACGAAAAACATCGTGTAAGGAGGATACATCTATCATCAGAAGAGCAGGCTCAATACAAGCACACTTATGACATCATGTTTCGGACGATCAAGAACCAGAATGGTGTTTTTGATCAGAAGAGCACGTTAGGCATGTTCCAGGTACAACTTCAACTACGTATTATCTGCAATCATGGCACTTGGCAACAACCGTTTTCCTGGAATCGGCGCAAATTGCACCTTCTAGATGAAAGAGAGGCTGTGGAGGCGTCGTTAGGAAGAGACGGCGAGATCACCTGCTCTGCGTGTCGACAGACGTTGCCTCTTTTTAATACTGGTACGATGTTCCGTCGCTACACGGAACATTGTCGGCACGTACTGTGTATGGAGTGTCTTTCAACAAGCATGACGAGTGATCAGGAAAGTTTGCCTAGCAGGTGTCCCCTCTGTCAACCACTTTGGGACGCTGACTCTGGAGCGCCGCGCTCCAATCACGCGTCACAAGAGGATACCTACTTTCGACCCAACGGGCGATCCTCGAAGATGGAGTCTTTGATGGAAGATGTTTCCGTTGATGTATGGAACACAAAAAGGTACTTGCGATAGCCTCATAAATCATTCTACTGAATCTAACAAATTGGCAGTATCATATTCACATGTTGGACGCGAACACTGGACTTGCTGCAGTTCTACCTCCGCCATATATCCAATAATACATGGACCCACGAGCGAATTGACGGCGAGTGCTCAACGGCTAAACGTGAACGCATTCTACAAAGATTTGCAGACGACCCGAACTTACGGGTACTCATCATGACTACTGGTACGGGCGCTGTAGGGTATGTAACAATCTTCGACATTGTGATCCTTTCAGACTGACAGTGTCTTCTAGGCTCAACCTCGCAATGGCAAACCGTGTCTTTATCGTCGAACCTCAGTGGAATCCTTCTGTTGAGAATCAGGCTGTTGCGCGAGCTTTACGTCTCGGCCAAAAGCAGACTGTATTGGTTACGCGTTATGTTGTGGAACAAACAGTGGAGCAGGTGAGGTGGCATGATCTAGCGTGCTTTTCGTCACTAACATCGACAGGATATGCGATCACTACAGAATACGAAGCTTGAAAGAGCTAACCTCATTCAAAGTGGCTAAATGCAGGCTTGCAATGTACAGCGAAGCGATTTTCGCAGCACTTGCTGAAGTTACGAAAGACACCGATCGCTTTGACGCGAAAATTGGATATCGATTCACGATACCTGTGCTAGAACTTGGCTATCGTTTCCTTCTGATCAAGCATCACTTAAATTGACAGCATAGTGCAAGCACCTTAATCGAATACCGAATAAGGAACAAGGCCAATGAAGAGGCGATCTGAATCGCGATCACGTTGCTACAACTGGATGAGCCTATCTCACTCTATAGCCGTTTATGTGTTCAGCCTCATGAGAATATCAACCGGATGGATTGACCAACCAGTGAGCAATTCGCGCTCAGGTGCCTGACACCGCACGCTGATACCGCACACGTGCTGGCGGGCGCCTCACCGGTATCAGCCGCGCCGCAATGATCTCAGCCGCCAAGTGGTAACAGCCTTCTGTGCTGGACTGGCACCGCACTCGATTGACCAGGTGGCATGTGCCGCGCACTGCGATCTTGAGCTAGAACAGAAGACATTTTCTTACGCACCAAAATCGAACACGCCATAAGGAGACACCTCATCCCGAATCCCACGTCAAGGACTGGTGTGGGTGATGTAGGACGCCAGCCACACTCGTCAACTCTGCCTCACTGTAAGACTCGGAGGCCCGTACCAGGCCACATATCCTCTTTTGTGCGATAAGGATTAGCACAGTATCCCGATCTTCCCGCATTGCCTATGAGTCTTGTGTACTGCAATCTGTAGCGCGAAGAAGCGCTTCTTGTGTGGTCTGCGAATCAGGCGACCACTGCACCCTTTCTATTACGGTAAAAATTGCAGTGCAACCGACACTACATCGTCATCTGCAAAAGTGGCGCGTTATTGATGCAAGAAATGCTGGTTATATATTACGTATGATATGCTTGATCGTTCGAAGGGAAACAGCCGTAACCGTCCTGCTGAAAATCATTACACAGAATTCAGTTTCTCTCCACCTCCTTACAAGCAATACCTCTCCAAAGCTCACATCTCGCACCTCTATTGCCTTCCCACTCTAGCGCGTTGACAACGGTAAAATGATTTTGCAGCCCAGGGTCTGTATACTCTGCGATAGTAGTTCCTGTCAATTGTGGGGCAGAATAAGGCACACCGCCTGTGATGTTGAGGTTAAGCATCTTGCCATGTCCATCTTTTGCCCATGTCGGCCACGTGAGATTCGTGAGACCCTTCGCAGTAGCTGGGTTCGCTGCCGTGACAAAATGGCCCCAAATCTGTCTGAAAACGGTAGTGAAGGAACGTGGCTGGCTGGGCGTTGCAGGGCCGAAATATGCGGTCACATCGCTGCCATGTAGCGCGCCGGGCACAGAGTACTGGTAGTGGAATGCGGTGCGATTTTCTGTTGTAAAGGCTCCACTAAGCCAATATGACGGACACACAAAGGTCGCTTCGGCGTAGATGTTGTAGGCGCGCTGTTGTATGCCTGAGGCAAATGAGCTGGTGTCCATGGCTGTCGCTGGGCCGAGGCCCGTGGTTGCGAACGTATCGTTGTTTGTCAGATTAGAAGGCGGATAGGCGGCGAGGATAGCTTCGAAGTCTGTTGAGGCAACCGAAGGAAAGGCATCTTGCAACCATGTTTGAAGGGCTTTGGTACTATCAATCGTGGGGACAAAGAGAGGACCTTCGTTCGCGTTGTTGCCGACGAGTATGTGCTCGCCATTGACGAGTCCTGCCGCAAGAGAATCGCTTGGATGGGTGTTGATGAAACTAGATTCTGGTTCTGTAACGGGAGCGAATGCCCAATGACCATAAAGATTGGCAGCGTTCACGTCTGAGTTTGCGATCTGTAGTGTGAGGTAGTCCTTGTTGCGCAGACAGGATAATGTCTCGGTTGAGTTCGCACATCCAGCGCGAGTGGAAAAGCTCTCATACTGTCGTGTTGGGGCTGAAGCATCGAATTTGTGCTGTGGTGGAAGATAGGGCGAGGCAGCAATAATCTGACGCATTGTTAGCAGGGACCTTAATGTAGTTAAAAGACCGCATACGTTGCTGAATATTGAAGTACCTAGGGTACCATTCTTCGCGATACCAAGTAGCATCACACCACCAGCACCAGCACTTTGACCAGCAACAGTGACTCGTGACTTGTCACCTCCAAATCGATCAATGTGATCCTGCACCCATTGCAGGGCGAAAGCCATATCGAGGATACCAGCGTTGAGAGCGCTATTCTGCTGGATCTCAGTCGACGAGAGAAATCCGAAGGCACCGAGCTTCGACATAATTAGTTGGTGACGTATGCATCGGGAGAATAGACTTACTCTATATTGGATAGAGACAGCAATAAAACTGTTATCATTATCGTTGATGATCTCAGTCATGTCCTGCTGCCCGTTTCCAAACCCGTAACCACCTCCATGGACCCAGACAAGCACTGGAAGCTTAGCTTTCTCCTTGCGCCTAGGCGCATACACGTTGAGAAATAAGCAATCTTCACTACCAGATGGCGCCGGGATAACTGGAAATGGCGCAGGAGCGGCTTGAGGACATCCTGGTGCAAATTCGATAGCGTCCACTATGTTATTTGAAGAGACAACGGGGGCCGCTGGTGCTCGCCAGCGGAGGTCACCAACTGGGGGTGCTGCGTAGCGAATGCTTTATGGCAGTGGTCAGCATACTAGGACTTCTCACAACGGAAGTCTCCGTGTGGTACTGAGTTTGACATACCCTTTCCAGATATTGAGATGTGTAGTTGAGTTGTAAGCGCCCTGGTAGATGCCATAGCCTAGATCGACTACCAGATCCTGCAGATTGACGAGCGATGCTGCGTGTGCAGCTTGCCCACTCAGTAAGCAGAATGCTGTAAGTGCAAACTTCCGACGCAAAGGTGACATCTTCATCAAGAGGACTTGCTATTGCTGCATTACTTTGTGATTTTTCAAGGCATTTGTACTTGCAGCTCATATTACAAATTATAGCTTGACTTTCTATCTTTCCGCCTTCGTCCTTTCCGGTGATAAGTCTAAAGCCGTATCCTGTTGCCGGTTATTAGTATTACTTCTTGAAGAAACGTGATCAGCAAAGTTATGTGTGACTATTCCTGCCAGGGGGTTACTAGTGCGATGACATTGTTGCCGCTTTTAGTTTAGAGGATTTTATTCGGCCCGGAGCACAGTACTTAGAGACCGGACTGCGCTCTTTACACACCGAACACTTCACAGCAAGCAAGATATGCAAGCTATAGAACCATGTCTAAGTCAATGTGGCGGGCACGGTCATCGGGCGCTGAGATTTCTAAGCTCTGCCCTGTGCCACTCCGTGAGAAACTATATAACCAGCGCTACCGTCCTGATCCCTGAGCACTACAGATACAAGCGACCTGGCGAGCAAGATTCTCTCGAGGTTGAAAGCCCAAAGCAACAGGACTCTTTACATTCTTGTTGATACCTCCCGCTTTCTTTGGATCTGCCAATGCAAACATGCCGCGCTACTCTGAGTTACATGCTACAGCTCATGGTCTGGGTGACGCGCGCCCGCAGTACTGAAACACGCAAATCGCAAACATACTGTCTAGCAGACGAGATGGAAGAGTTGCCTGTTTTTCTAGCTTCTTTCAACTTGCTTCAGCTGTACCATCAATGGGACCTTCTCCCACAACGTAAACACTCTCTGCTTAGCTGGCCAGTTATCGCTTTCGGGGTGCAGCGCGATGTCGAAGTTCCAGAAGAACCGAGAAGCTATGAGTCGAAGCTCAGCGTATGCAAGGTTCTTGCCAATGCAGTTTCGTGGGCCAAAAGAGAAGGGCTGGAAAGCTCCTTCCTTATCTGCGCTGAACTGCGGGTCGTACAAGGGATGATCGGGGCTTAGCCATCGCTCAGGCTTGAAGGTGTCTGGCTGAGCGAAGTTGTTGGGGTTGTGGTGAACGGCCCACTGGTGGATCGTGATGAAAGTCTAGAGATATTCGTTAGTTTTTGTTGGTTCAAACATTTGCAATCTTAGATACCAACTGTGCAGGTAGTGAAATCAAGACGGAGCAGTGCGAAGGTAACGGTGGAGTCTAACTTACACCTTGAGCAATGTAGTGGCCGTTGACGTATTCCCCTGGAGAAATGCGCGGGGGTGTCTCTACAACGGGTGGATACATCCGCATAGCCTCCTCGAGACAAGCATTCAGATATTTGAGCTGCCCAGTAGATACCATGGTGATCTCCTCCTCGGTACTGAAAGCTGCTCTGACCTCATCCTGAACATTCTTCAGTGCTTGCGGGTTTGTGGTGATCCAGTAAGTCAAGCCGGAGAGTGCAGTCGCCGTGGTCTCGCTACCAGCTATAATCAAAGCATCTGAATTCCCTAAGATTTCCTCATGACTCATACCCTTCTCATCGTTGTGACGAAGGATGTACGTCATGATGTCTTTCCGGCCATTGGGCGTTGGGCCAAGTGCTATTCTTCGCTCAGTTTTGACTTTACTCATCGCCTTGTGTTCATTTCGCCTTTGAATGTCTTCTTTGGATACTAGTAGTGGAAGAGCCCAACGAAGCAAAGGCATCTTCAGTAGAGCAATCATTCCAGAGCCAGCTCTGATGCCCGCGAAGATCATGGCGATCCATGGATGATAATCACTGTTGTCCAGACAATGGAATGGCTCCCCAAAGACTAGGTCCCCAATGATGTCGAAAGTCGTGAAATTGTACCACTTGAGCATATCAACCGGTTCGTTGTTCGCGGCCTCTTTGCGTAACTGCACAAAGAGCTTGTCAACATACTGCTTGATCAACGCTTCCTGCTCCTTGATGGCAGCATCAGAGAAGGCATGTGCCAGGAGACGGCGTTGGCGTCGGTGGCTCTCTCTATCGGCAGGGAAAAGAGACTGGTTCGACTTGTCTCCAATCTGGTAGAAGTCATGCCAGTGGGAGAATTCAGGTCGCCCACCGCGACTGTGGCCGAAAACTTCAGGCCATCCAATGGTTCCGTTCATTGAAACATGATTTGGCCCTGTACGAACGATGTCGCCATACTTCTCATGAAAGCGGAGAACCTTTTTGGTAAAAAGACCTCTGAACGAGTTCTCGATGGCCAAAGGGAGTCCAGATACGGCATAATGTTTCGGCCCGGGTATCTTGCGAAGAGGGTGAAAGTAAACCCTGTAGATTGCAAGGCCCACTGCGTAGGCCACAGCCTAGGAAAATTATCAGAATGTATTTGCGTGCACCAGACAAAACTACGTACGATTTCAAATAGCAGCAATGTAGCAGCTAATGACTGATGAAGCGACATGGCAACCGCGATTATTGAAGGGATGCAGGATCCTGGTCGTGTTATGAGGCTGCCAACGATGCAACAACTCTGTTTCTCAGACGCAAGACGCGATGTTGATGGTGTGGGTGATGGATGATGGTAAGACTATGTTGCAGCAGAAAGCAACTTAATATATACCAAGTCTCTGCCCTTTGTCTGCTCATCCATGACGTCTATAGATCAACGGTGGCTATATGTCGCTTGCAACGTTTCGTGTTGAGCAGAAGGTGGACCCGATCAGTGACCATGGGGCTCTACGAGTGATCGGGACTTGGCAGAACGCCCGGAACTCGAGCTCACCCGAGCCGCTAGACTTCAACAACGGTCTCTGTCAAAATCTCCGATAGGCACGCTAGTGTCGGATGGCGGTTGCTCCCGCTCCCGTTCTCCTCGGAGCGGACGACGCAACAGTTGATCAGTTAATTTAATCTGTTACCTGTGGTGTCGATGTGAGATCAGTGGGTACATGGTCACTTGGCAGTTGCCTGTGCTATGCATATTGGACCAACTTCACGCATGCTAATTTATCAGTTCACTCCGTCTGTCCAAATTCCTACATGAGTGTAGGTCATCCGTCATTCGCACGGTGGCGTGATTGGGCCTCTCGGTTAGGAGTTGCCGTCTTAGAGATGCACTTCATGCTGGCATCTTGTCTTCGAAAGCACAAACGTCGCCTATTCTGCGCCAAAGTTTCCATTGCAGGGAGTACTGACCGGTTACGCGTGCAGGTTTCATTGACCATGCTCGAGAGAGAAAGTTGCAATGCGCGGAACAACAAGCCCGAACGTACGCGTCACCCAAACCTGCTATCCGTGCCGAGAGCTGCAGTACACCGTTTAGTAGTGCCTCAAGCTCTTCGGACAGGGCAGTTTCGTTCCTGTTGCTAGCGGTCACGATGGGATGTGTGGGAGAGCGGTCGAGAAATCAAGGGGAAGCCTCAGGCGCTGTGCATAACGTGATGTAGCTTTGTGCCATGTGTTCGTCCGGTGGAAAGGCCTATGAGCCCACAAGGGTCCATCTTCGATAACCCGAATCTTGCTATCCCGCCAGAGTTGCTGAACCTGTTTAATCGAGATCTTGCTTGCTCTAAGGTCCACGTTTGAAGGATCGATTGAAATCGACTTTCATATTGCATGTGGGCCTTGGCATGCAAACCTTGAAATCATCGCCCGATCCTGAATCCTTTGCTGGTTTTGTAAACGAACAGCATCTCTTTCGCGGTTTCGTATGTAGGAAGTGGCTGCGGACCGTACCGGTGATCCTGGACTGCTGAAGGTGTGCTCTTGTGCAGAACGGAGATTGCTATGCAGCCATCCGGGCGCACCCACTTGTTAAGAGCTCGGCTCTACCCCGCACTTGATCAGATCAGATCAGATCTTGGCGCCTGCCGAAGTACAGCGCCTCTCCCGCCTCTCCGAGACCACTTCGCCACTCGAGACCATCAAAGCATCAGCTTTCACAAACGACTGATCCCGCAAATGTACGGTAAGCTGGAATACCGATAACTACGTTGCATCTGAAGCACGGATACTAGAGGCTTCCGATGATGTTGCCTCTTTCACGCTATACCCTGCGATGCTGAAAGCTACAATCAATAGCCCTCCATGACAGTAGAGAACTGGCGGGTCACTGCCTCGAGTTGGTCGTCCGCGCTAAAGATTGCAGTGCAAGATCTCTGAAAGTAGGCAGCAGGCAGACTGTCAATGCAAAAGTTTGCAGGAATGCGAACCAAGGCAAACGTAGTTCGCAAAATGTCTCTTACCGATGAGACAGGGGAAATCTTATCAATCGCAGAGGACTGGATTTGTCCTGCTCGCGCCGTGGCGTTCGCCGAGCTTATTACTTTTCTTCTGCCCAATCCCGCTCTGCTGCGCTGGAGACTGTATGTTCTTCGCGACGCTAGAGATTGTACTACAGAGTCGCAGTGGTGTCTGGTAAAGTACCTGCACAGGCGCCAAGACATTCGTGATTACATCGCATGCGTGCGCCGTGCAAGCCAGATGAGCAGTGCGAAAGGTTGTCTGTGGTTCAACTCCTGTTTCCTTACATTGGCGATTGCCTGCTTCTTGGCCGAGGTAGCTGCTATTGTGCGCTGAAGATAGCAGTGCAACTGTTTGCCTCGTCTGGCATTGCCAAAACAGGCTTGCGTGGTTCGCAACGTGTATCTAACCAACGAGGTATAGGATATCATTGTCGGCCAGACCAAACAGGGCTGAGACAGTTAGTCGATGCTGGCTGTTGTATGCCTTCTCTTCGGCGCTGAAGATTGCGGTGCAATATGCACAGTGCGAGCCTTGCGCCCTCCCCATGCTAGGACAAGACTGCGCAGCCTTCCGGGTGGGGTGTATCGCCAGCCGACAAACATTCAGCGGTCATGGAGGCTCACACCTAACTAAGCTTGTCAGTCTTCGCAAGTACAGTCTCGTCCACGCTAGAGATTGCAGTGCAAGTGTGTGCACGGCGCACTACACGATCAACCATTGGCTACTTCACTTTCAGACTTGCTCGTCCGCGCCAGTGCTTGCAGTGCATGCTGAGCTTACCGGAAGATCGCTTGCGACCTGTATTGACCGGTCGACCAGGATTCCTCCCGCGCCCATTCTTATCTTAGTGAAGGCCATTGGCCGATGCCCTCATACCTACAAAAGCTCGATTCGTGATTACCCAGAGAAGGGTAGAAGCTATTGGTCGATGCCTTCATATACTCCCTCTTCTACGCTAAAGATACCAGTGCAAAGGAGTAAATGGGCTGTGCCAACGCCTTCTGTGTATGTTTATCGATAAGACATGTGCGGCCTCCATTGGCTGGAACGATCAGCGCCCCTCCTGTGTCCACTTTCGGTCTCGTAGAGGTTGTTGATTGATGCCCTTGTAGGCCTGTCATTGTACGCGAGAAATCGCAGTGCAAGGCGAGATACCATCTCTTGAACAAAGTCTAGTGGCTGTTGCATCGACGCGCGATCGGTCTACCTTTTTTCCGGTATCAGTAAGCGTGTAGCTACGAGTGTCTCTCCCACGCTAGAAATCGAAGTGAAGCCTGATGAACTACCTTTCGATCTTGAGATTGATAGCTGACGTTTTTGATGGGGCACTATCCTAATATGGTCTGGACTGATATATGGCTTGTAGCAAGGCTCCGCAACGCTGCTGTGCTCGAGTCTTCGAAGTTTCGCTGCATCTTTGGAGTGCTGCCTGATTGCTTGCCTTCCTTACGTGGTCCTTCGTCCACGCTAAAGATTGCAGTGCAAGTGGTGTGGCAGGACCCATCCTCTAGCGTCGCATTGAAAGCCATCACTACGCCACCGCACAGGCGCATGGCTGATTCCAACGACCTGGATGTTCCTCCAATCGACGACTGTTAGTGGATGCACATTCCAGGTCAACATCACGAACCACAGTGCCCACTATAGCAGGGTGCTAGCAGCAATACACGCACGCCTGTGGAACACTATATCGAGAATGGACGAATATCACATGTGAGACGAACGGAAATCTTCTTGTCGAAGAACTATGCTTCCAGTTGAAAACGGCTGCGCCTCAGTTGTCTCGCCAATCGAGGCGCTGTTCAGCGGCGTACTGTCAGCTTTGGTAAGACATGGCGCATCTGACTTGCATATACAGCTCCTCTTCCACGCTAAAGATTGCAGTGCAAATTAGTCCACAGAGCCGCATTCCAGAGAGAAGGATAAAAGCAATCAACCCCACCATCAAACCCCCTCCCATTCCGGTCTACACCGACACCCCCTCCTTCTAACATGCAACACCCCCCTCCTCCCCGCCTCCACCATCCACCCCACCCATTCAATCTCATGTTCCACCACCCCCTTCCATTCCCCCGTCGCCACCCTCTCCTCTCCACTCCCCACCAGCCATCTCTCCAATCTCTCCGCACAAGGAAGTAAAGCCTTCGTGACGCTGTCTTCCGTAGCGTCCGGTTTCTTTTGCTCAAGATACAGCATACGTTCGAGCCGGGTGAGAAGAGAGAGTTGAATGGAGGCGGATTCGGTGTATTTGGAGAGGAGAGCCTGGGCGCGGGCTTTAAGTTGAAGTGTGTCCTCTCGACTTGCGTGGGTACAAGGAAGGTGTCGTTGCGGCCGCGCGAGGTGGAAGGAATCTACATCGCGAAGGACGACGAGGTCGTCGAAAGACGGCGCGTTGGTTGTCGATGAACTGAAGCTTTGGCGGGGCGTTGGCTGTTGTGTCGGCTGTGAGTATTGCACAACATGTTGCGCATCATCTATCCGTGAAACCTCCTCTCCACTGTCCCAATTCAGAAGATACGAGGTATTGCCAAATGACGTTGGCGTAGTTGGCGTATTCGGCTCAGTCGTCTCCTGCCCTTGCTCTTCTTCTGCATCTGGATCCCACTCGCACTCCGTATCCGGGTAGTCATCTGAATCGTACATGAAGGTTTCCGAGTAACTGAAGCCATAGCCTTCCTTCTTCTTCTTGTGCCCCGGTTTGGTCAATACGGGAGCTTTGACCTCCTCCTCTTCGTAGATGGATCTTTGCGACGACGACACATGCTGTACCGGAGATGCCTTTTCAGTGGAGTGAGAACTTGGACTTGAACTGGAGAAGGATTGGTTGGGCCTGGGGGTCATGGAGAGGCCGGAGAAGGATTGGTTGAAGCGAGCCTCATTCTCGGAATGGAGTTGTCGCTCCACATCATCAATGAACGATTGGGAGAAGGAGAACCGAAGTTGGATGTTTTGAGATTGCGATGGCTGATGCGACGGTCTTCCTTGGAGATCACGTGCTGGATTTATGTTGGACTCTGGTAGCACGACTGATGTAGCTCTTTGTTGCATGTTGCCAGTGTTGTTGTGTTGCTATAGCCAGATCAGTCAACTTTGCTCCGTACCATGAAAGAAATGGTACGTACGGGCCCCCGCCATCTTGGTGGCCGCTTGCTCTTCCCTTCGCTTGCGCGACGCTCTTGCAGTTTGGTAGGTTCGGGTGCTGCTAGAAGAGGAAGTGGGTCGATGCTTCGACGCAGAGTGATTTGTCGCTGCTTTGTTGGACCTTCTCTTCGCTGACTATGATCAGATTCGTGATTGTTGGTATTGCGCGCCGACTTACCTTTACAGGCATGGTTTGGACGTGCATGCGCGACTTCGTGTCGGCTGTTTACTATAAGAGATGGTAGTCGCGTGTGTCTTCCTCAAGCGGCGGGCCTCGCGTGTCTTTAAGTGTGGGTATTGCAAAGTAAGAGTGTTGTGTTGATTGTTGATGTGGCGTGCGCCGTGTATACATCCTAGAGTACGCCGATCGCAAGGCGCGTTCGGGTCGCGTGAATGTTGACTAGCGTGGTTAGCGCAAAACACGACTCTCGTCCTATCACCACGGTGATTCTCAGAGTCTTGATACACTTTGCCCCACTCTTGTGTAGTACAACATCACAGCTGCGATTCTCCAATGGTGCGGATGAAACCTTGTCAAACTGCTTTTTGCGCATGCGAATGGCGCGGTTTCTGAAGACTCTCTCGTAGCTCTTTTGCCACAACATGCAATGGCCGTGCTACTTCCCTCCCAGTCTTGACACTCAATCACCCCACACTATCGTAGTACAACATCACGTTTTCGATCGTTGGTCGGCGGCGAATCAAATCTTGTCGCATTGCTTCTGCGCATCGAATGGTATCATTTTGCCAACACTCCTGCATGCATCTTTTGCCACAACTCATGTGGGTAGCGCTACTTCTTGCCCGTCTCTAGCAACTCCACGCCTGTCCTTACAACGCCAATCGCCGCGCCCGTCTGTATGGATTCACTTCCACCTCCACTCAGCCTGTATTCTATATCTGCCAGGCCTGCCATCCACGTCACCATGACCTGGGGTGGAACTTCGTTACTGACCAGCTCCTCACTAATTGCAGTCAGGATATCTGCCAACGCAAGTCCCTTCATGATCTTCAGGTTGTTGACCGTCCTCAAACACTCCGTCATGTCGTTCTTCGATAGCAACGTCTCGATGATGTACTTGATGTCTGAGGGGTGCGGGGCTGCTATGCAGTCGTAGATGGTAGTCTGCGTGATCTGGTCGCGTACGATGGTGCTCGGGTCGGGTACAGGCTTGCCCGGTGTTTGAAGCGGCGTGCTTGATGCGTGGCAGGCCTGCAATACATTCAGTGCGCGCCTCATGTCTCCTTTGCTGAGCGTGACAAGCGAGTCGGTGGCATCTTGTGTGACGTTGACCTTCTCCTCCTCAATGACTTTGTCAACTAAATTCCTGATGTCCTGATCCTTGAGCGGAGAGAACCTGAACCTCGTGCATCGCGATAACAGGGCGGGCGAAAGTTTGTGTGTGTAGTTTGCGATGATGCAGAAGCGTGTGTTGGCGGTGTACTTCTCCATGATGCGGCGCAGGGCCATCTGGGCAGTCGCAGTCATGGCATCTGCCTCGTCCAGGATGATGAGCTTGAATGTCGCAAGCGATGAGTCTCCTGCTTTAGGCGCCGCAGCGAAGATCTGCTTTGTGCTACTGAATGTCTTGATCTGCTCTCGCACGACGTCGATACCTCTGTCATCTGATGCGTTGAGCTCCAAGACCATTTGTCGCATGTTCTTGTTCCCGTATATGCGACGTGCGAGTGCGAGGACGGTCGACGTCTTTCCGGTACCTGGTGGGCCATAAAGGAGGAGATGGGGCAGTCGCTGATAAAGTTAGCGAAGTTTCGTGAAAAGAGAAGCGAATCGTACATTTGAGTCTACGAATTTGTTTATGGTAGCTATTATATCCTTGTGGCCTTCGACGTCATCTAAAGAGTTTGGCCTATACTTCTCTACCCTGTGCATGGTTAGCAGCTGTCTGGAGAGTAGATTCTTCTGGAGTCTCACCATGGCAAAGAGTCCTCAGCCTCAACAGGCAGGTTTGCAGCGCTCCTCTTGCCTTTCTTCTGGTCTCCGCCAAATGTGATAGAGTTGTCTACGGCGGGCGCATCCACGTCCATCTCATCTTCGAAGTCGGACATTGCGATGACTGAACTGGTGCTGCCGGCTGCTTTATTGGATATTGAGGTCGGATTGGGGGAGTACAACTGGCGGATTGGCGGTATGTAGTCTGCTAGCAAGAAAGTTGGGGAGACGCGCCGCGCGCAGAGACGCGTTGATTGGCCGCTTAGTCACCCCCGCCTGGTCAGCCCTACGAGCACACCTCACCAAGCGGAGCTGCCCCGTCACCTCCGCCGAGCTCCAAGACAACAAGAACACCGCCAGACACAACACCACATTGGCAACATCACCCACCATGCCCGTAAGTCACAGATGCATAATCAACACATACGCTTCCAAGTATGCATTCGAGGAGATTAGGCAGCTAACACCCCTCAGGCTTACCACTCTGTCTTCCTCGATGAGCCCAATCAGCAATTGATTGGTACAGCTGCCCCCTCAAGCTTCGCCATGTACAGCACAAACTGACGACCCGCCAGGCAACTTCGCCCTCCTCCCACTCCGCACACGAACCCGTGGCCCTGCCATCACACTGCCAGCCCTGCCCGCCGACGTCACAGAGCTTACCATCGATGCCTCACACGACTCATACGACCCTCTAGACGAGATCCTCGCTCTCTTCCGCGCAAACACATTCTTCCGCAACTTTGAAATCAAGGGACCGGCCGATCGCGTGCTCATCTATGGCATCCTATACGTCAGCGAGGTATTGGGCAAGATCAAGCCGGGCATGAGCCGGAGAGAAGCTGAAAAGGTATGGTATCCTTGAGAAGTCTTGTCAGCAAGGCAGGACGGAAGCTGATCATGCGGACAGGCTGTCATGAACATTGCGCTCGACACCAACTTTGCGATTCCAGGCGACGCTGGATTCCCGTTGAACCAGGCTTTCGAGGCCCCCGCGGACAGGAACGGAGCAGAGGTGCTGCGACAGTACATTATGCAGATGCGACAAGAGCTGGCTACACGGTTACTCAACAGGGTGTACGCGGACGAGACCAACACACCGAGCAAGTGGTGGCTGAGCTACACCAAGAGGAAGTTCATGGGCAAGGCTTTGTAAAAGGGTAGTTGATTAGGTCGCAGCATGAGCCGAAAGGCATGTCCAAGCTCATGAGGATTTTTCAAGTCAAAAGCAATGGTCCAGTTTGCGACAATGGTCGGGTATTCCTGTCTCATTCTTTCCAATGCCTCTTTCCAGTCAAAAGTGTCCTAACCGTATTTCGACGTCTCGTGATACCGCACCATTTTCCAGGGTCTAGCCACGCACTGACGTCATGAGCTGTTGTTCTGCACCACCCGCGTTTGGGCGGGCAGGTAGGCGCAAACGGAGACTTTCTATTTGCTTGGTTGCTCTAGCTCGTGCTACGTCTTTCACATCAAAACCACCACAATCCGACTCTTTATCTCTAATCCTTTTGCTGTCGGCGCATTTAATTCGGCGGTTCTATTACGCGGCTTTTCCTACCATCGCTTTGCATGCCCTGGGTGCCTTCGTTTCTTATTAGCAGTCTAGCCGAATCAACAGATCAGATACCGACGATGCAGGGTACGCCAAGATCGGCATGGGGATTATGGCTAATGCGAAGGCTCACATGTACATAGGTAGTCGAGAAGATGATGGATGGTGCAACGTCTCGGACGAGGCCATACCCAAGGAGGATTCTAAACCGGCTGTCGATCCACAAGATGTTGACGGCACGTCTAACGACAAAGAAGTCGAGAAAGATACATCTAGTACGTCCGATTCTCCATACACATGAAAACACAAAGCACCACGCTATGCGACTGGAGACGCCCACTAACCGCACAGTGCCCACCCTCTTCAGCACCTCTCTACCCCCCTGTGGCCTCCTCCCCCAACTCGCCTACGACAACCTGGTCCACCGCCTCCGCACCCTCTGGCTCTCGCGCTCTCAAGACCCCTCCTCCGTTAACCTCTCCGTCCTCAGCCTCTGCCGCATAGTCCTAGCGGACCTCAAGACCGAAGAAGACCAACCCGTTTCGCAAGCCCTCAACCCCTGGCGCCGCTCCTCCGTCTTCGCATACGAAGTTCGCTGGGCGCGGTATTTTGTCCGGGAAGCGGAGACCATGGATAAGCGACCGAGGATGACGGAGAAGCAAGCCGATAAACAGGATTTCATGGATCGCATGTGAGTTAAATAACATTACTTTTTACTGTTCCGGTGTGTGTGTGTGCGGATTTTTCGCGTTTATAACACGTTGAGGAGGACATGGGAAATTGATCTCTTTGTTGTTGCGCTAATGCGCTTCTTTCTAGGTATCCTATTCCCAAGGAATTGAAGATTGTGGTGGCGAATAGGAAGAATCAGAAGCAAGTGCTCGATCTATGGAAGGAGTGGCATCATGGGAAGAGGGGCACGGTGGAGACGGAGGATCCTGGGCTTGGTGTCGGTGGGGCGAGGGAGGAGGAGGTGGAGGTAGATGGTGTAAAGAAGACGGATGGTGGTGATGAAGATGTAGAAGCTGGGAGTGATGGGAATGAGGATGTGGAAAGGAGCTTTGAGGAGATCATGGAGGGGGCACAGAAATAGTTACGAAAGGTGGATTAGGAATTCCGTGTCTTTCTTATCATGCATCGCGGGAGGTTAGGGGTGCATTTGTCGAAGACGCCGGAGAAACGGTTTGCGTTCGAGAAGTTGTGGTAGATTTGTTTCTTGGTTTTCTTGTCTCAAGCTGGCTGGAAGGTCTCTATTCTATTTGTTCAAATGCATTCAATACCCCAGCTTCCCATCCACTGCATTCATCCTCTCATCCCACGCCAACGACCATTGAGATGTGCTACGTGAATCTGGACAAGACAGCATTTTTCCAATTCTCACTCCTTTTCGTCTTACAATTTATGTCTCTATCTATGTTTCTTACCCTTTGCCTTAGTTTGGGGCGGGGATGAGGGTGAGAGTAGGACGCCAATCTCCTGGTTGGGTGACGGACTCACCTTAACTTGGGCTCACCAGCCTGGTCTCACCCTCCTCACTCCTCAGTGGGGGTATAAAAGCAGGCTGTCCCCACAGCCTCTCCAATTCTCTTCCTACTTCCCAACATCTACCAACAACCGCCTAGCGTCACCTTCGATCAACCTTTTTGTGGCCTGCCTCGCGCATCCGGAATCGCTCTACAGAACACAGCAACAGGTAGTATGTTCCGATTCCCCACCCAATCGTTCCCATGCTAACAGCCTGTTAGATCGTGTGCCTTGTCTCCACGATGCCGATCAAGTGGACCTCGGAGTTGGATGCCATCGTGAGTGCACTTCCAGCTCCCCCGCAATCGCATCAATGGTGTCGCTGTCGCTGATCTAACCTACAGCTTCTCCACGGCGTCTTCGAAGAATGCAACATCTCCTTCAACAAGACCCTTTGTACCAAGATCGCTGAGCGCGTTTCTGCCGCTGGCATGGGTATGTGCATCCCTCACTGTTCCGGTTCCACCTCCCGCCTCCAGCATCGCATCCAGCCGCTCGTCCTCGACCTTCCCCTCTCTTGCTGTTACTATCGCCATTTGCTAAACTAACACACCCACCCAGAATGCACAGCCAAAGCTGTCGAGAACCGCTTGTACTCGTGGAAGAAGAAGAATGTCTCCGGCCAGACCAACCTCAATTCCGCCACCAACACGCCGTCCAAGTCCTCCGCTGCGAACACCCCAAAGTCCACTCCACGTCCCCGCGCCAAGGCCACTCCTCGCAAGAAGAAGCAAGTTTCTGAGGACGTCGACAGCGATGGCCCTTCCGGGCTTGTCGATGATGATGAGGTCTTGAGTCCCACCGCTGCGAGGGGTAAACGTGGTATCAGCGGCGGCGTAAAGAGGGAGGTTGAGTACAAGGAGAGTGATGCGGAAGATGAGGGAGAGGTGGAGGAAGATTATGTTCCAATGGCGAAGAGGGTCAAGGCTGAGCCGGTTGAAAACGACGAGATCTTCTGCGATGACTTGGTTGAAGACGAGGTCTGAGGAGTTTGCTAGGTGCATGTGTCAGTGGTGGGAGGTGGATGATGCTGAGTGCTCAGGTTCGATGAGCGCATTCAAGAACGAGAGTTGTCGTTTGCTGTTTGACGCAGAGTAGCGGCGTGGCTTTGAGTGTTCTGGATGGTGCATGCCTTGAAGGCGACCATATGTAGAGTCTGAGCTCGGATCCTTTGTAAAGAAGAAATCTACGCTGCTGCGAGTACTCAATCAGTCTCGTGATTAGTACTTATACTCAAGATGCACACATCAATGATCAGCGTAAGCCTAAAGACACGACATGAGATTTCACAGCTATTATCATGGTTGAAGTTACCTTGAGTGACAGCTTACTGTGGCCAGGTAACTGAATCCCACTCCTTAGCATCCTTCCTGATCCTAGCATCCACTGTATCAGTTCCAGCACCAACGTATAGAACCTTCGAGTAAACAGACTCGCCCCAGAAGCTGAAAGTAGTGTTGGCAGGTATAAAAACTACATCTCCAACAGAAAGTGTGGTAGTGCCTTCGAAACCACCGACGTCAACGCTGACCAGACCGTCAACAACCTCAAGCGCAGTGTGGCCGGGCAGCGAATATGTAGCAGGCTTAGTTCCTGTGGCGGGTTTCGACAAGGTCATCGTGCCCTCAGTGAAGTTGCCGTCAGACTGCTGGCTCGTGATAAAAGGCTCGACAATGGTGTAAGAGGAATCTTTGTCGCCAGCGAGATACTTTGGTCCGTAACCCTTGGCGATGAAAAATGGTGTTCGAGAATCACTACCGAGCTCATTGCTGCCGGTGTGCCAGATTGCATCCTCCTCAGTAGCACCATTGGCACCAAAGTCCATCGGTGGGCTAAAAGTCAGCTTTGCGTAAACATCGTAGCCCTCGAGTGTTGTGATCAAGCTGGAGTCGCCTCCGGGGTCGGAGAAGTTTCCTTGTGGGAAGGGCGAGTTGGTGTGGGAAGTGTAATTGTCGCTAGCGAGGAAGTAGAAGAGGTCTTCGAAGCCACCAGGCTGGATCACGCCAACAAGCTCGACGAATGGATCAAGCAGCTGGAAAGTGTGGGTTGTATCATGAGGAACGGCACCGTAGTCACCCGGTGTCAGAATCCTTCCTGATGTGGCTTTGTCTTTGCTCGTCCAGAGAGCGTACCGGCCCTTGAGGCAGTAGAAGTTCTCGTAGTGGATCGCATGAGTCTTGATCTGTTAGCATTTGACTAGATTCCATCATTTTATAGAGACATACATGAGGTAATACACCAAGGCTTGTACTAGCTGGGGCAGCGGTACTGATGAGTGTAAAGGCGTAGTCCGAAGAAGGACCGGTAACTGGGAAGCGGTAGACTTGAGACCCAACTCGCACTCCGTCTAGGGAGTATGCACGCACGACATAGGGACGCACATAGTCGGGAACCTTATTGACAATAAGATCCCCGGCTGCTTGCGCTGCACGAGCATGTGAAGTTGAAGGCACGCCCGCAGCGAGACCTACAAGGGTTGCAAAAGCGCCGAGAAGCATAATTGAGGGCGCCGAGTTCGAATCTACGAGTGAGCTGCTGCTGTCGGTTGTGACTTTCGTGACTAGAAGTCAGAAGGATTAAATAACCCCGACATCAAGTCCTTCATCGTATCTCCATGTGGATTGTACAATCTAATCATCGCGACTGTTCCTGGCATGCTGTGGGTACACGTATACGTAACGCGGGTGGGTCAACACAGGGGTGTTCGGCTAAGGGTTGTTCCTTCGATAAACAGATCTCGGCGGTGGTATCGATCGAGACCTGATCCTGGTTCTGTATTTATTTGCTTTGGGTTACATACACCGTTCAGCAACAAAACTACAACGTAGTTAAATTACCCGCACTTGCGTACATCCTCCCGCAGCTTCCTAAAATTGCGTACCTCCCCTACGCGGCTAGCTAGCAACCCGAAAGAGTAATTTCGGAGTCGGCCCGCATCGAAGCTGGTAGTTGAAGGCGGTAGTTCTGCGATGCTATAGTAGTAGACATGAATGTGGTTGTATTGAACGCAACGCTTCATGATTTGTGCATGGCGCCCTCGGAAACATTTCCGAGAGCTTTCCGCGTCTACTCTTCCTGGACTGTCCTCTTCAACTTTATAGTTAAAACATGCCCAAGAACACTAATATGCTCAACCACACATCATGATCGGGTTGACACAGCGCAGCGCGCAGCCACAGATCTCAGTTCGGCAAGTTGCCGCTGCCTCTCGGCACATGTCGACCACCTCCACGCCACGTGTGGCGGTGCTCTACCAGGAACTCGAGCCACCACTGATCAACGGAGTGCGCAAGCCCAAGAAGCCTGGAGGTATGGAGTTGCGAATCTCGCGCGTGGGCATCAAACTATGACTGACAGCCTTACCAAGGATACAGAGATTCTGGAGCGGACATCGCATACGTGCTAAAACATCACTGCGCGATAGATGTCATCACCCCAGTTTCTGCTCCCGATCCTGAAAGAGATGCCGACTGGTGTTTTGGAGATTCAGAACGTGGGATGGCGGACGCGATCGAGAAGGGAGCGACACACTTCTGGGCGAACACCATACTATTCGCGAATCATCCACTGCAAACGTCGCCCAGTCTGACAAGCGTGGCTAAGACATTGAGGGTTGTTGGTCAGCCACCCAAACTGGTCGAACTATACGATGACAAGTCTTTTGTCAACGATCTTCTCCGTGCTCGCGGCGGCTTTACGCTACCGAGCGCCCACGATGTTCACGACGAGCAAGCTCTTGCGGACCTTCTTCGAGTTGATCTAAAATACCCTGTGGTCGCAAAGCCTGTCCGAGGTCGAGGTAGCTATGGCGTCAAGGTATGCCGCTCCCCAGAAGAACTGAACGAGCACTGCCGCGGTTTGTTGAAGGAGGAGACATCCGTGATCATTGAAGACTATCTTGCTGGTCAGGAAGCGACCGTCACCGTCATGCCGCCTTCGCCAGCCACAGGACATGATGACTACTGGGCGATGCCAGTTGTGGAGCGATTCAATCACGCCGAGGGTGTGTTGGCCCCGAGTATCAGGCTGAAGGAATCTCCGCTGACTGTAAATAGGTGTGGCACCGTACAACGGCATAGTTGCTGTTCTTCAGAATTCACGATGTCTATCTGATCGTGAACATGAATCTGACCCACACTATAGTGAGATACAGTCTCAGTGCGTTGAGGTAGCAAAACTACTCCAGTGTACTGCTCCTATGAGGATTGATGCTCGTCGATTCGAAGAGAGTGAATCGTCACCGTTTGCTTTGTTTGATGTGAATTTGAAGCCGGTAAGTCAAAAAAACCCTTCCTTTACTGATATGCTAAGATTTTCTTAGAACATGACAGGTCCTGGTAGACCCGGGAGAGAACAGCAAGCTAGTTTGACGGCATTGGCTGCTGCCGGTCTTGGATGGGATTACCCGACTTTACTTTTGAACATGCTCGAATCGAGTAGTCTTCTGCATGATTTGAGGGGCGCCAAGATGTCGCCAGTTATTGGTGCATGACCATGGTGTGAAACAAACTCGATTACATAATGACAATGCTCTGTTTGGTGCTATCCTTAGCCATTGCATCGAGCAATATATCGATACCAGGTCTCTTGTACTTTCTGTTTTCATCATCCTCCCAAGCAACGTCCAACTCGAGGTATCCAATACGGCGGTAGACTCCGCATGAATTCTCGGTGTTTTCATCAGCTGTTGACGAAAGTAATGTGACAACTAGAGCAAGGATGAGTACATGACGCTTAGAATTATATGTCGTATGGAGCGGGACAACATCATAAACGCTCCCCGTCACGCTGACTTCTTGCATTTCGTCCCAATGAATAGTCGCGTATATGTAATCCAGGTTTCCAATATATGGGGTCTCGATATACTGTTTCTGCAGGTTTGTTGGCAAAGACATACTACACTTGCGAGCAAGAAATTTCAAAGCCCCCCTCTCCACGTTTCCGTACGAATTGTTGGCCTGCGCTAGGGATATGGATGTGCCTTGTAATTGTACTAGACTTTGTGTTGTTTCGTCGAGGTCTGCGTGACGATACCCGACCCCGCCCGGAACTGATGCCCAGCTCCATGATGGCGCCATGGCGAGGTATCTTCTTCTGAGATGCGTTGAACAAGATTTTTCAGACCTCCAAGACAGACATAGCACAAGGTGTTCTTTCCATATGCCTGCGAAGTATGTTGTACCAAACAGCTCTACCTGGACAGACCTCGCGATCGATGATAGTGCAATCAAACGGTCTGCCGGCTGCGTAAAACTTGACTTTGAGTAGAACTCGATGAACGATAGCCATTGCCTACAAGTTAGTAGAGAAGGATTTTGAACATGGTCCCAACGAGTCATTCGCCTGTGATCAGAAAAGTCGTTCACATCATCCGCTTGGCACTCCCAAAAGACCCTCTCTTCTGTGAAGTGTAGAATCCTTCGCGAAAGTAGCCGCTCTTGTGCAACCCAACCGCGTCTATTCAAGCTTGATATGACGACCGACTCCCTGAATGCGTTTCCAGTTGACTTCAAGAATATAGGCTGTGTCTCTCCATCTTCTGTCTGTTGCGGGATGCTGCACGGTGCAGTGTCGTCTGTTCCAACTCTTGACAGAAATCCGTCATTGGGATTGCTGGAGCAAGTAGCAGCAATGTTACAGACCGCATTCTGGTAGACAAGCCACATGCGTGGCCCTTCCGTATTCCAGTCGGCGAAATCCCCATGTGCGCTAGGTTGTATTATGCACATTGCGTCGATCCAGATAAAGCGTATTTCCAGAGCACGTGCGATGATGATGGCATCTTTGAACGTTCGTGGCAGGCCTTCCAATGATGAAATCCGTTCCCCAATCAACTCTGTCCTTAGCATACAATCGGGTGGTGCCTCTCCCCAGCGATATGTCAAGGTACAGTAATGAGACAGCTGATCGACTGTGGCGCGGCCCGTGTTGATCCATGTTTTCACGTCCAGCGTGAGGACGTAATCACCATCAGAAAGGTCAAGGAGGCGGCATGGAAGTGTATCCGCTTTGGTTGATATTCCCGTTTTGGCACGCCCACAATTACGGTGCCCATCGTTGTCGTCGAGCACACAGGATTTGAAAAGCTCACAGGAATGCAGGACTGGGTCATAAGGAGCGCCAAGAGGTTGAGATGGTGCGTGAACATCGACGAACGTCAGAGGGACGTAGTCAGAAGGTCCCAAAGAATAATTCATATCCATAGACTGGGTATCACCCCAGTGAAATTGATTAAGAGCAATCTTGTGATGACAGTCTCGAAGCACAATCGCGGGTCTACTACCAAGACGTAGAAGGTTTGTGGTGGATGCCTTCTCTGAGAATTTCCTGATAAACGAGCATAGATCACAACCAGTCTCGGAGAGTCTGATCAGTTCGGGGCCTGATGACCATGTGCGAATCGATGTTCTACGACACCACTCTGATCGTTCTTTTGATACCACGACTTTGCTACAATCAGAACACCGAGGCATTGCGAAGATTGCGTGAGGGATGTGGTTTGATAGAGCTGGTCCAAACTGATGCAGACGTGTCTTTTGGTGTACTTTAGGTCGAGGTTCGTATGCCAACGGCCATTCGTTTTGTGCTTCGGTGAACGGTAAGACAACAAATCCGATAACTCAAGTGTTTCAAAAGACTAATGATCGGAGGGCAGAGATCGTAAGGAGGCAGGCTTGCAGGTGTAGATATGCGTACTCGCCCCCGGAACGTGATGTATAGCGCGAGGAGCAGAGGCCGACGGCAACCAATCAGTGACGGACTACAGCAAATCCGCGTAGCAAATCTGCGAATTCAAGATGACAGATGTAGGATAGAAGCCGGAGATTTCGCAGGGAGGAGGGAAAACCAAAGCTAGCAGAAGACGAGAAGGAAAGAGGTGAGCATTCTGCGGGGTAGGCCACCAGGCTGAATTTGCCAAGCCTTCTTCGCTGCGCCTCCACCGTCAACCGCCCAATCACGTGTACCAGCCAATCGCAAACAAGTTGGGAAGAACCTACGCTACTGATATCGATGAAGAAGTACGGTTGAGCCACAGGATGATGTGGTTCACAAGTAGTACGTTGTGCCTCTACGGAACCTCGAAATGCGCAAGAGACATACATACGCTAATCCCCTATCTTCCCACCCTACAATACTTCTTCCACTTTCTTGACTATTTTCTCTTAGACATCATGTATACTGTCGTGACTACCCCTCTCGCACCGGACCATGAAACATACTCGTCGTTAAGAACCATATTTCCCACCTACCCATTAGAAAGCGCGACCTTCGGCCACAACCATGTTACACGCATCTTCAACGCCATCGAACATCATCTAATCATCTTTATTTCACTACGCACTACGACTATCTAATGCTATCCTATGCTACCTAATCGTATACTGGTATCTATAATCACACAGGCACCACCACATTCCTACTCGACAATGCTACGCTCCTCTCTCTCTCTCCACCCAAAACCTCCTCTCATCGCACAACGCCGTGAAAATGCCGAAAAAAGATACGCTCTACAAAGAGGTCGTGATAAGTGAACCACAAAAACCACGCCATTCCCCTCCCCAACTTTGAAAGATAAAACGCCTTCATTGCCCTCCACCCCAGAAAAAAAACAGTACCATCTTGGAACAGGTAACCTTGAAATCTCCAATCATTCAAACTGGCCACCACAGCAAGCAATCCTCCGGCCTACGATAAAGCGAGCATTCCTACCGCCTACGATAAATATCGTTATTGTCTCTCTCTCTTTCTCTTCCACCCCCACCACCACCACCATCCCTCCTCCCATCCCCCCTCCTCTCCGGACTCCTACTCCTCGTCCTCCCATCCCTCCTCTCCCTCTCCCTAGCCGCAAACCCCCTCCCGGGACCATCCGGCCTCTCTCTATACGCGCCACGATTCCGCTGCTGCTGCTGATGATGATGAGGATCCGTATATCCACCACCTTCACGCGAGTTACCCGAGTCCCTCGAACCCCGTCTCGCATTCCTATCATCAGGTTCCCTACTGCGCCGTGGCGGGCCTTCGGCGCCATAACTAGGGATATACGTATCGCCGCCATTGGCATTCGCAGCAATAGCAGCAGCACCAGCGGATTGATGAGGGGGTCCTCGTCTCCTGTCCACGCCATCAGGTCCATATCTCGGGACAGGAGGAAGCGGATGTCTGCCATCTGCCGGCGGCGCGGGTAATCCATTATGTCCTCTCTCCGCACCATTGCCCCAATTTGGTCGTCTGTCGCCACCCGGTGGTGGCGGCGGGGGTCTGTGTTCGTAGTTCCTTCTATCGTAGCCACCTCTTGGTCCTCTGTTGTCGACGCCTGGTGGCCCGCGGTCCTGCGGCCCGCCATTGTATCGTCTATCGCCGTTTTGTTGCCAGGACTGCGGGGGTGGCCCTTGGCCTGTCCACTCGCCGTTTGGTCCGCCACCTACGGTGCCGCCTTGGGGTGCGGGTGGGAGTGCTTGTTTCTGGCCGCGCGCATTCCGTCGGTCGAGTTCGTGCGAGTCTGCAAAGTGCGGAATGTCTTCTTCGCGCATGGGGAGCGGGGATTCGCGGAAGTAAGGGTGGTCGATTGCGTCGATGGCGTTGATTCTCTTGCGCCAGTCGAGGCGCATGAGGTCTTTTATTAGGGAGAGGCCGACAGGCGAGAGTTCGCGGAATCGCTGGGCAATGTTGCCGGTGCTGGGGGCGAAGGCGCGGATGGGGTCTGCGCCGGGGAGTTCGTGCCAGCCGGGCATGCTCGTATCGTTTGGGGAGCCGACGAGCTCGAAGATGATTTGCGCTTGGTGGATGTCGCTCTGGCCGGCGAGGATGGGCTTGCGCTTGAACATCTCGCCAAAGACGCAGCCTGCGCCCCACATGTCGATGGCTGGGGTGTATTTCCTCAGCTGCAGGAGGAGCTCTGGTGGCCGGTACCATCTGGTAACGACCAGTGTAGTGTACTCGCGCTTGGCTTCGCCATTGCCCCTGCCCCGTTGCGGCACCGCTTCGTCGTAGTGGCGCGCGAGACCGAAATCTGCTATCTGTAGCCGTCCGCGGTTGTTGATGAGAAGGTTGGCGGCCTTCATGTCTCGATGTAGGATGTGGTTGTCGTGGAGATATCGCAGGCCCTTGAACAGTTGCAGCATGTAGCACTTGATCTGCGCTTCTTGAAACCGGACTTCGGGGTTATCGAGCAAGCCTGACAGGTCGTGGTCCATGTAAGGCGTCACCATGTATAAGATGGCGCGTTTCCGGCCCTCAGCCTTGGGTCGCTCCACGGCCATCTCCTCGAGCTTTAGGACGTTTTCGTGCGACAGCATCTTCAGCAGCTTGATTTCTCGCAGCGCTGTGATGGGAAAGCCGTCCTTTTCGTTGTGCATCAAAATCTTCTTGAGCGCAAAGATGCTGCCAGTGGCCTTTTGCCTCGCCATGTGGACTTCACCAAAAGTACCCTCTCCGAGTTTCTTCATCATTTCATAGTCGGCGATTTTGCTGCATCCCTTGAAGCGCCGCTGCAGGGTGCGCGATGGCGTTGCGCCCGCTGAGTTGGCCATACCGGCGATGGCGGTGACTAGTGTTGGTGATGGAGGCTTCGCCGTTACGCTTCGTCGTCGCTGCTAAGTGGTCCGCGGAGCAGTTGTCCGCAGGAAGTCGCGTTGTCGCTATGTTTCGAGTCGGGCGATGAGATACAACCAAGGATGTGTGGTCGCGATGGCGTGCGCTGCCATGGATAGAGAATGGGAAAGCAGAGGCTATTGCGCAGACATGATAGTAGATGTTGGAATGTTCGCAGATGAAGGAGCAAAGAACGCGATCCGCAGTCGTGATGCCAGCCTTGGCGCCGAAGCGCTAGCGTAGCTTCCGATCGACCTTAACCACACCTCACTCACCAAAGACGTCAACCGGCCATTGCACGACACAGCTTGCAGGTTCGACGCCCCGCCCATTCAATGCAGACATGCCGCGATGCTGACACATCCCCAGGCTCACAAACACCATGCAACCCACACTGGCCCGCATGGGCCCGCCCAAATATGCGCAGATGCCGAACCACCCCATCCACATCCACCCGGTCCGACCGCTGTACCGATTCATGGCTACCGGCCTCGGCGCCTCCATGTGGTTCTTCGTACGTGGTATCGATAGACGCGGAGACGCACGGCGCTAACAATGACAGTTGATGTACCGCGCGAAGAAGGACGGACCAGCGCTTCTGGGCTGGAAGCACCCGTGGGACCACTGAGCTCTCGACGAGCAAGATGGAGGAGCTTGGGAAGCTATGGATATATTGAAAAATATACTGTAACCATGGCGGGTGTATATACCAAGGAATGCGAACAACGGGCTCAAACCGATGACTGCAATATCCGCCCAGACAGCGCCAAGAACTCTGAACTCCAGAAGAACATCATACCGTCTGTCCATCTCCCGATCCCGCGACTACCACACTGCCTGGCATCATTCGATACCGCGGCTTCTTGCCAAGTCCTGAAATCATCGAATCGCACCAAAGTTCCTTCACAACAATTGTGACTCAGCGCGACATGTGATGAGAATGAGATTAGATATTACTCAGCCTATCTATACACCATTCAGCCATCCCCCTGACGACTCATTCTTCCCATCCCTCTCCCCATCCAAGCTTTTCCCGCTTATTCAGGCTTCTCAAATAGATAGTGACTAACACCCCACGTGTCACCCCCATCCCACCTAAACAGCTCACTACAAGCCAGATAAAACACCTGCCACCTGTTCCACCACGTCAACGCACCATCTTTGCCATACGTCTCCTCCAACCCCTTCCAAATACTCTCCTTGTTGCTCAGCATAGTCGTCAACCAATCCTCACACGTCTTACTATAATGCATACCGCTAACCCACCACTGCCTCTTAATCCTAAGATCATCTTGAAAGAAGAGGAGCAAATCAGCACTCGGCATCGTGCCGCCCGTGAAGAAGTGCTCCGTCATCCACCCGCCTTCAAAATCATACGGCGTGTCCTTGTGCGCAAAAATATGCACAAACAACTTGCCGCCTGGTTTGAGAGCGCGGCTGACCTTGGCCATGAGCAGCGAGTAGTTCTTCATGTGCTCAAAGAGCTCAATGGAAAGGACGCGGTCGTAATTTTCCGGCTCGAATTCGTGGTCCACGACGTCGCCAGTCACGATGCGGAGGTTCTTGAAGCCTTTTGCCGTGGCGACGGAGTCAATGTGCTGTTTTTGCGTGCGCGAGTTGGAGAAGCCGGTTATGGAGCTGTTGGGGAAGATTTCGGCGAGGTAGAGGGACAGGGAGCCCCAGCCGCAGCTAGGATAGCTGTCAGTTTTCTACATTTCTTCAGAGAAAAGAGAAGTTGGTTTCGCATGCTAGGTGGAATGTGGTGAACACGTGACATGTCCCATACCACCCATATCCGACACACAACGAAAGATGAATCTGGATCCACAAAGAATCCAAAAAAAAAAGAGAGAACCACTTACCCCAAATCCAACACCGTCATCCCATCCTTCAGCCCCGCCCTCTTAACATACAACTCCATCATCCTCACCTCCGCCTCCCCCAGCGTCTCCCCACCTTTCTCATACAAACAAGCCGAATACTTCATCCTCGGCCCCAACATACCCTTTAAAACCTGCGTGCCGACTTCATAATGCTGGTCATTTGCTTTCGCCGTCTCAATCGCAATGGGCCGTTGGCGCAGCAACTCCACGTACTTCATTTTCGACTCGTAGCCCGCTTCCAGCGAGGTCGTGGCAATGGAGGAGAGGCGGTCGGCTAGCTGGCGCCGGATGCCTAGGCGGATGGCGGCATGTGGCAGGTAGCCGTTGTCGATGAGGGGGTTGATTATGCCATCTGAATTGACGAGGTCTGTTTAAAGCGTGTTAGGGTCGCACGATGTGCTTACGTTGGTGGATCGTGGTACTTGAGATGTAGTTCATGGTGGGCGCAAGTTTGGTCGCGACAGCAGCCCTTTGCTATTTTTTTGTTGCAAAGTCGGGTCTTGATGGAGATGGCAAAGGGGAATTTAGTCAGGGCAGCTACAAAACACGTATTTGAAAGCTATCGCGGCTTTTAGGCCCATGTTACTTCCGGCTTCTCGCGCTTCAGAAGGCGTTTCGTTGTAAGCCTAATGCGGATTAGTGCTGGCGTATGATGACGTAGACGATCTCACTGAATAGTAACAACGGTAAGCACTTTATCATGACGACAAGTAGCCTTTAACATTAAACACGATGATATTTGCGAAGGCTGGGTTGAACATAGGGCGTGTAGCATTTACAAAAACCAATCAGACGATGCGCGCGTGCTGCGACGGGAGATCGACGCACTAAACGACTGCGGGAAGCGCATGGTGAGCATGCCGCGCTATATTACCCCATTCAAGGTTCAAGTGGCTGCGTGCTTGGTTTGCTGGTATATGCGACGTTGCTGGTGGGCTAGTATTGCTTCGATGTCAGGCATGATGCTAGGCGCGCGCATCGATTGGTGAGCAGATGCAGTAGCCGCATTTCGACGGTAATTACCAAAAAATAGTATACAAAAGCGCGTTATGCAATGCACCGTGAAGATAGACATGTAGTCGACCTGCTAACCGGGCTCATAAATCCTAGCGGATTGAACATGGCATAACTTCCAAGTCGGCCCAACAACGCCATACATCTCGTACACTCTTGCATCATTGCTTCCTCAAAAACACCGACCATCTCGCATCGCTAGAAGGGAGTGGGGTGTATGCCTCATCCTTCTTACCCCCATCTTTTACAGGAACGAACTCAGGCTGTTCATTTTGTTTGGCCGTTTCGTGGTCCAGTCTCGCCTTGCGGTGAAGTATCGATACTCTTTTATAAAGTAAGAACCCGATAAAGAACAATAGCACCACGCCGATGCCTGCTCCCACGGCTATACCTGCTTTAACCCCAGTACTGAGGCCAGATCTCGAAGGACGATCTGCTTGCTCTGCATTCGATTTTGGATCCGCTGTCGCTGAGACGAGCTGGCTGCGATCTGGCGGTACTGCTGTTCCGCTGTGAGATCCCGGTATCGTCCCCGCCGTCGTCGTGACAGAAGGCGCAAACGTATTACTCGGCAACAACGCCTCAGCAAGCTCCGACGCATACCCTGTGTCAAACTTCTCAAGATCCGACTCCTGCCAGTAAACGAGTATCGCGTTCATCTGCGCGACACCTGTACTAATCACGGTAGAATTATTCCTCGAGTCCGAATCGCTGGTTACAAAGAACCAAACGCTGCCGTCAGAGGTGGTTTCGCCGCCGACTTGTTCTGGATTGTATGCAGTGAGTGGCGTGGTGAAGCTGGACATGCACGCTCCCAAGGATGATATAAACCCTCTGTCAGGATATCATGGTCAGCAAGAGTATTTGTAAAGTTTTCTTGCCCTTCGGGGCTAACTAGACAGGTCTTAATCAAGGTAAAACATACTCTTTGCAACAATCCGCTCCCCATGCGCGAACACCACCGGTGGTCCAAGTTGGTGTTCTATACTCTGTCAAGTCGATCATGGTGAACCCGGGCAGGCAAGTCCCTGGACTATGGATAGCTTGTCCACCGGGGAGTTGACAAGTCGACGGCATTGAAAGCGTAAGTCTCGGAACAACATCGCTAGGTTGTGACAAGACATTCCCGGCCCGCCAGTTATCAGTACAGTGAGGAGCGAACGTGAACGGGGTTGTGAGGGCCGACCAGACATTGTGCGTTGGGTAGAATTTGTTCGAACCGAGGACCATGATGTTATGTTGGACGTTCGAGATGCCCGCCATGGTGAGTAGGTCGTAGCGGCGGGAGAGATCGAAATAAGGCTTTCATGGTGTTGATCTGGGAGGCGACATCTCAAGTATGGGTACTGTTTCCAGACCCAGGTAGATCAGACGCGACGCGTCGGTTCCGGCACGCTCTAAATCTGTCACCGACATTAGCGGTTGTTGTCGCATTCGCAAGGACGACTGTGCCGTATATACGCAAGGGATACACGTCGCCGAAGATACCAATCGTTGGTCGCCGAGCTGAGTTCCCTACAGTGCCACAACGCCAAAGTTCAATTCCTTTGTGTCTCCTTCATCACTTTTCGCAACTTGCAGAGGCGCAGCCTCTCGCGGCACAGTCAAAACTCGCTTACAATTGGCCGTGGTACCGGCTTGATCTATCCCTTAGCATTACTATTAGAGAACCTCGCTTCGACAACCCTCCTGATTACGATTTATCCTATCCTTTATGCCGTCTGCATCTGCGACGCCCTCTGCACAAACTCAGGTTGTTGATTCTGAATCGCAGAATTTCTATCAAGCTTCTTCTCCCGTCTACCCACCCTCCTCTTGTAAAGTAGAAACCCCGCTAAAGCCACCAGTAGCGCTCCAACTCCAATTCCCACGCCTATACCCGCCTTCGCCCCACCACTGAGACCAGAACCTTTTGATCTTTCCATAGTCTCACCGAGATTCGATGTTGCGGACGGAAGCTGACTACGATTAGGCGGTGTCGCTGTTTCAGACGTAATGTCCGAGGTAGCTGTGGGAGTAAAGCCAATGGACAGGTGATCCGCTAATGTCGCTGCGTACTCGGGATCGAACTTTTCGAGATCGGATTCTTGCCAGTAGACTACCATGGCGGCCATTGTCATGGTTCCTGAGCTGAGGATGGTGGCATTGTCCGTTGCGCTGCGGTCCAAGGAATCAATGTAGGTTGTGGATTCTCCGAAGAAGTTTATGTTGCTAGTCATGACGGCTACCGGGTTATAGGCTGTAATTGATGTACTGAACACTTTTGTGCAAACGCCCCCTCTCCCGACACCCATCGGGGTCATGTCACTGTTATTGGAGTTAGCTGAAGTGAATATTTGCACAATCATTCCTTCGTTGATGAAACGCTGGATGGTGGTCAAGCACGTAAACATACTTTCTACAGCAATCAGCACCCCATGCGCGGACACCACCTGAGGTCCAACCAGGAGTTCTGAACTCGCCCAGCGCTACCAAGCGGTAGCTGGGAAGACATGTACCCGGGCTATTAACGTCTCGGCCTCCAGGAAAACAGGAACTAGGGACGGAGTGTTACACGGGGTTAGGCTATACTTCTCTAAGCTCGGTCCGTACTAAGGCGAGGTAGACTAAAGCGGTAGTCCGTGAGGTAGCGTATGGAATAATCAGGTGGAAAAGAGTTATCGATGTTAACCAATAGGTAAACGATACCAATTCTATAAACGATAGAATAACTAGTTGACAATCTGTGTAAGAGATGAACTATTTGAGTTGACCACAACGAGTGTAATAATGAAATCCGTCCATCCTTTATACCCATTGCGATCTGTTCCTGTCCTCCCTGGCTTCCCTTCCGCAAGGGAGGTTTGGGAGGACCGTGGCCTCCCGATCTTCGTTGGCCTCCCGGAGGCCCTGTCTTGGCGGGATGCCAGTCACGTGATCAGCGCCCCGCGTTGATCATTACCTTCTGACGTGGTCGTCGGTTGGCGTTCAACCCCGACTCCTTCATCAAGGGTGGAGTTCCTTTTGTTGCTTGTAACACGGAGTTCAAGACCTCGGTAGGAAAGTCTGGGTTCACAATTCTCCACTGTTCGGCACAACCTGATAAAAAGGTGAATGATGTTGTGAGTGGCGGGAACGAGTTGTCGGAGTCTGATGTAGGAAAGAACTCTCCCGATTGTACAGTATACAGTGTATATCCAGCATCTTCAATACCCGCCATAACGTGGTTCCAGCAGAAAACTGCGTACAAGAAGTCGATAGGAATGGGAGTGAGGTAGATAAGATACCCCAGACAATGTGCCACCAGCGAGGACCAGGTACTTGATCACAATGCGTCGGCGGCGGTCACGCTGCGCCCATTGCTAATCTACATCACTGTGTTAAGGCCCTCGTGCATGGTGATATGGTCAACGGCATCCGATTCGCGGACTCGACTGCGCCGTATATGCGCATGAAGAGGGATTCTATGTGACCTGTGAGGGGGGTTGTTTCATTGGTTCATGGGCACTACTTGGGGCTGTGCCGCATCTTGGTTCCGCAGCCTTGCTTTGAGCTTCGTTCAGGCCTGCGTGACATGACAGCAGGTGTGCGAGTGCGCAAAGTTGTGGGCGTAAGTGGAAAGGGAGTCTTCTTTAAATCAAAGTCGTCATCAGTCGCTGCGCCAGGACGCTGGGTAGGCGATGCTGCTGAGATGATCAGCTGGTGCTTGGCGCCTTGGTGACTCAAGTCTCTGGGCCGCAGCGATGTCGAGTGTGACTGCTTGATCTGTCCGAAAAGCCACCGCGGATCGCATGTTAAAAGATGAGAGGCACAGCCAACATTGCCTCCTGCTGTGGTGCTGCGCACGCTGAGAACCCTGCAAAGTGCGCTGCTGGTGCGTGGCAGTGTGGAATTGAGATGATGGTTGTTGATCCCGGTGTTTCCTTCCAGTAAATTCTGGCTCCTTCTCTTGCGTGCTGTTGTCAACGTGGAGTTAGTATCTCTGGACCTCGTGTGCGAAAGTGCAACTAAAACACCATCGACCCATGTAAAAAGCCGCCTGTAGAACTAAGGTTATTGTGAGTCCGAAGTCTCCAAGCAAACGTGTGAGAAGGCACATAAGGGCCGGTGACTGATTGCCAGACTACGGGACGTTGAATGGTGTTCGCTTGGTCGAGCCGCCCGCATCCCGCAAAACCGCTCCGCACCTTTACTCTGATCGCGCATTCACATGATCGGCGCGTTGGCAATGGTCTCGCCATCCATCACGAATCCACGTGCACCATCGCGAACATTTCAGCTCACGCACCCAAGATTCGTTGAGCCGCACGCATCAGCCAACGGTTAAAATAGCCACCAATCCCCCTCCTTCTTCCAGGCACGACGAAACACTGAATTTTGCGCAAACAGCGACTATGACACACGAAATGGCCTTTAGAGGTAACTCGTGTGTCAAAGTCACGAACGTGATGGTTGCGCAGTGGGACCTTGCGGTATAAAAAGTCTGACGAAGCTGAGCCGATGAAAGCCGCACGACGCCTCTCACCACGTTCTCGTGAGTACCTGACGGGAGCTAAGCGGTTAACGGAGATCATGCCATGGGCATTAACTATTTTCGGGTCGATTTTGTATGGAAAGGGTCTAGTCAGGGCAGATGTGAACGACACTATGATGACGTCCTACGGTGTGCGTTGTGGCTTCTAGACACTCGGTGGAAACCAAGGCGAGACGATACTACCTTACTAGACCCACATGTGCGACCGTTGCGAAAAATCAGTCACGATGCACGTGGAGGATGTGTCCAAGATCTCACGATCGTTTGGCTGGGGATGGAAAGGGGAAGAAAATTTCTTCGTTGTGCCATGGGGTATATAAGGGGCGGGAAGGTGGGTTCGTTGTGGGAGCATCAGCAACAAGCCATCAAGTCTACTACTGCTAGTTCGCCATCATCAAACTCTCCTATCCACTTTGAACAATTCGAACAAAAAAACCTTCTCAACAACCTCAAAACCACCACCAAAATGAACAACTTCGACTCCCACCCGCGCATCTTGTCGCTCTCTTCCGCTTCAACCCCATCTTCCATCCCCACAACACCCTCTTCGCAGTCTCGCCGCCAATCTCACGAGTCGGCCCACGACGCCCACCACTTTGTCAACCAAGAAGAAAAGACGCAACACAAGCTCAACCTCAGCATCAAAAAGATGTGGGAAGGCGTCAAGAAGCACGCTATCGAGCACCACAAGAGCGTCAACGCTGCATACATGGCCAGCTACGGATGCGGCGCTCCCTCCGGTACTGTTACCCAGGGCAAGCCCTTGTAGATGGAGGTGTGAAGATCAAGAAAGAGGAGGAGAAGGATGTAAATGACGACACGACGACCAAAAGTGCATTTCGAGCGAGACAAAAGTGGATTTTCTATCAAGCATTATACCCCGACGAACGATCAGTAGCGCCGAGGAGGAGCTGGGACAGTGGCTCTGGAGACTGTCGTAATGTCTAATAATATATCTGCAAAACATTTTTCATTATCTCACCTTTGAATACCAGTGCGTCTGTGAAGATCGTTAGGACAATGATGACAATTTTGAACTACTAAAACATCCAGCCCATTTATCATGATCCCTCTTTCCAGTTTCATGTTCTAGGTCATCTTCTCTACTGCACCGTATCTTTCAACCACTTCGGCACTTCCATCGACTCCTTTCCCTCTCCAACTTTCCCAAACAGATTCCCTAGCCACTTTTGACTCTTCAACACCTTCGTCCCCTGATCCTGATCCTCATCCCTGACATATGCCGTCGCACTGCCATGCTCTACCACACGCTCAAGCCAAGCCTTGAACCCAGGATAAAAGAATATAGCCGCAGTCCCCCCACTAGCCCAAGTCACACAAGCCCATTCCATCTGCTCCCATTCATCTTCACTACCCGCGAAGTCTCGAACCGCGTTTCTAACACTATTCTTATCGAGCTCGCTCAAGTCTTCATCTTCCAGCAATTTCTTCACGGCGTCTTTGATCGGCGTGACGGTAGATGGAGGGATCAGCCACACATTATCGATATCCTCGAACCCGAGTTCCGATGCGCAGCCAATGACAAAGTGTTCTGGATAGTCGCCGTATCCGTTTGCAGTGGGGCGAGGTGCAAAAGGCCAGTTGGCCCAGCGAGCAGGAATGTCAAGCGCAAGACCGGTAAAGTAATCTTCTTCGGCCGGGTCGAGCCATCGTAGTTTGTCGACTGTGTGCAGGGGTGGTTGGAAGTCGCCTAGAGGATGGCCCCACATATGTCCAACGGTACCATTGCTGATCTGGAGGAAATTCTTGTAGTCAGATGGGAGTTTGATGCCCAGCCGGGTCTCGGCCTGTGCAATCTGTTCTTCCTTCGCGGGGGAGTCGAAAAGGGATGCGCTTCTGGCACGAACTGAATTTTGTGAGACTTCGGCGTCGGTTCTGATGGCTTGTGTGACGTCTTCTGCGGCCTTTAACAGTTCTGGCATGGAAAGGTGAGCTGATGGTTTGGTACGGCCATTCGTGAGTCGCTCGATTAAAGCGATCTCGAAATCGTGCGCGAAGGCCGTGAGTGCCGCTTCATCGATACTGAGCGCTTGCCTCAACGCTCCTCTTTTGTAAAGTCTCCAAGCTTGTCTCGATCCTGCTATTGCCCAATTGTCAGAATGTCTCTCCCCTAAACTGTATGCTAGCCATCGCAACAGCTCGTCAGGTGATGGAGCTCCAAGCAAGTCTAGGCCTCTGCCATTTTCGTGCTTTCCATGCTGCTCCTCAGCCGCTAAAACCAAATCTAGTGCCTCTAGCAAGTCACAACTTACGCTGGAGACATGGGTAGTCCGACCTGCAGTTTCCAGGTTATGGACGATGCCTCGTGCATTCATAAGCATCTGAGTGGTGCTGGATGGTCCGTCTGACTTGTTCGGTTGGAGCTGCAGCTCTCTCTGTATGTCATCAAGGCTGACCGCCTCATCATCGCTCGGCATAACAGCATCTCTGCTTTCCTCTTTCGCTCCAACAGTGTGTAGACTTGCCTTTGGGTCTTCCTGAGGAGGCCGGACTTGTATGGCAATGTCTATTGGTTCCTGGTTTGGTTCCTGGTTGGATCGTTTTTTGGCTGCGGTTTTGTTTCGCTGGGTCGTCTGGGTCACCGCCCTCTGCTTCGCTCGTCTATTCCTCACGGCCTGTCGTACCTTTTCTTCCTCGCCATCTGGCCACAGTACCCCATCTTCCTTTGCACGCAGATCCCACAAGAACCAAAGACTTCCCTGGCTCCGATATGGGTAGCTGTCGTGATACAGGTCATAGTTGTTGAGTTTACTTATCAGGCGCCCCGCGGCGTCGGTGTAGCCCAAGAGAGCAAGCTCTGGAATGATGTATCCGGTGTAGTAAAATAATCTATCGTTGTCGCACTGACAAAGGTGGGCCCGAAAGGAGAGGTTGGGTGAAGAAGACATTACGATGTTGTTGATCGGATTCTCAACGCTTACTTGGTGGTGGCCTCGACGCGTTGGGCGTTAAGACGACGCTGACGTCATGTGGAGATTTAGGCAACCAGGAAGTTTCCAGTGGACAGAACGCAACAAGATAAGAAGAAAAAAACGAACACATCAGGAAGACTGTTGGAAGGCAATCGAAATCTACTGGACTGGTAAAAACTCTAGGCGGGTCTTCCACAAGGCTGGACTAGATATGCGACAGTACCTTCCATAAAGAATTCGACACCACAGTGAATAGCGCCAATTTCTAAAATAGGTTGACGGAGAAAAACGAGGAACAAATCCAAAGATTGAAGAGGCTTTGACTCTCGAAATGACGATAAAAATTGACGTTAGGAACGACTAGAAAGAGAAGAAGAAGAGTTAACAGTGAAAACGACTGAGACATGAACGAAACCCACAACAGAAATCGGAACCGAAACCATCGAGAGAACATAGAAGTTAGCGCAATGTAGCAAGTGACTAGGATGATCTCACACGCGTAGCCTAGTCTCATGGGATAGTTGTTTTTCAAGGGTGAAGCCGACGTCATGCGAAGCATACGGGATACTCAAGAAAAGACGACAGAATGGAAAGAGGCGATTTTGCTGGCCTACGACAAATCGAAGTACAGTACAAGCTTATTTACCTCTTCCTGCATATTATCAGTTTAGGTAGACTATGTTAAAGTCAATAATAAGCCGCAACATCAGTTGTACTAATTGGGAGTAGTCAGTTTTCAGAATTACCCCCCTCTCCTACGGGTTGAAAGCTGGCTAGTAAGCTCCTACTATGTTATGCAATAGAGTCATTGGTAAGGTGGCATCTGGCATCTTCGCGTAAGTTGATACGGGCTGCTGTACGTCTTCTTCTTTCTACACTGCTGCGAAGGGTTCCTCACAAGTTGTTGTTTCTCTGGAAAGAAGAAAAAAGAATTAGGCACACAGGGCTGCACCGCCGATCATGGTCTGGAACCTGACTATCGAGATTATTATCTTACCCGTGTGTAACATGCTACAGCCTAGTTAGTGGATTTCTGATGATTGATTTGATCAACGTGCTGGTGATAAAACGCAGGCACAACGCTGTTGAGGTACACTGTATTGTATCGCAGTAGAAGTGTGATCCCAAACACCTGGCCTCACTATATGGGGCTGTACATATACTCATCTGGAAAATTCAATGATTGCAACCGAAGCCACGAATTTCGGTTCTGGAGAGGCACTGTGAAGCTCGATGTAGATTCCCGATGATGTCTTAGTAACTAGATTCTAGCCTGTTACGATAAGTATGTATCTACTCCTGTGTACAGACGAAGAAGGATAAAGAAAAGAAGAGTAATGTCCTTCTTATACGGTATTCATTCTCCGTGCGCTAATACAAAGATAGCCAAGTAGGCAGTCCTTTGACGTAGAACATTGAAGTACTTGAGCGTAGCTTCTTACAGAATCTTTCATCACATGTATGTTATGCTAACATTACTCTGTACGCGGCGAACAGCTTGATAGGCTAGAGGCGGCTAACAGGATACTCTATCAGACTAACATTTTTACTGTCCTTGCGCTCTTGTTGGATAGTCTTAGTCCGCTGGACCGTTCGTCGCGTACGAAGGGAGGTCAGCCTCTACCTCGCGGAAAGGGCGTACAATTAAATATCTGGTTCACTTCCTATAGCTCAATGTATGTACTTATATCAACCAAGACCTGAGATCCCAACGTCAGAGGATATCTCGAAAATAGCCATGGTGTGAGGCTCTACAGCCTGCAATTACGGAGCTAACCTGGTGTTCAGGAGGCTCGTTACTCCACTGGGCTTACCACGCTGGAGAGGCTCATCAGGCGGTGAATCTCGATAGTTGAGTGTGTAGCTTCTGGTAGGGCACTCCGGATTTGTAAGAAGTGCACGCAATTATGCATTTGTAAGAATTGCACACGATTATGCATTTGTAAGCTACAGCATTAGCCTGCTATCTATGGTAAAGCGTTAGCGATGCGTACACGGTTGCTTTCAAGCGCTCTACACGCATAGCAGAGGCCGCCATTAACACTGATGTTTCTATAATGAAAGTCGCAGGCAGAAGAGCACAAAGCGTCTTGCTAGACAAAACAAAATGTTATATGAGACGAGCGATAAGTGTTAAGGAAAAGGAGTCGATAGGACCCGCACAGATGTACAACATGACACCCAGTCAGAACAGCAGGTATTGCGGTCCGCACGGTCGGTTCGTGCTATGTCTGTCAAATTTGACACGCACGGCAACTCGCGAGGCATCATACACAAGGCCGCCAAATTCGTCCGTAACTAGCTCGGTGCTTCCTGCTCGGAGTGAACCAAAGCCGCCGAACCCGTCCGCAATTAGCTTGGCAATGGCTGTGCCTAAGTACAAAGCACTATGCACTGGTACCACAGGTAGTTCATCATCGAAGGCTTCTATTCATCACCTTCAAAACATCAATTCATACTATCAAAACATTTTGTTTCGGTTTAACCATCATGGCTACAAACAAATCTTTTACCAAACAAACAGGCGGCCTGGAAGTTGCCAAGACCTATTCTTCGCACATCACTGGCAAAACTATTCTTATTACGGGCGTCTCCCCTGGAGGCATTGGCGAGGCTACAGCTCGTGCGTTTGCACACGGCGGTGCATCTGTTATTATCGCTACTGGGCGCGATAAAGCACGCGTCGAAGAGCTGGCTAGGCAAATCTCCGCCGTGTATCCATCTACAAAGTTTCGCTGTGTCGAACTTGATCTTGCCTCACTCCGAGACGTTCATCGCGCCGCGAACGAAATACTTGATGATAGATCGATCCTCAAGATCGACATTGTTGTCACCAATGCTGGCAGCCAATTTGGAAACCCTGAGCGCGAGCTCACCGCGGATGGTATAGAGACGCATCTCGGTACCAACCACCTAGGCCACTTCCTCCTTGTCAAGCTTCTTCTTCCACGACTGCGCGCTGCCGCCGAAGTAAATCCCCCCGGTGCAACCCGACTAGTTTCTGTTAGCAGTGAGGCAAGCCATTTCAGCCCTTTCCGCTTCAGCGACTGGAATTTTGATTGCGATAAAGAACTTCCCGACAACGAAAGGCCAAATTGGCCTGTGCTAACAAGCATGCTTGGAATCTCTGAAACCTCAAAGTTCAATTCTTATGTTGCTTATGGACAAAGCAAGACTGCCAATGCTCTCTTCGCTGTTCACTTTAACCAATTGTTTTCCAAAGAAGGGATTTTTGCTTTTGTCATTCACCCCGGAGGGGTACAAAGCACAGCAGCGAAGAGAGCGACTGCAGCTGCGCCAGAAGAATACAAGGCGGCTTTCAGAGAATTACTGTGGAAGAACATCGACCAAGGAAGCTCAACAACCTTAGTAGCCGCCTCGGACCCTGGTCTAAACCCAGTAAAAGGCGTATGGTTAGAAGACAATCAGCTTGGCCACCCAGTGTCGTGGGCCGTAGACGAAAAGAAAGCGGAAATGCTGTGGAAACTTTCTGAGGAGATGATTGTTGAAAAGTTATCTTAGCTATGTATCGTCGTAGTACATGGCTAGATTTCAAAGACTTCAACAGCTAGACGTTAGAAAGGAGTATGTGATGCGTACGTATTGTATTGGCAAAACATGGGAAACGAATGAAGTGAAGGGCAATCGGATTGAAGGAGCTCGCAGAAAAGATGGAAAATAAAGGGAAGGCCGATAGGCCTTCAAGCAACGTGGAACACACTCACTCAACAACATCAATGACAGCTACACATAGCAACAATACAACCGATTTGTGTCGAGCGCCCATTCCGATAGAAAATAACTGAACACTCTACTACAGCAGTATTTAGGTTGATACAAGACGTTGCGTAAAAAGATATAACAGCGGAGACAGATATCGAGGAATTGTTGGCAAGGCCTATGGGCATAGCACTATGGCCTTGGCGAGCCAGTTAGCAGAATCTAGGCACTCTGTTTAGTACCGGGATTTTGTGGTATGATTAGTGTCAAGGAAACTACAGTGGCTGCCGTGACAAAGAGCAGCAATACGTACACTCTATTACTAGCTAACAGGTAGTGCTTATAGAAGAGCGTCTGCTTATAGCTTAGTATTATCTGCTTATAGAATAGCAGTCACGTAACTGCAGCGCAGTTGCTGTACTGAAATTCTTCAACTGTGCCGCACAATCTTTTGAAGTGATTACACCAATTCTGAGGTCCTCCTAGTCGTTAATCAAAACAGTTTTCTGCATGTGACACTCAGAGATGTCAACAATCAAGCCAATCAAGCTGAGCTAGCCTTATATAGTAGGTGGCTAGCTTGGATAGGTTAGTAGCTTACTATATGAGGCTAGCTCAGCTTGATTGGCTTGATTGTTGACATCTCTGGTGACACTACCACGATACGAGTAGCTTGAATTTAATTGCAGTACTACAAGAAGCTTAACTAAGAAATCTCGCAACAAAAGGTCCTGCTAGTACCTGTACAGCTATATGATATTATTTTCTGTAGAGTTTTGATACCCAAAACGGGACATCACTCGAACATAGTCAACACAGGCGCGGATACGGTAACATAGGATCGCTACGAGTGTGCCAGAAGCTCAGTCCTTGCGTTGTTATTGCATAGAAACGTCTTGCAAGAAGCTCCTTGTGATGTGCATGTTGTTAGTTATAGTTTCATTGCTTATGCGGACTCACAAATTCTACAGCGTCAGTCCAGACAGAAGATGTTACATTTGGACAACTGATTATGTACACTTATTCTCAAAAATTCTCTTAGATAAAATGGTAAAAAGCAAATTCGGGGACAATCAAAGTGTGAGAGGAAGAACCGAAGAACTGACAACGATGATCAGCTCCACTATGTTGAGAGGGTTGATGCATGTTCAAGAGGGTCAAATGCTGACTTACGTAATTCAAGCCAGCTGATCTACCTTGTTTCCAAAACACTCTCCATGTAAAGCTAGGCAAAGCACTTCGTCAAGACCACTTCGATCTACTTGGAACACAATCTTGTATTCATGACATTCGTAACGTCGTATAATCTATACCTATCAAATTAACAAGGCCGTCTACTCTTCTTCAGCCTGGTCCTTTCTTTCTTATCTTTTTTTCTCGTGCCGCTCATCACGTCCATCTGTCTCCTCAGATTCCTCATCATCCCGCGCCACACCGCCCACACCATCGGAGCCACCATCTGGGCCCCTTTCATCGTACAGCGGTAACCTAGGACTGCCTTCCCACATGCTCTCCTCCACCCACGTGGACTCCCTACTCAGCGGTTTCCGACTCAACCTAGCCTCCTCCACCCCCCTCAAATATCTCTTCCTCAACTCCTCGTCATCCAAGACGTGAAATGAAATATCTGTATCCGACCGTACCAACGGCCTAATCTCGTGGTCCCCCACAGTCGTCGAAGAAGGAGACAACGGCCACTGTTTCTCCTTACCCGACAAAGTATAAGCCGGCGTGAGCGGCGACAACGGCGTCGACACCGGCGTCTGCATCGTCCACTCCTTCCTCCTATTCCTCTCTTCTTCCTCCTTCCCCTCATCCTCAACATTCTCCACAAACAAATGACCCTCAATGTGCGTCCCCCGCGTCCCCTTCTTCCCATACAACTCCCTCTCCAGCCCCGCATTCTTCGCTCTCACAAGCTCCTTCCCACCCAATCCCGTGCGCCGCCTCGCCGCCACCGCCATCGCAAACGCCGCCCGCAAAGGCGTGAGTCGGTACCCCTGCTTCACGAATTTACAATTAAACTGCGCGTCCTGCCAGAGCACGTACATGCTCAGCGTCCAGATGGCCGTGACGAGGATAAACAGGCCAGACATGAGCGTCGCGAAGCCCCACTGGTAACTCGGGTTCGCCGTGTCGGGTAGGCACCGGCTCTTGTCGCTCAGGTAGCTGTAGTTGTATCCCACGCCGTTGTAGCAGTAGCCATAGTCGCCGTTGAGGTTGGACGCGTCGTATTGCTTTCCGTTGATGGAGACGGAAATCGTGGCGTTACAGGCATAGGTGTCGTCTGCGCTGACGTATTGCGTGTCTATCCAGTAGCGCGCGTCGGCATTGGTATAGGTTTGTGTGTTGTTGGGGTATGTGTAGGAGCAGTTTGCGTAAGCAGGACCCGAGAAGGAATAATAGTAGTAGTAGGAGTTTTGGCCCTGGTTCCATTTGTATCGCTCGTCGGCGGTGGTTATGGTGCCGTTGGGGAACTGGCAGTCACCTGGATTTCTTGTTATTAGCATATTTGTGTTTGCGTGGGCAGGAGGAGGGGTGTGGGGAGCTGTTTACATTTGTGTTCTCGTTCGTTTTGCATGTAATTATAGTCGTTCCGGGCCTCCCAGTCTACACATGCTGATGTCTTGAACGTTTCGTTCTTTGTGCCTGTCAAGACCCAGGTCTGGTGCAGAGCACTCGCAGGGATAATGTTATTCTCGCCTTCGAGGTCAATCCACGCAATGCTCGTGCTGTCATAACCCGTCATGGCGCCCAGCACAATAGGCACAAGCAGCACGTATCCCGTGGACCAAAACATGTAGAAGAAAAGTGCTCTCGTCCTCGCACTCTTGGCATTCCACAGCTCCTTTGTCAGCGTCCACAAGGAATGCAGCCCAGGCCCTTCATTCCCGATTCTCTGGAAGATCTCAAAACTCGCTGGATGCCGCTCAATCGCCCGGAGCAGCGCGTCGCAAAACACATTGTAACTCGCCCACCACGCCAGAGCCTGCGCGCCCTTGCCGACGAGTAAATCCCACAAGACGTCAATGGCTTTGACTTGGGAAAACGAGAATCGACCAAACGTCGCGTCGAGCGCAAACAGCTTCTCAATCCCCGTCACCGTAGCATTCTGAGGCTGCCCGAAGATACTCTCTCCACAGCTCAGCGTTTTATCCGCAAAGATGGAGGTAAACGGAGTCAAGTAGCTGATCAACGTCATAGGCAGGACAACCCAGATGACCACGAGACAAAACGCGTAAAACTGCTTCTTGCTCCAGCGCACGTGTTTCCACACAGGCGCATTCTTCGTCGTCTTTCCAACCCATTTCATCGCGTTCCAGGTACTCAAGCAGGCGTCGTGGAACACCCAGGTCCAACGGACCTTCCACTTTGCTTTGGACCGCCAATCCCATCGCGCGAACCGGCTTTCTTGTGCACTATCGTTTCCCCAGGTCGTGACACGTTCCCGGCGTGGTGGCTCCGACGATGGCGGTGGTACCGACGAAGCAGGCTCATGCAGCAGCGACTCGGACGTTGAATTGACAGACGAACACGCGACTTTGACATCCCGATCCTTCTCTTTCTTTCCATCCGCGACAACACCACCGGGATCCGCCGCTGGACTGTCCGTCGTACCGGCGCGATTATGTATCCAAGGGAACAACATCTTCGTATTCTATCCAACAACAACCCCACCCCCACAGTCCAAAGCACGGCGCCGACGCGAGAGAGAGAAAAAAAACAAAGCGGGTTTAGTGGCAATGCATCAACGGTACTCGGTGTAGAAGAAGCGAGGGGAGCGGAGCGGCGTCGTGAGGCTTTCCACACACACAGACACAAAGACACGGCGCGAACTCTGCATCTGGTCGTGTCGAGGGTAGAGGAAGACAGACGCAGATGTGTCGAAGTACTACTAATCAACGACCGCCGTTTACGAATCGCGTAGGACGCCTTAGCGGTGATACCGCGGACGAGCTACCTAGTATGCATGCTGCATGTTTGATGCCTGCAAGTCGTTCGGTTCTGGCATGTGCGTTTTGACGGGCGACGGCGGGCGGAAGACAAAAGTGAAAACTCCAGAACTCACTCGGTGAATACTCGATTCACTCGCGAGTCGCTTGCAATTCCCCATATGCACACACCGATTCCCTTGATCTTTCTTTTCTTTCTCGACGACATACGGGCGAGATGAGCGTGGCCACATTTCCCACATGCACAGAGGAACGATGATGGGGATCGATCAAAAGGCCAGTTCGTGTCTGCCTTGCGGTGTGCAGGGCTTATCCCGGGACTAGCATGAAAGATGTACCTGGGGCTAGCCCCATGGGGTCTAGCCAATCTTACACAGCCTCATCCTAGATGCATGCGAACTGACCACCGCCGTCGCCGAAAGTATGGCTAATAAGCTAGCGGACCGGAGTTGATAAAAGCTTGAGGTCAAGATGTCCATGGCGCGCGCGTCTTTGAACTGTACCCTTTGGAGTAAATTGTCTGATTGTTTCCCTTCAATCATTGAACGATTAACGTCATAGGTTTGCCCCAATCTACGACGACAGAGAGATTAAAAAACTCACACAGTTATCAACCATCAATCATCATGCTCACACTCTCACTCATCCAAAAAGAGAAAAAGAAAAGTCTTGTTAGAGAGAACCCTTTCCCATTTATCAGTATACGAATATACAGCACATCGAGCTCCAGGCCCGACTACCCCATGCATGCATGCAAACCAAGCCACAATACCTTTATGTATACAAAACGCCATGTTTAAACCCCCCCCCCCCTCCTCCTTCAATGCCCCTTCTCTGCCTCCGAAAAAGAAGAATTAAGCTTGGCGGCATCATCACCATCATCATCTCCTCAAGAAGAACAACAACACCCCACAATCAACTAACTACCAACCGGCGTCCCACTCCTCGACAACACACTCGCCGAACTATTCGTCCTCAACACGGGCGTCGCACTCCGACTCCTCTCCCTCTCCCGATCCCTCTCCTCCGTCTTAACCCTCTCCCTCGCCTCCTCCACCAACCGCTTCGCCTCCCTCACATTACGCATCGTGCGACTAAGTTTCCCTTCTTTACCTTCTTGCAACTTCTGCAACTCCCCTCTCGCCTCGATATCTTCCTTCGTCTTGGTAACAAAACTCTTCAACGAGACTTTAATATTCTGGCGGAGGTCTTGGCCCTCGTCGAAAATGGCGTCGCTGTCGCGGATGCTCTTTACGTTTTCGACGCGGCGCGTGAGGTACAAGGTAGGTCGACGGGCGTTAGCTGCGGCGCTTGCGGCGAATTGTTCGCGGCGCTGGGCAATGATGCGCTGGACTTCTTCTTCGTAGGCGGTTTCGTACACGTTGATGTCCACGTTGGACGGCGATTCCGACACGATGCAGCCGTCTTCTGGAGCAGGGGGGAAATCCTCGCCGGTGCCAATGTTGAGGAAGAGCGTGTCTTCGAGCGGGTTGTGCGCGTGGCCTTTGCCTAGGGGTGTGGTTGGTGTTGATGACGAGGGCGCGATGCCGCCGGGCGTGGAGATGGAGTGAATTGGCGCGGGACGGATGGACATGTTTTCGTGGATGACCTTGGCATTTCCGTCGAGACCTGGCACTGTTGGGGTGGTTGGACTGCTGGTCGCAGGCGATCGGGGAGCTGGACGTCTTCCTGCTGCTTCGGCTCGGAGACCTGGTTTGATATAGGCCATGTCGTCCATGTTGTGGGGGAGCCTCTGGCCCCGCTCGTCGATGTTGATACGGTGATGTACACCCTCGGTGGAGAGTGCGCCTTCAACTGGTCGTCGGTCGTGTGTGTCTTGTGATTTTGATTTGCGTAGTGCTGATGGTCGCATGGACATGGGAGGCTGAACAATTCGCGAGGCACTACCTAGTATACTCTCAATACGATCGGGTCGCCTTCTGAACAACAGTTGCTTGAAGCGCTTGACCGCTCGTACCTACCAAATTGTTAGCCAAGATCAGTTTCGATACCGTCACGGCAATGCTTCTTGTATGTCATAGGGATTACGTGCACCTACCACTGTGACCAAATGGCCCATGTTGCCTGTAATGGCAGCATTAACCTCCTCGTCGGTCGGCGGATCAATAATGATGGCCACGTTTTCCGACTTTGCTAGTAAAGGGTCCGTTCCTTGCCGTGTCACCCAGGGGTGTTCCTGCTCGAGTCAGACTTGTGCAATCAATCCAGACGGCCAACTCACTCTAATCTCTTCCATGGTGATCCTCTTCTTGGGGTCCTTCTCCATTAGCCGCTGGAGAAGTTCCTTCAACTCCGGATTGCAGTCAGTCTCGAATTCCAACGGGTCCATTCGTATTGATTGGTAGAGCTCAATCATGCCGTGCTTTTCAAATGGTATCCGTCCAAAAAGGAGGCAGTACAGCGTGCAACCCATGGACCATATATCCGCAGCTCTTCCCGAGACATGCCCGTGCTTGGCAACACACAGCTCAGGCGGCATAAACGCTGGCGAGCCCGCTGACTTTGCCGTCTTCATCTCGCCTTCCTTGTCGAACATTTCTGAAACGCCGAAATCGACAATCTTTAGCACGTCTTCTTCCGTGATGAGGCAGTTGTCGGGCTTGATGTCGCGGTGGATAATACCCTGGGCGTGGACTGGCAGAAGTTAGCCTTGGGTCACGCAGGGTCGGATGTCACGCACGGTATTCGAGACCCAGTATCATGTCTCTGAACCAACACCGACACTGCTCTTCGCTGTATGGGTCGGCGCGCTCCTCGAGACCAACTTGCATGACAACGCCCTTCTTGCACATCTCCATGACCATGTATAGCGAGTCTTCCTCGGGGTCGTCCAGCACCTCGATCAAGGTAACCAGGTTGGGGTGGTTCAGCTTCTTCATAATGGCAATCTCTTCCTTGATGAGCTCAAAGGCATTGTTCTCTTCGGTGACGGAGTGGCGGTGCAGGGGCGAGTTGAAGCCTATGCCAGCTGGGAGGGCGCGCATTCGCTTCGCAGCCGTGGGTCGGCGGAGGAGGTTGGACTGGGCGCGTTTTCGCAATCGCGACTTTGAGAATTCCTTGACAGCCTGCGCGTTGATGCGTCAGCGAAAGCCAATGGCTGTACCTCGTAGGGAACCCGCATGTGTATCTCTCTCTCTGGGCGCATGGGCCGGGTGGAGCCTTCTCTTTCTGGTTGTCAGGCTGGTATCCTCACATATTCTTGGCCATACTGGTCTACGGCAAGGTGAACGGCGCCAAAGGAGCCGCGGCCAATCTCCTGCTTGACTAGGTATTGGTTGATGCGGTGCTGGGCGCTGCCGTCATCTTCGCTGTTGCTGTACTCGGAGCGCGCATTGAAGGTTTCCTAGCAAGTTAGCGTCAATGCGTCGTCGCATGCGGTGCGTGGCGGCCGTCGCACCTTGACACGTCTTGTCGAGGAAGCTGCGCGCTTGTGGTGTCGTAACGGGCTCTGGTATGCGGGTGTTGACCTGGTCTAGCATCAGCACTACTCCCACCACCTCCGCGGGGTACAAGCGGCAGCAACACGCACATAAACTTAACGGGCGGCGGTCGTCCGGCCTCGCCGACTGCAGGAACGTCTAGAGAAGGTTGCGAGGTGTAGATGCGCAGGTCGGATTCCGAGGGGCGTTTGGGGGGAGGTGTCGGCGTAGGGGAGGGTGACATAACTCCCTCAGTAGTCGGCCAGGGCGGGCGGTAGCTAAGTACGTAGCTGATAAGATTGACACACGGGGCTAGCAGAGGGTTAGGGAGAAATAATATGGGGAAATCCGGGACCGTCGACGCAGACGTTCCGAGAGTGCAGGATCCAGCTGTTTAGAGAGGGCCCGACTAGAGAGTGAGAGGGGGGGACGATGCAGCAGAGAGGGGGCCGTTTCCTGACATTTCTTTCAGCCTCACCCGTCGTCACAACATCACCCCCGTCACAACATCACCTTCAGCTCGCTATCCACTTAGACCGTGCTCTGTTGATCCACCCTGCTTTCATCCGCTAAATCTCTCCACCTTCGCTCCGATTACCCTTCACCGGCCACATCTGACGTACCTGCCGACAACTACCTACCGTCAATTGGCATCGGTGACCAAACCCGCATAGCCGCTTCCCTATCGACAACACCACTTCCGCATACCAATCACCTCCCCCGACCACCCGCCTACGTCATCCTCCTCACAATGGTTCTCTACAGCTTCTACATCTTCGATCGGCACAGTAAGTAGTTCCCTGAACGTCATGCCGTGCACGCGCTGACCGCGTCCCCCAGCCGAGTGCATCTACTCGCGGCGCTGGACGCCCGCGCGCCCCTCCTCGTCGTCGTCCAAAGCCACGGCGCGCCCGCAATCCGGCACCTCGATTGCATCCAACGGGGATGTCGTGGCCGCCGTGCGCAAAGGCATGTCGCACTCTGACGACGAGAAGCTCGTCTTTGGCCTTGTCTTCTCGCTGCGCAACCTCGTTACCAAGCTGGGCGGCGCCGACGACACCTTCCTCAGCTACCGCACCGGCGAGTACAAGCTGCATTACTATGAGACGCCCACGCGCATGAAGTTTGTCATGCTCACCGATACAAAGGTGATTAACCTACGCCAGTACTTGCATCAGATTTGGGCCAATTTATACGTCGAGTATGTGGTGAAGAATCCGCTGGCGCCTGTGGAGCATCCCGGTGGGATTGGGGTTGCGAATGAGCTGTTTGAGAGGGGTTTGGAAGCTTTTATCACGGCGGTGCTGCCGGTTTGAAGACGATGGAGGGCAATAAGTCAAGATACACAACGGCAGAACGCACACGGGGACACGGATATGGCATGCGACAGCACCATGGGCTGGGAAAGGCAGGACAGGCGGGTTTTCCCATTGCAATGCAGCCACGGTGTCCCCAACGACAGCAAATATTCCCAGGCCCAGAATTCCTGAACCCAAACATCCCCACGAAAGAGGCCTAGAAAGCTGCGCCAGATTACCGCGATTCTTGGGGAATGCAATGACAGACATGCATACAAGCTTCGAGCCGTGTCGGGAGCGGCCGCACTTTCCTTGTAAACCCCAGACGCTCGACTGGCCCCACATTCATGTACACAGCCTCACACCAAGACGCGACTAAGCAGCGCTACATGGGGACGCGCGTGGGCTCTTAGTCTAGACCCGTGGTGGGATGTGTGGAAGAGTGATGGGGAGGAGGGGCATGTTGCGTTGCAGTCTAATAGATATTGAATATATGCTCCCTTTTTGACGGCACTGTCAACGCTGGTGTCGTGGTGTTGTTTGTGTATAATCGAGACATGTATACTGGTGTTCGGGCTCTGGGGAGCGGCCGGACCGAGGACTCATGCAGACATTTTGCTGCTCTTTTGGCGCAGAGGAACGTTGGTGAAGAGTGGATCGCTGGATGGGAAGGATGTCTTTTGTTCATCTCTAGCCTCGTGTACAGCGATGCGGATATGACTGAGCATATGTATAGTTTTTGGGCCGTCTGCTTCCTATACCGATGCTTGTAACTAATTCTTTTGTTTTCTTCTTTCGACCAAGAGAAAGGTTTTACGAAAGGATAAGATGGCGAACGGTTTGGGAAAGTAGTACATGTTTTGTAGATCGTCTCGAAAGCACGGAGACACAAGGTTGTGTCTAGCGTTTTTTCGGTCTCCCTCTTCTCATAGTGGAGCCAGAACTCGATTTTGGTATTTGTTTCGGGTAATAGATGTGATAGGATGGTGGAAGTTAAAGTGGCAAAGACGTCTTTTGTGTAACTTTTATTCACACGTCGAAGCGGGACGTTCATGGCGTGGTGGTTTCGGTAATTCAAATTTTGGTGTTTTGGAGAAGAAAAGGTTGTTTGTGAGGGGAAAAGGAGAGAGAAGGACAAGTGTCGTTTATGTATCTCACGCCCCAGGCTCAACGAGACAAGACTATGTTCTTCTCGACGTCGATGTTGAGGCCCCCAATTCGTCGCAGTGCACACGAGTGATCTGGAAATTGTTTTCACATGGTTCGTTTTGTCCGCAAGTTCTCTAGAAGCATGTCCGGCGTCTGCTTTCTGTTCAGGAAGAAATGGGTGTCTCAGACATGAGTTCGTTTTGATTGTGATTTTGGAGCAACGAGAGAGTTGGTGGAACGAATTATGTTTTGCAGATCGCACGTCTGGTTCCGGTAGGGTGATTGCGTGACCTGATCAGGGCCACATCCGAGATATCTATGATTTCCTCTGAACATTCAGAAGGAGGCAGCAGACGCAGACATCGGGGATCAACAATGGTTTTTTTTTTGGTAAAGAAGCGGACGAGCATGCATAAGTACCCATTGCTCTAATTTTCGCAGAATTGATAAATCGGGTTATATAGAAGAGAGGGAGCCAGAAGGTGACGAGGAAGTTTATATATCCTCAGCTTATGCGACGAATGCAGCGACGTCCCGCAACCGATTCTAGCCGTGTTTCTACCGCAACCATAGAACTTTCCACAGGTCATGATCCTCGACCAAGCCTCTTTCCTGCCCATTTGTAGATGGGATCCTGGAGCTGTACAAGTCCGGCACAGCACATGTTACCTCCACCACAGCGATTCTTTCCACCTTCTCCCCTCAATCATGAAAAGATCGAATACTGTTTGTGGAAAGGGAAAGCGACCCAAACATGTCCAAGACCACTGGTAGTTTCGATACCGAATCTGGAACATTCATGCAGCTGGAATCATCATCGAGTGCGTCGATCTTTTTGAGCACTCCTCTGCACATGTGGGTAGGTGCCAGTGTTTTGGCGATTCCAGAGACCATGGCAAAAGACAATTACGTTTTTGGGGCCCGAGAAGCTAGGGGGAGACAGCCATGGTTCTGTCGACTCGAGATTTTGGTGAGCAGAAGGACGAGAAGGCAAGAATCAGAGCGATCGATGGCTTCTATACACGGCGTTGCACGCTATCGGAGGCAGTCGACGATTTGCCAGACTTCTATGTCAAACACCAACCACCCAAAGAAGTGAACACGGAATCAGTATTCATCATCAGACTCCTCTTCGGTATACCATTCTTTTCCTTCCTCTTCCTCGTCACTATCGCTCTGCTCGGCGTCATCCTCATCCTCATACATTATAACGCCTAGCTCTCTTCGTCCCTCTGCATAAAGTGCCTTCTCTTCCTCTCTCAGTTTTCTCTCTAGTTTGCGTATTTCTTTCGCTACTTTGCGCATTTTCGGAATCATCGCATCGACGACGAAGTCTACAAGTCTTCCACCAACGGCGTCGAACTGCGAGATGAACACGGGTACTAGCTCTTCGAGAATCTCGCGCAACCTTGCGTCCTCATTTTTTATGCGTCTCTCTTCCTTCTGGGAGTATCGAGGGTATGGTTGCTTTTTGTGATCGGGATTGTCAAAGTGCCTGATGCGGCCGATATCGCAACATGTGTGTCTTAACTCCAGGTATGAGAATACGAATAGGCGCATGTACCCCTGGATGAGTCGACGAAGCTGGAGGGTATTTGCTGCTCTATCAACCCAAACGGTGAGTTCAAGAAACACATTCGCTATTGCTTCGTCATGTTGACGCTCCCAGATGGGTCTTGTTGCGATGCCCTTTACTTCTCCCATCGAATTTGCACCTTGGATGTAGTCGCAAATCGTGGGGAACTGCGTGTCCCGCCAGGTGTCTGTGAAAAGTCCTTTCCAGAAGCACGTCAAAAAATCGCAGCCGGAAATGCTGCATCCACATTCGCAACTGTCCAGAATTTCCCCTTTGACGAGTGGCTCAAAGGATCTGTAATCCCAAGTGACTTGAATTGGCGCATCACATTCTTTGAATAAGCGTCCAGAGAACGTTTCAAGATGTTTCGCAGATTGCCAGGCCAAACAATGCATGGCAGTAATGTCGGATCCTGGCCAGGTTTCTCGTAGATCTGCCCCTCTTGAGAGGAACCAATTGACTGTCATGTCGCGCTTGTTCAACGCTCCCCTCGGATCATTGATGTACGGGTTGTTCTGCGTTAGAAAATACACTAGAGGCGAGCAACCCGTTTCCATACTACACCTGAAATCCTTGCCACTGATCTCACGAAAGCCATCATCCTCCTGCCTTTCGAACACCAGACGTTCCATCGGACACCAGCAAAATGTCCTGTGATAAAGACTTTTCCTCTTTGGCCAATAATACTGTGGCACTTTGACGCCTTTGCTCACCAGCGCAGTGAGCATGCATCTAACATGCGCGTCGGGTAGATTACTACGAGCACTATCACAGCAATAGTCGATGCCATGCGTTTTCACTAGATGGTCAATCTCGTGCCTCAAATCGCGAACATACGAGGACATATTGTAAGCGATGCCCTTACTAAACTCTGGTAGCGACCCGCACTCATGAGAGTCGAACACATCTTCTGCATAGCCAATCCATTTGAGCTGTGGTTGCCCAAAGTCTGCCCTGCGCAAGAGCCAGAACCGCATCATTTCCAATCGCTTTGTATAAGCTAAGCTTCCAAGCAAAGTATTGTCCCGTGGATTGACGGAGTCTTTGTTGAGGGTTGCCATGACATCTTCTTCAAGCATGGTCTTACAGCCATCGATCCAGCCATGGATAGCAGCCAGCCTTAGGGCAAAGATGACAGTACCGTCGTCCAGTATCCGCATATCTTTCGATTGTCGAAGGTAATGCTGAAGCCCATGGTCAGATCTCGATAGTATCGCCTCCACCAACTCATTCTCATCTAATCTAGCATCTGTGAAACTTTCGATCCGACTATCAGTATAAGTTTTGGTGCTCCGACTCGAAGGTCTAGAAGTCCGTATTGTCCACTGAGTGATCTGCAAACCGTGACTCAACAGTACATTTGCTACAAAATCTTCTTGGTGCAACAATGGTGGAGGCGTGGACTTCATGAGGGCATCCATAATCGTACTGCTATATATATCAGCTTCAGCACGTTATTGTAGTATGATAGGATATTTTCATAAAAGATGAAGAAGTTCAGGAGATGACGCAGATGTAGACTTACCGTCCATGATCGTCTTTTCCAATAGCTTCGACAGACATTCGGGCAAGGAGAGTCAGGAAGAGATAACAAAAGTTTTTGACGTAGTCAGAACTGTAGTATTCATCTCTCCAGAATTCGACCTCCCCACACAAATGCTATATTACATTCAGCTTTTACCACATTCACGAAGAGCATGTGATACTTACATGTAAAATCGTACGTCCATCAGACAGGCGATCATGTGGTGATGCTCGTCCCTGCTGGAATATCTCTAACAGTTTGTTGACCTCGCCACGGAATACTTCTTCGGTTGTGGTGTGACCTGAACTCACCAAGTCGGGAATGAACGAAAATGCAGGCGAAGATTCCGCGACCACTCGATGACAGTCCAGAGTCTGCCTGAACGGAGAGCCATCACCACAAGCTAGTGTCAGCGAAAGCGACACCTTCGATCTGAGAAACAGACTACACATAGTGGCCCGAAGCTGCAGATCTGTTACGGTGTTCTGAAGAGCAGAAAGACGGCATTGAGGGTCGTGAGACGAAGTCCAAGCACACGCGAGCGTGAGCCATCCTGATCGATAGCCAAATGCACTTGTCTTTTTTTGGCATGTACATGGGACTTTTGCGAGTTGTCGCTTCAGTTTTCTATCCTTCCGATTGAGTGACCTCAAATTCATCATGTCGATTTCCAGTGTAGACTCTGTCGTCGAGGTCACTTCGCTCACCGTGGCTTTCTAGCTAGTGTCAGTCGAGCATGTATGAAGGAGAGGCGCAAATACCAAAAGCTCAAGTTGAGAGACAATGGGCTGTAGCGTGTCTTGTATGTGATGTACATCAGCATGGAGACTATGAAAGTTATGCGCCGTAGTTGTAAACCCTCTTTCGACGACCTGTGAATTTTCAGCGAGCTGAATTCGCGTCTTGTCGAAGATCTCATGCTGTAGTTGTAAACTGGATTGATGCTGCGCCGTTTGGTCTACCGATAGCTGTGTAAATCGCAACCCGATATGTTCAGAGGCCAGACGTTGTTGATCAATGATGAGCGCGCATAGTGCAGTCTGTAGACCCTGGTGTATCGTATTCAATACGCCTTTCCAGTATTCGATCTCCGCTTCTTTGAACGGGAAAGCCATCCGCTTGCCCAGCCTCTTCAAGTTCGACTTGATTCCGCCACTCGATGCCGGATCGTCTAGTTTCAACTTCTTCCGGATCGTTACAATGGCCTCTGCACACGATGCAATACCGGTGAGAGTTGTTGACACCGCCTGAGACGGATCCACCTTCGTAACGATGGTTTCGAGCGAGTCAAGGACGTTTGTAAGCTTTTCCGTGTCCGCCGCGATGTGGTCAACCTTGTCCTTTGCATTCTTGACACTACTGAAGTACCATTCCAGGTCCTTGCAGAGTTGGATCGCGAGAGAAACAACACCGACTGCGCTGCCGGTGATCGAAAATGGGTCTGCCATGACAAAAGATGTTGCGCCGATGACAGTGTTGTTCAAGAAGTGAGGGGAAAGGAGAGTGCGAGATGAAGCAGCGGGACATGAGAAGGCTGAGGCTGTGACAAAGGCGCAGTGCATGCAGCCGTATGGTGTTCGACCACTCACATTCATTTGACACTAACACATGCAACACACCTAAGCAGCCACATGCCGGTGCGACACGTTGGACTAGATGATAGGGAATATTATATGTATATTGCTCCTGTACGCCTAAGTCTATATTAATAAGAAAAGTAAAGCGCTCAATGCTGCGCAGCCAGAGATCTATGCTCCTTATTCATACGCGGTGAGTCGTCTTCCTCATCATCGGAGTCGAGACCTTCCAATTCGAACTCTTCAGCATCTCTCACTCTACGGTCGACCCTGGTGTAACCATTGATATGTCCGTTCGCGTGACCATTTGCAAGAGGTGCTTCGGCATCAGCCTTGTCATCTTGGCCCCAAGCGTACACGGCGTAAAGATGGATAAGCATGTTGACGACTAGACACAAATTAGTTTGAGACAGTACTGAGGAGATTTGAGAAGACCTACAAAGGAATAGCAAGAAAGCGACGCTGTACAGAATAAGAACGTAGGACACATGCGTGACGTTCGCATCGGAAAGCAGCTTCATCTGCTCTTCAGTCGCACCCATAAACATGAAACCTCCAGCCATCAATAAGAACGGAGTCAGGTATTGGAAGCTGTTCGGGTCTGAGCTGTCAGTCGCAACGGAAGCTCGGTCCTTGAGCACGAATGAGATCTCGATGATGCGCGCGGCACCTGCAGCCATGAGGGTATAGCCAAAGATGGTATGGATCATAGTCGAAATCGGGAGGTGTTGCGGATGCGCGGACATAGCCCAGCCTGTCATCAGGATGATTATACCAGGAATGAGGTTTCGCTTCGGTTGTCCATTGCGCTTTCGGCTCAGCCAGACACCGACTAGTCCCGCAGCCCACCAGACGATGCCCATTGACGTGTGCTGTAGATCATTATGCACCCATGGTCCTCCCCAGCGGTGTTCTGTGAATGTGTTGACGCAGCCCCACGCAGCAATGACGAGGGAATCGAAAAACTCCTGGCTCCTTCCAGTCCTCCGCAGCCACATTTGTCCGACCAGAAGCAGGATCAGGAGGATTATGCCGTATGCAATGAAAGCGCTTCCCATGATGAAGTGTGCCAAACATTGTCCGGTGTGGTCCGCCCTGCAGAAGCCAAGTGCAGTGATACCTCCAAAGAGGAATTGCACCCACGTCACCACAGGCATAGCCTTTCCGACAACGCCGTGCGCCTTTACTACCACATGCCGTATCTTTCCGTTTATGCCCTTTTCAAGGTGTAGCTTCAGGTAGATGCCCATGGCGACTTGGGATACCAACATGAGCATGATGACCGGTACGAACTGGGCATGGATGTTCTCGGTGAACTGTCTGCCTTTATGCCTGTGGCCGAGGAAGTAGCCGATGATTGCGAGGACGGTTCCTATGGACTGGACAGGGACGTGCCATTTAGATCGTATTATCTGGGCATGTTGTCAGCATGTGTGGGAAAGTTTCTTTACAATACGGAGCCACATACCCCCAACACCATACCAGTGGGGAAGATGATGCCCCATGCCAAGGACTGGATCAAGATGTGCGTCCATAGTATCGAGTCCTAAAACAACCGTCAGTCATTCTGCGCTGACAGCAGGTATCCGCCCTGGCGGTGTGTCAACGCACGATTGGGTCAGGTGATATAGCCTCGCCGTCTGGGATAGCATCCATATCGTGGTCGTGAGCCTTGACTACTGCGGTATAAAGAAGCGCCACTAGGGCTGCTCTTCTTGTATTGAGGGCCATGTTGCCGAAGGCCCTTGTGGAGTATGGTGAGTGTCGCTGCAGCTCCGAACAGGTGATTATCGTCGTCGTCTGCTGCGTTGAGAGTTTCAGGATAGCATCAGGGCGCGTGCTAGGGCGGGAACGAATGGGCGGTCGAGCGTGTTTGTTGTTTCCCTTGCAGCAGCAGTCGTCGCAATCCCGTGATTACGTTAACACTTCCGCCACACTCCGGCGAATGCGATCAACACCATCATCTCCGACACCAACGCCGAACTGCAGCTTCACCTTCACCACCCGCGACATGGCCATTGAGAAGGGCGTCACCGAAATCGCGGATTCTGAAGATGATCTAATGACGTCGTCACCTCGTGTTGTTCCGGATGAAGCTGCGGACAAGCTTTGCGCAATGGCACGCGTTCCGTACCAAGAGCGACAAGATGCGTTGCACGGGGCAGATTGCCTCCACCAAGCATTCGCACAACGCAATGCCAACGCAGCTTCATGCTCAGCTGAAGGCTCGGGCGGCGATCGTGACGATGCTCAAATTGACGACGCGTCGAAAATTGATCAAACTAACATGACACTTCAAGACCCCAGTACAGTGCAAGAGGAAGGAGCGATTAATGAGTTGGGCCACCACGACCTGGGCTCGCATTCAGAACTGCATTCATCAAGCCCAGCATCCATCACTGGAGCCATATCAGATGAGTCTAATGTGATGTTGGTGCAAGCCTTACCAAGGATGGAGTCACAGCCTGGTGAGGAAGTACCAGCTCGAAAAGCAGATACCGGCATCCAACAAGACAGAAGTAATCAGACGACCAAGGACGAACCCGCCAAGCAAAGCGATATGAGAGCCGTAGAGAGCGCAGTGGTGAAAGATGTGGAAAACTATTCCGGAGCCGACTATCAAGAACAGCCGTGTATCGCAAGTAGTAACAGTCCCGCCAGAAATGAGCAGGCAGCAACCGAGAGCATCCATCCCATTATACTTGGTACGCAGTCAAAGGCGCCGAGTACCATTGAGCAGCACCCGTCGGATGCCAGCGTGGACGTGGAAGCATCCGATGGGTTCAGGCCACTGTCGCAAGGTTACACGACACATGGCAGCCTTTTCCAAGAGTCAAGCAACAATGGCAGCCAAGCTGCAGGCCATAGTTCAGCACACGGATACCCGAACGAGAATGCAGTCTGTCCTAGGCCCATGCTCATCCAATTCACTCGCTCACATTCATAGGCTCACACCCCAATCACCTCTACGGCATCATCCATAGGGATAACTTCGGTCGATTCTGCAGCGGACGCGTCAGTTGGCAGAGTCGGCAATCATGCAGTCCCAAACCTTTCCTTGGGCGCCGAGCAACATGATGCCCAAAGTCCAGGAACCACGCTCCGCAACTCGCAGATAGATACCGACACTAGCGGAACTGCCATGAGCACCAGAGAGACTAGCTCAATGATCGACCACAAACAAACTTTGCTAAAAGATCCCACGGAACAACATCTAGCCGTGGCAGAAACGGCCTTGTCGAAAAAGAGCGCAGACGAAGATTCGGTGGCTAGTTCACGAAGTACTGAACCAGCTACTCATGATCAATCGTACACTGGCGCGCGTTGCATGACCTCACCTCCACAAACACCGCCATTGAAGACGTCCCAGGAAACCACTCTCGACGAGATGAGAGCACAAAAGGCTGCGCTTCTAGCTTCTCTCGGTGCTCTTCCAGCCATCCAAGTGCTCATAGAAGAACACGCTCTTTCAGACGCCGAACTAGACGATGCAAACGACGTGCCTACTGAGACTGACATCATGGCAGCCGCAAACAAGATAGTCAGAGAACATATCAAGTTACTGCATGAATACAACGAACTGAAAGATATGGGCCAGGGATTGATGGGTCTTATTGCAGATCAGCGGGGCGCACGGATCGTGGAAGTGCAAGAAGAGTTTGGCATCGATGCAGCGGATTAATCATTAACACCAAGGAGATAAACGGGAATAATAAGGCCGTCGATAGCGGCATGGACTAGCCTTGAGAGACACTTGACAGACACGGGATGGCAGTGTCAAATAAACCTTATACTGTAGGTACTTCCATTTTTGCTCCATATACAATCTGCCATCTTCAACCTCCTCAACAGTGCTTCCTTGCTTAGTGTGATAACCCGCAGACGCGCCGCACCAGACCGGGACCTTCGACTCGCCCAGGTCGCCAACAGCAGCTCATGCCGCTCTTCCACGTAAACCTTAGCGGCGCTGCTTGGCCTTGACACATCAGTCGGCGAATATCGATTGCGAACAACACGATAAGCCACGAACTGCACAATACGGGACAGCGAGCGCACACTCAGTCCGTTCTCCAGATCTGGACCGGGCCTTCGACGCCCGCCATGTGTTCCGGGAGCGAGAACGCCTGCGCACGGTCTTCGAGCCGGTTCGCAGGGACGCGTTTGGCCAGACTGCCGGAAACCGGAGAGACGCCGATTGGAAAGGAAGGATTCCAGAACATTGGACTTCACCAGGAAGAGCGCCACACACGTTGCTTTTCCGACCTTCGTCGCGTCGACCTTCTCTCGCAGTATCGGAAAATTGTAGAATTACGATCAGCTGAGCCGAAGTCATCATCCGATGTTCCATGACTCTGCCCACATTGCCAGCTCGGTCAACGTCGGCCACCAGCACTGCAGCAGGATATTGGACTGTACACATCGTCTTGTATTATTGCGGGTCTTCTTCGGTCGTTTTCACTCATGTAGTCAGGGGCCGCTGCGGAGGCTAAGATCGTACCCCGAATACACCAGCAGAGACGACCCCATGCTTCGAGATGGTCTCAAGCGGGTGTCAGTACCTGACGCATACCAGCTCCGTGTCAGCCATCGGTGAAGGACGGATCGGGCATCTCGACGCCCAAAATTACGCAATGTCTACAAGTCGGCGACGTTGTACCTATGCTGTTCGTCCGCCTAACAGGCCAACTGACGAAGTGGCGGTGCAGAGTCTGCTCCTTGCCGACCAGACAGTGGAGTCGCATGTCGTGCATTCATGCACATCGTGTCAACGGTCTCCTGCAGATTTGAAGATCCGCAGACCCACGTAGGAACGCACCCTTGGGAAGATCCCAGAAATCCCAGTCTTCGGATTTATTATTGCGACATGTATGCTTACCATGACTTGGTTCAGCATGACTTGTAAGTCACCACAGTGGCAATTCTCATTTGGACGTCCAGAAAAGATGATCGCGGTGCCTGGAAAACACCCAGCACATGGACCGTATGATGCTCTTGGGTATACATTACCCGTGTCCAATTTCAGGGTTAAGATGACACTCACTTTCGGATAGCAAGCTCATACATCTAACTTCCGCGTGGCACTCTGGATGTCAGAAGCTAGAGTTCATAGTGTCCCGCTCGCAGATACCAAGCAAGGGTTCTGCTCCACTTTGCAATGCAGGTCTAGTCGCAAACACAACCGAGAGTCCTTTGGGACACACCAAATTACTAGTGAATGGCGTCGAACCGCGGTGATTGGCAGTTAGAAGAAGTGCAGGATAACCAAGGCCCTCGCTAAGCTGACAGCTCCGCGGTGCATGCCGTCCCGTCCACTAACACTCTCCCACTGCTAGTCAGTTACCCATGATGAACCTATCGGCAATTGCAAAGCGCCCTTCTCGAACGGGGCATGTCTCCTTTCCGTACCAGCGACGATATATGGTCGTTTTGAAGACCCTGAACCCTTGCCGTCTAGGACCTTTGTGACCGAACTCCTCCTTCCCCAACTTTCGGCGTTACTTTTACCACACACCATGTCGGCATCCGTACAGGACTTCCAGCTTGCCGCTTTGGCCGCCGGCTTCACAATCGGGTTTGGGTTCTTGACAGTATGGGAGGCTGTCAAGCAGACACGGAGGAACCACAGCCCGCTACGATCTGCCTACATCTACATGATATGGGGTGAGATTTTTGTCAACGTGGTTATCGGCATCATCGGATGGCTGTTCTTGAACGACAGGCTCGGGCCAACGTAAGTTGTCTAGAAGACTGTACACTACAGGACGTCTTTGCTAATGAAGAGCTACCAGTGTCCCAGTCCTATTCTTCATCTTGTTCTTCTGGGTCTTCGAGGTTCAGCTGCTTATGCAAATTATCATCAACCGTATCGCTCTCATCGCAGAGCACCGGAGTACCATCCGTAACCTAAAATGGGGCACGGTGGTGCTCATCACTGCCATCAACATCGCCGTCTTCTGTATCTGGATCCCATCTCACACCGTCCCTCCGGTCAGCGAGACATACGTCAAGATCAACAATGTCTGGGACAAGATCAGCAAGGTCCTTATCCTAATCGTCGACGCAGGCTTGAACTGGTACTTCCTACGAACCGTTAAGATCAGGCTAGTGGAACAACACGGTCTCACCAAATACGCGCCCCTCGTAGGCTTCAACGGCAAGCTCATGGTCGTATCCATCGCCATGGACGCCCTCCTCATCGGCCTCATGTTCCTCAAAAACCAGGTCGTATACATCCAATTCCACCCCGTCGTCTACATCGTCAAGCTCAACATTGAAATGTCCATGGCCTCCCTCGTCGTCCGCCTCGCTCAAGGAAAACAAAGCGACATGAGCCCCGAAGAGTTCCACAGCTCTTCTGGCCCGGACTCGCACTCCCGATCCGCCGTACTCTCGCACCAGCCAAACTCCATGCACTTGACTAACCGGTCCAAGCGCAATACGACGAACGTGCGCAGCCCGGGACTCAGCAAGATCGATAGTGATGATAGCTTGGATTTGGGTGGCATTCAGTGTACCACGGATCTGCGCATCACGCACGAAGATCGGAAAGATTATGTGGACAGGAAGGACTTTGTGGAGGGCAGCTCGAGGAGTAGTAATGACGCGCCGGCGCCGAGTGTATTTGGGGATGAGACACCGTTGCATAAGCAGGGCATGAGGGTGCAAGAGAGGGAGGTGTAGAGCGCTTTTTTCTCTCTTATGTTTCTTCATGTTTGTGTGAGTCGTGTTTAATTAATGATACCCGTGGATATGTAATCACAATTGGTAACTACAAAGGCCGAATTCAAGACAATGTGTACGTCAAAAGTGTCCTCTCTGCAAGCTTATGAAGCGGGCGTCTACTTCATCTACTCGGGATTTCGGACTCAACGCTGCCTGCTTCGGCAATGATCTGATTGGATATCATACTGATCTCAACGCGCGTGCTGTCGCTACTCTCATTGCAGCGTTAACTTCGCAAACGAATGCCAACTTCTTCATCGACCTAGCTTGACGTACTGCCGGAGTTTGATCCACAGGCAGCACGCACAGTCATGTGTGTATATGGATCTCGCCCCACCTCCACACTCCAACGGTCATGCCCTCCCCCACTCGTTCGCAGATAGCCAGCCTACCACCACTACGACCAACACCACGCGACACGGTTCTACCTGATCATCCCGACCGGTACTGCGACAACGAGCTGCCATCTAAACAAGTTTCTTGCGTTTGTAATGTGGACGAAAAGAGACTGATCTTGGCGGGTATAGGTATTACACACCGAGTTGGCGATGTATAGCATTATCAGATAACGTAGTAGGAGCTTACTGGCCAGTTTTCGACATGTGGAAGAGGTGAGAAATACGAATACTCGGCTGTTCCCAATCTGCGAAACCGATGTCGAGGCTTATCGTCGACCACAATCTGGTCTACCCAGATCAACAATATGCAGGAATAGGTGGACAGCCATCCATCGTTCCATGTGTTGTACGCTAACAAGATCATCTCTTTCCACACTGTTGTCCTTTCTCGAGCGTCCAACGATACATCTAGAAAATGGACATCCTCATGATCGTCGCTACCTTCTGGGCGCCATCTAATCTCACTCAGATCTTTCTGTAACTGCCCGTCTTCCTGTAGCTGCCTATCTTGTCTTGTGTATCGCCATTCAACACTGAAAGCAGGGCCTTTGATATGAAGCGTGGCACTACGCGCCGGTCCATAGAGAGCTTCAGCACTCTTGGGCATGTATTCGATCGAAAGGACCTCGCATTTGCAGTCAAGGCATCCCTTATGTATGACTCGGCCATCAACTGACATCCATGACCAGGATGGACCTCGGTATTGGGCCGGTCTATCAGTAGGCTGATGAAGGTTGGACCAGAACAAGCTCGCGGGCATCATATCCTCCCAAAGACCTGCTATGTATCGTTTTGGAATAAAACTTGCAAACCTCTCAGCAATGCCAGATATAGCAAAGATTCTGTCTTGTGATTCTGTCACAGACCGTAGAGTGTAAGATTCAACGATTCCCTCCCAGGAACTATGGACGACATATTTTTCCAGTTGCCCGGATGGATATCCGGGATTTACCGAGAAGAACATAGCTGCGTCTAGGAAGTCACTAGTGTAGACAGACTCGGCTTCTTTAGACTCAAAAGGGCCACGACCTGCCCAGCTTCCACCTGATTTAGTGATGGGGATACCCGCTGAGGGTCCCACGCGGTGGCTGGGGATCCAGCCATCTCTGTGATCATCATCTTCGTGATCATCATCTTCTCTTCGACAGTGCCACTCTGTTGACCACGTACCAACAATGAGCCGGCGACGAGAAAGAAGATGTTCTTGTAAAGTCCATCCTCGTGTGTTTATAGCTATATTCTCCTCCTGATCATACGCATCTTCAAAGAACAAGGTGAGACGATATGTTTGGCCGTTCTCCGCTTCAAATTGAAAAGAACTGGTTCCAGAGGGGAGTGTTCTGGGATGCAGGAAGCCCTCAGTTACTCTATCGCCCCTCTTGTTGACCACCGTTAATGTCGCATGAGCATAGATTTTCGTCATTTGACTGATTTCAGCCTCCTTGTCTTCCTTGCTATCCTGAACGATGCACATCGAATCGATCCAGATGTATCGGAAACCCAGGGCCTGGACTGTTTTTGCAGCATCCTGGATGGTCTTTGGTAGAGTTTCCCAAGGAATGTTCTTCTTATAGAGATCTTGATTATCTTCTGTCAGCTTGTTCGATTGATCTCCGCCCCAGCAATAACTCAGGGCCACATATCTTGACTTGTCATGTTCCTCCATATCGTCGCCACGAACGATTTTCAATCGTAACTTGTCTTGAGGGCCTGTTACCCTGATCAGGCGAGTGGGAACATACGCGCGCTCACTCAATGAGCAGATCTTGTGGTAGCCATTCCGCTCATCTTCACAGTGTTCTAACCAATCATGTACCTCCGCGACCGTGCGAGCTGAAAGCGGATCACGAGAAATTGATCTTCGGATCGTTACTTGCCTATCAATATTATCTCCTAACTTTGTCAGCGGTGTTGCTTTACCAGACTCAATGTGGCGTATCTTGTATCAGTACAGGAGACTCTTACCTGAGGTCTTAATCAAGACACAGCGTATATGGTACGGATCTCCGTAGCTTGCAGCATTCACAAAGCAGCGACTCACGTCCATATCCCCACAGACGTTATCAGGAAGATGCAGGCCTTGTAGACATATCAAGGGATGAATGTCGATTTCGCCGTTTCTGTGAGTGTACAGATGGATGGCATCAGGATTTGTGTGTCTGAACTTTTCATGTATCCTATGTTCCCAATAGTCCTTGAGGTACTGCGCAAAGTCACACTTAGCGTTGGCTTTGAGCCCGAGATCTGCCAGAGAAATACCCAGACGATTCATGGTCACCTTATGGAAGCGAAGATTACTCAACGGATCTTCCCGTGCGCCCATAAACGACCAATGTATCTCCTCCGGGCTTCCTGGGAATACTATATCCACACAATGTGCGCATGAGTGGGCAGGTGGTGAAGCGATTTCCTCCATATTTGATCTTGGTGTTGCTTCTTGTGCTCTTTTTGATGTTCGGCTGGTACTCGTACTGCCCGTGCTTGTGTTGATTCTGGTAAGGCTGACGGTGCAACTTGCGTCTGAACAGACCTGGAAAACCACTATATCGAATATTGTTGAGCTCGTCGTCCAGATAAGAGACCATAACTCGGTGACAGAAGTCTTGCTGGAGCAGCTACGATGTGGGGTGCGATGTGATAAGTTAAAGTGCTGACCAGGCTGAGCCATGACAGCGCATACCGCCACCGTGTCACGTGGCCATGATGCGGGGTTTGAAGAATGATAAACAGCCTTGTAGGTCTGCATCGCGGCAACAGACTCATGCCACATGGCGTCTTTGTCTTAAGTTTATGCACAAGGTAACAGTGCTGCACTTCATGAAACTAATCTTCCTATTCATTCAATCTCTACTCCTGTCGGCCATCGCGCCTGTCAGAAACATGGATTGAGAGGTGTCTATATCTCACGATTTGACTTCACACACTCTGCGGGACCTATTTAATAACAGCCGTCGATTTTTTGGCAACCTGTGAGATTATAACCCGTCATGTCAGACTCTAAACTTGAGAGACATCATTATTGTAGCTTGGAAGCGATTTGTGCGTCTTTATGCCTGAAGCTCAATTATCCTAGGATGTAACGACCTAGGACCTAATAGTAGTGCCTATGCCGCCTTTGCATAGATCCCGATCTTCATAGCTGCTCCACAATACAATGCCTTGTTACCTGGACATTGGGTGTTGCACTGTGTCCAAACGTACCTAGCAGGATTACCATTCATGTTGTTTCCACACCAGCACTCTTTACCAGCCTCAACACCATAATAGCGATAACCATAACAGATCCTCGAGCATTTCCCAGTGTCCATCTGGTCATCCTTCACATAGACATCAGACAACACTCGTTTGGTGCTATCCTGGTAGCAGCCATGCCACGCAAACGGTTTGCTGTTCCATTCTTGTATAATCGCAGTCTGGTTATTGCGAGCTGCTTCGAGCGCTTGCTGAGTGGTTTTCAACTGGGCCTCTAGTTCGTTCTGACGGGTGGTACATGTTTGTTCCTGGGCGTTGCATTGAGATTGTAAGGTCTCCATATCAACCGAATGAGTCTGTTTTTCGTTGTCGAGGTCAGCCGTCATTTGGTTGATCAGTGTCGATTGTGCAGCCAGGGAATTTTTGTAGTCTTCCTCGCGTTGAAGACATTCATCCCTGTCTACATTGCAAGTATCGGAACCAGGTAGAGAGCCGCTCGTAGGGACCGCAGATAGGGTTCGATTGAAGAGTAGGCCGTTGGAACAAGTGCAGGCACAGTTACAATTCGGCTGTGCTGAATTATCGGTACATTCGAAAGACGGTTTCACACCTGGTATTCGGTAAGCTTTTCCGTGTGATTTTCAAAGCAGGTGGACTTACCATTCTCGCACTTGTATGAGTTTCCGAGAAGATCGAGTGAGCCAAGCATTTGCTGGGTGCCTTGAGAGTAACTGGTCGTGCAAAACGCGACGGCGAACAAGAGCCAAGAAGTCCTCATTTTGGAGAATTCAGATCGAATATAAGGATATTATGTGATGAATGGGATGGTTTCTCTGGCGTCTCACATGGGTGCGTCTTTATATCTATAAAGATGGGACCATAGTATGGTAGGTACCATACTATCGTCCCACTCCGTCTACAACTTTTTCGTGGTCACTGCCCTCTTTCCTAATTTGAACGTCTTTCTGATAGTGTAATATTCCTTTTAGCTGCGTGTATGTCACTACGCATGACCTCAGAGCAATCTGTGCGGCAGCAAACCGCTGGTGATCTACGCTTGTGTAAAGGTCTCTTCAAGAGTATCTGGTATGATTTTGAAGCCTTGACGTTACTGTACCGGTTCATAAGATAGACCGGATCACGCGATGAGCTGCTTTTGCTCGTAAAAGTGGGGTATCACATGATCTAGCTTAATGCGCGCAAAGGCACGACAGTGGGGCCTTGATTGTAACACTTTCCTTTTCGAACGATCGACATTATTCTTTACCTCAATCTGCAAATGGGCAGTACCCAGGTATCTTCGCGCTTGCTTATGGCTTCATATGAAAATGGGAGGCAACATGATATGATCAACATTACATAGGTATGCAAGCCGGTCAATGTCATGAGTAAAGGGATTCCATGATCATTTAGCAGAACATAGCACTTGCGAGATGTATGATTCGGCATACAAATGCTTCGACAATACATGTTACTTAAGTGGCTAGATGATTCTCAGAACCATGAAGTTGACATGTGCTCAGGCTACATGATCTCGCATGAGACTGTTTGGCTCCTAATTTCTACTAATCTCAACAAGTGTTTATTCGGGATTATACGAAGCTTCACCCGGAACACTGGTAAATCTAAGAAGTTGCTTGTTCTGCGACTGCATTGGAGATGAGGGAAGACCGACAGCGGGCCAAACGTTCATAAGATGAGGGCATTCCGCTCAGAAAACGGTAATACAATCATCCCTCTTTAACATCTTCACTATCTTGCCATCTACGATCACCGAAAGTTCCAACAATATGCGTCATTTCGTCAATCTTACAACCCTTCTCTTTTGTGGCACTGCATGTGCACAATTTGCCTCTGGCGATTTTTCCGGCATACCAGTCATGTGTCAGAATGGCAAGTCCTTGTCGTTCCATAATCAATTCTCATTGCTAACAGACGTTTCAGGGAAAGAACCTACCCTAAGCTGCTCGGAACCCATCCAAGAAACGTGTGGATGCGTCTGCCGTGATGGAGCGACTTTTAATCAGACGCGTCCCGGGTCCTTAGTTGATGTGACTCTACCGCCGGTCTCACAACAGCTTCCGGGGAAACCATGCATGGCTGAAGTTTTCGTTCCCTGGAAGGATATCGACTTGCCTCATACGAAGGATTCCTACGAACCGTCGAACATGTACGACGAGATGGTTCATGTGCCAGAAGATAGCGTATTTGTGGTCGCCGATTCGTTGGGGAGGTGTCAGCACTTTGAGGTGTTTGTCGATGGCGAAAAGGTAGGGGTTACGAATGGAGACGGACCTCTTGATAACTGGCCTTGTGGCGACCCCGAAACCTGCATAGAGAAGAATGGAGGAAGCCATGGGTATTTTACGCTTCAGAAAGGCTAGTCACTTCCAACTCGGCTATGAACTAAATCTCGAGGCTAACTTCAAGTGTAGGATCACATGCCATTGGTCTCAGATGGATCGGTATCACAGACGCGTGTAAACACATCTCTACTGGACGTGGCTCGTACCAGATCTACAAGAAATGCTGAACGATCCTATGTAAACTTAACATAGCCTGCCAGGCAGTCCAGGAAGTAATCTGGTCCCAACACAAAATTTTGGTGCCGAGAACCAAATGTTGATATTGAGATGAGGTTGGAAGATTGTTGATGTCTATGGTTGGGAGCTGAGGTTGCATTTGTCTATGTTTAGCGCCCCATATTTATGATGCGCTACCTACACCAACTTTTAGTGCTTGTCAGTGCGAACAGAAATCGGTACTCGTACAATACAAAGCCTAAAACAAAGTTCCTGAGTCGATGCGAAAGACTTCGCATTCAGTCGAGATTGAGGAATCTGACCATAATAGCACCGTAGCACCGTGACGCAGGCGAGCTCCAGCGAAAGAAAACCAAAGCTACATTATCAAATCGTTCTTCAAAGCTCAAACCAATAGTCTTGGCCATTCAAGTCTGACCTCCTCTGGAAGACCTAAAGTCGCATTCTATATACTCATTTGGAGCGTTATATACAAGGCTGACGTTCAGCCTTGTCTCCAACACTGCTCGCCTGCGCTAAAGATTGCAGTGCAATTTCGAATCTCACCGCAGCGAAGAGGACGAACCATCCTCGCTTATGCACATACCCCAGCTCACTTACCTGCTCGTTCACGCTAAGAATCGCAGTGCAGTGCCGAGCGGGAGAGCAAGAACGTGGTTGTGAGGGTTGCAGACTTACGTCCCGAGACTGCATTGATATGTCCGTTATTGGTCAGATATTCTTCTTCTTCGCCACCCAGCCTCCCATAGCCATCCGCTTTAGGCTAGCACACGCCGTCCTCCTTGCCAAGCTATAAACCATCGATCTATATAGACAGCCTGATCCAAACCTTGTACGACAGATACTTAGACGAAAGACATAACTAATCGCGAACACAGGGGGGAACAAGTAGAGACATACATGAAGCACACGCATACAGACAACAAGACATGAATAGTGATGTTGACTAGAATCTATTGATAAACAACAACAACAACCCCCCATCTACAGCCCTTCAGCACCGCCCTCCCTCCTCCCCTCCTCCTCCCTCAAATCCTCTCTACTCCCCTGTCCCCTAATCCCCCTCCAAAGCCCACTCAACGTACTAAGCGCACTCAAGCTCCTCCCTCTACCCACTCTCCTCCCACCAGGCGTCCTACTCCCCTCCTCCCCACCAGCAGCACTATCCCTTGTCCTCCGTCTACTCAACGGCTCACCACCCAACCCCATTCCCATTCCGACTCCACCATCCTCCCCACTACCATCTCCTCTCTCTACAACATTCCTAACACCAGCACCAGCACCAGCACTCAAAGCAAGCAAGCTCTCCCGCCTCCTAACCGAATTCCCCCGTTTAAGATCCTGCACCATAGTACTCAAACTCGTACTCAGCGGACTCGCCAGCAAAGGACCCCCCACAATACTATTCCTCGCACTCTGCACGCGATCGCCCGTGCGCAACCTGCGTAGTCCAGAGCCAGGCGTAGTGGGGACTTCGTTTTGGCTCTTGCCTCGCGTTGGCGTGCGGGGTGGTGGCAGTGGTGATGGTGCGGGGAGATTGGTATCTGAGACGGAGACGAGGGGCGCGGATGGTGGTGCGGCTTCGGAGGGGAGGACGGGCGTGGATGTGTGTCTGTTTAAGGGTGGGGTGCGGTAGGTAGGTTCGTTGGGGGCGGACCAGGGGTTTGCGACGAGGGAAGAGATGATGTCTGCGGTTGCGGGGCGGGAGGAGGGGTTTGGTGGTGTGACGGGGTCGGTGGGGGTGAGTGTGATGTTTGGGGTTGAAGGGCGAGTGTCTTGGTCGTCTTGGTAAGGACGTGACGTGTCGATGGGTGGGGATAGTGCTCGTGTTGTTGAAGGACGGCGCGAGACTTGTTCGCTCGGTTCGGATGTACCGTCGACGTAGACTTCGCCAGCTAGGTGAATTGCATCTTCTGGCTCTGGATCGTGGTCTTCGTCGTCGTCATCGTCATCGTGGTGGGATGGGCGGCCGCTGGTGATGAGCCAGACGCCGAAGAAGGTTAGAGCGCATCCGCCAACGAATTTTCCAGCGTCTTCTCCGGAGGTGCGCTCGAAGTCGCGGTAGAGGACTGCTGATCCACCGATGACGGAGAGGGTGAAGAGGACGAATTGGACGGGGATGACTTGTGTGGCGTCGAAGCGCTGGAGAGCTCGATTGACGTATTTGATCTGCATGACGGCTGTGCCGACGAGGATGGCAACTAGCAGGTAGAAGACTGGGAACGTGATGGCACGCCAGAGCGTGTATGAGAGAAGTGAGGCAACGCCCTTGGTTGACAAAGCTGTGTATCCGCCTAGACATAGGTTAGCAGTTGGTTACAAAACAGATTGACTTGAACATACCAAAAAGTCCTACAAGTCCCAGATCAATCAGGATATTCTTCTCCCCATAGCGATTACTAGCAACCATCAACACAGCAATAACTCCCACCGTAATCCCCAAATACGTCTCAAACTCCCATCGTCTTATCAGGTCCCAAATCTCACCAGGGCCCAGTTTAGGATTATTATCATTCGCGGACAGCACGACTGTGACCGCGCCTCCAACGGCGATAATAACACCCAGCGCATCCCTCTTGCGAAATGGCTCTTTTAGCATAAAAGGCGCAATGATGCAGTTCGAAATGAGCGCGACGACACCCAGCGGAGAGACAATAGATGCGGGCGCGAATCCATACGCCAGGAAATTCCCCGCTTCGCCAACAGTCATGAGGATGATGCCGAACCACCAATACGGCGATTTGAGATACGATGTCTGCTTGAACGCTTGTTCCTGCTTGCCCGACTCAGCGCTATCCTCTCTTTGCACGCTCGGCCTCGGAATCAACGGATCGTTCTCAGATGCTTCGAAGATATCCTCTTGATCTCCATTCTGTCCGTTACTTCTTCTTCTTTTCCTTGACTCGACCATATCCTCGCTGCCATTCTGCCTCCGTGCCAACCCCATCTTCTGCACCTCTTCTGCTAACCTCCCCGCCCCACCATCACTACCCATCACCTCGGCTTCCCTCTTCCTCCTCTTCCTCTCCCGTTGTCTCTCCTGGAACTCCCTGTCTAGCCGGATGTGCGCGTACCGCTGCATGTTTAGCGCAAACGATATAAGCACATTGCCTATTATCGCGGTGATGATGCCAATCAGACTGCTCCAGTTTTCGGTATAACCGCCACCTCCGCCTCCCCCGTGCTCTTTCGATATCCAGGACAAGGCATTGTATGGTGTTGGTAGTGGTGTGGGTATTAGGCTCTGTATGGGTGTCGCTGTGCCAGCAGCGACTGTGTGGCTGGGTGGTATATGCATCGCGCGAGATCGTAAAGTATGGACTCGGGAATGCGCTTGCTGGTGTCCAAAGCAAGAGATGTGTCCGCGGGAGTAGGAACGGTAGTTGTGAATCTACACACGATGGTTGGGGCGGCGGAATGTCGTTGACTCGTGGGGGAGGATTCGTCTTCGTTCCGTTGCGCTTCGTTTCGTATCGTGATTGACAAAGAGCTATATGTACAGTACAGCGTCCACTTTCTCTATCGAACGCAACGAGGGGATACACTATATGCGACGAGGAATACAGGACGGTGACACCATGGTGTTTCTTTGCCCAGGAAGCTGTGCAAAAAGGCTGGGTTTCGGCGGTGCTACGAAACTCGCAGCTTTGGGTTGGGTTGGCGCGGGTTGGCTTGTCGGCGTTAGCTGTATGCCGCGCGATGATTTGCAGGGTTGTCGGAGCAAGCCTTCTTTCACATGACGATGGAGTGCCCTGTGCGCTGATGCATGCTGGCCAGCGCTAGCTGTCACGGTGCATGCATTATCCGTTCATTCCGGCGGGTCGCACGAATGGTAACGGAGATGAAATGGTATTGCGGTATTAGACATGCGACTTACGAGACAAGTTTTCATGGCGACGGGAGAGCCTCAATCACTCACATCAATCTCCAGGACACAGGTGCGGTGATTGATCAGCGTAATCCTGCGCTGACGCGGAGAAGCAAAAAGCGCCTCTGTTTCCTCACTGGTCAAACTGTACTAAACAACAAGTCGTCATAGAAGAATCTCGAAGCCGCAACACAAAGTCCTTTTGCGAGTTTCCACGAGACCGCCCATTGTGAGTAGGTAATGTAGATTGTCACGTAACCTAATGCAAATGGTAAGAAAAGAGGCACTCAATCATCTCGCCTGACCACGTCACAGAACAACCTCACAAGCTACAAAACGAGATTCTCCACGGAGTTTTCAAAAAAATACCCATTTTTGAGATATGTTGTACACTATCAAGCGAACTCGATGCCCATGTGAAGTCAATCGAAAGAAAACCCTACGTGCATGCCATCTCCGAAAGATCATGTCCATCAACACACACACTCGCTCTAGAATGCAAGCCCGCTATCCTTATGCTTTTGTAATATCCCCGACTCCGGGCTCAAGGATCGAAAACTTCAATCTCTTAAATTTTCGGACTCAACTCCCTCACCCTTCACTCTGAACACATTGCCTCGCTCCTAAGCAAGGCTCATCTGCGCCTCGCCATTAGTAGCCTCAGCAACACCATCACCATCCTGCTCCATACTCTCAGCAACGACATCAGGCTCCGCAGCGAGAAGACGGATGCGCGCCTCAACCGCCTCCTCACCAACAACAGACTCCTCGACCTGTGCCTTGCGGATGAAGACTGTGTGCCAGCGCTTACCCCAAGCCTTGATGAGTTCGACCTCCTCTTCCGTGAGCGCGCCATTCGATGACTTCTCAACCAGGGTATCAGCAGAACCTTCAGCGACGCCACGCATAGAGTCTTCAATGTACTTGAACAGCTCGCGGGCGTTGTCACGGTCCTTAGCCAGCGTAGCCTCGACCATCTCGATCTGTTCTTGAGGAAGACCCTTCTGGAGACGGGCAGATGCAATCTGGCGATTGCGGTTAGTCACCTTGGCGACGGTATTGCTGACCATCTCGAACACCCAGCTCTCTGTCAAAGCCTCGCCAGCTCCCATGTGGCTACCAAATACCCACTGGACGACAGTCATCGGCGCAAGAATAGTATAGTTGAGCAGAATATCGATGATGCGGACTGCAACACCGGGCTGGTCTTTCCAGTACTCGACGACGCTGGCGACAATCTGGCGACGCGCGACCTCGTTCTGTGAGAGCTCGAGTAGGCGGTCCTTGCCGCGTTCAATGCAGGATAGAACGTGGGAAAGTGACTTCGCTCCTAATCGGCAGATGGCGGTGACGAAAGCATCGGTCGAGGGTACGAGAACCTCAGTGACGCCTTGTTCGAGAGCCTTCTCGTGAATCGTGTCAATGGTGACCTGAATCTCCTCGGCTGTAGCCTTCTTCCTCAGTTGACTGAGAAGAGTCTGACCTTCGGTAGCGTAGGGGGTTTCTGGATGCGCTGTTAGTGAAGACCAATTCAAAATGCGAAGCATACATACGCTGGTTGTCGTATTTGAAGTCGGGACTGTTGTCTGCGTCTAGTCGCTCGGGAATCATAGAGTGCATGGGCTCTGGTAGCGTTGATCGAATGCGCTTGGCAAAGGACAACCGTATCTCCTTGTCCAAGGTCGCAAGAATGAAAGCCTTCTTGGGGTGCAGGTTTGAGAGCTCAAGATCCTCCAGCCATTCCGTCCACCTCCACCTGAATTCGAAGTTGCTGAGATGGTGCGAGAACCAGTCGAGGAATCGGTAGCCTAGCTCCAGATCCATCATAGGCAAGTTCTTGTAGATGGTACGGATAGCACGTCCAAGGGAGGGCGCGATCGCAGCGGGCGCGACCTTGCAGCACTGTGTGATCAGTGCGTGGTAGTAGACGAGCTTGTGCTCTGCACTGGGCAGCTTGAACAGTTGCGAAAAGATAGCGTCAATGATCATGTCCTCCGACTTGTATTGAACCTTGTCGCCAACCAACTCACGGAACTTGTCAAAGGGCGAGCCACGCTTCGCGAAAATGTCAACTGACCAGTAGCAATCGACGTCCACAAGGAACTTTGCGACCATTTCACGGTTAAAGTCAAGCTGGTTGATGGTGTCAACGATGGCATCTCGAACGAGCGATGACGCGATGTCTGTGGTCTTGGGCACAGTGTCAACTTCCTGATCGGCGAACAAGGAGAAGTATGCCTCTGGGAAGACCGGCCGCGGGCCAGGGTTGACTGGCGATGGGATGGTGAAAGTAGGAAAGGCGTGAGTCTGAGGGGCCATGGGGAGAGCGTCTTCCTCAGTGTTCATCCTACGTAGAGCGTCCTTGTCGATACGTGGAATGCACCTTAGTTCAAAGCCAGACTCGGCCTCAACTGATAGCTGTGCTTGAAGTAGGCCAATAACGCTGTGGTGGTCAACCGGCTTCGATTCGAAATCGCCGACGTAGGAGTGAATGAGGCTTTCAATGGGAACCGCGTTGCTTGCTACTATGCCAGTGTTCTTCAATAGCTGTTGTGCTTGCTCGTGGAAACGCTCTCCTCCAGCGACGATGGCGTAAGGAATGGTAAGAAGAATGATCTTGACCAGTTCAATACCGACAACCTAGTAATGTCAGTAGGTGTGATAGCTAAACGCATGTAGCTCTTACATCGTTCTCGTTGGCACTCTGGAGATCAACGACTGTGTCGAAGAGCTGTCCAAGGAAAGTGAAGACACCGTCTTCCTCGTAGAGTGACTGAAGGCAAGCGAAGAACCTCAGAAGCAGCTTGAACTCTTTCCACTCGCCGGCGTTCAGCGCTTCTTGTGCCCGGTCTCCGACGCGCTTCATGGCCTCGATAGTGATTTGTGAATTAACATCGTTGGCGTAGTAGGCGACGGCTGCGACGAATGGGATTTTGAAGGGCTGCTCGATGACACTATCGCAGTTAGTGAGATGGACGATTCAGGACAAACTGATGGTGCTTACAGCTGTACAAAGACATCGAAGAAGTCGGAGCGAAGACGCTCGTCGTCAAAGTGCTCTCCAAAGAACTTTGCGATCTCGATAGCCTCGTCCTGGGGTAGCTTGGTGGAGCTTGCAATGTTTAAGAGCAGTCTACGCAGTTTGGGGAACGGCGGTTCTTCGTATCGGCGACGAGGGCCATCATCGTTACGGCGGCGCTGGGGTCCGCGACGGTCGTCACCGCGGTAGTGATTGTCGTTGTCATCTGCGGGACGCTGTAAGTATCGTAGAAATAGGTAATTGACCACGCCCCAAAGCAAGATGGTGAGGACGGATCCCATGTGCATATAGAGAGCCATGATAGTGATAGAATCAACAAGTCGTCCACACCACATTTGCAGCTTGCGCAATCGTTTGGGAGAGGATGCATGTGTACTCACCATCACGACGACGCTTGTTGTTTCCTCGATAGTTTCCACGGTCGCGCCTGTCGTCACGTCGGTCCTCGCGCCTATCCTCGCGCTCTTCCTTGAAGTCTGCGTCCGCCATGTCCGCGACCAAGATTGCGCGTGCCTTTTCTTCTAACGTTTCCGGAGAATCTTCCCTCTGATGCAATGGAATCCAGGCACGGTCGGCGCGAGAGTTGTCGCGGTCGCAGTTTACAGGCCTATGCGGTGGATACAAGTCACCACGCCGGTGATCAAATGTGCGTTTTCGGAATGGGGCGGTTCGATTGCGATGTTGGCGGATGGTTCGCGATAGTGAATCGTCGAGATGGCGCGCTGGAGCTTGCGTATCGAAAGGGTTAGCGGCATCTGCGCCCGTACCTTGGCGCTCGGTCCATGCACCGTCAACGTCGACGTCCATCGACGAATCATTGAAGGGTGACAGGTCCTGGAGTAAATCTAGCTGTGTTTCTTCATCTGTCAATTTGAGCATAGCCATCCGATCTGGCGAGATGAACTCGTTATTCACATCCAATCCAATCATCTTGGTATTGTTTATAGCTTGTCTTGTATTGACCGTTACCTGGTGGCGTATTTGACAAGCCGATCGTGTGGCACTTTATAGAAAGATTGCGGGTGAAGATTTGAACAACGTCCCTATGTACGGGACAGTAAGAGGGAGGGTCACCGAGGTGAAGCTTCGAGTAAAGGCAAACTGCGTACAACAATAGAGCTACATATATTGCGACTTCATGTAAAGGCATGAGGTGATAGACACACACAATTCTACTTCTTCACATGTCTGTCGAAGGATGTTCAGGTTCTTGGATTATCTGATACTGCAATTACCAGGAAATATGCGTCACTTCCATCACACAAAATGCATCACTTAGATGTCACACAGTCCAATATACATGGAGGAACATGAAAGAAGTCTTCGTTCTAGAAAGTATGCTGGGAGGTGGGCGAATGGCATCATAGTCATTGTCCGGTAGACATTCGTTCCGCTGCAAAAGTGCAGTGCCTTGCTCTAGTGCTTGCCCAGACTGGCCATCCTTTGTCCAGCCTGCATGGTCCCCATTACAGGAATAGCATTTCCCAAGTTCATAAAAGCTTCATCGCCCGATGTGCAGCCCGCCGAACTCATCTTGAACAAAAAGAAAACTCCCGCATGCAACCCAGGTGACGCATCGTAACCACTGTTGAAGCGTCGGAAATCGGATGAGTGAGACCCTCTCCCTGTATCCCATACTCAGTGCATGTCCGGATTTTGCCCGTTCCCCATTTCCGTCATAGTTGCAACCTTCTGCGCCCATTCGTCATCTCAAAAGGGGATCGAGGAACATCATTTGCGGTGCCGGTCCATGATCATTTCGCGTAAACGGGCAGGCCATTGGCCACCAAAAGAAAAGCAAGCCAGGTCATTCTTTGTAAAGGTGAATGTCGGTATCATTTCAGACGCGCTCAGATAAAGCAGGAAAGGGTGTGCTCCTCGTAGTATACACCTGATAAAACCGACGCCCATTTGAGACTCCATTTTGCATCTCTCCGGACGGAAAAGCTTTGTGCTTAGGCCCAGAGAGGATCAGAAGCCGCCGCATGAATGAATGGTATCGTTTCGCGTGATAGCAGGGGCTTAATCTAGCCTTGCTATCATCTGATCCCGCGTTAATGGCTTGAAGTTCGGCGATTCGAAGTCGAGGCCACGTGCGGCCAGTGTCGCGCGGATGTGCTGCGGTACCAGCTGATTGTTGAGATGAGGAGCAATGGAAAGTTCTAGACTAGTTAGACTCTGTGCTTGTCGCAGGTTCAAGAAGACATACCGTGGTGAGTAAAGTTGTACAGCTCAGGCAGATCACGAGTCGCTCCGTTGGGGTGACGCGAGTCTGGCAAGCGTGTGTTTGGATCCCTCAACTCATCGAAGAAGGGGTGTACCATGGCATCAATAGCGGAAAGACGCTGGGTAGGCGTGTACTCGAGCAGTTTGGAGATCAGATCGATCGCGTTGGGATCAGCCTTTCGGAACACCTGGTGAATGTAAGTGGATGTACGCAGCGGCTGGCGATAAATTGCTCCACATACCTTACTGAACGGATGAGGCTTAATCTGCGGGAACTTGTGCTCCATGTAGTTGGGGTTCATGGTGCGGATCTGGTCTCGGGTAGGCGTTCCCAAGACCTTGATGATCTCTACGAGCTGGTCAATACCCGACTCGCCCGGGAACAATGGCTGTCCAAGCATCAACTCTGCCATGACGCAACCTGTGGACCACACATCTGCAGAAGATTAGCATGTGGCTACTTCCAATTACAACACAACCAACGTACCGATCTTGGTGGTGTAGTTTGTGGCTCCGAAAATCAGCTCAGGCGCGCGGTAGTACCTGGAGCAGATGTAGGACACGTTCGGCTCGTTCTCGACCAGGATTTTGGCACTTCCGAAATCGCAGAGCTTGAGGACTCCGGTTGAAGGGTCTAGCAGTAGGTTTTGGGGCTTAATGTCCCTGTGGCAGATACCCTGCGAGTGAATGTAGGCGAGCGAGCGGAAGAGCTGGTAGATGTACAGCTTGACTTCGAGGATGGGCATAACCGACTTCATCTTGTTGAAGTAGCGCGAAGCACGGTACACGGTCTCAGGAACAAACTCGAGCACGAGATTCAGGTACACCTCGTCTTTCTGTGGCTGAAACGGTTAGCTACACGAAATGCACGCAGGCGTTTGCTTGCAGACACATACCCGCTCGCCATTGTTGTAGAAGAAGGCCTTGAGCTCGACAATGTTGGGATGTCGGACAATGCGCATGATCTGGAGTTCGCGGTTCTGTTTGGGGGGTCAGCTGAGGCTGTGTATTTTGGCGTGTGTCGCGCAAACGCACCTTGAAGCGCTTGTCTTGCAGGACACGCTTGATGGCCGCATCTTCACCACTGGGCGACAGCTTCGTCTGGAAGACTACGCCGAAAGAGCCGTTGCCGACAATCTTGCACTGCGTGTATGCGAGGTCTTTGTAGTCGCCGGTCAGGCCGTCCTGGACCTTTTCGCGGATAACTTCTGTGGGATTGTGAGCATGACATCAATTACGCCGTGGGTGCAAGGGGGAGACTGACCACCCATTCTTAGCGATGAGAAGGCCGATGGCCGGTTCTGGCTCATTGTTTGGGGTTATGCGTGAGGGAGGGGGTCCGCAAGCGATGCGCGGATTGCTGGTGGGGAGGAGGCTTTGGTGTTGGGAGCAAGGGGGTGGGTGCAGAGTCGAGTTTGGCGGAGCAGAGGCGTAGTGGATAAGGTTGTAGGCGCGAGGTCGAGTGTCAAGAGGGCGTGGTCCCGCGTGCCGTCTGTGCAGTACCAGGTGACGCTTCTTGTGGCTGACGGAGCTAAGGAACAAGGAAGGCGCAGGGGGACCGCTCAGCAACGATGGTCGGGCAAAGGTCACAGCAGCAGGTGGGAAGGGGAGGGTGAAGGATAATTGACGGCGGAGATGGAGAGCTTGTGAAGGTGCGAGGAAAGGCGACGATGGGGTTGAGTGACGGCAGTGCTGGGGATTAAGGGCGGGGCACTGCTAGTGCGAAATTGGGTGCCAACGTGATCAGAAGGCCTGCAATTCACGTACTTGTCAGCGCAGGCCAGTCGAGCGGCGTCTAAGCTGGCAGACCTTGAGCGTACGGTAGTGGCCCGGTGCAGGAATTATGGACCTGCAGCAAGTCGGCGGGATGGGATGCAATGCAGATGAGAAATGCTCGTGGAGCCTTAGATTAGGTACACAAGGCTGCTGGTGTATTGCGGAGGCAGGAGCCTGCGGATCGTTGTTGCTTGAAACAGAGGCGTCAGCAGTCGCGGCTTCGCTCTGGCACACACGACATCAGACGTGTTTATGACTGCTGGCCCAGCCAGACTCTAACAGACGACACCACGAACATTCAACATGACCATTGCGTCTGCAGCTGCGGACGCCGGCCTGCACGTGAGGCATCAGATTTCTTCCCAGCACGCCGTCATGCCGCCTGAAATGAGCTGCACCCACTTGCTCGTTGGCGCGTGGCTGAGACGCACTCCAATCATCGCTGGAGCTTGCCATGCTTATACCAACCTGGCAGTACGAGCCCCGAATGGCTCGCCAGCGATAGGTTGCGCGCGCCCATTAGTGAGTAGCTGCCTCTGATGCTCCGTTTGACATGCGACAACCGTTCCCATTGAGACGTTGGCAGCCCATTGAGGCCGTTACCATGGCCTGAGCAAAACCCTATCCACAGGGCCCACGACGCCTCTAGCGAGTCTCCCTCAACACTCCGCGAATGCTCGACAACGTCAGCCAATTCCATGCTGCGGACGCCTGAGCGCCCGCGGCAGCAATTTCATGCAGCACGCAGTTCGAGCAACCACAACCTTGTCTTTGTTTGCACCACAGCCCGTCAATCAAAGCCGCCGCCGCCGCACATTCGACGACGACGTACCATGACACTCGCGAGTACAGGGGTCCGTAGCCGCAAAAAGTCTTCCGACTGGCGTTGCAGAGGCTCAAGTCCGACTCAACAACATGTCTTTTTCAAACTTTGCCCTCTCACCCTTGCAGCCTGCAGCAAAACCAAATCCCACTGCCGCCTCGTTTTGCTGCATCCAGCCCATCGTCATTATTGTCGAGGCCCCGGCCACGCCCTCGTGGCCTGCAGCTCCACTTGGAGGGCAGCTGATGTTCTCTCACGCCCTGGTCCTGGCGCCCCCCTCTTCGTCTACAGCCGAATGTCCGGGCGACCCAGAGGCGTGGCGTGTTATTGTGGTGCATATCCTCTCACAGCCGCCCAGCCCTTAACCTCACCATGCCATTCTCGTCTCGTCAAGTGCCACTCCACCGTTTGTGCCCCTTCCTTCTTGACCGGCTGCTGCGACAAGCGGAAGCGGTCCAAGTCAACGACACCGCTGTCCGAGCATGTCAAGGGCCCACTGGCCGGTGTGAACCACTGCTCGGTGCGGGTTGCACACTCGCCTTTAGACCCAAACGGGCGACACTTGCAGGAACCGACATCGTTGCAAACTATTCATGACGCTTGTGTTCCCCTCTTCGCCTTTCCCGCACTTGGTGCTGCAAGGCACGTGCAAGTCGCGCGCGCAACATGGTCCAGACGCGCCAACAGCCATGCCTTTGATGTGAATTGAGATCACGACCATGTCTACTGCAGGCTACTGAGACAGATCGGGCTGAAACAATTACTACAGATTTTGCATTTGGCGCTTGCTGTGTGGGTAAGCTAGTCGAGCTACACCATCGATGCCCGACTGGCCGCTCATACGTCAACCTGCAGTAAGCATTGCCGTTCGGAAATCCGACCCACCCTATTGGCTTTCATCATGTGACTCCAGGCCTTTTGAGGACGATATTCCCAGCCGCTACAGACGGCTGCATAACCTTTACAATAGCCATGAGACCCACCATCACCGTCATTACTAGCACTATACTGCTACCGACAGACTGGTTCTCGTCCCAGCGTGAGCTGAGTCACGAGTATGCTGTTCCTGTACTTCGTCACTCTTGACCTCTTACCCAAACTCATCACTATCCCGACCATCCCGGATATAGCGAATAGATTATAGACTGTGGTAGATCTTAGATCATAAAGCCCCTGGGGCACTACATTGGTGCGCAGCGACACCTCGTGCGACGAAGCCTCCCGCTCTGTCTCAGATCCGGTGGCGGAAGCTACACACACGTAGAGTGACGAACAAAAGGACGCAGGCCCAGATGTCAGCGCTTTATTCGCTTGCTGACCCTTAGGTACGAGACGACCCAAGAGACGCCAATATTTGCTTCTGTTCTACTTCGAGCAACGCACGCATACACATTTCAGCCTTACGGGGTACCCGTCCTACTCGTCACACCCAACGACCGGACTATGCCGACCCGCCTATGCCGTCGAACACTCGGAGATTTCCTTCCTGATAGCGCGCTCTCATGCAGCACGGAATCAACATGCTCCATTTAGATGAAGACAATGGAGGATGCACGGTGGTTGTACTACACTCGATGTACAGTTACCGACATCGGCCGGGGAGCTCGCGAAGCTTATCTACAGCTGTCACGTTGGAATTCGTTGCAGTGCATCTTGGTGTCGTGGTTACGTCGTCACGGTTCAGCGCACACATCTCATGCTCTCATCCGAGTCGACGCAGAGCCAGCAACCCAGCGGCTACCCGGACGGATGATACCAGTCTGTCAATGGTCAAGTACGTACATGACTGACACTTTCTTCATCTGGTACCGTCATACACCACCGTTAGTGGGTGCAACACCTTCTGGTGCATCTTGGTCAGCCTATACAACAGAACCTCAGATCGATATGATCGTAATGCGCATCCCTCAGCAAAGCCGCGAGCTCTCATTGTCCAATCCCTAATGGTTCTAGCTACAACCGCTCATAACTCAGCTGTAACGATCAGAACACAGTCTGGGCGCTCTTGTCGTCGAAACAAGTACACGAAATACTTTGCCCCATGTTCTACGATTTCCCCGTTCAAGCCGACCCACAATAAGCAATCCTTCCGCAGCTCGAAATCCGGTAGAACGGTTCGAGCAACGTTTTAGCATCGCGTTGTATGTTGATGTTACTGGCCCATCTGCATCACAAGTCGTACTTGGTGGCATCCTTTTCACCTTGTCACTTACGTTGGGAACTCAACGTCGTAACTTGGACCTCACCAATGGAAAAACACTTCAGACGTCGAAATCGATACCAACTATCCTGTCCCTGCCAATTATCGGTAACGTGGATCATCTTCCTCTTTTAGTTCAGTATACGCTCAACCAATAATCTCCCAAGAATATTCCATGGCATGCGGGCATCCATGTCAACCGCAGTATGCTAGATACGATGAGCATAACGTGCAGGGAAAGACGGAGAGATTCTGTAATCTCCCTATTACTCGATACATTGCATCACTTTTCTACTTATCAAGGCCAAAACGCCTCGAGATCCAGCTCTCCATCCTCTCTTAAACGCTTCTCGAGCACTACGTCACTGGCCGGGTGCCTTTCCTTTCCTTCTTTGAAATGACCCTCAAAGTACTCCTTACAAAGGAACCCGTGTATTTGATCAGAATATCCGTACACATCTTCCGGCCAAATGGAGTGTACTTCAACCATGTCTTCACCTACACGCAGCTGCAATATGTCGCGTATAGCTAAGGTCTCCCAATTGGGGACTTGAAATACCATACTCTCTTCGATGTCGAGCTCCTCAAAATGTTCAAATAGATCACCGAAAAGCTTCTCTCCGCCTCTGTAAACATAGGGTGTGAAGTCAAAGGGTCGCTCTCGACGAACAAAACGTTGAGTTCTGGTCCAGCACGATCTCGTATCCGCTCCATGACCTGCTGTCGTCGCGCCAGCGTACTGTTGGTCGCATCGAATATGCCCACAGACCCACTGCCCTTCAGAATGCAATCCAGCAAATCGTCCACGGCCTTGTTCGGGGCTGCAAGGATATCTGGCACTGTCATGTTCATTGTCTTCGGGAGAATACTTGTACCGACGGTAAGCGGCAAGCACAGTCCTACGCTGGTCGTAGAAGTGATTACGCAGGTGACGGTGAATAGCTGATTTTCTCAACTCTGGACTCATATTCTCTTCTTCCAAGGTCGGGACAAATGCCTCGAGGAGCTTATCCCGAAACGTCCGCATGACCATTTCTTCAGTGAAGAGCCGGGTAAAGAGCGCTTTCCAATCAAACGAGAATTCCCAGGGCGAGGTATCAACATTGATGGAGAAACCGGGGATGATGATGTCGTTCCTCATACCGCCTTTTGTGTAGCCTCTATTCAGTGTGCCTTGGCCGAACCGCACTATGACGTTCAAGTCCAATTGCTCCCATGGCTTTCTGTCGTTTGATCTTCTAGCTTCCTCAGGCCAGCCTTGTGGCACGTCGGATAGACTAAGACCCCACATCTCTTTGAAAGTTATGATGTCTGCATCCTCATTCCTTCCGGTAAAGCTCTGGTCGCATGGCGGCAAAGACGCGGCAGCCTGGAGCCCCGAACGAAGGAATGGCTTCAAGCAGCACGCGCATCTCGATAAGGGCAAGAGACTTGTGTGTGAGGCTGTTTGCGGGTGTGAATGGAAAGCGTTGGAGCAGGCTGCCGTTGAATAGGCACCGTTGCAAGGTTGTTTGAGAGCTTGAAATTCGGCAGAGGCCCGTGAGCGGTGGTAGTCACCGATTTGGAATGACAGCTTGGGAATCCAAAACCTGAGGAAGTTTTGCTCGAGATGTGCTTTGTGGTGGCGCGTTATGTGGCGTAGGTATGTCCATTGGTAGGCTGGGTCGTGGTCATAAAGGGCGATGAGTGATGAGATGATGTGGTCGATGAGCTCCCGTGGTAGTGTCGGAAGCTGCGGCATTTTTGGTAATACCGAATTGGAGGTTCTGGTGTACAAGCTGAATCACAGTCGGTTGCTCGACTGGACGCCTTGTAAGTACTATGTCAAGATGAGTCACTCAGTTGCCTGTGGACGCAGTGTAAACGTTGATTTTCTACATCATGAGCCTTGCAATGTTTTAGAGCTTCATTAGGTGAACCATAATTATCTTCTTGATATATATATATGTATATATATAAGGCTTCACGTCTCGTTGAGAGGTTGAACAAAGCGCGCCACGCGTAACGGCGGCGTCGCGTTCATGGCGCACCCATCGCCAAGTACAACTGCAACACCTTCAACACCATCACTCCATCAATGCCTCGGTCAACGACATGTTTCCCTGAAGTGCATTTCCCATCGGCAAAGTATCATGCCTTCGTGGTGTGAGTCTGGCTGATTACGAGGTCCAAAGCGGAGATGTTCCAGATCGTACCTCGGCAACTCTTAGCTCCCCAACGTCAATGACCGAAGCAGTAGCCATGGACGACTCGTCTCCGCATCTTTTGTTAAACTACCCCGGATTTCCTCCCTGAACTTCCTCCATACCTCATACTCACTCTTACAGACAGCAAACATGTCTGTACCGTACGACCGCGCCATGGACTTGCTGAGCAACAGCCAGAATGGCCATGTCTCCGCCTCTCAGCGCATTCCCGCCATCGCGCGGCCATTCGTCAGCGAGAGAGCGGCGAAGACTCTCGACATCGTGAGATGCCCTACAAGCTATGTCACATGGAATGCTAACGTCTGCATAGGTAGAGAAGTTTGTCGAGGAAGAATGCATCCCCGCCGACGCTGTTTACGTGCGCCAGATCGGCCAGACGGTCCAAGAGCGCTTTTCGTCACATCCATCCATAATCGAGGACTTGAAGAAGCGGGCACAAGAACTCGGACTGTGGAACATGTTCCTGCCCAAGGCACACTTCAAGGAGGGTGCTGGTTTCAGTAACTTGGAGTACGGACTCATGGCTGAGTACCTGGGCAAGAGCCGGACAGCGTCTGAGGCTGTCAACTGCGCTGCTCCTGATACCGGCAACATGGAGGTCATTGCCAAGTACGGTACCGAGGCACAGAAGAGGAAGTGGCTGGACCCGCTGCTCCAGGGCAAGATCAGGTCTGCGTTCTTGATGACGGAGCCTCAGGTTGCATCGAGTGATGCTACCAACATTGAGATGACCATCAAGAAGGACGGCGACCACTACGTCTTGAACGGCCAGGTTAGTCTGCCTTCAACCCACCCCATCCTCCACCCCACTAACACCTCTCCAGAAATGGTGGTCATCAGGCATCGGCGACCCTCGCTGCAAGATCTTCATCGTCCTCGGAAAGACGGACCCCAACAACTCCGACAAATACAAGCAGCAATCCGTCATCCTCGTCTCCAACGACACACCCGGTGTGACGATCCACCGCATGCTCTCAGTCATGGGTTTCGATGACGCGCCCCACGGCCACGGCCACGTTACCTTTGAGAACGTCCGTGTCCCCGCCAGCAACATGGTGCTCGGCGAGGGCCGCGGTTTCGAGATCATCCAAGGTCGTCTCGGACCCGGCCGTATCCACCACGCCATGCGCAGCATCGGATCTGCCGAGAAGGCGCTAGAATGGTTCCTGGCGCGCATCAACGACGAGCGCAAGAAGCCGTTTGGCCAGCTGCTTAACAAGCACGGCATCATGCTCGAGCGCGTCGCCCGCTCCCGCATCGAAATCGATGCTGCGCGTCTCGCCGTCTTGAACGCAGCTATCAAGATTGACGAGACGAATGCAAAGGGTGCGCTCAAGGAGATTGCCGAAGTCAAGGTCCTTGTCCCCGAAGTCAACCTCAAGGTCATCGACTGGGCGATGCAGGCTTACGGTGGTGCGGGTGTTAGTCAGGATACGCCGCTCGCGCAGATGTGGTCGAGTGGTCGTACGATGAGGATTGTGGATGGGCCGGATGAGGTGCATTTGCTGCAGTTGGGTAAGAATGAGAATAAGAGGGGGTTGGCGCATAAGCAGAGGATTGAGGCGCAGCAGAAGAAGGGCGAGGAGTTGTGCAGGAAGTATGGTATTGAGCCTAGGGATCCGTTGTATCTTAACAGGACGAGTGGGGAGGCGAGTAAGCTGTAGATGGCTGGTTGGTTAAGTGGAGAATTGTGACAATAGCATTGTGTCCAATCTACTGAGATCTGTGGGTATCGTCCGCGATGCATGTGTTGATGGTGATGATGCTTGACTAACATGACGTTGCTCGAAATGGAAGCTCTTCGACTAAGGAACTGTTAGAGTTCTAGTATCCAGATCACTTGATGAAGCATGTGATTAAGAGGTAATGAAGACATACGGCGGACTACCAAGTAAGTATATAGGCCTATCGCATTGTCTGACGCTCAACGATATCGAGGGCTGACAGCGTTTTCCCAAGGATAGCTATTCCTACCACCAATGGCGATCATCATTCTATTGTACACGAATGAAAATGTAAGGGAAAGACCGTGAATATCTTCTCTACAAAGAGCCCCCAAAGTTGCTCAGATTGGGGCCAGTCCACATATCCGCACCCATATCAATGAAGCTCATGCCCTGGTTCGCCAAAAGCTTCGCATACAACTCGTCCGCGAGCTTTCTAGCGGCATACTGTGCATTGTCTTCCGCAAACGCAACAGCCCGTCGATATTGTAGATTCCCATTCGAAAGGAGATCTGCACGTCGACCGACAAGAAAAATCATCATCTCAATACGTCCATGTTCCGTGGCGCCCTCGAAGGCGGTTCTGCCGTCACAGAAGGCTGGCGGCGCGTCTATGTCAGCTCCTGCGTCCAGCAGAATCGTCGCGATACCAATGTTTCCCTTGATTGCAGCTAGTTGTAGGGCAGTTCCTCCTGCGCGGGCTGCTGGAGGTTCGTCTGCATTGGCGCCTTTGCGTAAGAGGTATTCCGCGATGTCCTTGCTTCCAAATTCGGATGCTGCTTGTAGCGGTGTTCGGTTGATAAGCCATTCGGCTGGTAGAGAAATGTCTGCGCCAGCTTGATGCAGCTTCCGAACGGTCGCCAATGAACCCAGTGAGATCGCGTACAGTAGTGAAGTCATATTACCGTGCTTGTAGGATCTGTGTACAACAGCGTTGAGGTCTTTGACTAGAGGTAGAAGATTGTCAAGCACTCCACCATCAAACCCACTTTTAGCATGACGACGTATTGCCTCACCAAGTGGGCTCGTGAATACAGTATCTTCAAGATCTTGAGATGTATCGGGTTTGCGATCTTCTTGTACTGGCCCAGTAAGATCGACGTCTTTGGCAAGTAGTTTGAGCAGTCGGATATTGCCGCTTCTTATAGCCCGATATAGTGCGTCCGATCCAAAGAATTGCGCTCCATCTGGATATCGAGTCCTGAAGACGGAGAGAAGCAACGCAATGACGTCTTCTTTAGAGTCAACCATAGCGCATACGAAAAGAGCGCTATTATCAAAGGGATCCGCTCCTCTGTGCAACATCTCTTTGATCAGAGTAAGATCATTTGTGACCGTAGCGGCAGCTAACGGAGTTAGTATCCACCCATTTGCATAATCGACTGTTTCATACAGGCTGTTACATTGGTAAGATGTACCATGAGCTCTGAACAACACAGCCTGTACACCGTAAGTCACCAAAGTCTTTACTACGCTAAGATTCCCTGTTAGTATTGCAGCGCTCAGAGGTGTATATTTCCAGTGTCCATCATGGCAAGGCGCTGGTATTCCAGGCAACAAATCCCAGTCTCGTACCTTGACATCTACCATTGAATTGCACACATTGACAGGTTGTCCCAGCTTAAGTAGTTGCTCGATAACTGTTTGATTGCCCCATCGTAGAGCCTCCCAGAGTATGACGTTTTCTTGTTCGCTTCCATCTTCAAGCACAAAGGATTGAACAGTATCGATATACCTGATCAAGAGGATCACAGTTGCCAGTCGCTTTTTCTGGATCGCTAACAAAAGGCTTTTTGCACTCGGCTTCATTCCTGCAGACAGGAGCCTGCCGATAATATGATCTTGATCTCCTTCCATGGCAGCTCCAATCGCTCGTCTCAGTTTTGTCTCCCTACGTGGGAAGTTTGGCATTGACAGAAGTTGCTCGACGATAACGCTATCGCCAACCTCACACGCTGCTACGAAGGCTGAGGCCAATCCGGCAGGTTGTTGAGACAAACGTGAGACAAACCCTCTCTCCCGGAGTATCTCGAAAGCTCCCTTGGAACGATTCAGAATAGACTCACTGAGCGCAGTACAATCGGCCCGTCGACGCCATCCACCTATGGGGAAGTGGTAGGTTCCAGCTTTGGTATTTGGGTCCAAATCACGGCTTAGGAAGTCTTTGAGAATCTGCACATTATTGCTTTGAGCGGCACTGATCAAGCAGTGTATGTTTGGATTGGCATCCATGGAGAGCAGTATATCGATGTCTGACGCTCGGTTTTGTAGTACTGCGGCAGAGAGTGAATGCGACAATACTGAATTCCAAACTCCTTCCTGGCCATTACTTTCCAAGAATGCCTGATTCAGAATAGCTTCTAATGTCTTCGAGGACGGGTCATCCCATTCTGGCTGCAATAGAAGTCTTGTTAGGCAGCCTTGTTGGAAGAATATTTCGAAGCTTCTTTGCAAGAAATGTGTAGCCAATACCGACAATTCGTCTCTGCTGCAATCATGGATTCTATCCATTCTGTTCGAAAATGCGGTAGGTTCAAATTGCAGACCGTGATCAATCAAGAGCTGAAGGATTGGGACTGCTACTGCAGGGTCTCGCTTCATCCAAGGCCACCCTAAAATTGTGTCCAGACGATCAAAAACAGGTAGATCATGATTGGGATCAGCACCGTGATCGAGAAGCACCCGTGTCGCCTGGAAGTGCTCTTCGGCACACGCATACCTTAATGGATAGTACTCGACGCCTTCAAGCAGGAAAGATTGTTTGACAAGATTCGTTTGATTCGTTTCCAAAACGTAATCCAAGATGGTCCCATCACCCAGGACTAGCGCCGCACGGAATATGTTCTGGACCAAGGCTAGTTTGTATGGCGGCGGGATGGAATTGACGAGACTGCTTAACATGCGCTTATCAAGAGAGAAGCATTGTACTACACCTGCCTTGAAAAGCTGGTCGAGCTCTGTCTCGGGTTGTTTGAGCGCCAGAGCAGCATCGCTGTCATTGATCAGTCGATGGAAGATCATGTATATGATTTGATGATCAATGCTTTGTTGACGAATGAGCTGTAGCGTATCGGGACCTGACACGTTCTTGAGTGCAGAATCTAACGCACTGCGGTTTCCAAGTATGACTAGATGAGGAGACGATACAGCTCTCGGGAACACGTGTGGAATGACCCGAAACATTGAGCTTGCGAAGTCAGGCATGGAAAGCATCCCCGAGAGAATCTTTTCGTGTGTAGAGAAGACGTCCATGAAGTTGTTCAGGTTCGAAAGTCTGACATCGTTCTGGCTGGCGAAACTGCTAGCATATATCGCACTTGGAGAGAGAGGGAGGTTGCTAAAGTCCCCGAGCAGGTTAGTGTTGTATGAATCGCTAATTGATGCTGAGCTAGTGTTTACACTAACGCTCATGTGAGTTGCGGAATGGAAAGCATCATTTGCAGCCACGGTTGTATTCGAAGTTCGTGTGGGGCCCTTGAGGATGAATGATCCAAATTCGCCCTGGGATGTCGAAGCTTGAAGATTGACGCTATGCATGGAGAAAGAAGGGAGATTAAGCCAATCATCGACTATGTCCGAGGATGGGTTCCTGGGAGAAAGACGACTTAGTGGACATGGCTGTACAGTGAAGTGGTGTGGAGAAGAGGTCCGGATCGGAATGTTCCCTGGAAATGGATGCGCTGTGTAGAACGATTAATACCATGCAATATTCGGGAGGATCTGAGCTCTTACTCTCAGTGGACGCGTCGATATCAGGCCCTTGCGTGTGTCCTTCTCTTACTAAACCTTCCGTTCCCTGGTTGTCAGGGACTTGTGCTTTAGTGCGGCGATCATGTGCAGCTGCATATTTGTAGCAACCCCATTTCTTTAGCCTTGTCTCGTATTGCGATTTGCTACGTACGAGTTAATACAAATTATCCATAACTTACTGGCAACCAAGTCTTTTGCCTTGCACTTACGTTGCCGAAAAGCCGTGCTCTGAGAGCATCGTATCCCTGACTCCACCCGCAGTCATCAAGGGCCTTTTCTCCGAAAGGTACAGGTGCAAGATATTGCGCTTGTGCGTCTCCCACGTCCCCCTCGGGATACGTTGTGAGTACTTGCTGTCCGCCATTGGTATGTTTGATGGGGAAATTAGTGATGCAGATGAAGAGGTCTTGATGCGCGTAGATGTTTCCGCATGAGCAGAGCTATCGATCTCATTAAAAAGATGATGTTTGGGATCAGGCTGAAGGCGGGGCATCTGCATCTATTGTGAGAACGCACGTGATGTCACTGCCCAGGTGGCGTTCGTAATCTGAATTCAGCCACCCAACTCATGCATGCTGGCCCAAAACAGCCTAGGATGCTTACGACTGTATGCAACCCCATGAAACGAAATCTGATTTGAAGCCTACTCGTGTGGCTGATGCGTCGTGATCGCCATGACTGCGCCCGCCTGAATCAGATTTCAGCACTCTCAGCCTCGCTCAAATCAGATTTCTTCACGCTTGACCTCACCCGAATAAGAATCCGAAATCCTCAGTATCATTTATACATGATGCGAAGCTGAAATCCTGATTTTCTGCCAGCGCATTAGATTCCCTTGGCGCGCGTGTGCGTATAGAATCTGGTTTCCCCAGCAGCATTGTTCAAATCTGAATTCAAATTCTGATTCTACACAACCAAGCCTTACGACGCCGGACTGGAATTTCGAAATCTGGAAGCCTCGAAATCTTAACATCGACTTTCAAATCCGAAATTTGAATTCTCTCTTGGAAATCTGCTTTTCTCTTCATAGATATGTTCGACACGAGAGACCGCTGTGAACCAGCAGACCAGCAATCATACTTACCTTGACGCGCTTGACAACCCCCACATCCTACGATGACTTGGTCGAAAAACAACACAATTTCCGTGCTTGCTCTTTTCGCAAGCTGCACGCCTATATTCATCCTGCTCGCTGCGCATCTACTCCGTCAGAGGCGACTGCGCGCTAAGAAGCAGCGTAGGTACCTACGCCAGTGGAACGCAACAGCGATCATGCTGACAGAGACAGCTCGACTGGATGTAGAAGGGACACCAACAGCACCTCAACCACAATCGTCGCAATATGTTTGGATTAGGAGGGAGTATACGCTTGTGGCATTGATCCTCATCCAGAGGGATGCCCACTTTGCGGATCGCGGAACTTGGGCGATGAGAAGTAGGTATGGTGGATCGGACTCTTCGAGCACTCCGCTGACTCCTTGGAAAGATACACACTACAGATGACCAGGTCGAAGCCTACATTCATGTGGCCATTTCGCTCGCTATGTCCCTCGTGCGCTGTATAGTACTGCGTGAGCATGGCTCGCGTTGCGGGAATCGGGAGCAGCGCGGCGCTCTGCGTCAATCCAGTACCAGTGGACGTGGCGCGCACATCTTCGATCGCATCGGCCATCGCAATAGCGCGCAGTGTGAATTCTCGTTGAACAGATGGGTCTTCTGCTACATGCCGGACTTGCCGCGGTTCTTCGAGGTTGCTGTTGTCGCTTGATAAGTGTCAAAGAGCTACTTCCCTAGAACTCAGCTCGGGTGCTAAGCGTGTGCTGGATCTACGCTAGACCTAATCAGGATCGGCGCAACTTCATTCCTTAACGAAGAACCACACCTCACAAGTGTGTAGAATTGCGTTCGAGTCAATCTGAGGAAGCCTGATTTGTACGGTAACATTCATTGGTTCACATTCTGGGGAACGGTTGAAAATGACTACACTGTAACATTATACTGTCCGCTCTCAAGATATAAAAACATAAGAGCTTCTAGGTTTAACTTCGACGCCTGAACTGAACTATAATCTCTCCATTTCCTGTGATTGCCGCTACTGGTACCGCCTAAAAAGTGATTCAAGCAAAAATGCGCTTAGCAGCGGTATTCAGCACCAGCATGCTGGCATTGACCGTAGTAGGCAATCTAAGAACTACTTAGTATCGAAGTCTGACATAGATGTTGGATAGAACTTACGTTGATGAAGCCTCCATCACCCTTGTTGATTGCGGTACCGGACTTAATCTCGAAGCAGTCGTAGCTAGTAGAGAACTGTTAGAATGGGATTTCTCCAGCTAGCAAAAGAGCACTGAACTTACTCGGTATTGTACATGTCCCATTCGAACTTGACAGTAACGGGGCCCTCGTAGGAGGCACCTGAGCTGAAAGCATAGGGGCCGTTGTAGCAAGCCACACCCTTGACACCAGCTACTCTCTTCTCGTAGAGATCCTTGCTCAGCGACTTGGTGAAGGCCTCACGAGCCTAGGTCGACTTGTCAGCAGAGCACAATTCATACAAGGCATCGACCTACATCATCGAAGTTGTTGAAATCGGCCTTTTCAACCTCAAGGTGGGCCTTGGTCGCGTCGACTGCGATCTTGGCAGCACCTGCAAGAAGCTGTCCTCCAATGACCTTGATGAGCGCAATGGCGATAGGAGCAAGTCTCTTCTCGACGACATCCTTTTTGCATGTTAGCCTATGCAATCTCCATTTTCTTCAACAGGCCGTCCTTACTGGGACAACCTCGACCGATCCCTCGACGTTTACGACGGGGTCAGCGGCGGCCATGGCCGAAGATGTAAGAGCGAGAACGCTCAAGCAGCTGATCTTAGAGAATCGCATGATGGCTGAAAGTATGAGAATACTTTGGGTGAGGTGAAGGTAGTAGAGTCTTGGCTGAAGAAGATGATGTAGAAGGCGCTGATTAGAAAATGAGTGACTCTGACCGTGATACTTATACTATTCGCAAGATGTATGAGTCTATACCGTGTCGGGTAAGTTGTATGAGGTATATACTGTGTCGGATAAGTTGTGTACTGTTGCGATCAGCACCGAATGAATCTCCGTCGGCGTACTGCGAATTGTACCGTGCAACATCGCGGTGTAGCTCCTCGTGTGTGGGTCTTCTTTTCTTACAAGCCAAGCACTCAAACAACAGGACCTCGAACCCCATTCTACAATCATCCTTCTCAAATGATCGAGGTATGTAGCATCTCTCAGAATGATCCAGAAATGAGCCATCTCAGAATGGTGCCTGTTGCTAGACTTCATGGCTAACTCACCACTAGAACTGCCCTTTACGTAGGTTTGACAGAATGCAATGACAGTGGTTGTCCGTGATTTTCTGTCATCTCGTATAGGTGCTGGTCCCGAAGTAGGGCAATGCTTGGTCACAATGTAAGCTTCGAAGCGTTGTTCTCAACACTTTCCCTTCCACCATAAGCCCGTCCAACTTCTCCTTGAACTTGGCCAGCTAACGAAGTCTGGATAGAAGGCCAAGTTGAGAATAAGCGTTGTAAGCAGTAGCAGTGCAGTCTAGGCAGTGACTAAGCCGAAGTCAGGCCGGGCGTTATCCTCCTTACTGGTCAGGGTACTGATCGACATTTCGATCACTTCTGGGATAACGTTTATCCCTAGGCAGATCGCCTCTCCTATTCTTTACAGATTCGCGATACGATGGTGATCAAAAGAGGAAACAATATGAGATTAGCTAGCGGTTAGACTGTCGCGGCGCTCCTTGGGTAGTAGTAAGACCTAAAGGCGACAGTACCCTCTTGTTAGTCAGGCAGCGATGTTAGCGTAGTACCTAACTGTCCAACCGAGCTCTTTGAGGTAGAACAAAAACTGAAGAAGACAAGATGGAACCAGCTGGATTCGACAGCCACGATCAAGTCGGATGCTCCAATAATGATAACTATGCTGTCTGTAGAGGCTCTACCAAGCGACATGCTGAAGTGCTTAAAAACGAAAGATTGGCGATGGAGACTCTGACTCGGAGCGCAGTGGCTGAGCCCCCGAAGCAGCGGAGTTGTACCAAGAAGTGGTCGCCGAAACAATTCCAATCGCCCGTAAAATACTGGAAGACAACACTCCACACGACAATGGCAGTATTCGGTGGGCCAAGACAAGGTGGAGTGCCGAATGAGGCTCATACTAGCATGTTTAAGAGTTTCCTCCGGAGATGCAGGTGCCATCTTGCTGAACATGATTGGAATGAGTTGAGACACTGCCGTTGAGCAGCACAGTGGAGATGAGGGCTGTAAACAAGGTAAGCGCCAACATACTGGAAGAGTGTTCGCTCCATGGACGGGCATCTTAACAATGATGTTATGCAGTGTCGCGAGCTTTGCGAAGAGAAGATCGAAATCGCCATAGTCAAGGGTAGGATGACAAGCTGCGGTTGCCCTTTTTCTGGCCAAGCGCCAAGGAATATGTAGCTAATGCCGCTCGGTCAAGAGCAATACCAAGCGTCGAGTTTACGAACATGATACGCGAATCATATCTCTTGACAAGCTGATCGACGGTAAGCCTCGTGATGGTTCTGTTTAGTGCAGAGCAGGTACGTTTTCATATACTACACCCCTTTCTGACATTTCATCTCTGCTGCAATGACGTATTTGGCTCACAGACTCGTTTATGTCTTCGTCTCAAATCGTGACAGCGACAGAGCTGTTGAACTCAGAAAAATGCTTCTGTTGGGCTTTCCTTAGTCGTTAACATAGAAGTTCAGAAATACTGGTGTCTGCTATCAGAGTATGACGATGCGAAACACAGGCCAGAATAGCCTCATGATAAGCATCAAGCCATAGAGACTCTGAGCCAAATATACACTGCAGGACTCTTCACACGCACGTGATATTCTTGTTCGTACTAGATCATACTGCAGTTACTATCAGACCTCGAACATTGTGAGATGTCATTAGGCAGATTGATGCGGAATCGTTCCGCTAGCGCGAACGCGTAATTGAGAGGCTCAAGCACGCGATAAGTGCATGAGGTACGTCTGGACTTTGCGCCAAACTACACCTTAACGACATGCCGCCCCATAGTAGAGGGGACTCTGCTCCTTCGGGGTTCTACTCCAAATCGACACCTAACCTACCCACTTTAGGGTCATTCGATGGGCAAAGTCGCGATGACCACACTGTGGCATCTCCTCCACGCTCCGCAACCCGACCAGGAGCAAGTCCCTTGTCGCCGATATCGAACAGCGCGCTCTCCGAGGCGGCGTCTGTAGAAGACAATCAGGATGAAGACGAAGACTCGTTCGCGGTAGAGGATATAGCGAGCGAGGACGAAGAGGACGACGAGGAGCCACCGCCTACATCTCGACCGTTGTACACATCTAAATCGTACAGTCACCTCCCTCAACATACCGCGACTGCACTCTTTCCGCCCTTTTACAACAGGCCGCCTACGCCTCTCCCGCCGTCACCCTCGTTGACATCGCTCCTGCGCCCCGCGTTCAGCCGCCCAACCTCGAGGCCTACAACACCAGACTCGTCCGACGTAGAAGGATACACAAGAGCAGGCTCGCATACAACAGGCACAAGCACACCTACGAACCTCGCTAGTTCGGCACGGCATGCTCCGACCGTACCCCGGGCCTCGCCGAAAGTACCTACGTACGAATATTACGGCTTTGCCCTGTACCTAGGCAGCTCTGCCGCTTTCCTCATGTACATTCTCTGGGCCTATGTGCCAGCTCCCATGCTGCATCAGATGGGAATTCACTACTACCCTAACCGGTGGTGGGCGCTCGCAGTGCCGTGCTGGCTGGTCGTGCTAGTCATCTACATCTATGTTGCACTAGCAAGCTACAACACGCGCTACCTCACCCTACCGCTGAGCAGCTGCGAGAACCTCGTCGATGAATGCGCGCAGATAGCCGTTGTCGATCGCATGACTGGGCAAATTGTACGCGATCCGGTGCTAGTAACCGACAAACTTCACGGCAAAGACAAGGAAAAAGGTACTAGAGCGAGTGCACCACCCAGTCGACGAAGCTCTTTTTCGGCATATCAGTTTAGCGCGTCGGAAGAAGTGGATTGGAAAGCGTTCTGGAGCACGGGGACAGACGCTGTAATGGATGTACCAATCGGCGGCGTTTGCGAGATATTGTACGGCAGCGAGGGGTGAACAAGCCATCGTCATTCTGACTATTACTTATTCACGCAGACTGTCACTCTTGGTCAGAGATGCCTGTTGCGCGGAAAAAGCTTGTCACGGCGGGTGGGTCGCTCTAACCCCCACTTACTACCTGCCCCTCCCGAGCTGCGAGATTCGGAAAGCACGATGCGTGTGCCCCGCTATACCATGGGCTGGAGATTGTTCGGATTGGACGTGATTACTCTTGCTATCTAGCTGCTATTGTTTACTCCGGAGCTGATTTCCTTTACTCAGCGGGGCATGCAGCGAAGATAGCTGGTATAAGTCATGCCTTGACGTCCGCTGTTTACTGCTTTCTCCATCCCACCTCTGCCTCGTGAGTTTCGCCGCTTTGCACTGGGTTCGTTTTGCTTCATTCGCTCTTGTGAATAGCTTCCTTCGTTGACAAGCTTTCACATCAATTGCCCATCATGAAGTCTGTTGTTGCTCTTTCTGCTCTGTCCATGCTCGCTGGCGCCGAGGCAGCTGAGACCGTTCTTGGAGCGTACATCTTCCACCGCCATGGTGACCGTACTCCAAAGGCCCTTGCTCCCACCAACCTGACTACCCTCGGTTACGAGCAGGTTTACACATCCGGCCAGTACTACCGCTCACGTTACCTGTCCGGCGACTCCAAGATCCGCGGTATCAATGAGGATGAGGTCAAGCTGTCTCAGCTCCAGGTTCAAGCACCCGTCGACAATGTTCTTCAGAACTCAGCCATGGGTTTCCTCCAGGGACTGTACCCCCCGGTCCAGACTGTCTCAACACTTGCCAACGGCCAGAGCGTGCAGGCGCCAATGGATGGCTACCAGCTCATCCCCGTCAACACCATCGAGACTGGTTCCGGCTCTGAGGACAGTGGCTGGCTGCAAGATGCGTCGAGCTGCCAGAACGCAAAGACGAGCTCAAACTCCTACTTTGACAGTGCAGACTACAAGAACCTTGCGTCCAGCACTGGTGACTTCTACACCTCCCTCATTCCCTCCATCAACGGTGTCATGGCCGATGATCAGGTGACGTTCAAGAACGCCTACGTCGGTATGTCTTCACCAAGGCCTGTATCAATTCATAATCCAAACTAACATGTAACCACAGTCTACGACACCATCCACGTGGCTGAGATCCACAACAGCTCCATCCCCAACAACGACACCTTGACCAACACCACCCTCCACCAAATCGCCACCCTCGCCAACGCCCACGAATGGGGTCTTGCCTACAACGCCAGCGACAACATGCGCGCAGTTGCCGGCATGCAACTCGCCGGAGAGGTCCTCTCTTACATGAACAACATCATCAGCACCTCTGGCGCCAAGAAATTCGGCATCCAATTCGGCGCCTACGCCACCTTCATGTCTTTCTTCGGTCTCGCAGACCTGCCCAAGGTATCTGACGACTTCACCGGCGTCGTCGACTACGCGAGCTCCATGGTCTTTGAGCTCTTCACCAACGCCAACGTCGACTCTGGATTCCCCAGCGGAGACGACTTGCAAGTACGATTCTTGTTCCACAATGGCACGGCGAGCAACGCCAGCGAGCCGGCTGTGTACCCCCTCTTTGGCGGCAGTGATAACGCTGTGTCTTGGTCTACTTTCCAGGATAAGCTCAAGGAGTTTGCTATTGGCTCTACCGAGCAGTGGTGTGACAAGTGTGGCAACACGGCGGGTTCTTGCGCGGCGTTTGTTAACAACGGTGATGCGAGCGCTTCGCAGCAGAGCGGTGGCAGTGGAAGCGATATCTCACCTGCTATTGGTGGTGTTATTGGTGCGTTTGTTACGTTGGCGGTTGTGCTGGGTAGCTTGGCGCTGCTCATGCTTGTGGGTGGGTTCAGGCTGGTTAGCAAGAAGGCGCTTCAGAGGGGTGTTGCGGGCGCAAGTGTTGAGCCTAAGGCTTAGGTTGAGATACTGTGCAGGTAGAGAGAGGAGGTGAAGGGGAAAGGGATGGTTTGGTGTGAGGGAGATTGAGGATGATGTGATTGGATGTGCGAGAGCAGTCACGACTTGAATGATATCAACGAATGAAGTTATGAACGTCAAGTCTAAATTCTCGTTCCACTGTATACTTGTGATATGGGTATAACATGATCCCAGCCTTTGTCTAATCCTTATTCCCTTTTTCCCGACCCCGCCTAAACGCCAACAAATGCATACATTCATAACCCATCATAACATCCTTCTCAGCACGAATGAAAAAAAAAACAAGTCACCAAGAGCTAGCTCAAATCCCCCACACCTCAAGCCCTCAACACACTAAACTTATCCTGCGGCTTCACCCTCGGCGCCCCAAGCCCCCTCCTCACCTCCTCCAACTGCTCCAGCCCACTCTGCTGCTTACCCTTCTTAACCCTGCGTCCACTCTTACCCACACTATGATGGTTGCCCAAGAAGTCATCCATGATGCTATCGAAATCGCTACGCAGCGGGGGCGCCTCTGAACTCGACCACGCACTCATACCACTCATACCGGACATTTTGCTCATCTTGCTCATTCCGCTGACCATAGACGCATCATCAGGCATGTCATCGTAATTCCCGAATCCATCGTCAGCATACTCTTCTTCAATCTTGTCGAAGCGCTGGTCCAGCAAGGTAAGTCCTTCGGTCCTGTGGAGCGCAGAACTAGACATGGAGTAGCCAGACGTAGATGTCTTTGCGCCTTTTCGCTTCTTGTGGCGGCCGCCTGAAGTAAGGCCTGAAGCGCCTGTTATGAAGGACTGGTTGTCGGGGATGCCTCTGTTGGCGGCATCGTTGTTGTTCTGGGGTTTGGCGGCTTTGACGTCTTGTTTGAACTTCTTGAATTCGTCTAGGTAGGCGAGGTCGGCTGCGTCGGCTGGGGCGGGTGCTTCGTCTGGCGCGGGCATCTCGCCACTGGCGGGCTTTTGTCTGGGGGAAGGCGCTTTGACTGTGTCATCGGATTCCCAGCCTGCGTCGTCGTCGCCGTCGAGGAAACGGTCCATGGGGTTTCTGTCGTCGTCTCCCGCGTTGTCAAAGTCTGTCGACTCGAATTCTCGTTGGTCGACTTCGTAGCCGTCTTGGGTTAGGTCGTTGAAGATGTCTTCGTCGTCTTCGACGTAGGCTTCGTCTTCGAGCGCTTCGAGCACTTCGCGCAGGCGCGGGTCCATGTCTGGCTGGAATCCTCTGAGGGCGTCGGGGATGTTTTGTTGGTCTTGGTACGTGGTTTTGCGGACGAACTCTGAGGGTGCCATGTCTTCGCCAAAAAAGTCGCTCACACTGCTGATGTTGCTGCTCACGCTGAGGTCGGCCTGGCTTCTGCTGTCGCTCAGTGAGGCGTCGCGCAGCATGTCGGCCAAATCCATCTTCTGCTTTCCCTTCTTCTCGGCTTTGGCTTCGACAAAGTATGCATCGCCGCCGCCGGAGCCCAGGTCGCGCATGTGTTGCATGTAGTCGTATTTGCTGTCGTCGTAGTAGATGCCATAGTTGGCCGCTTCGCCCTCGTTTTTCCGTACTTTGTCGCCATATTCGCTCTCTAGGTCGCGCCTGGACTTGATTGCGCTGCGTCCCGTCACGGACGAGTATTGCGACGCACGTGAACTTCCAGCGGGCTGGTCCTCTTCGCGCTGGTTGGGTGCGCTGGTCTCAGCGAAGACCATTTGCGGGGCATCTTCGTCGTGGATCCGCGGGTCATTTTGGGCGCGGTGGACGAGACGAAAGTTTGTCGCGTTCTTCTTATCGCTGTCGCGGGGTTAGCGGGGTACTTTCTGGTTGCGCACCCAAATTTCTCTCCTTACATGAACTGTCGGCGAGGCATCTTGGCGGGTTTTGTGACTCGTCCCAATGATGTTCGAGGCAGTGGCGAGTTGTTGGTTGCGGTGGAAGTCTGGGGAAAGCGCTTACAAAGGGTCTTTTGGCGTCGGGCGCTCAGAAAAATAATTTAGGCGAGGGCAGCCCGTGAATGACGTGGTGGGGCAACTCCCGTCGCAACTTTCTCTTTCCACTCACCCCTCTATTGGGTCAGAAACACCCACCACAACCACACAAAACACACTTTTGACCGCAAACATGGTGCTCGCCAAATCCAAGAAGAGCGTCGGGCTGGGCAACAGCCTGATGAACGATAGGTTCTCAAAGGGAAAGGGCGATAATCTGCGAAAGGGCAACTTCAATGCGGGTATCGAGCGAACAGGTCAGAATGGTGAGAAGGTATGTTACCTACGCAGCCAAACATCTGCGCGCTTGTAGTCACAATGCGCAATGTCTTGAGAGGCGTCCGATCGAACACGTAATAAGACCCATACTAACATTCACAGTACATCACGAACGAGAAGAAGGAAGCGTCGTACATGAAGATGCGGTCCGTCACCGAACAAGGCGCTCTCGACGACTTTCTTTCCACTGCAGAGTTGGCAGGCACCGACTTCACCGCCGAGAAGATGAACAACGTCAAGATCATTCACAAGGACCAGAAGAACCCATACCTCCTCTCGCCACTCGAGGAGCGCAATGCCACAAAGAGGCACAAGGAGAACAAGAACAGGTTGACTGTACCAAGGCGACCTCGTTGGGACAAGGACACTACGCCGCAAGAGCTGGACGAGAAGGAGAGGGCGTCCTTACTACAATGGCGGAGAGGCTTGGCTGAGCTACAAGAGAACAACGACCTCCTCCTGACACCCTTTGAGCGCAATCTCGAGGTTTGGAGGCAGTTGTGGCGAGTTATCGAACGGTCGGATCTGATTGTGCAGATTGTGGACGCTCGAAACCCGCTCATGTTCCGATCCGAGGACTTGGAAGACTATGTCAAGGAGGTGGATCCCAAGAAGAACAACCTGTTGCTGGTCAACAAGGCCGATATGATGACGCTGGAGCAGCGAAAAGCCTGGGCCGACTACTTCACCGAAGCGGGCATCAACTACAAGTTCTTCTCGGCTGAACTCGCCAAGGAGATCAACGAAGCCCGAGCTGGACTTGTCGAGGACGACGAGTCAGACGATGATATCGACTCGGATGAGTTGCTGACCGACGATGGTATGGGAGAGGATTCAGAAGAAGAGGCTGATGCGCTCGCCAAGGAAGCCAAAAAGATCAATCTGCAAGACAAGCAAGAGGAGAAGGAACAGTGGGTGGACGAAGAGACCGTCGATGTACCCGGCGCAAGCCGATCAGAGGCTGATGGCGACGAGCGCACACGGATACTGACAACTGAGGATCTTGAAGCCCTGTTCCTCCAACATGCGCCCGATGTCGACACCGGACCCAACGGTGAGCCGCGAAAGACGTCAATTGGTCTGGTCGGTTACCCCAACGTCGGAAAGTCGTCCACCATCAACGCCTTGATCGGTGCGAAGAAGGTGTCTGTGTCCGCCACACCCGGAAAGACCAAGCACTTCCAAACTATCCATCTCAGTGAGAAGGTTGTCCTGTGTGATTGCCCCGGTCTAGTGTTCCCCAACTTTGCAACAACCAAAGCCGAACTCGTATGTGCTGGTGTATTGCCAATCGACCAACTCCGCGAGTACACTGGTCCCGCCGGTCTTGTTGCACGCCGCATCCCACAACCTTTCCTCGAGGCCCTCTACGGAATGAAGATCCACCCCCGACCAATCGAAGAAGGTGGAACCGGCATTCTGACCTCTGACGAAGTCCTCCGCGCCTACGCCATTGCCCGAGGTTTCTCCACACAAGGTCTCGGTCAACCAGATGAGTCCCGAGCCGCACGCTACATCCTCAAGGACTACGTCAAGGGCAAGATCCTCTTCTGCCATCCCCCACCCACCGATCCCCCGCTAGACCCCAAGCACTTCAACCGCGAACTCTACGACGTAAATCACCTCCCCGCCAAGCGCCGCCACCACCCTCTCGCCAACCTCCCTGGTAACCATTCCCTTGCCGGACCCGAGGCCGACAACATGTCACTCATGGACGACGAGCTCGACGGCGGTGGCATACCCGTCCAAGGTGCAAAGACGCAGCGCATGGATAAGCGGTTTTTTGGCCCGGGACAAGGGATGGCTAAGGTTAACCAGCCGTTTCACTACAAGTATAGTGAGCAAGGGAAGGAGCTGAGTGGCAGGAAGGCGAAGATGATGGCGGCGTTGGAGAAGGATGTGGATCCTAAGGAGATGGCGATGATGGGGGGGAAGAAGCATTTCAAGGCGAATAAGAGGAGGGCGAAGAAGGTGAGGAGTGAGTATGTTGATTAGATGGTGTTTGTGTGTATGTGTGAGAGAGAGTGAGAGATGGAGAAGAAGATTTGTCAAGGAAGATGGTTGATGTGATGGAAGAGTGGATGTGGGGGAACGGGAAGGTTATGAATGCATGATTGGCGTTTTTTTGGTATCTGACTTTGGGATGATATACCGGGATTTCGATGCATAGAATATAAAAGTTTCGTTATTAAATCTTGTGCCGTTGCTTCTGGCTTGTGAAAGTGGGTATATGGATCGGGGAACTATGCACGTGATCAAAGATTGACGATAGGGTGGCGGTGGCGGATGTTTCGTTCATGATAAAAAAAAAAGGCTCGTGCCATACTTTTAGAAGACCCTGTCTGACTAGCATCATGCGATCAAGAGGAGATGGCTCTGTGGGTGGCTTGTAATGCCTGTGGGCTTGACCATTCCCTCGTAGTAGGCTACGCTGCGCCCAACACATCATGGAATTGAATACACCCGATGCAGAGGTCTTCTCGGACGCGGTTCCTGGTCAGCGCCGACACAGATTGCGTCCATGTCGTGGTAGACTATTCCAAGATCGGATATCACTGAAGGCAGATGTGAAGTGGCAACTGTTTAACCAATGAAAGTTCACATAGCCGTCCTTTGTCTCCAGACTGTAAGTGCACTGCAATTCTTAGCGTGGAGGAACAGCCAGAGCCAAGGGAACGAGCTTTGAGGTCAGCTTCATTGGGTGCGAGCGTACAAGGCTGAAAATCAGCCTTGTGCTCAAAAGAAATTACATCTAGCCAACATCCCACTGCACTGCAATCTTTAGCGCAGACGAGCGGCCATGATCCATCTACAAGTGGTTATGTGCATGACCGACGGCAGGGATCCAACCAACAATAAGCCCGTGTGTTGACCGAAAACACTGGAGCTCAGCTTCTACTCTGTGAGCTGAGTGCACTGCAACTCCTAGCGTTAAAGAACACCTTGCCCTGTACTGCTCATAGATTGAAATGGACTGCACAGAGCCCTCTTACACTGCAACTCTTAGCGAATACAAATGACTAGAAGTAGAGGGGCGTATGACCAGGACTCGGCAATGGACGATTGGCGAGTACGACTAGCAGACATGTTAGGGTGGTGTTGGGAATTTTGATGAATCCTTTGGTACAAGGCTTCCTTGTGACCTTTCCTCCAGGCTATGATGTCTTGTTCGTCTAGCCCTTCCAAGTTTATCGTAAAGTTTGTGATCTATCTGCCCCTCTGCGCTAAGGATTGCTGTAAAAAGGTCCGCCATCAGCCCCCAGCACCGATGTTGAACGGTTTCACAACCAATAAACCCCCTTATGCTATCTTTTGTAGAAGCAAGAAACAACAATCACTATATACACACGCAGCCCGGCCATGTAGCCCTTGGTTAACGCTGAAGATCGCAGCGCAAATTGATGGTAAGGCTGATGGGCAAAGATGTCCAGGTGACATGCAGTTGACCATTCCACTTATTGTGCTGTACATTTACATTAGAACGTGCAGTACAGGAGCGAGCGACCTCCCTAATGCGGTATGGTTTACCGAAATCGGGACAATGTGTCGTTCCGACACTGAGTGGGGTTGCACTGCAATCTCTAGCGTAGAGGAACAGCTAATGCCAAAGAAACAAGGCTGAAGGCTAGCCTTGTATGCTATGTTGAGTGCGGTACAATCGTTGCACTGCAATTCTTAGCCTGGAGGAGATTGACGCGAGGCTGAGCTTGCTTGCTAACTATCATTGTATCTCCGTTACCGTAGCGCTCTACGCCTACGCTCGACCTAAATTTTTGGATAGAGTAAAATATCCTAGCAGAACAAAAAACGTGAAAGGTACAGCGATAACGATATAGATCCAAAACCGGCTGCCCCACGGAAGGACTTCATCCGTCATACTGAAAATACTCGTAACCAGACTCAAGGCTGTGAACGCCAGAACTACATATGTAAAGCGCCTCACGCTGCGTGCTTCTACTAGGGCTTGATGTGTATCAAGTTGTGTGACCATCGAACCCAGAAATGATGCCCAGTCACCGATCTGCGAAGAAAAATGGTTGATATCCTGAAGTATGGGTTTCCAGATACGTTTGAGTTCCTCATTGCGAGAGTTTTGAAGATGAGAGTCGATGAAAACGTAGAGGAGATGTAGCCTTTGTTGACTTCGCACACAGCGCCTGCGCCATGGGAGGAGTTCCTCAAGATTGGATAGTTGGACGCTTGCCTCAGATGAGATGATGGCGTACTCGTAGTGCTTTACATAGCGGCTGAGCAGCATTGTGTAGAAGTTCCACTCCGAGATGACGATTTGAATGGGATAGTATGCTAAGCTCAGAAGCGATGGGTCTTGTTCATCAAAATCTGGAGATGGTTGTCGAAAACACTGTACAAGTATATCCCTCAATGATGGCTCGTCGGTAATTTGTGAGGCTCGATTTGCTGTTAGTCTCACCACATGATCAGCTGCTGACGGATTAAAGTTATTCTCTTTCCATTGGGAGAACTCAGTCATGCCCAACTCCAGTTTCGGTCCACCATGTATGGGAATTTGCTCCAGGTAGGCTGTATGCGATCCTTTCTTAGGACGGATTTTTGCATTCGTGGGATCGATGAAAACCAAGCCTGAATCAGTTGTTAGTCGCGTGAAGGATAGGATAAGGGAAATGTCTTACATATCCATTGGTCTTTGGATATCCGCTTCTTCATCATTGAGCAACAACTACGAGCCCAACCCAGCGAGCGGGCCGAGATCTGCGGTGTCACCTTGACCGATCGTGATACATTACTATCCGTGCACATTTGGTGCAATGATTGACATGTGGTGGTCCCAAGATCAATAACTCGTCGATAGTGGAGATGTATACTGTCCCCCTTGCAATGGATCGAGGGAATAGTTAGTGAGGCGAGTGGAGGTCGTTCTTCAAAGTCGGAAAAGCTGTTGTCCAGATGATTGGCGAAGAAGAAGGGTGATATATCATATCGCGCACCCAGAAAGGATGCAATGTGCCGATCCATGTCCTCAATTATTACAATCCGTCCTTGAACATTATATGGTACGCTGAACATGTCATGCAACTTCTCTTCCTCTGAAGGTTGTAGTGTCGCTGAGCCTCTTGATGGTGCAGTGTAATAGAAGCCACCTTTTGCATGGAATGTCCACGACTGCAGGTTTTGACAGCCGCTCTTTGAGAAATCAACGCTAGAAATTTTCGTTGGATGGATCTGATTTCCATCCAAGCCATGAAGAAACTCGGCCAGTCTCTTGAGACAGGAATTGTGTGGTATCTGTGCATCGACGTACTGGGCATAGGTTGGATTCATAGGGATCGACATTGGAATTGTTTGTAGGCAAGTAGAGATGTTGCGATGCTGACGCTTCTTTATCAATAAATATTGACTTCAGTGACCCATCGTCTACTGGCATGGCCATACATGGCCAACGCACACTCAAACGATGCGCCCGTGGTGAGAGCGCAGAACAGGAGGCGCAGCACTCATCCAGCTTTTGAGCTGGAAAAGGTGTTGCGAATTAATCTGCATAAGGCGTGGATGTGACAACAGCCAACCAAATTGGCAGCTATTTGGAACCATAAGGGAGTGTTCAGCCCAGGATGTTGAGGTAGGGACCTGGGTAATGGTGAGGCATTCGCATAACAACGGAACCACGGGATGTAAAGCTCGACCGGTGAGCTGTACGATCTGATGACCTGGGTATGGTGCCTAGTCCTATTCACGAAGCTTGCAAAGAATGTAATGAAGATCTGTTAAGTGTGTTGGCATGGAACCCATCGTGGCAGTGCATGCAATAAGAATAAGGTCACCGGGGTGTGATCTTTCAGAGATGCGGGGACCCCGCCTCGGCCCGTGTGCCATCCAAGTGGCTTGGATATCTTGAAGAAAACCCCACAACAACTTAATACACAAGACCTGGTACAGTACTCTGTAAAAAGAGAGGTTATGTGCGATTCAGAACCTGGATGACATAGCGAATGACGGAGAAGTTGCACTGGCTCGGCCATGTATCGCTTTCTGATGAAGAGCCGATGGTGAGGCGCAAGAACTTGCAGGAAAGTATCGATTTAACACGTGTTCCATTATGCTTAACGCCTGATTTAGCACTTTGCCTTTAGTCCAAGCAAGTGCGCTACGCACCAATGAAGAGTTGGAAGTTATGTTAGTGCCTGTACAATTGTCCCAGTCGGGAAGGTCCTTCCTGCAAATAGAAAGACTTGGCGTTGGTTGCACTGCGATCTTACACGCAGTGGAGCTACCTGCACAGGGTGGATCTCCCCGAGAGTGTGGTTAACTCTTAACTACAGATATTAGCGTGGAAGAGTAGCAGGGCAAAGGGCGTTGTGCATATCGAGCTACCATCAACCGTTGTTCTTGTAGATGAAATCATTTTGGGAGTGCGCCTCGTTACTGTAATGCTAGGCTAGTCGTACACTACGTTTATTGGCGCAGGAAAGCAGGCAGAATAACGAGGCCGGTGAGCAGCTTTTTTCTCTGATTGGGAAACAAGATCAGTATGACATGGTACCAGCCGAGTCCCAAAGGACTAACCAGAGCACATGATGAATATGCAATTTATAGCATAGCCGGGCGGACTCGGTGGAAGATGATGGCTGAGTACCAGCCCTGTACGAGCAAAGGGCCAGAGAAGTGAGCCATGCACCAAAGTCAAGTATTGCTACGCCGTTTCTAGCGCAGAAGAACAGATGGAAGAGATGCGAGGTTGAATTCTGGCCTTGCAAAACGGCTTGATAACACACATGTTGGTCAAAAAAGCGCTATTTTTATTGGCAGAGTAGAGAGTCAACTGTGCCAGCGATGATTTGTTCGGTGCGCTGCAATTATTAGCACAGGCGAGCAGCTGGAGGGACAAGGTCGGACTGGAAAGCGAAGAACAGTCGGGACAGTCGAAGTCACTACTACACTAGATGACAATGTAATTCATGGTGTACTGCAATGTTTTATCGCGGAGTGGTCACAATCCGTCCACAGATGGTTTTGCGCATGGGCGACGGCAGGGATGTACCGATAACGTGATATTAGGCAATGATGGGGCGCTGTCGCAATGCAACTTTTGGCGTGGACGAGCTGTTGGTCTGTAGCTTTGAATTTCCAAGCTTTCAGACAACGTGTTGTAGCGTTGTGATTCTTGTGTTGATCAACGGTGTTTACAAAACTTGCCTCTCTCAGAATTCACCACGACAGATACATAACATACGGGTTCGGATTGGCTGGTGCTATCGCTCCAGGCAGCAGTAAAGTTAAGAGGTTGCTACGATCAACACCAATCAGTACGATTCGCCTTGTTGAGACGATCATGTGACGCTCGCTCACAGCCAGACTCTACGGCCAACTGTGTTCTTGTAGGTTTAGTTCGCTGAGATAGAGCGTACATTACGGTACTTCTGAAGGTTTATACCAGCGATGTTAGACCAACTGACTCATGACACGCACCTCTGTGTTACCAGTCGCGGTTTCCCTCTTCTTGAATGCAATCAAATCCGACTTTCCATTTCTAGTCCAATCCGCTACTGCAAACTCGAATAGACCGTGGCTTTTGAACAACGGCGTTTCCGCTCGTAAGCTGAATTCTTTAAACGAAGATGCCCCAGATAACACATGCACCTCTGTGCATTTGGTAGCTGTCTCGCTCTTTTTGATGGCGACTAGATCAGGCTTTCCATCTCCATTCCAGTCAGCGACAACAAAGTCCCATTTCGAATCTGTCTCGTGTAGGGCAGTCTGAGTGTACAGTTTGACGGTCTTGAAGCAATCATCCCCTCTCAGAATGTACACTTCGGTGGTCTTCGTCACAGTATTGGACTTCTTGATCGCTATCAGATCCGGTTTTTCGCCCTCGCCCCATTTCCCCATGCCAAAAGTCCATGTATGGTCCGTTTTACCGAGATTTGTTTCACCTTCAAATAATATTGTCTGCAACTTGTCGGCACTAGAAAATATACGAACTTGTGTACCAGTGTAGGACTTCTTGATCATGACAAGATCCAAAGTACCATCGCCACTCCAGTCTGCGAGGAAGAAATCCATTGGTCCAGGATTCATTTGTCCGGCCATGGTCCAATGTTCTCGCATTGATGTGAGATTCGGTATCGCGATCCTGAGGACGAATTTCTGGTAATCGTAAGCTCCGTAGAGGAGGTTGACCTCAAGGTTTTGAGAGTTGGTATCACCTCTCTTCACTGCACATAGATCTGGCTTTCCGGTCTCGTTCGAGTCATTGCCCATCAGAAGACTGTACTGATAGTCTGTCTCGTGTAGCATTGTGGAGCTACGCAAAACATATCCGAAATGGTCAGACCGAAGGGCGATGGGCTCTGGTTGCTGAAGTCTGGAGCCATCGACGTGTTGAGATTTTCTTATCTTTCTTTCCAGTCGCTCGAACGCTCTTTCCCTGCCCTCACCATAGTAGAGTGTCATTTGTATGTCAAATATGCCTAGTAGCGAATAGGCCAGATCTTCCTGACGCGTTGTCTTCCGTCCCTCTGACCACTTCATTCTCTGGTCGATACTAAAGTGCGACAGCGGTGTAAACTGCAGAGCTTCCGTAGGAATACCCGTGATTTCGGCGATCCAATCAACCATGCCCGACTTTCTTCCGATCAGACCACCTTGTTTGGTATAAAACTTGACGTTTTTTGGTGCAAGAAGCTCCTGGAGTGTCCATCCCCTGGTGAACCACCTACTCTCTTGGAATTGCAACGAGTAATCATGCTCATGATCGTCCCAATACTCGAATGAATCATTCGAAACGTCTTCAAGATATACGTAGCATTTTGCTGAGTCCCTATACCAACGGAACATGCAGCCAATAGCTTCTTGAAGCTCTGCGCTGCTAGATTTATCGATACAACATGTATCGATCCAGAAGAAGTCTAGACCATCTACAGCTGCCTGTTTCGCACAAAACTGGAGTTTCCGATAACCCTTCTTCTTCGTGTAGGTGTTATTGATCACGTCTTGGAAGGTAACTTCGTCCTCTTCATTTCCCCACGTGTGCGAAAGGATAGCGTAAGGCGGTATTTTCTCATCAACGCGATAGACAAGCCGAAAGTTGTCATTGCCTTGGTACTGCAGAAGGTGCATGGCGAGGGTGGCAACTAGGGTACTGACAACCAACCTGCTCGGACTGACGCACCTCCAACATCCGAGCGCGATTGCGCGTGCGGAGCAGAAAAGCTTTGAATAATATGCGGGTACCTTTACATTTGGTGGTAAACTCGAAAGAGAGAAGTAGGCCCGTTGTTGAGATCGAAGCTGATCGCATTCGCCTGCCTCTTACCCCGCCGCCGCCACCACCACCTCCTCCACTGCACTGCAACTCTTAGCGCGGACGGGGGGTTGATTCGGCCCCCACAGACCTCCAGGCAACATGTTGTCAAAGCTCCTTCAATCTACACCCTTGGAACTTGCCTAATCCAGACCCCAGCCTCTCAGCACGCAACCAGTGTTGGTAAGGTGGCGAGTTTCACTAAGATCCAGACCAGAGCTGGATGTTGCCTGCTTAGGATACATCATGTCTGGAAAGGACGAAAGTTATGCGGAGTTTGGTAACAAAAGTGAAGGGACGAAAGAGGATGGGAAGATCGTAAACACAAAAGCGAACAACGGCTTTGCTGGGGCTACCGCACTCGAAGATATCTGACTAGCGCTCGTTTTCCTTTATTGCAAATCGATGAGCAAGTCATAGAAGCTGAGGTCATGGTAGAGAGTGGACAAAAAACCCACCAGGAACTACGTTGTGTACATTTATCAGAACCTACCTAGATACCTCTTGGGAATTAACATCACAATGCCAACTATCCGTCAGAAGGATAGGGCATAATTCATGTTTGCAAAAATCCAAAGACATGTTGTGATGTTGTGGAAACCACCGCGACCGATAGTTCAGATAAAAACACTTCCCAATCAGGAAAGTCCCGTAAAACTATCGATTACAGCCAGGGCCCTTTTGGCCACGGACGCCCCCTCGCAGCGCCGGCAGCCATACTCGCGCTGTGTGCGCCCCGTTCGCTCGATTCGCCATATTCGCCATATTCGCCATCCTCGCCCCAGTTTCCCTGATCGCCACGGTAGCTCTAGCAGCCGTAGTCGCCATGGTCGCCCTGCGCGCCCATCGCAAGAGCGTACCGTAATCGACACTCCGTTACAAACCTACCAGATTGGGAAAGAGCAGCTAAGAAAGACGTGTGTGGTTCATATAACGAGGGGTCAAGAGAAGTGATCAAGATGTAGAACAGTGGAAAACAGAAGGTATTAGTAGGAGGCTCAAAGACTTGAAACCACAATTCACAGCTTTTATCAAACTGCTCAATTAGGAAGAAAGTTTTGACGTGAAAATATTCGTGGTTACTATATCCGTATACCACAACGCTCTTGCTCACGCTATACGCAATACATCCCATAGCCCTACCACCCCAAAAACGCCATACCACAATCCCCAACCCCACCCCTTCTCACTCCCCACACCCCCCATCAAAACTACTATAACTCCGTCTAAGCGGACTCTTCATCTCCGCCACACCCACCGCCTTCCCCCCACCCTTCTCCCTCTTCCTCCTCCTTTTCCTCCCCGGCGACCCACCCGGCGAATTCGGCGGCGACGAAGCAAAGACATTATTCTTCTGCCCTTGTTGCTGCTGCTGTTGCTGCTGTTGTTGTTGCTGTTGATTCTGCTGTTCCTCCTCCTCCGCCTTCAACAAATCAACCGCTCGTTCCACTTCTTCCCAACTCGGTCGTGAATCCCTTGTTCCATTTGGCGTTGCGGGACCAGATTGAGTTTCCAGGACCTGGATTCTGGTGGCTTGGTCTTCTGCTGTAGTTGTTGTTGTTGTTGTTATTGGTGTTTCCGGTTCATTCTGGTCATCGTCGTCGTCGTCGTCGTCATTGACTCGGGCTGAGTTGGCATGGATACCATTTGTGCGAATAGACTGAATCGGCGGGGGACTAGAAGACGGTTCTCCCTCCGTATCTTCCCTACGATGACGGTGGAGATGTCGGGAAGCGTGTACATGAGGCGACGCAGGACTCGTAGGCGTAGGCGGACTATACTGAATCCGAACCGGACTACGCAGTCCCTCCGTCTCCGTATCACTACCGTTCTCACCACGTCCAACGCCACCATCGCTATCCCTCCGGTGATCATGATGATCGCTCAAATGGCCACTCGCCTCGCTACTGCGCCACATGCTGCGAAACGTTCTGCGCTGCCTGCTCATGCCCTCCGTCTCGGACATTCTGCGCGGCGGGCTCGACTCGAGGAAACTGCTATACTTGCTGCCGAGCTGCTGTACAATGGGCATGTCGTTGCCACCGCCGCCACCACCACCACCACCACCACCAGCACCACCCAGCGTCCCACTGCGAACAAACAGCACCAAGCCCAGACAGAGAAGAAGCAGCGTACTTTGCACAACGGCCATTCTCTTCTGCCAAACCAGTTCATCCGCCAATAAAGTCAATCTCGTACCAATCTCCCCCATCTCACTCTGCTGCCTCTCCTTCATACTCTCCAGCTCGATGACTGTACTCTGCCAGAGCTGATCGTACATGTTCCTGAAGCTCTTCAGCTCCAACATGACCGTGCTGTTGAGGTGATCTAGAAACTTCTCCGTCTTGGCCAGTTGCCTTTTTTCCACCTTGACAAAGGCATCGCGGAGAGCGCGGGACTGCTCTTCAATGTATTGGAGCGAGAGCGTGCTATTAGCCTCGAGGTATTGAAGGCGCTTGTGGATCGATTTGAAAAAGGATTCTTGGGTCGAAGGCGCGGGCGCATTGGGCTGGGTTGAGGAGCCGCGGCCCTGCGAAGGCGGACTCGCAACGGTGCTGTTGCTTGATGCTTTGGCTGCTGGACTACCTGAAGACGAAGCGGTGGCGTTCTCTGTTGGCGCTGTAGCGGTGTCAACGCGAGATACGGAGTCTGAGGAGTTGTTCGTAGAGGCGTCGGATGAAATGCTCTCAGCCTGGGACGTGCCATCTGTCGGTTTTGGTGGAGGGGTATCGGATGATTTCGGCTCTCCGTAAGCTGTGATGTTCTCGCTTCCGGCTCCATAGGCGCTCGGCACAGATAGAGGTGATGTAGTCGTCGACTCTGGCACGGGCTGATTCTGATGTGGTTCGTCCGCCGGCTCTGCTGTGACCGATGGCGCAGGAGAGCTTTCAGACGACGGTCCCGAATCAGCCTCCGAAGAGACGTCCTCGTTGGCGTCGTCGATGCCGAAATCCTTTGCTGCTTCAATCGGTATCTCCTCTGGTGACAAAGGCCCGCTGTCCGCAGCCGGCTTCTTAACCTCGACACCATCCGCCTCCAGATCGTCATCGTCATCAATACCCCTTGCCTCCTCCTCTTCCTGTCTAAACTGCTCCATCATCGTCGTACCATGCACCCTCAACACACTGAGCGGACAATAGTACTCATTTCCAAACTGCGTCAAAAACTCCACCCTCAGATACCTCGCCCAAATCTGCGGCTCCGTGATCAGAAACGGCTGAATGTCCCTCGAATTGCGCGCTTCAAACGTGCCCAGCGTACGCCACTTTTCCAATTTCACCGGATACCGATCAGAGACGCTGACTCTGAAATGGCGAAACATGGAGGAGAAGAACTCGTAATTTGCGAGGACAATGGTGTCGACGAGGATATCGTCGCAGAGTTCTACAATAAGAAACTTGTTGTCTGCCGAACATATATTCAACATGTAGCTGTCCTTGTTCTCCACGAGGATAGAAGAAGAGCTCTTGGCCTGCTTATTCGTCTTCAACACCGTCGCTGCGCAGTCAAAAGAAGCAAAATTGAAGCGCTCCTTGCACGTCTTGCCTGCATCTTTGCTCAGCGCCCAGGAACTTGGTGCGACCTTGCCTTCCTCGTCCGCGGCTTTTGAAGCTCCAGCGCTCTGCTTGCCGTGCTGGATGCTGTTTGCTACATTTTCGTCCTCCGGAGACCCAAATCCACTAAAGTCGATGGATATCTCGCCTTCATCGCCAAGCGAGTCGAGGGCGTTCACGTTGACGGGTCGTCGCCTAGCAGGTTGGTTCGTGCCTGCTGCTCGTCCCTGGCCGACGTTTTCAGGCGATTGACCGACAGCCGCCAAGTTCCTCTTCTTCCACTCCTCAAAAGAGAGGAAATTGGCATTGTCAAAAGGTGAGTCTGCCTCCAGGTCGAGCTCCGGTTCGGCGGTGCTTGCAGCATTCGTAGTTGCAGCAGTCGAATCGGCCTCAGGCGTCGCTACTGAGGTAGCTCCGTTGTCCACTTCTGTGTTGCCCTCGGAACCGTTTCCTGCCGCGGGCGTGGGAGTCTGTAGACCAGCTATGGCTCCTTCCTCAGCACCTGTGCCAGCGGTCGCGATTGCCTCGCCCGGCGCTGACCAGCTTGTCTTTGCGCATTGCTGCGGGAGCATGTGTGTGATGTAGTTTATTGTGCGGTACGGGCATGTGCTTCCACTGCTGGCATACCTCCGAACGGACGACGGTGACGGCGAATACGTGGGCGAAGACGCGGGAGTGGACGTGTGCTGCGGCGTGGCACCTTCATGTGCAGTAGCGCTCGATTCGCCGTTCGCTGCCTCATTCGCTGCTTCAGCGAGGGCGGACGTGGATACGCTGCATAGCAGCAGGAGAAGAGTCCAGTTACGGAGCGGAGTGCCAGTCGTGCGCATTGCTTGATTGCATTTCTTCGAGCTGCCCAGTGTTGTCGAGAAGAAACATGGGGTAGTCAGGAGGAAGTGACTGGGGTTGGCAGGCGCGTGAACGGGTGTTCGTTCGTCAAGACACGTTTGGTTGTTTCACCGCTTGCCCTAGTGAAATCGCGAGGCGCATCTGTCGTCTAAGCGATGACGTTGCCAAGAGATAGGGAAGGATGGCTGTGGTGCTTGACTCGTGGCCTTTTAAATGTACTCATTTTTCAGTGCAGCGACAGGGTCTTCAATTGATGTACACCTATATGTACTGTCTGAGCCCTCATGCATGGTTAAAAATAGATGTACGCAGGATTATGGCTCAATAGCGTGGCACGCGGCACGCTCATATACAAAAATGCGTGCTGTTCGTATAGAATTTCATAACCGGCCGCCCCTACCAACTGCAGCCATGATACAGTCCGCCAGTACCCATTAACAAGCGAGCGAAGGTCTACACTCAATCCAAGCCACCCAAGCCATACATATCATTCAACCCACCATCGCTCTCCAACGTCTTACGCCGTCGTCATCTAGTACTCATGTGTATCGTTATGGTGGTCCGTTGATGCCGAGAGGAGAAAACGCCATACGAGAGTGCAAGAAGAAGTTGCCGATGCCCAAAATCTCGCTATGCTGGTTGGCATCGGGGCGTAAAAGGGGGTATGTCCAAAAAAAAAGAGAAATCCAAGTCAAGAAACGAACGCAAACATCCCAGACATATGGCGGAAGAGTCAAAGGCTAAGAATACGAAGGACCGGCCTAAAAGCCTTCGTTGCCTGCGCGGCATACTTTGGCCTCGGACACCCATTCGGAGGCGAGCACCTGGTGCGCGGTGAGGCGACGGGCAGGTATAGGATCGAGAATCGAGTAGATGACGTTACGACATTGTCGCTGAGGATTGTCAGTGTTGTATCTAGACCAGGGCAGATTTGAACTCACTCTTCGCAAAACCTCAATGGGTCGATAACCCTCTTCCTCTTTGCGGTCCTCGAGATAGCGGTCAAAGAACTCGTCTTCGCCCTTTTGAGCCACACGCCAAAGATGACGACCCGTCCTCATGGCCATGTAGATGATACCACAAGCCCAAACGTCAACAGCACGGGGATCAAACTCCTTGTCAACGTACTCTTCTGGGGCAATGTAGGGAGCGGAGCCACAAAGACCAGCCGTCATGTGCGCCTCCTTCTCCCAGGCCATGCGGAAGCACTCGCCGTTGCCAAAGTCTGTGATTTTGATGGACCCGTGCGTGGTGAGGAGCAGGTTCTCGGGCTTGAGATCTCGATGTGCCACGCCCATTTCGTGCATGTACTCTACACCGCGCATCAGCTGTTTGAAGAAGCAGTCTGCCTCGGCTACCTCGAGCTGGCCAGCTGCGAGGACGAGCGTGTACAAATCACCCCCAGAGCAGTACTCCATGACCTCGCAGTATGTGCCCTTCTCGTCCTGGAGCAGGTCGAGCGTGGTGATGACATTTGGGTGTTGCATCGAAGAGGATATGCAGAACTCGGAGGTAAGGCGCTTCTGGTACCGTTTCGCCGACTCGCCAGGTCTTTGCTTGAACTCCTTGACGGCGTAGAGCTGCTCTCGTTTCGAGTCCTTGGGGTCCTGCTTGTGTGCGACGCGGACAATGCCAAAGGCTCCCCGTCCGACCACCTCTTGGCACTTGCCGTACTTCTGGACCAGTGTCTGTGGGAGGGCGTTGACGGCGTTCTTCTGCTCGGCGAGCTTCTCCTTCTCGTTGCGCATGACGTCGACCCAATTTGACATGAGACTCAGCGGCTGTTCCTCGGCATTGTCGCCCTTTTTCTTGCCGAGCATCAGACTCTGGAACATGTCGGAAAGTTTCTCCTGACGCTTCGCGGCCTTGAGAACGTGCTCGTGGTTGCCATCTTCGGTGAGCCAAAATCGTTTGTAGGGCGCAGCGGGGCCGTCTTTCCTTGTGACTGAGCCCTGGCGCACAGGCTGGGGGCGGCCGTTGGGCGAGGTGCCGTTGCCGTTGGTGGGCTTGACCTCGCCGTTCTTGTCGAGATGCGAGGTTTTGATGCCCATCATGCTGCTGAGGCGCGACGTCATGGTGGGCTTCTTGGGCTTCAGCAGCGCTTCGGCGGCGGCTTGCACGCTGCTGGCGCCAGAGTGGTTGACGACGGGCTGGGGAAGGGCGGGTATGGTATCGGGCTGCGAGTGGACTGAAGAGGCAGTCGAGGCGGAAGCAGACGGAGAGGCAGCGGATTTGACCGCTGTGCTGGGTGGGTGGTTCGTGGTTGGCGCCGCCATGTTCCCTGGTTTTGGCCTGCTCTTTTGGCCGGCGCGGCTAGGATGCTGTGTGGGTCGTTTTTATGGAGTACCGTGTGTGGGATTTTTGGAGACGCAGGTGTCTCGCGGGCAAGGAGCCCAGGGTGTGTTATTGTACGGCGGTCAAAACGGCGTATCTGCGTCGTCGGCGGGTGGTGGAGATGAGGTTCGGAAGGCGCGCGTGGTTGGATTTATGCTGCAAGAACACGGTGATTGTCTGTCGAGGCAAGAGTCGCCGGCGCGGACGAAATCAGTCAACGGGCAATTTTGGGCAGGTGCGTGCAACGTGAAAGGCAGAGAGGCGTATTCAGCGCTGACAAACGCCGTCGCAACTCGAGGTCCAGCGCCCTCTTCAAATTGCTTCCCACCACGGGATCCGAGAGCCACAGTAGAGTGGCTGTGCACGAGTGCCGAGCAATTTGCGGATCGGCGGCAGATGATGTCGTTGGCTTGGGCGAGGGCAGCGTGGCCGGTATCCGCGAACTTGCAGCGCAACAGCGAGCTGGGCAGGCTTGGGGACTACGACGCTCAACCTTCTCACAACGAGGCCTGGCGGGTCTAATATTCACGTGTGCGAGGGGTAATCCATGGGTAATTGTGCACTGCCTCGTCCAAGTGTACGTTTTTCTGCAACAGGCCTGGCTTGCGCGATTTTCATAAACATCATGTACGCCAGTCGTCGCCAGTTGACCGCTGGAATCTCACTCGGGTGCGGGCCATCGGCGAAGAAGCCTTGCCTAATTGTGTTAAGAAACGGCACATGCTTAGCTATTCACTAATTCCACTCTGCACAACATGCCCTCGCTCGTTTGATCGTTTTGACGACAAAAGCGGTTCCCAGAGCTGGAATGATGGCATACCTCATAGTGGAGCGTGACCAGTCTAAACTATCGACACTTGAACTTGCCTTGCACTTGCGCTGACGTATGGCTACCACAAATTTCCTCTTCAGACACGTACCCAATCCGGAACATGACATCTCCTTCGTCTACCCTCTGACTGGTTTCCGTCATCCCCCCCCAAAGCACCGTGACGCCACTGTACTTTGCACACCCATCATTCCATGATCCAGTTTGTCACCACTTCAACCTTCCACCGTCCCGAGGTCCGCCGAAACATGCGCCGGCAATTACTATCTTCGAGTTCCAAGCTAATTTCATCAAGCGCTGCTGCACCTCGGTCCTGTCCCGCACAGCTTCATACAAATGCTTGGTAAGCCGTCTTCATGACATCTCTCCAGCCTCGCCAACGAAGCGGACCTTCGTGTCCCTTGGCCATGTTTGCGCGAATTTGCAGAACCCCGAAACCCCGGGCGTACCATCTCATCTTCGACATCTGTTTACGTTTCCCAGATGCATGGTATGCTACAAGGAAGAGGGGCATTTCCCTCGAAACCTTGTGCCCCGCATTGCAGCCTGCAGCCAGGCGACATGAATAGCGCCCCTCATCGCACTCCTCCGTGCTCCTCCCCACCACTCCCGTTCCACTTCACCATGCACACCGCAACTCGCTACACCAGCCGCATGTACGACAGCTATTGTGGTGCTGACATCGGCCACTAACAAATACCGCAGCTGCCGCGAACCAAGCATAATGGCGACTGTCGTGCAGCGAGAGAGCTGCAAGCCTTTATGCATCAACGGCTACAGCTTTGCTCCATACCCTCGCACTGACCTCTTGTAGTCCTTTACCACGGTAAGAACCATTCACCCGGGTCTACACAATACAAGGTTACATCCGGCCAGATTCGTCTTATTGGTCGAAGCCTTTGTCTCAACTGCTCCTCCTGTTGACGACGCACTGCGGAATACCGCGCACTCGTCATTCCTCTGCCGTAATCTTGGGCGCAATACTGGCATTGCGCGTGATCGACTCACCTACCATTTCCTGCTGTTCCTTCCAAGCTCTGTCCCGCAAAGTCCCAGGCACATGCGTTTGTTCAGACAATAAAGCGCTCAAATCGCCGCTTGGCAGCACCGATCGACTTGTCCATGACGACCGCCATGCTGTGACGCTCAACCGTCAACAAGGCGCGCAACCCAGTTGGCACTTCTTCCGCAGCCCGTTGCATCGCATAGGCGTTGTGACACACGACCGTGATGTACAAGCGCATGGATTCGGCCCGCGGAAGCGGTCGCAGTCGCTGTTCCTGACTACTCGAATCGACATGTGTTGCTCGTGGCTGTTGGCCGAGTGGTGATTGGTTGGTTGATCCCTGGATGTACCCAAGTAGACAACACAAGCGACGCATGTACCCGCGTGTTCACGTTAATCTCTAGGGCTATCACATTGACCGCGACTTACGCGAGTTTGCATCCCGGCTGTATGGGTCTGTTTGGACGGAGACTTGGTGCCGCGATAGATGTGGGTTGCTCCATTTGTCTGTCTTTGTTGGCAGGAAATGGTATCCAGGTACGAGAAGGAGTGATTGGTAGCCACAGGTAACTATGAACAAGATGGTGATCGGTTCCAGTGTATTCACATCCTTTCTTTAGGCCCTTGGTAGGCTTCATTACGCGAACTGACGCTGTTCAACACTCTCTTCCCCTTTCGTAAAGCTTGGAAGCGATATCAGACGGGCTAACAACTCACATGAGTATCACTTTGTCTTTTCACACAAACAAATGTTGTTGTCAAACTCCTCTAATCTATCAAGCTGAGTGGTGATCTCATGGTGAGCCCTCGGCTCTTTCCAATTGCCTTATCCTAGCTCCTTCATTCACTCCGAAAGGAAAGTGAGAGGCATCATGTGCGGTCGATTTCCTCTCCAATCTTGCTTCAATACAGCAATACCTCGTGCACAACACCTCCTAAGCATTCGCTCTCGAAAGGATCATCCCCTGAGACGGCTTTCGGCTTAGCGTGCAGTGTGGCAGGTATAAAATCACCGCTCGTCTGCCTTTCTTCACCCCGTTCCAACTCACCCTCTGGATTGGCAACTTCTCAAAAGAATGGTCAAGACTAGGGTATGGTTTCGGCCTGTTAAAAAAGTTCAGCAAGCATTCGATGGTTTCGGCCTGTTGGGAATCCCCAGATATTCACATTCTTTTCCCAAAATCTCATCGGGTGGAATTCATGTCCGACTCAAATATACTACACAAAAGTATCATGAACGGCTCTGGTCTTTCAGAAACACAAAACGTACATACCGACAGCGATTCCAAAACGTCAAACCAACTCAGCCATGGACTTTTCGAGGCCTCTGCAACCTGTCCAGAACTACCATCTTACCACTTTGAACTCCCGAACAAAACATCGGAGAGATCTTACGTTCGCCTGGAAATTTTCGAGTACGGTTTCCATGGGTTGTTTCCGCTAGCCTAGAAAACTATAAAATCCCACCTTCGGTGAAGACCATCTTCACATCAACGACCATTGCTTTACTCAAACAAAAACGGCCGAGTTAACCTTCTATGTCTGTGCTCCCAAAAAACTGCTCAAGAATGTTCCGATCTTTCTGTTCTCGAAAGGCCATAAGAACAGACCTATGTTCTTCCCTCTCTTCTTCCGAAACACCAAGGATCTGCAGACATGGCGTGCATCGTTGGTTCTGCGACATCAACGAAAACCGCCACTCCAGCAGACTACATCTTCCCATCGAGTGTCCTGTCCTCTTTGGCCAGAAGATTGACAGTACCCCTGGGACATCCACGTTCTTGCAAAAACTGCCGAAAACGAGCATGTGTTCCTCTTTCTCCGGGAACGACTGGCGGAGTAACCGACAAAGCATTCTTTTGGTCCTGAAATTGGTATAAAAGTCACCAATCTGATCTGCTGGTTCCTTCGCCAACATCGAATACTTTCAGTACCAAAAACATCGAACAACATACAACATGTCTGTGTGGATCTCCGGAAATAAAACATGCGCCCAGACCCACATCATCTTGATATATCAATAAAGACAAAGAGGTGAAGCTCTAGAGCACAGGAACCTTGCTAAAACCTGTCCCAACAACTGTTAAAAATTCCTGTATCTGGATGCATGGGTAGGATAGGTGTTCGCCTGCGGTAGGCCAAACCACACATGGCTAGGCCCCTGTCCACCCTATGCCTTGGGGCACTACCAACCTAGGAAACGAGACATTGACAGGCACAGTCTCATGAGTGGTGTACCTTCGGTATGATATAGGCTCATTTCATCTTGGTACTCTTTTTGGTGCTGCCCGGGATGTCCGGAAGAAGGTCACCGCCAAATTACGCTCAGAGCGCAAATAGGCTCGACAGCCTGCACTTGGCTCCTAGGTCTCAAGAGCAATACAGATTAGTTATTCGGGACAGCGAATTCGAAAAGCTTGAGCGACAAGAGAAGGCAGAAACTGAATAGAGCATCGCGAAAAGAAGTAATAGGTTGGGTGAGAGAGTCTGGCTGAGACTTAACACAAGATGTTCGCCGACGACCACCCGGCACCAGGCTAGGTTCAGAACGATGATTAGGCACTGGTTTCACGCGTAGGCTGACAGGACGCGGCTCGCACAATTTTTGTATGTCGGTACATGGACGTTCATGCCAAGCATAGCATCAAGTCGGAGCGTGAACCAAACATAACAGGTCTTACCCAAGAAGGGAAATTTTGTCAGCAGGCCTTAGCACTTCTAGCGTGATCTTACATGTACATATCACATCCACCGTTTATTCACAAAGGCTTGGGAGGTAAGCAGTGTCCAGAAAAATGGCGTGAGTTTGGAAGTGCAATTAGTTAGATACAATCGCTAAGCCTACCTAGGTAGGTTTTGTTTACTAAGCGTAAGCAATATACAACCAGTAGGAACAAGTATGCAAGTCCCACTCAGGAAGTAACAGGGAAGTAGGAGCGAATATCGGATGAGGCTGTAAGACAGCATGTGCTATGATAACAACGGAAATGCCGATGCTAAGACATGGCAGCACCTGGTGAAGGAGCTTGCTATATAAACGGCGCCTACGTCCTTTGCAGAGTCCATCAGTTCTGCAGCCAAATCTGACTTCACCATTACACTCTTGAGCATTTGAGCCTGTTCTATCACCTTACCGTGCCTTCGTCTCAGCCCTTCAATTCAACTTCCAGTCTTTCCGGCTTTCCATCGTTGCAATGAAACTTGTATCAGCCCTTACATGCGCTCTCCTGGCAACAGTTGCCCAAGTACGTATATCTTTCTTTCCCTCCACGCACCAAGCTGACAACCTTACGTAGGCCAACTACCGATGCAGATGCACACCAGCTGGACGAGTCAACAATATTTCTGATGATTGCTGCCGCAGCCGGATCACGCTGTCTGACGGCACACGGGTTGTGGGCAATGTTGAGTCAGGAGGCTTCTGCGCCTACTATACATCTGGGTGGTCGACTCCAGAGTTTTCCAACTCGTATGCCAATTGCTGTAGAGCTAGTAGCGGTAACCCTGCGACGAGTGATGGCGCGCAGTGCAATACGTTCTAGGTGAGGGGTACGGAGTTGAAATGTGGGAGGGTTGGGTTGAGAGAAAGAGAGAAGTAAGGAGGGGGAGGTGGGGTCGATTGGGGAGTAGATGGACCTGACAGATAGATGGGGTGGTGTGTTGTAACGGGATATTGAGCACCAGGACGCGTGTGCAACCAGTCCGTATACACACAAGAGATCAGGTTTTCAGACATTATAAAATACTGATCTTGTATTCCGTCAATGTGCACCGGTTTTTTTCAGCGATTACCTGTATAAGCTACAACTAACACTTCTTCTCCTTCTTTACCTAGGTACGCTTCATCACTTAGGTTTGAAAAACCTACAATTTCGACCTGCATAAATTTCTTCTAGTGAGAAAGCGTGTCAGCCCCCTACCATGACGAAAATCTAACGGATGGTGGAAGTACTTCTACGAATTCAATTATCTTCGAGAATCGATGATTTCACGATTGGGTCTGATCAATGTTATACACTAGTGTGGTAACAACAATGACTTCGAGCAAACGCCTCTCTGGGCTTTGGTTAGATACCGCACCAAATCGCTGACCTATCATCTGCCAAATCCCTGACTGTACATATGAAATCTTCGCCCGTACTCAAGCGTCCGTGTATAGCTGCCTGGTCGATGAGTTCGGGGACGCTTACTCTCCACTTTCACTGGCCCACCGACCGTGACGGCGACTCTTGGACATTCCTCCATTTCACTACCACAAGAACCTCCGATAATGGCGCGTGACGCGCACTGCGCTATGACTCTGTACTTGGCGCCTCCTCTTTGCTAATTCTTGCGCCGACGCTGAACTTTCGGATTACCATCGCCTGCCAACGCTTTAGCTCAACACACGCTCTACAGATACGTCTCTCATAATCAGCCTACCCAATTTGTTGATCATTGAAGATACACCCATCCGCTCGCTATAGCCCCATATTGTTCACCAAGCATACTGCTCGTATCGACATCGTTCGTCACTCCTACAGACGCATACACAAGACACAGTCATCACCTCCATTCTCAGACTAGGCCATTACAGTCTTGTAAGTGCATGCACGACATCGCAAGATGAACAAGACCTGACAAAAAAATAAGGCTTTGAACACTGTCACAATGTCCAGAACTAGCGCAACGCGTAGTGCGTCTATGGTTAGTACCTTGTTCAAGTCGCGGTCTTCGCGACTAACACTTCACAGCCTGCATCATCGGCGGCGGATATTGAGCTCAAGAATGTCAAGGCGGCGCTCATCAGACCATCCGGTGCCTACCTTGATGCCAACTTGGGGCGGCAGACACTCCCCTATGTCTATGGGTCTACTATTGCTCAGCACGTCCGCAAAACTGGTATGAAAAAGATCGGACTTTGCTTGGACAGTATCTGTCGCCGGGAGAAGATCTTTACTCAGAACGCTTCTGACGCTTTGGACCTACTCGAAGGTGCTTTGAGCAAAGCCATCGATTTCCACGTCACTGATACGACAACTACGGACGATGAGCACAGAAGACTGGCCTCTATTGTGGTGGCTGAGCTTGATACCATGAAAGACAAGCAAGGCTTCTTCGTTCTGATCGAACCCTTCGTCTCCAACGTCAGCGATACAACGGGTGTACCTGTACCTGCTGTCATTGCCGCTGCCAAAGAAGATGTTTGTTCCGCTTCGAATGCCGTTCTGTTTTCGATCAAGATCTCTACTCGGAACACAAGTTCGGCTTCGCAGAACGGCTCGATCACCATCACCTCTGGTGTATCTGGATCGGACGCAATGGACATCGATCTGGATGGTGTTTCGGAAACTCAAAGCAGCTCCACTTCAGCACCTCATCCTGATATCTCATTCCATCAGCCTATTCCGCTTGGTGATAACCACCTAGCACCAAAACAAAGCGATCACCAGTATCTCGGCGAGTTGTCTTACGAGCTCCGCCAAGATGGTCTTCACTATCTACACGACCAATTGGAAAAGATGCAGCACCAAATCTCTCCAAAATATGGGCTTTTGCTTGATAACAACGCACTCATCAAGCTGACGCATGATCTCGAAAGCAACGTTCTTCACAGCATACACTCGGATGTGCTGTTCCAGTCTGATCTACCGAGCAAAGGCTGGCTTGACCACAAGTACGAGGCTGGCATTCGAGCCGAGCATAGCGCTTTAGAGGACAAACGGAGATTCTTGGCGAGGGTTAGAGATGAGGAGATGCACAACGCCGAGGAGACCTCCATCCCAGCCCAGGTCAATTCGATAGATGCGCCGCTCACTCAAGAAGAGCTCGACACCATCCAACCTCTGAGCGCTCCACCTTCGCTGATCGATTTTCCTCACGACAAACGTGTGTACTCCATGTACCACTTGTTTTGGACCATAAAGCGCAAGAATCACGAAGCGGCAGCGAAATTCAAAGAACGGTTGCTACCATCAGAGATACTACCTATGATCAAGGAGCAGGAATTTGCTGTCCTCCAACGCATTTCGGATCACATGCAGAGCCTACATCGTCCACCAACCCCTGCAGAAATCGAACGTGAGTACGACACACAGTCTGAGCGCGAACTTCAAGACTGCAGCAAACTCGACCGTTTTGTGAATAAAGCAAAAGACTTTCGCAAAAGCATCAAAAAGTTCTTTGCATCGGCAAAGGAGAAGGTCACTGGCGCGTTCTGCATCGCTGGTGCGAGTGATGTAGCTCCTGCCGCTCGACACGCATCTCCGCCGTCGCCATTCCGAGACGTGAAAGGTCAGTTCATGACCGCTCTCAATGATGCGATCAACAAGATGAGCATCGATGCCAGTCACAATTGGAATGGAGGCCAAGCCATTCTTCAACTAGCTCAGGTCGACGATCTTGCGCTGAAGTTGGAGGCTCGCATGCTGAACAACCTGGACCAAAAGCATATCGGTACGCCCCTAACTCGTCAACAGCAAGAGACCTTCTACATTCAGGCTGGTCACGAAATGCTGAAGCAGATCCGGGATATCAAATGCTTCGTCCAGACAATCCAAGCATATTTGGCTATGCCTGGTTGAGCAGGTGGTTATGAGCGTCATCAACGCCGTAGCCACCCTCTGGTTTGCGATGACCCAAGGACGCCAAGCCATGCACTTAGTCCGCAATATTGACCACACATATGCTACCAAGATTTCTTCCTAATAACCATGAAATCAAATGAGTTTGAGACTCTTCGGGTTAGGAGAGTCGTACCGTACTCATCAGATCAACGCTAGTTTGTAAGTTATCACCACAAAAGCATCGTTTGGTGTAAACACTAACCTTCACAAGAACCACGTTTTGAGCCGTCCTCGCCATATCACGTCGCCGCCAAGGGTCGGTCGCGATCTTTTATGATGCACAGTACTCAGCACGTACGGAATTTTGAGTTCAGATTTTACCACATCATGTGCGGTCGGATTGCTTTGAAGGGTCGTTTCTCCTTTCGGTACGCATCATATGCTGCCGTATCATATCCGGAGGAACAAGTAAATTTGTGTGAGAACACCGTAGAGACGAGCATCACATTGCCGTCGGGGAAAGGCGAAATCTATACTATTTTAGTCGAGTGACCTTCCTGTATAGCATTGCGAATGAAAGGTTAGGACACTTTGCTTGAGGCTGAACATAGTGATAGATTCCGTAGCGCGCTCACTATACAAAGTGGCGGCGTCTATCTTACCAAGAGCGCATGCTGTTCAGAGACAAGACGCTGAAAGCCAGTGAAATAACCGGCTTCTGCGAAGCATATGATAGAATTTCTTAGCAAGCCTCACAGAGTGTAAGGCTATGAGACACGGAGAAATTATGACGTCATTGCGTGAAATTGCGACGATCAAAATTAGTTTCCCCTCAATCCCCGGATCTTGAGGCTCATTAAGCCCGGTGGTTCTGCAGCTCATCTTGTTCCCCCGCATACTAGCTAGAAAATGCTGCATGCTTAACACCAATAGCACCGCGGGATTACTCTGGCTAAATGAGTACAACCGATATGCAAGAGATTCGTCGGTCGTGCTTCTTCCCAGCAGGCTGGTAGCACCTAGGAACCACCTGCACCTGCTGGTCGCTGGTATGAATAAAGCTTTCTGCATCGCCGGATGCAGGGTAAGCTCTGTCAAGGTTTTCCAAGATCCTTCAAGATGCGGTTCTCAACGAGGGTCACGACAGCTATCCTTGCGTGTTCGACAGCGACGCTCGCGCAAAATTCGACGTTCCTCAACCCAGTACTTCCAGGCTGGCACAGCGACCCATCGTGCGTCAATGTCAACGAGACGTTCTTCTGCGTAACCTCTACTTTCATCTCGTTTCCTGGACTACCCATCTATGCATCAAAGGATTTGGTAGACTGGAAACATATCAGTCACGCATGGAACCGTGAATCTCAGCTTCCGGGCTACAGTTATGCCACCAAAGGCCAACAGGAGGGCATGTACGCGGCAACCATCCGACATCACCAGGGTGTTTTCTACGTGATCTGCGAATACCTGGGATCTGGTGACTTGGCAGGTGTGCTGTTCAAGACTACGAATCCGTTTGATGATAAATCCTGGAGCGATCCAGTCAGATTCGAGGCCGGTAAGATCGATCCCGATCTATTCTGGGATGATGATGGCAAGGTGTATGTTGCGACTCAGGGCATCATCTTACAGGAGATGAATATTGATACTGGGGAAATGGGACCTATTTCGCAGCTCTGGAACGGAACAGGTGGTGTTTGGCCAGAGGGTCCGCACATTTACAAGAAAGACGGGTGGTACTACCTCCTGATCGCCGAAGGTGGAACAGCTGAAGACCACTCTGTCACCATGGCTCGCGCTAAGAACATTACTGGACCCTACGAGGCCAGCCCGTTCAACCCTCATCTTACGAATCGCGGAACATCAGAGTACTTCCAGACTGTCGGCCATGCAGACCTTTTCCAAGACAACAACGGTAAATGGTGGTCTGTCGCACTCGCGACGCGTGTTGGTCCTAATGGCACTTCCTTCCCCATGGGTCGCGAAACCGTGCTCACTCCTGTGACATGGGAGTCTGGCGAATGGCCAGTGTTTCAGCCTGTACGAGGCAAGATGAAGGGCTGGCAATTACCTGCTCGCTCAAGAGACCTCCCAGGTGATGGGCCATTCAATTCAGACCCAGATGTATACGACTTTCCTCAGGGCTCAGCGATACCACGAAACCTAGTATATTGGCGTGTTCCTCGGGACGGCGCTTTCAAGACCACGCACAAAGGGCTGCAAGTCATGCTCGGTCGCAATAATCTCGCCGGCTCCTTCAACGTGTCTGATCCAGCTTCGAGGGCTGTAAACTTCATCGGACGCCGCCAGACCGACAGCACCTTCGACTTCAGTGTGGATATGTCGTTCGACCCCAAATCCGATGGACAGGAAGCTGGAATCACTGCTTTCCTGTGGCAAACGGCAAACATTCAACTCGGACTAGTGCGCAATAATGGCACGACTTATCTGCGTTACAACTCTACGGAAGAGGTAGAAAAGAAAACACCTGTACCTGCGTCCTGGCACGGAAAGCTTATGCGGCTCCGCATCACAATGCCAGATCCAAAGACGTACCTGTTCTCAGCAATGTTAGCGAGCGGCAAGTCAAAACAAATTTCATTTGGTAGAGCTTCAACAGCACAGCTGAGTCCATCGGGTTCATTTGTTGGCACGCTGATTGGTGTCTACGCTACCTGCAACGGAGCTGGATCTGGGCTGGATTGCCCAACCACCACGCCAAAGGCGTACTTCAAGCGGTGGAGATACAAGGGTATGGAGCAATACATTTCGGAGACTGAGAGTGTGCCAAGCGCAGATTTCAATCAAGATAGATAAGCTGTAGCTGAAAAGTTAAATAGCAAAAGTTGTCCACGCTGGTAGGTCAACTTTTATCGAGGTTTATGACTTCATTGTTCCGCCGTGTGGACCCTGGCCCAGAACTCCAAGTTTGGCGGTATCAACGGGTCACCTTTGGAGGCAAATGACATGTAGCAGGGGACCGGAGGAACTCGTGTACAGCCGCTGCATCTACTCACTCCACATTTTCCCTAAAAATAGAGGTCTCTTCCTCTTTGCACTTCCATACTAGCCCGAGTTCCATCCGTTACAGACAACAAATCTTTCAGCATAGTCGGTCACAATGTCGAAATTTAGTGCGCAGTAAGTTTTGTGTAGCCTAAGACATAGTTCCTATCGCTTATAGCATGAAGAATGTGATCTCATAGCCTTGTCATGAGGACCCTGATCCAGATCATATGTATGTCCGATCACATCACCATATGACCCTAAGACTGAGTCCAGTCATTCAGCGTGTCATAAAAGAGAACAGATGTGATCGAAGGGTCTTCTTGAAGATGCCACCTCTCTCATGTTCCTTCGGTGACAAACCACCTTTCCTCTTGTCCACGATACGGAGACGACGCTTCTGTTAAACACAATACGACAGGAAACAATCCTTCCCCTCCGTTACAGCGGACGTACAGCTCACCAACAACATGTATAATCACCCTGACAACAAAGTCACTGGAGGTGAGGAACCAGCAGCATCTATAACTTCCTCTCCGCCCCACTATTCACCAGACAACGAGCCCATATCTGCCTCTTGGTCCTCCGATGAAGACGATCTCAATACCTCACCCATCCTGAAACCCGGCCTCTCTTCCAGCCCCAACGATAACGACGACTCCCTAGCATCCTCTCCACCCCCTTTTCTCTCCTCCTCCAGCCCAAGCCCAAGCCAGAAGAAGGAACGTGTTCCTTCTGGATTGCCTCCGGAAAACCCCTTCTCTTCCACTTATAATGCACCACCACCTCGCCCAGCAAAGGATATCAAATCTTTCCCTTCGCCAGTGGCCACTCCTACTCCTCTGCCTCGCTCAGGGAGAAGTTCAGAGCTGACATCGGCACGCATCGCCGCGTACGAGGCACGTACCGCAGAAGCAGCCGCAAGAGTCACCACAGGAACCATAGTCGTCAACCTAGAATCGCAATCACCGCCTCTCAATCAAGCTACAGAACTATCCTCTGCCTCACAACCACCTGATAGTCGCTATGAAGATGCAACCCAGCAGTCCCTTGTATCGCTGTCTGACCCCGTCGAAAAGCTAGACGAGTCAAAGAAGCCACGTACCGCTCGTCATGCGTCCCTCTCCGCACGACCTACCACCAAGCCCAACCAGCCAATCCTCGGGGAAGAGAACGACAAAAGGTCAACATCCGTTTCTCCCGAGGTATCTTCTTTTGCAGACTTTTACGTTGCTGCGACGGATAAATTTCCGGGGTTGTCGGACGATGGGACGCTGGAGCCGGATCGCCCACAGGAGGACCAGGTATCATCTGGACCCAGTGCAAGACGAAGTGGGATAGTATTGAGTGAATTAGAGGAGGAAGTCATTCGAGGAAAGGATAATGATCTCGCCATAGCAGATGATGACGAAGAAGAAGAATGGTGGGAGATGGAAGACGAGGACGAAAGAAACCCCCGTCTGCAATCCCTATCGCACTTCCAGATCGGAGGTGAGAATGACATGACTGCGTTTCCTGTTGGTGCATTGAGTAGCCGCCAGGGCCATTCGACCATTCCAGACTCTAGGTTTTCTTTCGTGTCGGATGGACCCTCGGTTCTTGACTTGTCCGATGCGCAGTGGGAGGAGGATTCGAGGTTGTACTGGGAGGATGCGTGTGCTGAATTGAACGAAGTGGCCGACTCGGTTTTGGCCGCTAACGAGGATGGTAAGTCTATGTCGCACACTATTTTATTGCCCAGCCTCCAAGGCTCATGGTCAGATCCTGACACGTGTCTATAGATCCAAGGTTCGCTCGCATCAATCCTCAATTCTCTAGGTCGGCGATTCCACCTAAAGGCGAACACAGTGAGCCGGCCGAATTCTCTGATCAAAAGCCCAGTCGAGAGGACGTTCTGCAGGTTTTCCTCTCCGGCTACCCCAAATACGAAGTATCCAATGTCTTCCATGAATCGATTGATCGAACCAATCACTTGAACGAGGAAGCCGATAGGCGAGCGACGTGTATCGATGATCCTGATGCCGAACCAAGTCCACCAACCTGTCCCGTGTATGAGAACCTGAAGTTGCCGCTGCATGAACGATTGAGCAACATGTTGCCTTCGCCGAGTAATTTCACCCCTCCATTACGACCAGACCCGTTCGCCGTCTGGACCTATGAGTACCGACCAAGAGACCACAGTCTTCAGGTGATCAAAACGGCTAGTACAACCCCAGGTCTCGAACTCAAGGATGAATCACTCAAAGGTCGAGCTGAGCAGTACCGCAAGAATAGAGAGCTACTCCAGGGGGCGCTGAAGGAAGTATGTATCCTGAAGGCAGTACCAGACACTGTCCATGCACTCGAGTGTCCGCATTGTCATAGCGTGGGGGCGTCCGGAAGCATACCTGACGGGCCTCGCTACCAAGCTGACGTTGACGCATTACAGTCCCTGATCTTGGAACAGCACGAGCTGAGACGAGACCTTGAGCGCCTCGAGGCTACGAAGCGTGGCGTGCAAGGTTCAATCTCGACACTGAGTATGTTCCCAAGTCGCCATCGTTTTGGGAACGCGAAGCGGAGGCTGGCGCTGGCGGGGCAGAGAGAAAGGGAGGTGTCGGAGAGAAGGAGAGAGGCGCTGGAGTATAGGGAGTCGCAAGAGAGAACATCGGCCGCGGAGTTGTGCCCGCTTGATCAGGAGCTGGATCAGGCCCTGAACGCCCTCGATCCGATTTCGGAGCCTCTCCTTGATTCTTCTCGTACCAGCATTGCGACGGCGAACTTGGCCACCGGAGAGTGTTTCCCCTTTGTCAACCATGCGGGGCCGCGCCGCGCCGCTACTCGGAGATCTTCCTCTGAATACAGCGACCGTCCCGCGAAGTCGAAGGATGAAGTTGCCTCACCGCAATCCGTGCCGGAGAAACCGGACATGGTCGATGTTGGAAACGTTCCAAAGCATCCTCATCCTTCCGGTACTCAGGATCGTGCCGCTGCTTATCGGATCATGAAAAGCGTTCAGACATACCACAACAGTGGACGAAAGAGCCAGGCATCGGTACGCAGTGGGCCCGTAGACGGCGATTTGGCTCGTGTCGGGAGAACCAAGGAACGTAGGAGACAAGAGGACGTTGTTGTCACAAGTCCATCCCGCCACGAGGAGCGATATCCTAAACGTCAGAACATTGTCCAGCAGTGAGATAATGACTCATGTCGCCTCTACAACCCAGCAGCTCTGACACAGGTTCTACACCAGATTTTACGTCAAGGTTCTTCGCTGTGTTGATTGGAGCGGTAGATCTTTGGAGATTGGTGTAGCAGCTGTATCGAGGAACGTTGCGCATACGTCGTTGGGGTTCTAACGGTGCTAAGTTCTGGCCTTTCGTAAGTTGGACCAAGGTCTCGTTATTCATCGAACATTCAGGTTCAGCTGCCGGTCGGGAATCGATTGTCATACAACGTCGTGTCCAGCATAGATCAGCATGGATAATGGGGTGGGCATCCGTGGTGCATCGAACCGCCATCTGTACCAGTCTGTTAGTATTGTGTAACTCATACAATATCATAAACCTACGGGGAGCATTGCGTCAGTACTTTGTGGATCTTTCTTCCGCGTTCGATTGCTGTTAACTAAATGGTCGATGCTCTAGCTTGAAGTACCGGCATAGGCTTCGTCTATCAATTTCGCGGGTACTCATGGTATTTTTAGCGACGCTGATCAGCAATCAGAGTCAAAATGCTGGACGTAAATGCTCTTCTGCTCGTATGCGCATCAGCGATTCTTGTGATCTTGACACGACGCGCCGACCCAGATGACCTTCTCAATAACCGGATGTCGTCCATAGTAGGCGCATCGGTCCACTGAATGAGTATGATAGACACAGCCGCAGACGGGAAACTTCTCGACTACGCGAATACACATGCTGTGGGGGCTGAGCTCGGACCGATAAAGGTATTGTCTTGAGACGACTCTGTGCAAGGTGCGTTTGATAGAATGAGAGATGCATAGATGCGTGAGAAGTCAAGCAGAGGGTATCAGAGAAACGTAATCATGTTAACAGGCTGCGGAAGCATTGGAGGCAAGCATGTTCTGTAGGCATCGTCTCGAGTACGGGGCTAGTGGGAGGTGACCCCTGCATGGTGTGAAGCATAACGACCGTCTTTTCTCTGATGCGCCTAGCGGAGAATTCGAGAGAAGCTGTTTTGCTTATTCAAACGGTGCGATACAACAGCGGGAAGCAGTCCCATTGGTGATCTGAGTCAAATTGGGCCTACCTGGCTGTGGGCACCCGCGTGGAAGCAGGGAGTAGGACGGCGGGCATCAAGCCACCGAACGACGCTTCCCACTTGAAGTTCAGGTAGACATCTTAGCTATCGAATGGCATTCCAGCGCAGCCTGTCATGACTCTAGTGATGTCTCAGCGGCGCACATAGCTTTACGATCTCTGGACGGCTGTGGCCTGTGGTTCGCCCATTGCGAGCTGGGTTCAGATTAGATCAACAGAAGGCGACAACGGCAGTGCGCTATCCGCGGCACTGGTGTTATAAGCACGGGATGATGGTGAGGTGTCTCTCGCTGCCAGAAGAGGAGGGCCGATATAAAGGAAATGTTCCGAGGCTCATCGGCGGAGTACGTATACACAATAGGCGTAGCAGCAGACACAGTCGTACGTCTTTTCAGTACGATGCTTACTGATTGACAACAAGCTTCACAGTGTCGTGTGTGCAGGGGATGACGATGCCGAACGCTAGGATACAGGCACGAAGCACTGACCATCATACGTCAGCCCTAAATCTCTGGGCATTATAGCCTACCACACCTCGTCAGCCTCCCGAGGTCCTCCAGCAGTCATCTGAAGGCGTGTATTCAACGTCATCACGACTACAGAAGTTTTCCCGAATGTTTGCATGCCATCTTCCAGGCAGCAAGCCTTGATATCGCTACCTGATAGATAACAGCCTAGAATGATTCGGGAAGACTAGGCAACCCTCTCCCGATTTGTGTGCGTTCCGCGCCTATATGCATTGGCTGGGCTTTTATGCTTTTGCGACGTGGTGGGAAATTCTCTTTGGAAATGAAGATGTGATTTACGTTGATTACTAATAGTCTAAAGAACACGACCAGTCAATGAGACGTCTTAATTCGACATCAGGCTCAACTCATCCAGGAATATATAGCTCGAAGCTACACTGTTGTTACTGGATGGAGCACAGTCATAGTCAAAACGCAACGTCTGCTCATTGTCCGACGGCACCAATGGCGTGGTTGTAATCGGCCCTTTCCACTTGTACGGTCCTGGGTTATCCGCGATCGTCATAGTGTTGGTATACACGTTGACACCTCCCAAAGAAACCGTCAATGAGCAAGATGCAGAGTTCGTAATTGAGTGGAAATCGTACCAAAAGGTCAAGGTGTACTCTCGCGTGGTGTCGAACGAATATAGAGTCTGGTATATACTCGCCTTAGAAGGAGTAAACGAGGTTGCGGAATTCAAGATGGCATATACCGATCCTTCATGCGCAGCTGCTTGTAGTCGATTCGGGTACGTGCGGCCTCCTTGTCCTTTAGACCAAGAACTGATACTACCAGAAGGACCCGAGCCAACGATGTCTTCAAATGATGGATTTAGCAGAATGTTCACTCCCGGTGGCAAAGTAGAGACCGATGGTTTTACTGAAGATGAAACGACAGTGGTCGAGATTACATCCGATGAAGAGGGTGTAGGCGTAGGTGAGGGTGAGGGTGTGGGCGTTTCAAAGCTGCTAACGACCTCCGACGAGGATGGTATTGGAGAGTCGCTGACGAGATCTGTAGATGAAGGCGTTGCAGAGATGCTGACGACTTCTGACGACGAAGGTGTGGGTGTAGGTGTAGGTGTTTCGGGACTGCTCAGGACTTCCAATGAGGACGATGTCGCAGAGCTACCAACCACCTCTGACGAGGATGGAGTTGCGGAACTCGTGGCGGATGACGAGATCGGATCTGATGAACTTGGTGTCGGGGTCGACGAACTGCTGGAAAACTCGGTACTAGTGGCGACAGTGGAGGAGCTTTCGACAGACGAGGGTGTTGGAGTGTGAGGACTGCTGGTAGACAAGCTGCTGCTAGCTGATGACAATACAGTGGTACTGCTGGCAACGGGCCTACTGCTTGAACTGGATGACGATGTGGTAGACGCAACAGAACTGGGGACGATTGTCGACGAGCTGGAGCTGGACCTGGATGAAGATGGCGCGGGATCGCATTCGCCATAACCCTTCTGGCACGACTGAGGACTGCAATAGTCATAATTGCTGCCGCACTGCACAAGTCAACTTTCTTAGATTCCGGCTTATAATGAGCAAATTGGAGAGGTATCTTACATAAAAGTATTGGCTGCAACAATTGCCCCATTTACTGCCCTGGCATGTTTGTCCACCAAAGCCAGCGCCACAACGAGCATTCTTGGATATTGGTTGCTTAGGAGAGGCGGAAGGTGCAAGGCCCGTTGCCGTTGAAACAGTGGGCTTTGTAGAGCTTACAGGAGCCTTTTTGCACGATCCGAAGCCTACTTGGCAACCGGTTTCGCAATAGTCTTTGGTAGATCCACTGGCAATGGCGTCAACGTAATCCTATATATTTCTCCAGTACAACTTACCACCAACCATATTGGCTGCAACAGCTTCCCCACTTTGAGTTCAAGCAAGAAGTTCCTTTGCCAGGCGCTCCACATCTGGCATCTTTGGAGATTGTCGCTGCTTCAACACATAGGACAAGCCCCAACGTAAGGAACGATAGACCACGCATAGCTGGAAAACGAGTGTGAGTACTTGGCTGAGATCACACGGAGTGGAGTAGAGACATCAGGAATATATACTCCCTTTCCATGTCCGAGTCAGAACTGGTGGCGCATGTTGCACGTACGAAGAATCAGACCAAACGATGAAGTCCAGCTGAAGAAGTAAAATCAATATTCGCGCACCAACAGCAAAACGATCTGGCTCATTGTAGTTGTCTAGCCATTTTGTTGTAAGGCCATCGCAATGATGATCTAGAACAGTGAGTATTGAGCCTCAACTTGACGTTCAGCCGCATGTAAACAGGGGGGAAGGGGTCCACCGGAAACTAATTTCCAAGCTAAAAGTCGGCAGTCCTGCCGCAAATCTTTGTAACCCCAGTCCAAGAATCTCATTTTGAACTAGTACAGCCATTGCAGTTCATTGTGGAATCAGCCACTCATTTTAAAAGACCTAGACACTAGGCAAATCACCCCACGTCGACGGGGTGTGGCGTCCAGAACAATGCTGTCTTTGGTGTAGCGGATACAAAATAAGTCGAGTCGAGCAGTACACCCTTGACAGCTTTCCCAGGGTCTTGTCAAACACCAGATCGGAGCGGCCGGCGGACACCTGAAATACATTTGGCCTGGCTGAAGCATTTGAGCAATACTCCAGGTAGGAACATGAGCAGAATGCAAGGGCGGGAAGGGCGCATGCATCTGAGTGCTTTGCTTCGAATAGCGCTCCGGTGACTTTTTCAAGCAACAAGACCTCAACGACGAGAGAAATAACAGCGAGTACAGAAGTGGGGTATCTATAATTCGAGGCTTTTACACTACAGCCATCCACAGCCACGCAAGGAAGGGAGAAGAAAAGAAAAAGAAAAAATAAGAAGATGAACAGGACTTATGTGAACACTGTCCAAAACACCGCAACCACGCGGTTACATAACCCTTTCCCCCAAATCATAGACTTTCGTCAAAGCACAAATTCCCTCCCTTCCCTTTCCGCTTTCCCAAACACACTTTCCATCACCACCACAGCAACGCGCTAAGAAAAGAAGAAGTGAAAAAAGAAGCTTTTCAGATGCCCTCATAGTCATCATCTCCTTCTCCTCTTTACACTCCCACCCCCACCAAGTCCCCTCCTCGTCTCATCCTCCACCTCCTCCACCGTCGCACTCCCAGCCGGCGAAGTCGACGTACTACTCGCCCCACTCGCCGCCCCATTGCCCACCACTCCCTCTTCATTCCCATTCCCTCCTCCATTAACACTCAGCAGGCCCGAATCATCCTCTCCCATGCCACCATTCGCCGTCGTATCCGCAAAGTCAAAAGCCGGGTCCCCCCCACCATTCACGCCATCGACAACGTCAAAAGGCGTACTATCGTCAAAGGTGAAATCCGGTATACCGCCATTCGTGTTATTAGCAGAGACAGCGCCATTTGCTCCACCACCGCTCTTCTGCTCCGACGACGTCATCACCTCCGGATTCGCAGCTACATCCCCCGTCGACGTAAAGAAATCATCGTCATTAACAAAAGAATCCATGTTAAGATCGTAACCACCCGGTTCGCCGAGCCCACCATCTCCGCCACCAAAATATCCATCGCCACTCTCGCCTAGTCCAGAGATTTGTCCAGTGGGGCTAAGTGGCAGTATTCTCTCATGGATTCCCTGTATCTTGGCGTTTTGCTGATCGGACAGCTTCTGCAACATCTCCAGCTGCTGCTGTGTAGCTTGGTATTGCGCTAGGTCGCCTAGTAACCTGTCCATCTCGGGTGGATGCGGGTTCGTCAAGGCATTGTTGGTATTCTGCGCACCTGCATTATTCACAATCTGCGAGAGGACGTCGTTCCGTTGTTGGGGGGTAAGAGGAACATGGCCATCGGCAGTTTGGTAATTCGACAGCGCGGCTGCGTAGTCGAAATCTGTGGGTGGGGGACCATTAGTACCGGCGGTGCCAGAATGGTTTGCAGCAGCGTTGTTTGCGTTTTGAATGGCGGACATTATGGCGGAGTTCTCAGGGAATTGCTGAGCACTTTGTTGGGCGGGTTCGGGTTTGATTTGCGAGGGGGTTATGCTTTCTCGGCTTTGTTGTTGGGGGAAGGAGGATTGTGATTGTTGGCGATTCATCGATACTGAGGGGCGGAATACTGATTGGCGGCTTCCCGGGCGTGTGATGGGACTTGCGAGGGGCCGGGCTGTTGGGCTCATGGTTGTGGCGCGGCCGGTGGTTGTCGGTGCGAGATAGTCTTGTTGAGTTGGACCCGGTGCGGGAAGAATGGCCAGTGGTTTTTTGTTCCTCTGCAGCTGCGGTGACTTGTGAGCATCTTGCATGGGATAGTCGTCAACGTCCACGACATTGCCGTGAGGTTGTTGTCGTGCTGCAGGGAACATGTCCGCAAGGTTCATATTCGCATTACCTTCTAGACTCCGATTATAGAAGGTAGCGAGGAATGTCAAGATTGCGTTGATGGAGTTCTCGTGGCGGTCATGCAGGGCCTGGAATGACGTCGCTCGTGAATACAGCTCCTCGTTCTGGCGTTTGATCTGGGTGAGAACATTGGAAATGAGCTTTTGTTGCTGTTGAAGCTCCCTGACTTCGACCCGTAAGCTGTTGTATTCGGACCGCGGGATCATGGCCATTTGTTCGTTTCCCCTGACAGCCACCTCCTCAACGTAGCCTCCGCCTCCTGTGTCTTGGATGTACTTGCGATCCTCATCACTATCGCCCTTGTTCTCCTCATCTCGTTTCCGTTTGGGTCCAGTGACAGGATTCTTCGGTTTCTGAATCAGCCATAGTAGTTCTTGCCGACCGCGCTTGAAGTACTTGTTGTAATACTCGCTTGGCGCTTTCGCTTTAGTCTCGCTAGCTTTCATGGAGTTGTCCGACAGCCCAACCTTCTTGTGGAATCCGTACATGTTCAGTTGCCGTACAAATGATGCGTAGTTGTTGTGTTTGAAGAGCTCGGGTATGAGTGTCCTTGCGAATTCGTCTTCGTCAAGCACGATGAAAGAGTTGCCGTCGTCGGACCATCGAATGAGGTTTTCGTTCTTGTTGTTATCCAGGAAACTATCAACGTCAGTCATCCACTCAATCATGCCATCTTGCGAGCACTTACCTGCTCAACTTCTGCACAAACGGTGGAATCTGTTTCCGCTTCGCTTGTGCATCCTTCTTCGCAATAGCCGCCTTCTGCTCGAGCTCCTCGTCATCGTCCACAGTCTCCCACTGTTGCGTTGGACTAGGAAAGCCATCCCATTGATTCCGCCGCGGCGCTGGTGCGAGTTGCTGGTTTGTGTTCCGCCGTACCAATTGTCCCGTCATCTCGGTGCCGTCGGTGTATCCATCCAGCGACACGACCCGATTGTGTCCCCCTCCCATGCTCTGGCCGTAATTGTCGTATAGCGGGGGGTCGGTGAAGTTCATATCTGCGCCTGCTGCGGGATTGCTCCAGTCCATGTATGGATCAGTTGGCGCGGGGATGTCGTGCTGGTATGTCTGGGTTGGAGCCTGCGGTGAAGCGCCCGGCGCGCGTCGCTTGCGGCTCGTCATGTGTGTTTGCGCGCCTCGCGTGGCTGAGTGGTGTAAAATATGGGGAGGATGTCGTTTCCTGTATCTATCCGGGTGATTCTGTTGCCTGAAAAGATTCTTCGCTTGTCCTCGAGCGCCGCTTTCAGCCTGGTTGATCTCGTATCAATCGCGAAGCCGTGGAAGGTGCAGATGGGCGAACGGGACCAGCGCTGGTACCCTGATGGCGGTTTCTGGATAGCGCAGTTCTGTCACGATTATGTAGAGGGTCTAGTCCAGATTGTTGTCTCGTTGTCGCAGTTTTACTACACCACCGCGTGATTGTTTCCAAACACTTGGTCGAGTCGGACAAAGGATCGGAGGGCGTTTCAGCAAAGGGCGCAAATAAAAGGCCTCAGAAGGCGGTTCTGGAAAATGGCGGAGAGATGAGCAACAAGGGCGTCGCAAGGCAGGCAGGCATTCGGCGGAGGAAGGTGAGTCCGATCGTCTAACTTTTGGTGGAGAAATCCGGGGTACAGGCGTCCAATGGGAGGGCTAACAAGAAGATGGCGGCGTTGAAGAGTATGCGCAACGTGTTCAGATGCGCCGGGAGCCTTGGGACGAGCGGTTGAATACTGTGCAAGGCAGCGTCGGCACTGTCGCGTATGAATGCTCACGATGAGATCAGTGGACTTCACCGCACTGCCAGCGTCATTCGCTTAGTCCCACGCTAACATGACTCGCGGCCAGACCTGGAACCTGTGAGTCGTACTATGCTAACGTCCTCCGCTTTTCAGTACGTACACTTGGTATACATATCTCGTGAATCATCTCAACAGACGTTCCATACGACATGTAGGCGTCAAAACTTGTCATCCCACCCCCCCTCAGCCACGTCGACCCATGATCCCCTGCATGATTTGCATTCGGCCCGTCTGAGGTGGAACGATGGGAAAGTGCCTCGAAATCCGATGCTTTACAACAGATTTCCCATATATCAGCCGATCACGGCGCATGTTCATCGAGATTTGTTACGGAACGAGTAAAGGTTCAAGCCAGGGACTCCTGCGCCGAACTTCACGTTGACAAGACCCCCCCACTGCCTTCCCTCGGCCAATCCTGTACCTGATAACAGATCTCCTATGTATTCTTCGATTAACAGCACCTGCTCATCGAGATCTGTCATAGCGCGAGTAATCCAACATGCCAGGGTCTCAGACATGGAACGTTCTAGAAGCTACTTGATTTGGTAAACTACTGGTTGAGTCGTGGTTTGTAGTGTACGTGAACTGGTGCGGGTATATTCTCCGAAAGGTGTCAACCAGCTGGGACTGTTTGATTGGTGCTGGTAGTTGAGTTAGTCTTGCGGGTACCGTACCATACGGATACTGGTCGAGCCAAAGCTTTGAACGTACGATACTTGAACATGGATGGCATCCGTGAAAGCAACCTCGGCATTGGCAAGATAGTTGACGTGCAAATCTGAAATTCACTAGGGATCGGAGAGGGTGACTCGGACAAGGCAGCGAAGGGAGGCATGTCACAAGGTTGTATCGGCAATGGTAGATGCCGAGCAGCATATCTGTGAATGGCACCGAGTCCAACATCGAGGTTTTGATCTGATCATGCCATTTCGACAAACTGGCATCGGAGATACCATACCGGAGATCATTAACATGGGAATCTGGTGTCGGCTGGAGATCGGGAGAGTAACCAGGATGATGTAACACAGGACAGCATGTCACAAGATTACGTCTATGACGATGAATGATGCCACAAGTTGTAAGAAGCCATGTACCCAGGTCACAATCGCTGCAACTCTTAAATCAAGGCACCAAAGCTGAACTCAAATCCGGCGACAGCAACGTTGCTACAAACACATAGTCTCAAGTCACTGAATTTGCACACTGAACAGAACCAAGTCGAGACGACAGGCTTGAAAGACAATACACGCATCGAAACCCAAAACGTACAGAAAAAAACAAAATGTACGATCGATTCACCTTCCATTACCGGACTTTGGCACCAGGCACCATCCAAAAACTATAGTAATAAGAAGCGATTGCAACCAAAACTCGAAATGACAGGCAAGAATAATAAAAAAGGGGGACAGAAAAAGAGATCAACACCAGAAACAACTTAGATGCAACTTTCATCCAGACTTTGGGGAAGACAAAAAAAGGCGATAAACAAGACGTACGATAACGTGGAGAGTGTCCCCCTAATACAAAACGACCCGATACATTTCATGAACATGAACTTAATGCTTTTTCTGCTTTGAGCGCGAAGATTTTTAGAAATGCCAAAGGTTTGTGAGGAAAATGCCAAAATTTGGATGATAGGGGGGGGATTTGGGTGAGAGTGAAAGGGCAGCGAGCCCGATTTAGTTCTGGATCTGATATACTAGTGACAATGTCTTCTCTACCGTTCGTAGCATCATTCTTCGTATGCATCGTAAAGTTTCAATCCAGGGGGTGGTGGGTAGGTAGGTTAAGTATAGCGAGGGCACCGAATTGTAGGGGGGAGCGGGCGGTAGAGGCCGTTAAATATTCGTCGTCTGTGTTCACGTCTGTATCTTTGGCGTTCGTTCGTTCATAGGCGCCGTCGCACGTGAAAGGAGTGATACGTGCGAAGACTAATCGTTTTCGTTTGCGTGCAACAACTTCGTTTGCGTGCGTGTAGCGTGGGCCGGAGATGCAACTATTGGCCGACGAGGATTTCGACATTGGACTGTGACGAGAGCTCGTCAGAGTTGCGGTTCTGGTGTCCATTCTGTCTTGGTCTTCCAAATCCTTGTCCCCTTTCTGGTAGCGGTCCACGAGGTTGCCTGGATGGTCTATCATCGTAGTTTGTGCTGAAGGACCTATGTCCACCAATGGGACCCGGAGCATCCCAACTCGTCATCTGGCGCAGAGACCTTGGGCTGCTGCTGTTCTGTGGATACCCACCCCCAAGCTGCATGCGGCTCATTTCGCGCTCCAACAAACCATCATCCCGCTGGCTCATGGATCCAGTCGTAGGCGTACCATTAGGATTCGTCGAACTTCCACTGTATCCCAATCCCTCGAGTGATATGCCACCGGGGCGTCCGATCGGATGACTAGCTGTGCTCGGTGCCGGGGACGGGGTATACGACCTCAGATCCGCATATGACTTTGCGCCGCGCAGGTTCGGTACTGCGTTCAAACCACCGGGGCTGTCGGGGAATCCGAGGAGACCGGATGGCTGTCTGTTGAAGGCGTTGTAGAAGCCGCCTTCGGCGCGCACATCGCTGAAGTCAGTAGTCGCTGCACGGTTAAGGTTGCGGCGCGGCTGCTCCATGTGGTTGCTGGAGATCTGGGGCATGGGAGGACTGAGGCCCTGGTTGTCATGGACTTTGAAAATGTGGACTTGGCGCTGGTCGCCGGTACCTTTGGAGACGTGGGCCAGGCCGAGCTGATGGGCTAGGGTGTGAACGGTGCGTCGCTGGAGAGGGGCTAGGTTCGGGGGGAAAGTCATGCTGTCGCGGTCTTTGGTCTCCTTGAACAAAAGCAGCTGGGTGTAAAATTGCAGCACTTGGGGGTCGTTTAGGTCGACATCTGCATGCTGGTTAGCATCGTTGCTCGTGTAGAGTGCATCGTCAAACATACCAACAGTCTTCTGTGCCGATCCACCTCGCATGGCTGAAACAGGCGAAGGCGATGTAGCTGGCATGTGGGAGGCAAGGGAGCCAAACGAGGCCTGCGATTGGAGACCGCCGCCAAGGGGCCGGTGTTGTTCCTCGAGCTGTCCACGACGTTCACGCTTCTCCCGCTCGATACGCTCGCGCTCGGCCAGCGGCAGCATCTTCTTGTATTCGACACGCAACTTCCTGCCATTCAGCTCAAAGTGGTTCATCGACTCGATGACGGCCGCCGTCTCCTCGGCGGTGGTGAAGTTGGCAAACGCCAGACCTCTGAAGACGCCGTTGTCGAAGTGGTAGTTGAAGGCATAGGGCAGGGGTAGGCGCAGTTCCGTCATGAGCGAGACGAGCTGCTCCTTCTTGACAGCAAAGGGAATGTTTTTAATGACAATGGCGGTGGGGATGAGCTCTTCATCGACTTCGTGGCCGTAGCTTGTGTTCTGCATGGCGTTGAGGTTGCTGTTGCTCAGAGCAAAGCTAGGCAGACCCTGAGGCTGCTGGTCCATCCATCCCTGGCGGAGAGTTGTCAGTGTCGTGTCAAAACAAATTCAAGGTAATGAAGTCGTGCTTACCGATGGCAGGGCACTGCGCCCTCCTCCGCGCTGCTGCGACTTCATGCGTGCAGCCTGGGCTCCCCCAAGCGATCCCAGGCCGCCGTTCTGGGAGAAGGCGTTGGTGTTCCAGCCCTGAGGCGCGCCCATGTCGTAGCCGTAGCCGCCGGCGTGCATTGTCTGGTTGAGGCGCTCGTAGTTGCGAGGCTGGTCGTAGGTCCGTTGATGGTCGTCTTGCGCGTACATGTTGTTGCCCTGTGGCACTTGGCCGTAGGCGTCGAACTGGCGGGAAGGCATGCGGTGCAGCGTGCCAGTCTGGGGTTGGTTTCGTTGGGCAATGGGCGAGCGCGACGAGGACTGGTCGTAGCCCGAAGCGTACATTATATGCGTGCAAGATTAGGGAGACCCGGTGAGAGGTTTGGGGTGCGAGAGCAAGAAAATTAAGAACGGAGGTAAGAGTAGCACGTGGTCCAAGCTCGTAATGTCGTGAAATGAGCGGAAGGCGACCGTCGCAAACAGGTCCAGGTCGGATCGGAGGGATGAAAAGGGGTCGGCGTGAGCTCGAGCTTGCGTGGTCGAGGGTTGGCTGGTGATGGTAATAATCAGGGATGCCCGGCGGACCCAGCTCGACAGTCCCCTTTCGAGCCGCACTTTTAGGTGGGACGCGAACAACAGGCTAGCAGACGTCAGAGGGGTTCAATATCGCTAACACGCGACGGCGATGCGTAGGCTCGTGTTAAGGAAGGGAGGATGGCCGACGCTTGGAAGCAAAAGTTGACCTGTAACCCACTAACGGCGCGGGGAGACGGCTGCACACGTGCACTTGAACCCAAGAGGCCCGACTGCACCAAAGCTGAGAGCTTTCAATATTGTCTAGCAGAAGGGAACGCCTGGCCAGGTCAGGAGTTGGTGACTTAAGAGGCTTGATTGGCTGCCGCTCCAAGACGCCAATCGTAAAAGCATCTCCCGCTGCGGGTGCTGCGACGTCGAGCACATGGTTCGTGTTTGGCATTGAGTTGTGTATCGACTCCCAAGCTTATTCGCATCCTGACAAGACATGTCTCTCTAGGTAAACATCTGTGCTGAGCAAAGATATTTTAATCCGTCCACCCAGCCCAACACTTGTCACTACCCACTACTCATGATGCCCATGGCTACTCGTGGGCCACATCACCGACCATCATGGGCGGGCCAGCCTCACAAAAGTGCGACAGAGGGATGGCCCGGCGTTCTGGAAGTCGCCAGGTGGCGGGCCGTAGCGTTAGCTCCCTGCCAGTAACGTGGAAACAGCACCAGCTATACTTTTTTATTCCAGCACTCTACTTAGTAGACGTTTATATCAACGACGTTGCGGCACCGCGAGTCTGCTGTTTTCATGAACTCCAGGCACTTGCTGCTCTGGCCAGAATCCTCCGAGACGCTCGGGGTGCATGATGAGCACACGCGACGGCGTCAGCTGCACCCTGCCACCGGTAATCTCCCCATGTACGGTTCATCGAGCTGCACCCCAGATGTGCACACTGGAATAAGGCTGCATATTATAGTCATTGTTAAAATACTTGTTGTTCATATTATATGCTGGTAGTCATAGGGCTTTGTATAATCCGTCCAACTCTGCTCAACACCTGCAGGCGCGACCAAACATGCTCCTGCGTCGTTACACCACCTACCCACACATACGATGCACCTCATTTGACAAAGCTAAACATGGACTCGGCCATCTTAGACGATCACGAAGGCTTCCCGCTTTTATCAAGTTTCCGACTGGCTAAGCACAGCAGGAGTGGTTTGTAGGATCGCTTAGCCCGCATGCATAGGTGATCATGTGAATCCAGCCAGCTGGCTAGAGAACACTCTAGAGCGACTTGTCACCCTTCTGCTGACGATTACGCGACAGGCGAAAGTCATGGTGGCTGTGCTGGCGAAGGAGCTCGCTTCTTGTGACCTGTACCCACCTATACCACACCCTAAAGGTATACACTGTCACTTTCCTTGTCGAATGTACCGTGGAATAACGTGTATATCCCTAGAGTTGGTTTGGGCAAGGGTATAGCTCAGGACAACGTGCCTCTTCCCACGTCCATTGCATACCCGTTCAGTCCTCAAAGTCGAGCAGTCGCGAGAATTCAGTCTCACCAATGCGTCGGAACTCGGCACCTGCTGCAAACTGCCCGCTCGCCTCCCATGCTTGCATGGTCGCTTGGTCATAGGGGCCGTTGATCTCACCTTCTGGTGCATTGAGCCAGTGAAACTCCCATTGCACTGATTGCGGATTTGGATTCTTCCAATCTTCTCCCGTCTCGCGCTTGTATTGTCGCATGATGGATTCGCGGGGCAGCTCGTAGATGTCCTCGACGCCGCGATCGGACAGCCGACTTGCACATTCGGTTATAGAATCGATGACCTCTTTTGCCTTGATGGCTGCAGAGTCTTGCGACGGCTCCGAATCGACGTCCATAGCCTGGCTCTTCTTCTTCTTAGTCCAGCTTTTGGCCGGCTTCTTCGGTGCTGCTTTGCCATATCGCACGAGAGCTTCCATAGGCGTCTCGCCAACGTCCAGATGTGCGATGAGAGCCGACAAGACGTCGCTGGTGACGATGGAGTCTTCAGCTCGTTCCCGTGCCTTTCGCTCCGCATCCAATTTTTCCTGCGCTTCCTTTGCCTTCTTGATGTCCTTCTTCGATATGCCGTCCAACCACGAGTCTTGAGCGGCTTCCGGGTCGAAGGCCTTGCGCACGAAATTTCCGGCTTCGTCAAATCGGCCCTCTTCTTGCTCGGCACTCATGTTGAAAGCATCTAGCTTGGGCGCATGCTTCTTCTTGCTGCCTGCACCGAGCTCCTCATCCATGTCGGGATCGATCTGGTCGCGTAGCTCGTCATCGCCTTCGTCGCTGCTGCTCTCTACGTCTTCGGTCCTGCTCTTCGGACCTTTGGTGAAGTCGACAGCGACATGACCTCCCGCCTTACTGTCCGCTTCCTGGCCCTCGATCTCGTGGTTGTCCAGGAATCGCAGCTTCTTCTTTTTTGTCTGGTCTCTCCGTGATTCCTCATCCATCTCGTTATCCTTGTCCTCCTCCGCGAACATGTCGTCGTCATCGTCATCTTCGGTCTTTGTTGGCTCGTCTTTGTTGGCTCGGGCTTCTGCGCGCGCATCGAAGTTCTCCGTAGAGCTGTCCGAGTCGTAGCCGTCGATGTTGACCGCATTTCGCTTGATGCCCGCGCCTTTCCCTATAACGTCGGCTTCAAGGGCAGGGTCTTCATCATCGACTGCATCCGGAGCGAGCGTAGAGGGGTTGCGCGGGTCGAAGCGGGGTTTCTTGGTCGATGGTTCGTCGCCGTCCATGTGGTGGGTTCGCGTGAACTGCTCGCCAGCGCGCTTTGGCCGCGCAGGGTTGTGAGTCCCACTGGAGCTGGCCATGGTGATAATGAACGTGATCCGAGGTTGAGGTATGCAGAAAAGTGAAACTAGGCAACCAGGCAGTGACGTCTTCACGAAACGCGATTATTTGAAGCTCGGGCCAGATCGCGCTGACCCGAGTTTAGCGGCACTGGCATCAACCGCCTGCTGTACCTGCGACCATGGTTCGTCATCTCCAAGGCCTCTCATCGAATACATATCACTTCCACCATCCGCTTGCCGTTTCTTCCTGACGCCAGACCTGACTAACACAATTCACTACCCTCTGTTTCTTGCCGCTCCTTTCATATGCAAAAATGGTAAGAGCGACTCCACCACCTTCTCTATCTCAACTCACCACGTACAGTTCAACCCAAACTTTTACGACCAAGACGATCCCATGGCCATGTATCAGTCCTTAGCCGCTCGCCGCGGCGGCGCTCCTAGGCGTTTTGACGAGTACTTCCGATGCTATCCCATCGTTATGCTGCCTGGCCCTGAGCGCCACGAGGCAAACCACGGCGGCAAAGTGTTCCTCCCTCCCAGCGCTCTCGACAAGCTCACCAGACTGCACATCTCATATCCTATGATCTTCGAGCTCATAAACGGCAAGGCAGACGGAAAGAAATCACATGCAGGTGTATTGGAGTTCATAGCGGAAGAGGGCAAGATCTACCTGCCATACTGGCTCATGGAGACGCTCCAGCTGGAACCTGGCGACCTGCTACAAGTAAAATCGACAGATATACCGCTCGGTTCCTTCATCAAGCTACAACCTCAAGACTCTTCCTTCCTCGAAATCTCCGATCCCAAAGCCGTTCTCGAGAATGCATTCCGGAACTTCTCTTGCCTTACCGTGGGCGACATATTCACCTTCTCGTACAACGACAACGTATACAGTATAGCCGTATTGGAAGCCAAGCCAGAGCACTCAAGCAAGGCCGTCTGCACCATCGAGACCGATCTATCAGTCGACTTCGCTCCACCAGTAGGCTACCAAGAGCCGCAGAGAACGAGTGGCACAAGCACACCGCGCAGCGTCATGGCCGGCAAGGGCGGCACACTCCACGCCCACGGCACCATGGCAGAGGCAATCAACTACGCCGCCATTGCCCCATCGTCCACAACTGCCGCAAATGGAGCCAAAGCCACCTCCTCGAATTTCCTCACCACCGGCCACAAGCTGCTCAAGAAAGGCAGCAAGGCGCCTACACCCCAAGCCTCCACACCCGTCGCAGGACAATCATCGAACCCGCCTCCTACGGTACGGCGTACCAACGGCCCGCAGCCGCTCAGGCTACCGCCTAACAAACTGTTCTTCGGGTACGAGATCAAGCCGCTCAAGGGCAAGGAGGAGGAAGGCGAGCAGAAGGAATCGAAACACTTTGAGGGTGCTGGGCAGTCGCTGCGCAAGAAGAAGGGTGATAAATGAGGCAGATACCCAGAGTGACGATGGGCGATTCGGAAGCTCCAGAGAGTAGCATTGTATGGCGCAGATAAAGGATACTGAGATCATATGGCGTAGGGCGTTTGATACCTATGACGAGAGCTATAAACGGAACTAATACAGCTCATTTTGTACCTGTTCTCTGCTCTGTTTTGTTACCGTTTTCATTAGTCGTGATGCAGATGCTAATGTCAGTTCGGACAAACACTCCCAACACGCAAAAAAAGTGATATCAATCGCCCATGAATTTATTATTTGTACCTTGTCGCAACGAAGGTATTGCTCACGGCACCTGTTGGGCAATCAGCCCTGCACCAAATTCTTTAGAACAGGGCTGAGAGACGAATACTTCTAGGAGAAGACGTCACTTCTCCATTCCGAATGTTCCACTGCAATCCGGAAATGTAAACATGTCCCGCACCGAACGGAAGACAGATCAGTCAATCGAAGGAGAGAGGGAAAAAGAAGGGAGGGTCTAAACCATCTCCTCAACCGGCTCCTCCTTGACACGCTTAGCCATAGGAATATAGTCTTCCTCAACCTCAACATCTTCCTCGCCATCCTCCTCAACGCTCCCCTTGTCCACGCTCTTCTCCTTGACCTCAGCTTTCGGTTTCCTACCTCTCGGCTTCTTGCTCGGTGTCTTTACCTCGTCCCCGCCACCCTCTCCAGATCCGTCGTCGAAACCACCGTCTGCCTTCCTCTTAGGCGTGCCTGTTTTGGGAGTGCTGTTCTTAGAAGCCTTCTTCGCACTGTGTCCCGCGCCGCCTTCGGGGAGTTCCCAGGAGAGCTCGAGGTACAGGTCGCGTTGTTTGACGCGGAGGGCGGAGATGCGGTTGCGGATGCTGCCAGTTGAGGTTCCTGGGAAGGAAGAATTAGCTTGAGAGCTTAAGGATTGGGGCTTGGCGGAAGGGTTTACAGAATGAATGGGCTGGGGAGTCAGAGGGAAGGTTGGAAAAGAGTGGTTAGAGGTAGGACGCGGTTGGGGGAGGGGCTCACCAGGGAATGCAGAAGATAACTGGGGATACTCGTCTGGCTTGACCCAGCGGCCTTGCGTCAGAAGGAGGAGCTACAAGAACTCGTCAGTTATCATGTTGTGGTTGGTTGGACGTATCGCTCGAAATGAGGCGTTACCTTCGCGTCGTTGGGACCTTCCCATTTGAAGGGCTAGGGTGATTATTAGTTCATGGTCGAGAAAGGTTGGAGAAGATAAACGTACACCGCCAGTATCTCCAACATCGCCGTTGGCGACAGATTTCTTGGGCGGCATGGTGATTGTTGGGTCTTACAGCTATGGAATGTTGAGAAAGGTTGGTGTGTTTGGCTCAAATGATATTCGAGTAAGAGAGAAAAAGAGTAGTGGAAAGAGTGTCTTGAGAGACTGACAAAGTGAAGGGTTATATATCTCTCATGAAGAACGCGGAAGGCAGCAGGTGCAAAGAGCCTGGATAGAGGAGAGGTGAGAGTGATATCTTGATTTGGGTCGGTTGGGCACGGTCACCTTCACCTTGCAGTTTACGAGACAGGAGGGAAACACGGTATGATGACATTGAGAATTGACATTCCAGCGTAGTCAAACTTTGCAGATGACGCAAGCGTTCGATACTCCCAATTTGCCATATATTCGGTGCATTCCCATCTCAGATGTTGTCATAATGGAAGTTCATCAGCAGCCACAGAACGCCTCCAAAGGTACACCATCAACCATGTCCTCGACTTTGATCTCCTTCTTGACAGTCTCTTTCTTAGGCTTGCGAGCGCGCGGCTTCTTGGTGGGGGATTCGGCCTCAGCATCACCACCCTCATCGCTCTTCTCAGCGGCAGCAGTACGCTTCTTTGGGGACTTGGTAGGTGTCTTAGTAGGAGTCTCAGTGGCACCATCGGGTAGTGTCCAGCCGAGCTCCTCCATACATGCACGCTGCTCCTTGCGCATCTTGACGAAACGTTGGCGAATCGCGTTCCAGTTGGTGCCGGCTGAGCTTGGATTAGTATAAATGAGTTCTTAATCAAGGGGATAAAACTTACGAGGCAAGGCATCAACGAGCTTGTGATAGTCGTCCGTGGTGATGGTGCGTCCCATGGTCAGCAACAAGAGCTTTGGATTTGATTAGACAAGTGTACAACCGCGGGACGAGTGACTGGCTTACTTTGCGCTCATGATCTGCGGTCCAGCTGAACTTCTGTATGCATATTAGGCTTGGTAGAAGTGATGGTGGTATTGGGTCGTACTCACGCCATCACCGCCAGCCTCAGCACCTTAATCTGCGATCTTCTTCTTAGGAGGCATCGCAGTTGTCGTAGACGGATTGACTTGGAAGCGTATCTGAGAAGATGTCTGTTAGAACTTGTGAGCCGATTGTTGACCTTGAGAACTGGGGCTGAAGAGGTGAGTTTGGTATCAGAAGAGTTCAGGAAAGCGGCAGCAAGATAAGGCTCTGGGACACGAGGATAGGTGAGAGTGAGTTGCCGGGCAACGCGACCATGCCGACAGGCGAGGAACAAATGCGCCTTCACCGTACGTTCAGTGGGAGAACGCTACCGCGAAAACATCCTGGTACTTGGAACACTGTCACAAGAGCATAGTAGCTGAACATACACAAAAGGATGCACGAAGTTCATCAAGTGATGCAGCCGCACTTCCAGTGTACCCGTTCAAACACGTGCGTCACTACTACGGTCAAAAAGAAACCTCCTCATCTCGCCCATTCAACCCTCCTACCACAGTAAGATCAAGGAAACCTTGAAAACACTGACGCTGCAGTTTGGTCGAAGTATCATGGCGTATCTCACATATCTCGGCGGTCTTTTTCCAGCCCTGACCGATAAATTCAGCCAACGAAGCGATGCATACTCACGTATGACGAATGCCAGACAAGATCTCGAAACTACCTTCGGAAAAGGAGCTGAGTCATCTAGACAATTTGAACCGAGCCTGCGTACGGCGCCATTGCCAATCGCGTCTCAAGACAGTCATAGTAATCGTGGAAGTGCCTATGAGAACGCCAGTGTCGATGCGCCTGATGGCAAGGATAGAGTGTCCAAAACTACCAAACTACCTATCGATGAAATCGCAGACAAGTAAGGAGAAAGCATGCGATTACGATGAACGCAATGAAGATTACGATCTTGTAAATCTTTAGAGAAACGAGAGCATCGTATCCATAACAACACACTGAAGGGTGTTAGGGACGAGTGGATATGGAAATACGATATGAGAAGCTTAAACAGCAATCGAGACAATGAACAAGTCGTAGCAACCGTGGCGTCTGTACCGCCGGGATAGTATTAAGATATATACATTAAGATACCCCCACACACAACACTCGTCAGTAACCCATCTAAACCGCACATTGTCCCGGCCCACCAAAGCCATTAGGAAGCGACCCAGCAGCCCCAACGAAGATCGCGCCATTACCCTTTCCATTCGGACATAGGTCGCTTGGTGTTCCTAGCCCTGATTTTGGGACAGAGTACATGTACATGCTTCCGTATGTCCACCACTGAGTGCAGCCCTGTGGATCGCTGAAGCAAGCCAGACAGCACTCGGTGGCGGTTTTGCTGCTTGGACCATTCTTCAACGTACCGGGCTGAACGGCTTGGATGCCGTATACGTCGGCTGTTTGCTGTGGGCAGAGTGTCTGCGTGCTGGTGCTGGTGATGGTTGTAGCAACGGTAGTTGTGGCTGTAGAGGTTCCCTGTTCAAGGTTAGTCAATCATACCTCATGAAAAGCGTGAGGGTGTACGTACAGTGACAATAGGTGTTACAGTAGTATAGTCCGTGATAGTGAGCGTCGTAGAGATGACTGCCGTCACGGTCTTTGCTGTGGGGGTAACGCTGACGGTGGTGGTAGCTGTCGCGCGGGCGGCGGTCGCAGTTCGAGTTTGCGTCTTTGTTACAGTCGTTGTCTTACATATGGACACAGTCTTTGCTGGAGGTGCAGGCCAGACCTTGGTGCATGCTGGACAGATCAGATTGTTCGCTACACCCTTCAGCCATGATGGCGGGCTGACGTGACGGGCCTTAAGAGTTGGAGCACTGGGGAAGTTTAAGGTAGTTGACTGGGTAAGAATCGTGGTTGCTGCTGAAGTGATGGTGATCTGGAGAGAATTGTTAGGCTTGGAACCTCAGCGGATGAAGTGCTGGAAGCTTACTGTTTGAACATCTGAGACGGTGGTAGGTGCATCAGTAACAGTTGTCGTTGCTGTCTCCGAGATCGTGGTCGTCTGCAGTACCGTGGAATCTGCTGGCACTTCGCCGGTCGCCGTCAGAGTTATAGTGGCTGGTGCGGGAACAACCGAGCTTGTGACGGTCACGAGCTTTGTGAAAGTCTTCAAGTTGGTCTGCGTCACCGGCTTCTGTGGCTGATATGCCGGGCAGAAGCCTTTACAAAAGCCATATCCATTGTGGTTTCTCAGGAGCTTCGCCACCACATCCTGGTTCACTTGGTCTGATGCAATAGTCAGCGACGGGTTTCAACAGGAGTGAAGCTTGACTTACAGGTACGCTTCTCGATAGCACTTTCTCCGTGCTCGTCAACGTGCTCGACAACCACCTTGTTTGTCTCCGGGTCCTTGTAGGCAATCTCGAATGGACCGGTGCCCTTCAGTTCTGGGAAGACCTCAAGTGCGTGCGCTTCCTCAGCGACAACGCTCTTGGTGATGAAGACCGCAACGGCGAACAGTACACTGGGTTTGAAGTGAACCATGGCTGCCGCTAATCAAGGAGAAAGCTGGAGTGAACAGTAATGTTCAACGGCAGGAAACTAACAGATTAAGTATGCGATACCCCCTGAAAGTTCTTTGACCATCACGAACATTTTCGCTATACATACCATCCCTAAACAGCAAGCCCGAAAGCGCACATGCATTGCCAGCCTTGCAGAACTGCAGTTTGAATCAGCCAGCGTCGTCAACCGACGCCGTGGCTTGAGAATACTAGCTGAAGAGAGCCGAAAACAAAACTTTTGGACTTGCGTCTGGATGCCAGTTCACCAGGCACGGTGCATGTGGGTAGGGGTTACTAGTCCAATGTCTTCTGGTAGATCGTGGGGAAGTATGTCAGCCTCGCGTAAGCTAGCCTTTTTCGGGGCTACCTAGCCAACGTGGCTTGCATCTGGACGCATTGCTTAACTGTATCTTGATGATGGCTTCGAATCGCCTAACGATATTTTGACGACAATTTCCACTTCGAGTACACCCTTGTTGTAGTTCATGACCCTATGCTCACGCGGCAGAGACTTATCAAGACGATTTACAGGGGAGAAACTGCCTGGCCAATGAGCGCATCGTGTCATTCCGCTCTTGCAGCCTTGTTGTTGGCCCAGCCTTGCGGCGACGCCGAGAACAAATTATACGTCAAAACTCCACAACATATCTATTCCTCTATTCAAAAAGCTCGACAAAAATCTTATACACATTACATGCTAAACGCCTCTCTACACAGTTTTTTCTTCTCTCCCTCAACTCGCCGCATAACATCACGACGACTTACATCCTCATATTCTCCTGTATAACCTTATACTCCTTCCTCTTCTTCTGCATCCCCTGGCCCCCAAACTTGACTTTAGCAACCCCAATCCATTTGCTCAACCCAGGGAACAACATATTCTCACCCAGATACGCCATGGCAAAGTTGCCCAATCCCAACGCCATGATAAAAACCTTGAACGGCGTGTCAAGGTAGGTAAGTTCCATCGCACTCATAACCCACGCCGCGGGATCAAACAGCATATACAGCGTAATAGCCAGGGTAACAAAAATGGTCGTGACAAACGGCAAATTGCGCGACATGGGTTCGCGATACGGTTTGCCGACGCTGAGAACGACGGCGGAGAAGATGTATTGGAAACAAGATGTCAGGAACAGCGCCGTATTTTGCGAGTTGAGCGAGTTGCTGTGGTTCTTGTCAATGACGGGCGGCATGTACCATTCCTGCTTCTGCACAAAGTGGAAAGCGAGGTACTGGACCAGTATGCACAGCACCATTTGACCAAGCAGTGGCGTAAGCACCTTTCTGCTCACGAGATTTGCGGTAGGGCGTTTCCGGGATAAGACGGGGTAGGCGCCGGACCAGCCCATGAAGATGGCGATGGGCAGGATGAGAAGCAGGTCGATGAAGAGGAATTGGAAGTCGCCGAGGTTGGATGCACTCGCATACAAGAAGCTGACCGAGCAAAACTGTATGGCGGAGTAGAGAGACATGTACTTGAAGCAGCTGAAACTGGTAACAAGCGCTGCACGTCCTTCCTTGATAACTTGAGGTACACAGCTGATGTCGAACTGCCGGGAGGTAAATGGCGCAGCGACCGAGGCTTCGGCTTCCGACAACGAAATACCCACGTCTGCTGCTTTGAGTGCACCGCAGTCATTCGCACCGTCACCGCAGAAACCAACACAGTAGTCTATGCTCTGTAGCTTCTCAACCAGTTCGTGTTTCTCATCGGGGCTCATGCGGGCAAAGACTTGGCCGCAGACAAGCATCTCCCTAAGCGTAGATTCCGAGGCGAAATCTACGATCCAGCGGAAGACGTCGCCGGAGACGGCCAGACTGTAATTGCGGAGGTTGGAGATATCGTAGGGAAGAGATACGTCGGCTTCTGGTGGCGGTGGTAGGGGCTTCAGTGTGTTGTCGTCGAGCTTAAAGACAGGGTCGTCCACGCTTTCCCAGCTGAGCTTTGACAATGCTGTTCGAGAGTCACCCTCCTCAAAGTGCGGAACGAAGCAGTGTGCTGTTTTGTTGATGAGGCCGCATTCGCGGGCTACGCTGATAGCGGTGAGGATGTTGTCACCAGTGCACATGACCTTGCGGATGTTTGCGCGTTCGAGCTCTTCAATGACGGGGGCGGTGCTGTCTTTGAGCTTGTTCTCGAAGATGATGAAACCGACAAAGTCCAGGTTGCTCTCTGCTTCTTCACGCTTCATCTTCTGTGTCTTGAGCCAGTTGAGCTTGGGGATCGTTTTTGTTGCGCAGGCGATAACACGGAATCCACGGTGGGTGTAGAAGGCTAGAAGCTCCTCGTAATCAGTAGGAAAGCTTCCAGGTCGGCAAATCTCCTTCATGACTTCGGGCGCGCCCTTGACGTACACCTGTCCGCTCTTTGAACCAAATTGTCGGACGATAACACTAGCTCTTCGTAGCTGGGAAACGAATTCGAATGCCTTCAGTACACCAAGCTCGACCTGCTTCCTGTTGGCCTCGTCTTCAAGATCGTCAACGTCATACTCTCGGCCTGGTGGTGGTCGAGCGACAGACGGTGACAGCTTCTGCTCATCGTCATCACCACCGTTGCCAGCCTTCTGTTCTCCTTCCTCGTAGCTCCAGCCGGTAAAATCGAACATTTTGACGTCGAGTGGGTCGCCTACTAGCTCATCATCGATCTTACGAAGTGAGTGACAGGTGGCCATGGTGTATAGGATAGTCTTGTGTGCCAGGTATTCTACGGTTGGGTCGCGGTCGTGCTGGGATGCGGGAAGGATATCATAGGCGTCTGGAAGGAGCTCGCTGAACCTGTTCCTAGGTCGCTCGACTACACGAACTCCCAAAACATCCAGACCCTCCTCAGTGAGCGTTCCAGTCTTGTCGAAGCAAACTACATCCAGCTTACCACCCACGTTGACTCGCTGCGGGCTGATACAGAAGATCTGCTTCTGCTTTAAGCGTGACAGGGCGAAGCTAGTACCAATGGTGAGCGTGGCCGGCAGCGCAGGAGGGACGACAATGGTGATGAGATCGAGAGCTCGCACAACGATCAAGTGCCATGCGAGACCCAGATGTACAAAGTTGATGAAAGATGCGACGAAGCCAATCATGGCAATGAATGCCATGACGGAGATGTATCGGAAGGAGTCGCGGTAGAACTTGAAACCTGAGGGCTTAGGGAAGAGCATAGAACGGACCAACGCGCCCTTGGTGGTGTTGAAACCAGTGCGCACAACCATGGCTAATGCAGCAGCCTCATCATCAACGTGGTCTTCATGTGGTCTGCGAGCTCTGATGATCTTGGTTCCACTGAACAGCATGTGTCGTGCAACCTCTGGGTGAACAGCCGATGCGCTGAGGTCAAGCAAATCCAGGGCGTGGTTCGACATAGGAATCTTGGAAACAGGAATCGACTCGCCAGTCAGCATACTCTCGTTGACGATACAGTCTCCAGAGAGCAAAAGACTGTCGCAGGGGAACAAGGCAAGCGAGGGATCGGTGACTTCGTAGACATCTCCGGGTACAAGCTCCGCAGAGTCGACGTGAGTCCAGAAGCCGCTGCGTAGAACACGAACTTCGCACTCGAACTTTGAAACTTCACGTAGCCGCTTCATGGAAGCCTTTGTCTCGACGAGCGTGGTAACGATACTGACTGCTGAGATGATGAAGATGGCACAAGCATAGTAGTAGTACTCGTCCATGGACCAGAGGACCAGACTGGCAATCTGGAAGACGTAGAAAGGATGGAAGACCTCGTCAACCAAAAGCTGGCCGATCGTCTTCTCAGCGATGTCGATCAGGTTCTTTCCAAAGACAAGTTCGCGGTAGTCGCGTTCGTCGTTGTCAAGACCCTCGCGCAGAGCCGAGACGTCGGTCCAGGTGGGATCCTTCCAGGTGTTTGCGAGCACGAACTTGTCCTTGATGGGGTGGTATACGAAGCGGATATAGCGGTAGTCCAAGCATCTCAGCTCGCCAATGAGCGGATCATCTTCCTCATCCCATTCCCTCGGGCGACCCTTTTCAGGGTCGCCAAATACAGTTGATAGCGAGCGTCCGTAGATCTGCTTGCTGACGCTCTGTACCGCGAATTCTCCCCACTGATTTTCGGTGACGATCCAGTCGCACTCCTTAAGCGGTGTGGTCTTTCCGATTATGGCGACCCTCCACCGTGGCAGCCATCTGAACAGAAGCCAGCCGAGGCCCAGTGTCGCAATGCATAGAAGCGCATAGAGCGAATAACCAAAGGGAGATGTCTTGAAGCCGGCGATGACGATGGTAAGATCCTCGGTCATGATGTAGATCTTCTGGTTGGACCTGCGCCCTCTCCAGTCGATGCCTGAGCCTGTGCTGCCCGCTGAGGATTTCCTTCGCAGTAACGGCCTCTCAGAGGACTTTCTGCTGCCGCTCGATTTCCGCCGCGATGGTGTCGGTGATTGTGATGAGTGAGACGATGTTCCTGCCTCGAGGTCTTCCAGTTCTGACACGGTATAACCATTGTTGTACGTGCTCTCTCCGTCCTCCAAGATTGCGCTATCCTCGTCCTCACCCTCTGAATCCTGCTCTTCATCGTAGAACGCGAAACTCGTCAGACTGGCGCTCGAGTCGGCGCGCGACCGTCGGTGGCGGAAGCCGGATACGCTCGTGGGGACGCTTTCGCTCATGGGACCGGAGAAGACCTGGATTTTTGGCGTCAGCTGCTGGCCAGGCTTCCTTCCACGAGGGTTGTAGGCAGGGCGGGAAGGAGGAGGAAGAGGCATGGGCCCGAGTTCGTATACCTCATCTTGGGCCATCTCGACATCTTCCATGAAGCTTGCCCTGGTGTCGCCATTAGTCGCGCCTTGGAGCTGAGCTGGCCGTGTCACACGTACTCGCTCAGGTGGGAGCCACGGCGGTACATGGCGCTCATTCTGCGCGGTCGCCGCCTCTCGGGGCTTTCGTTGTCTGCCATGGCGACTTTTGTGGATTTTGGTCGTTGGCTATCGGGCCATGGTATCGAGTTGGGACACACGAAGATTTCCTGTCGCGTCGGTTCGGGCGAGCCAGCCAGATAGGCCGTGCGGTGTATGACGTTGGAGCTAGTCAGGGATCTGCAGCCGTTCCTGGTGCTTGCATCCGGCCCAACACCAGCAGCAATGAAGAACAACCCCAGGCATACGATTGTCGCACTATGTAAGGTGCATACAATGAGATCCCAGCTAACAGCAGAGTAGTTAGAAGCTTCTAACCGCATATCGTGGTGCCACGGGATCTTACAAGCTACCTCGATGATTGGCTCTGCTACACCGTTCGCTCAGCCTTGCAGCATGCAGGTCGTTCGTGAACATGCGTGTTGTAGCCTGCTCGACCATCTACCCTACCTTCTATTTGTCTCTCGCGTTCTTGATATCATCCCTCTGTCTGTGATTTCTCGATTTCTCAATTTCATGGCTCTTTCCAATGACCACACCGTCCGCAAACACGCGTATGAAGCGCTAGAGAGTTCGCAACACATCAGGCTCATCATACTACACCCAGCCTCGTCTGCTGATGCGCCTTTGAAAGTTACTTCTCAACAAGCTAAACTGTCAGAACTCCAAGGCCGCTACGAAGCCATATCATACACATGGGGCCAGCCAGACCTGACATGTCCTCTTCACGTGAGCGATGGCACACAGGTACTAGTCACGGAGAATCTTGATCGGGCATTGCGGTATCTGCGTCGCAGTCACAAAGACCGATTCCTGTGGGCAGACGCTGCATGTATCAACCAAGCCGATGGTGTGGAAAAAAGTGCGCAGATTCCTCTTATGGTACAAATTTTCCAGAACGCCGAGAGAGTCCTGGCCTGGCTCGACCCAGGTTCTGCAGCTAGCCGTCCGCACAATCTAGAGTTGACGCTGAAAAAGATGGAAACGCTGTCTAGAATAAGAAGGCAAGACATCCTTCCTGGAGGTTCTTGGACGATCGAGACCGATGGAAAAGAGTTCGATGCTCTGTCCTCGGAAGTTTTCTGGGAGGTGTCTGGATTGCTACATCTTCCTTGGTTCACTAGGCGTTGGATCGTACAAGAAGTTGTATTCAATCCGGATGTCCGTCTGATCTACGGTGATGTCGAGTTTTCCTGGGCTCGATTCGTGGCTACCATTTCAATCCTGTTAGCCTTGACACGGGCCTTCCCTCATTCAAGATTTTGGAACGCTGTCACAAGCATAACACAACTGTGGAGGTATTACTCGCTATTCGAGCAGTCCTCAAACAACGATAGGGAGTCTCACGATACTGACATCGTAAAGTTGCTGGATGCCTTTGATCAAATCGAATGTACGGATCCTCGTGATCGGATTTTCGCCCTGTACAATATGGCATCCAATCTGCGACCATCCACTTTACCTTTACGTTATCATGACGACGTTATCATGGATATCGACTACTCATTGGATCTTCGGCAAACATACGAAGCCTTTGCACTCGCTTGCATGAGAGCTGGGAAGCTGACCACGATCATCGAATCTGTGCTCTCCCGTCAACACTCAGCCAGACCAGATGGTTGGGCGTCTTGGGCGCCTGACTGGCGTGTAAACTCGCTAGAGAAAATTGTTCTGCCAGAGCCCGTACGTTTCTACCGGCCCCTAAAACTTGAGGACTGGCCCCTAGATGTCATTCGTATGAGGGTCAATACGAGGATGTATCTTCCGCACGCGCCGTATGAGGCTTATCCTATCATAGTGGAAAAAGCTGTTGGAGATACCTTGCTCCAACAATGCTCAAATCTCTGTACAAAGGTCAATAAGAAAGATGTTGCTGGGGATCTCAAATCTCTTTTTGATATGCTCCAGTGTATGGTACGACAATCCTCTCTCGGAGATTACCCGGAGGGAAAGAGGGCAAAACAACTGCGGCACATGCAGAGCAAGGTGTATGCTACCATTCCACAACGCGACCCAGACCTAGACTCGATGAATCTGGATGCTCTTCAATTGATGTTAGATATGATCATCGGACCGAGCAAGAACATGTTCTTCTTCGAAATACCCGGCGCCGAAAAGCGATCGGTCGGTTATGGTAATGCGCACCTTGAAGCTGGAGACCAACTTGTTCCACTGTTCGAAACGGATGTAGCGAGGAGTGATAGGGCCTCCAGTATGGGAGCTCAAAATCTCAACATGGTACTCATAGTCCGTGGTGCTGGTACAATCGACATGAAACCAAGCCCAGAGACTATTTACCGCCTTATCGGCAGTGGCTATATCTACGATGCAGCAATCAGTGCGAATCATTTGAACCGCGGTTTTCTCTTGAACAATAACTTCCGGGAATTGCATTTGGCTTAAACATCTCCTGGCCTTGATGATTAATTGCGTAGTATGCTCTCCTGTTGAACTCGAATTCAATCAGTTGCACATCTGGTTTGAATATAGCTGACATATGAGACTCGCGAGCCTTCGAGCATTTGAAGACGACGTCGCCAAGCTAAGAGGCGATTTACGGCTTTGACTGGAAATGAACGAACTGGAGCATCGCACCTGTTCAATTTACAGAACTCATTACTCTACGATTATGATTCCGTGTGGGATCATACAACAAGTTTGACCAGCCGGAGTGCGAGCTTTGGTGAAAGAAGCACGATATCGAGCGAACAGGAGTAAGAGCATCTAGAGAATCTCACACTGACCCGGTCAATGTGACGCGTGCGACTACCTAGGTAGTTGATGCGGATGAGTGGAGACGCGTTCGTGTTAATCCCTCGCCAAAGCCTGCCGACCCCTGCCTACCAAATAACCACACCACGTCTTCCTACCCAAGCATCACACACATTTCCATCTCTCTTCTGCCGCCATTGGCTTCTCAGATCGAAGCTGCAGACCCATTGCCAGGTATTTCACGCCTCCACGTGAGAGATGCTGCGTATCCCCTTCGCGCGGAAGCGGGGCAGCACGGCTCGGAGCCGTCGGCTCCGCTTTTGGGAAGTCCAGAGTCGAGATCGCGCTTCTGATCTAACTGGCATCACGTTGTTCGCCCAGAAGCCTTGATAGAATTGGACAGAGATCAGATCAGATGGTGTGAGGGGAACTTGTGTCAGGGCAGATCCAAGCTTTAGCTCTCCCCACACTTCACTACGCGTGTAGATCACAGTTTAACACCAGGTCCCTTCTGGCATCTCGACTGGGGTCAGTGCGGGGCTATATCACGATTCCTAGTTGGCTGTACAAAACGAGTAGCGATGTATTGACGCTGAGCAGCATCATTGGCCCTTGGAAGTCAGCGGAGAGGATAGACGCACTGTGGAGATGGTGTTGGGTCAACCAAGGCAGATCAAGAACGTGAGAAAGCAGTGCAAGTATAAGCACTTTCACAAATGGAGGTACCTGCGGTGCCGATGAGCGGCTCCCTCATCATCTTTCGTCAACACTCCATCCACTTCCAGTCCGCCGCTGAGAAAACATGTGCGGAGCTTCGGAGAATGTTAGATATGGTCGCTAGTTCTATAAAGCTCCTTGCATTCACTCCCCAAACAAAGTAACTCCCATCGAGGATTCGGTGTTTCTTCTCTTGGCCCAACCACTTCCATCAGTCCAGCTCAGACCCAGGAACAGCAGCGAAGCCCGCCATGAAAGCGCTCATCTACAATGGAGTCGGAAAGTGCAAGCTCGTAGACAAGGAGATTCCCCGGCTGAGCGGTGGCCTTGATGCGCTGGTGAAGATGCAGCGGACTACCATCTGCGGCTCCGACCTTCACATCCTGAAAGGCGACGTCCCGACATGCACACCAGGAAGAACTCTGGGCCACGAAGGCATTGGCGTAATTGAAGAAATCGGGCAAGAAGTCAAGAATTTCAAAAAGGGCGACCGGGTGCTGATTCGATGTATCACGTGTTGTGGTACCTGTCAGTTCTGCAAGAAAAGGTAAGCAATACTCAGACCATTACTGTGAAAGTCTTCTTAGACTTACTGACTTTGCTTTCTTTCCGCTTAGCATGGCCGACTGCTGTGTGAAGGCAGGCTGGATTCTCGGTCACACGGTTGATGGCAGTCAGGCTGAATATGTTCGCATAAAGTATGCTGATACCTCGCTATACCATGTGCCCAACAACGTAGATGAGCGCACATTACTCCTATTCAGCGACATCCTACCAACAGGCCTAGAAGTCGGCGTCTTGCGCGGAAAAGTACAACCGGGCTGTACCGTCGCAATAGTAGGAGCCGGACCCGTCGGTCTCGCAGCTGGCCTGACTGCGCAACTGTACGCCCCCCGCAAGCTAGTCTTCTTCGACATGGATGACTACCGTCTCTCCGTTGCCAAGAAAATGGGCGCCACGCATGTCTACAATGTCAAGGATATAAAAGGCACAGTCCGCGACCTTGTAGCAGAGCACATCGACGAGGCCGATGGTTTTGACGTCGTCATGGAGGCTGTTGGCATTCCCGCTACGTTCAACATGTGCGAGGATCTTGTTGCAAAGGGTGGGCATATTGCGAATATGGGCGTGCATGGGAAGAGTGTGGACTTGCACATTGAGCGGCTGTGGGCGAGGAGCACGACAATTAGCATGGCGCTGGTGTCAGCGCACACGATTCCAACATTGTTGAACTTGTTTGCTGCCGGTAAGATTGATGCGAGCGCCATGGTCACACACGGTATGCATGCCCATTCCTACCCCTTCGCATATACGATCTCTAGGGGGTACGTGTGTGCTGACAGCTCGCCTACGCAGACTTCAAGTTCAGTGACATTGAGAAAGCCTACGACCATTTTGGACGGGCGGCCGAGACAAAGTCTCTGAAAGTGAGCATCGAATTCGACCCTCCCAGTACAAAAGCGGGAGTCGAGAGGCACGGGCAAAGATTGTAATGGTCCATTTTTTCATTCCTACGTAGAACCAGTCGACACAGAACCTTCCTTAGCGCACTTCGACGTCCATTGTTTTGCATGCATCTCAAATGCTCCCCTCGAATTCGCATATTCATTAGCAATCTTGACTTCCACCGCGCTCTCCAACTCAGGGTGATCAAGTAGCGTCCTTAGGCTCATCAATATCTTCTCCATGGTATGATTGTGATGCCAGTCTTCTCCCAGCATCTTCCAGCTAACAACCCCCGTTCTGCCATCAACATTGGGATGGTAGATTTTAGTTGTGAAATTTACTTTTGGCGGCTTCTCTGGGTAGTCGTCGGTGAACTGGATGTGGAAGGCGAAAGTGCCGCCTTCGTAAGGGGAGTTATCGAGGCCATGAAGGGTGCCAATCCATTCGAAGATATCGCCGTGTTTGAGGTCAACGTGGTAGCCTTCTGCGGGACTTTTGCGCAGGCTTTGGAACTCCTTCTCGAGGCGTTTTTTGGTAGGTGTCATGATAGCGAAGTGAATTTTGAGAGGGGTAAAGTGAAGTGAGAAAACAAAAAAAATAATCCTGAAATGATACGACGCGTTATCGCGCGACTCAAAGGAAAGGAGTGTTGAGGTTGGTCGCGCGTTTTGGCATACGTCATGGTGCATTTACTACCACGCATTAGTCCGCGACTTCGAACCTTACTATAGCCACGATTCATAAACTGCACTATTGGAAAGTGGATCATATCACAGCGCCCGAGTCGGAACGGGAACGAGAACGAAGACGCATCACTTTACGCCTCGACTAAGTCAGCCACCTTCGCGGTCAGTTCCACAAATCCTCTGATGACATACGCATCAGAGTCGTGATGGTATCTGATAGTTGGCCGAATATATTAGCTCTCGTGGTAGACCTCAAATTTCCCATTTTGCACACCCTATTGCAGTTGTCTTCATCGTCGGAATCAAACGGCTGAGATTTGGGGAGCCGCGAGGGGAATATGGTACTTCGAAAAGTGGCCCAGGCTGTACATTACAGGAGTAAAGTCCGAGATGTGATTGTTCATATATCGTCTGGAACGTAACATGTACAGTCAAATAACGAGCAATCGCTTACCATGTGCTAACAACCTGCGACCAACAAGGTATTCCGTCATGCCGACTAATCTGCAGGTGTGTTGAAATCGCCAGCGTTGTTAAAGTTGGTTGCACGTCTATCTATGAATCTTAGCAAGAAAACTGAAAAGCTTTCGATGTCTGAATAACATGGTAGGCGAGACGATGACTTGGCAACTTTTACAAAACTTCCTCTCTGGACTATGCGGATCAAATTTCCTAGCGAGGTGTCGATGGTGATGCGAAAAATTTGAAAGGCACGTTGTCTATGCGTTATGGTACTTCAGACTAGGAGGAACAACATCAGAACACGTCCTGGTGACATGATCAATATCAGTAATCAAAGATATCTGTATCAGAAAGAAGTAGTCTTGAGAAATATACACATCTGCCATACCCTCACAGCTGCTGCATAAAGTTATTAGTCCCTCTGTAGATTAGTCGAAGATCAAATAGCGGAGCTCAGCAGGTATAATGCGAGACCTTCCTTCGCTTGCTTGGAGCTTGCGCATCACCATCCATATTCGCCGCATCATCACAGATTCACAGATCGCAGACCGATACATCATCATCCGATAGATACACATGCTGGCAGAGGAATTCAGGCGGCGTCTCTTGAACCAGAACGGAATCTTGACCATGATCTTTAATCTGCTGCGATTGGCGATACACGTCAATGGGTGTCTCGCTCACTAGAACAGAGTCGTGTCCTGGGGGCGGCGGGAGATGTTCGTAGTATTCTTGCTGTGAGTAGTCGTTCATAACCCCGTTCAAGCTCTTTTCAGAGCCATCACTGTCATCGTCTGCATGTTCAGTGAAACGATACATACCTCGTTCGTCGTTAGATGAGGCCTGTACTTGACTGGCGAACTGAACTGCCTCATGGTCTTGCATGATCGATGGCAACGGAGTTCTTCCACGCCATCGTTGAGCCGACTGGACCATCCTATACGTATTTTGAGACTGACGTAAAGGGCAGTGTTGCGAATTGATGCCTGGACTCTGAACACCGCCGATGAGATTTGCTGCAGCGCGGTTATATAGCGACTTGGGGATAATCTCGACAAGATCGAGGCTCTTCTCTCTGGGTTCCCAATCTGCAGTCGCGTTCGTATACAGCTTATCAAAGTCTTCAGCATACGAAGAGAACCACTCGTGCGCCAGAGCCTCCGATGCTGTCATACGCTCTTCCTCTTTGAGGACGAGCAGACCTTTGATGAAGTCCTTTGGATGATAGCCGATATTGGCCCACAACGGGTGATGAGGGTCGTCCAGGTTACTAAGGTCACAGATAGCTGCGAGACCCAAGATCACCCCGCGAGGGTTGGTATCGTACTCCGGGTGTCTACGATCACTGAACATCAAGTCGCCGGTAAGTACAGTAGCCGTAATTGAACCAATAGACCACATGTCGACAGCTTTTGAGTAGCCATCATCGACTGGGATTGCCTTGTTAAGTCGGTGTATCTCGGGCGCCATGTACTCCAAGGTACCAACGCAAGAGAACATTCGGTGATACTTGTTGTTTTGTGGTGGATTTTGGCTGTTCTTTCCGGGCAGGAATCTAGCACTGCCGAAATCGGTAATGACGACGCGAGCACCATCTTCAAGAGATGACATGAGTATGTTGTCTGGCTTCAGGTCCCTGTGTACGATGTCCTGATCGTGGAGATACTCCATTCCCTTCAAGACCTGGTAGATGATAAACGCGGCATGTAGACCATCAATCCGGCCGTCCTTGAACTCAATAAAGGAAAAGAGGTCACCCCCCGTGACAAGCTCTTCAAAAATGTAAATGGTGTTGTTACTTCGGAAAACCTTTTCGATGGCGATGACGTTGGGATGGCCAAGGTCTTTGAGAATATCGAACTCGCGAAAGCAATTGGTAACTCGTTTTGGCAATTGTCTCCTCTCCGATTCCTGCAAGTTTGACATTGCCAATGTGTCGTACATTTTGTCCAGTCGGATTATCTTACATGCAAGTTGCCGCTGTGTCTCTTGGTTGATGCCCACTAGTACCTTGCCGTAACCACCCTGGCCGAGCAAACGTCCAGTAAGGAGGTAGCGCGATGCAAATGTCTGTCTCTCCCGCTCCTGAATGGCGGTAAACTTGACAAGCTCTGCTGGTATGTTCGAGTAGTAGACTAAAGTGATGGTGTCGGAGATGCGTATCTCATCCCCGTCTTCCAGGAGGAAGGTGCTCCTTGGACCCATCAAAATACGCGCATCTTGCGATGCAGTGTATTCTGAGTTACTCTTTCGGAGGTAGGTGCCATTTGCGGACAGATCGGTCGCGTAAACGAACGGGGCGATCTTAGCAATTGGGTCCTGCTCATATAGAATGCAATGGATGCGCAGGTGCTTCCTTGAAATAGTGAGGTCGTCGCTCCACGAGTAGCGACTGAGAGTAGGATTAGAACAAGATCATATCAAGCTTAGGATACAGCGCTCACCAGAGCTCTGGATCCCTCCCAAGATAGAACTGCTCGTTCCCACATACTTCGATCGTGCCTCCGTGCGTTCCTGCATACGTTAGTTTGCTGATCATGATTCGAAAATCACCAACTTACCATGTGCGTTCTCGCCCGCGACCTGAACAAGCAGCCTTGCGACTACCTCGCCCGCCATCTCACAACGCTACCCCACAAGAAATAACGCTGCTTCGGAATGATGTCGGTGAATGAATGAGGTTTGACGTAAGGCAGGTGACGCGGCGCGTGAACTCCTCTTGGCGCCTGTTCCAGGGCTGGGCGCTAAGCCGTTCTAGCTAAGCGAGCCCCGCACCCACCTAGGTATTTCGACCAGCTCGGCTCCTACCTTTGTTCTACACTCACGACACTCATCTCGACAGCAATGTAAGTTATATCCAGCCAGCCATGGCGGCGCTTGCGACACTCAATTGAGCGCAATGACTGCTCTTTGAGTGTACCTGCACTCGCCATCAACTCCAGACTTGTCAATTGCACAGCCGCTGACCTCATACCACAGCCCGCCGACAAGATGAGAGCCAAATGGAGGAAGAAGCGCGTTCGACGTCTCAAGCGCAAGAGAAGAAAGACTAGGGCTCGTTCGTAAGTTCTCACCACATCACCGCCACCAGTTTCGTCCGAATCTAACAAATGTTTCTAGCAAATAAACGTCTCGCCCCTCAATCTCAGCAATTCCAACCTCAGTTCTGAACGATCACGATCACTGAACGACACGTTTTCTACGCACGACCTTCCGACCAGCTCGCAACTTATTTGACTACATTGCGCAATCCAACCTTGAGGTTACGTCATACGGCGGATTGCGGCACGCGAGCTTTCAATTACTACTCCGGAGGGTGACGACTGTGCTGGACTGGGGAACGCTATGGAATGCTGGTCAATCGCCTGAATGGCACATTGGGTTCTCACGGGAGTTTATCTGAACACTGATTACGACGGTCACTCTAACACCGGCGAGCCCTCCTCTTGCGGAGGCTTGCCTTTGACTGATGCGTCGCCATGTGGACATGCGATAACGGAATCAAAAATGCTTCACGACAATATCGCTCCTTCTGTGTGTGATCTTGATTTGACAATTCGTGAAAATGGTGCAATGTGCGCGACCTGAGTCTTAGCCGACAGGGATGCTAGGAATGTGATGCTCTCCTTCAAACAATTGTGATGCCACTTATCGATAACCAATCTTCATTGCCTACCGCCGGTCGAGAGGGATTCGATGCAAGTGTGTGACGTGCGAGTACTCACCCATGCATGATCAATAGAGATATCTCTGCACGGATTGGTTTCGCAAAAGTCTCATTACTACACTATGCTACCACGGAAAGGAAAGAAAGATACCTGATATATCATGTCAAAACATCTGCAGTCACCACGACCACAATGAAGTAAACCATCTTCCCACGGCCAACCAGTCGCATTTCACCTTGCATCAACCACGTCCTCTCAAGCCCAATCCCTCATCTCCTTACCCTCTACCTCACACTCACTCCCAGCCTTCTCATCCCGTCGCATCTGAACCTCCCTCACAACGTGTACACTATTACCGACTACATGACCCTCAATGGAGGAAGAAGGCAAAGTCTCCTCAGCCCAGGCACGCGCATGCACACCAGTTGGTGGTTTGATAGTCGTGGACGAGGAGATCGACTCGCTCGTGTCAGTGGCGCAAGTATGGTTCGAAGTAGGAATCTCAGCGATACTGGGATGCGAGAAGAGGGGTAGCAGTGGTCCGTGGAAAGAAGGTCGGGCAAAGTAGCGGCGGAAGAATGAGGGTTGTGGTGGTGTGGGTGTGGATGGGACGGGTGAGGTCGAAGCGTTGTTCTTCTGTGAGAGCAATGTGTCTTGCGTCGTGATGCTGTGTAGCCGGGGTATGGAGTCTAGGCCGACGAATTCATGGCTTGTAAAGTCGGCGGAAGTGTCCTTCGTGGAGTCTGTGATGGTCGATCCGGTGATGGTTGATCCGGTAAGTGTTGACCCCGATCTGCTGGACCAAAGCAAACTCTTCGCCTTGCTGGAAACATTCGAGGTCCAAGCCCTCGCAGCCGAAGTCCTCTTCGGCATCCTCCTGTCACCAGATTGAGCGTACAGGCTAGGAAAAATCCTTCCCGCCCCCATCCTCACCAATACCTGCCTATAGTGCGCATTCGCATCAACCCCCGTACCCAACAGACAAAACGTAACATATCCGGTCGCAACCTGGACCCACTTCTCGAAGCTAACAGTACCCATGACGGGAATCTTTACGATGTTGTTGACAGTCTCGGGATCGTGGACCGAAGACCAGGAATAAGGCGTTGTGATCCATGATGATATGTCGACGAGGAGGTAAATGGAGTAGGACAGGTAGACAAGGACCACGACTAGACTAAGGATGAAGAGGCGGACGAAGCGTGATGAGGTAGTGTTGCGGGAGGCGACTAGACGGTGGAATTCGCGACGGTAGCGGTAGAGACGGTAGACGAGTAGGGCTGCCGGGCGTGATTAGTTGGGGTGATGTTGGGGGAACAGATGAGACTTACAAGCCCAGTAAGAAGCGAATAACATGCCGATGGTTGGCCACATGAAGCCCAAGACGACGCTAGGCCACGAACTGTCATGGGCCGATATACAGCCTACGATGCCGTAGATGAAGAAACGAGCGGGTTGTACGACGTAGTAAAGGGCGATGAAGAAGCCTGGCACAACCCAACACCAAACGACTTCCCAGATCTTAGCCCAGATCCTACTCTTCCGGCTTGTCGAAACTGTCATGTTATTCGTGTCCATGACAATGGCAAGCTTGCGTATGACCAGAGCCACCGAAGCTGTCATACCAACATAGCTACCCACCTGGAGACGAACGTGGATGTCGCACCAGACGGCACCGTCCCACCATTCCTGTACGTTGTCGCGAGGCCATATGAGTGCGTTGATAGAGTTGAAGAAGTTGGCTAAGATGATCCAAAGGATGAGGGAGCCGGCCGCTATGTTGGCTTGGCGGAAATGCCAGATCATAGGGGCCATACAGAGGAGCCAAGACGGGAAGGCAAAAGCAGGGAAGAGAATGGCGGAGGGGTAGAGAGGGGCGTTTGGTCCGAAGAATTCTGGGTGGGCAGTCATGAACTCCATCATGGCCGAGATTGGATCCATTACAACCTCTGCGTAACTTGGTGTAAAAAGGAGGAAAAAACAGAAGAAGGTAGACAGTCTCTTGTGATGTTGTAAACTCGGAGGCCTAGATCCAGTCCAGGAATGTAACCGTCGTTGAAGGGATTTCGTTGGACCTGTTGATGCTACTGTCTCCAGGATAGATTGTTAGGCTGCGTTGGGATCTTAAGATATGAAAGAGATTGTAACGAGAGGAAAAAGAAACAGAGTAGTGAGCAGTCGACAAGCAGCGTTGTGGACTTCATCACTCCATGCTATGGCCGAGTATGTAGGAGGCTCAATAGGAAATTCCGATGTCTCAAGCTTCAATACGGCTCAATAGGATCTTTTGGTCGACTTACGTTCACTTGAGTGGTGAAAGCCAATCTGTCGCTCGCATGGCATCTCTCTTATTGCGCTTGCCAACGTCAATCACAGTCTTTCTGAAACGCACTGATCCATCGCTTCGGCACGGCGGTGCCTAGTGCTCGCAATATCTGGTTGCTGTGCTGTGGTGGTGATGGTGCTGAGACCTCGACTACTCCGCATTTGGGTTTGAATAGAGAAAGACCACGAAAAGACGACATCTGAATAGAAAACCAACAAGAAGGAGACGAGACATGTCTGTGATAAGTAACAGGAGCAATCAGAGAATAGAGGAATGGGAAAGGAGGTGTTGAGTCCCCGCACCTATGGCATGGTTGCAGGTCGGGTTGTACGTGGCGGGTTTATCCAGATTATCCAGCCCTGCAGTGACATGCGTCCAGGAACCGGTGTTGAGGTGCCAAGTTTTGGATGTATCTATCGCAATCGGAGTCCGAAAGTGAGTGTTGGTGGATGAGAAGCTGCGCGATGAATCGTCGCGTTCAGGCAAGAAGCACCAGGCATGAGTATATCAACAAAAATTTGTGTTCATCGAATGATATACTGCCCTTGAGACTTGCACGAGTCTCTGCAGCGCTTTGTCGTCTCTTTGATCCCCGCAAGATATGCTGGGTTACACAGCAGTAGGTCGCCACACGTGCGGCATGGTCGAAGTGGTTGCCATCGTCTGATTGCCCGGAGATACAAGGAATGGTCAACACCACTTGACAGCACCTGGACGCCGCGAAGGATTCCCGGATGAGTCTGCCAATATGTTGAAGGCTGGGCGATAGCGCATGTCGTGAGGGAGGTCGGACAGGGACCCAGCTCTACAACTGACCCAAACAAGCCATGACGTAAGACAAACGACTCGCTCCGAGGCGTCTTCCACTACGGCACACGACCGTCTGGTTAGTACGTGGGAGCATTACCAGAGCCTCCGCCATGCTTCCACGGCGCCTGCAACCATCGCGATCAGGTGATCCGTATCTCTGTCACGTCGCGCCTTCTTGAAGCGACATCTAGGCACCGATCGACAACGCTGTCCTCCACGTTGCTTCTTCCCAGCGCCAACCAGTTCCCGGAGGTCCGTCATGGACACTGCGCCGGCCGATGGACAAGGCATTCACCCTCAACTTCGCCAGAGGATGTTGAACCGCGCCGCCACGTTTGCTGAGGGTGCGCGGCCTTCCACTCCACCTACAGCACCCCCTCGACGCCGCAGTTCCCTCGTTTCCGACCTGTCCGACTCGCGCTATTCGTTGCGATCGTCTAGCGACAGCCTGCTCAGAACGAGTGGGAGGAATGACATGGACAAACATGCGACTTCGGATGAGCCGTCACGGTGGCTTGCGCTGCCTGTTGTGGCTGCCGTCGTGCCTGCCATCATTGGGCTGACAGTAGACAACGGCGCAGACGTCGCTACAGACGTTTTGATACTGGTATTAGCGGGGTGGTTTCTACATTGGAGTGTCAAAGTACCATGGTGAGTGCAGCAATGCAGTAACTACACGTGAACTCCATAGCTAACGCGATGCAGGGACTGGTACCATGAAGCACAGCAACGACGATACCTAAACGACGATGTAGATGACGCGACATACGACGACACGATACATGAGGAAGACGAGGATGCGCCGGAGAGCATTGAGGAGCCTGTAGGAGAGTCGCAAGATCCAAAGCTCCACACTACAATCAACGCGCCGGCCTCGCAAGCGCAGAAAGAAGCCCGCGAAGCATTGAAGCGATCAGAGATGCTAGCATTCGTTGGCTGCTTCCTAGGTCCTCTACTCGGCGCCCTGCTCATGCACACCATTCGCGGCCAACTCATGCGCGCCGAAGGCATAGTATCCGACGCCAACCTCAGTATATTCCTTCTCATCGCAGAGATTCCACCCGTTAACCGCCTGATCAAGATGCGGACAGAGCGCATTCTCCACCTCCAGCGCATCGTCCGAGAAGCTCCAAGGGAGCCAGTTCGATCAGCAGACACACAACAACTCTCACAGCGGATATCCGAACTAGAGGGTCGCGTCGATGGCGTGCAAACCACCAATAACAATAACAACGAGGTAGACGTAGAGAAACTCAGCGCAGAAGTCCGACAAACAACCCAACTCCAACTCGATGCTCTAAACCGCGCAGTCAGGCGTTACGAAAAGAGACACATGGCACAATCTTTGCAAATCGAAGCCCGCTTTCAAGATCTAGAAGCACGACTGAAAGATGCACTTGCCCTGGCTGCCGCAGCTGCCAGGACTGGTCAGCGGCCCGGCGTGATTGCTATGACGCTGAGCTGGATTGCTGGTACTATCAGCTACATGTTGCAGGTGGCTTGGGACGTTGTCATGTATCCCTTCCGTACAGCGATTATTGCGGTTTCAATGGCTAAGAGTCTGTTTGTGAGAGACGAGCGGCGGGTGAGACGGAAGGGGAAGGGTGGTGGAGCAGCGCAAATGAATGGGCACATGGGTGTCGCGACAGGAAGGCTGCAGGCGAAACCTGCGCGATAGATTACTCTCCTCTATTAATACACCTATTTCGATTCCTTCAGACTTTCATATCATAGCTCGTGCTCGTTGTCTCCACGGGTGTAATGTATGCTATCGGCATAAATGTTGCACGGAGTAGCGAGAGTTGACGCCGATACCGGCAAAGACACCGAACTCCTATCACGAACCCTCGTACCACAACCACCCGGAGTCATCCGAAACAGTAACCCGAAAATGCAGGTACCGTACATACTTCGGAGGTAAAGAATCGTTACTCGTCCAACCAGGACGCGCCAGAAAGCGGTTAACTCGACTTACTACAAGCTATGTAGGGCCGGGTTTATACGAAATACCCCGCCCCCACTTTGATAGCCAGAGCTCGTGGTATGGCCGTTGGCGGGCCCCGATGTGACATGTAACGTAACAATCGATGATTGCTATTAACTTGTTTGTTATATACTTTCCTATACACTTCGCTGCTCTCCGAACTTTTTTGTGACCTCATTTTCTGAACAAAAACTCCTCTGCAAAGGTTTGAAACAACCTGGGAAGAAAGAGCAAGGAAGCAAACAACATAGAGATTCAACAATGTCACTAGAATCCGACGTCAAGATCCCCGCGGTGAAGTTTGACCGTAGCACGATTGACAAGCAGACACTCGAGTTTAACGAGAAGTTGATTAAGATCTGGGCTGATGGACCGAGATGGTATGAGGTACGCCGTGTCTTCCTCTTCTCCCCCTTAGCCCCTTTCTCGCTCACGATGGTCGATAGGTCGGAGCCCCGGCGTACCGTCAAATGCGCTGGGAAGGCAAAACTCCCCTTGCCAAGCCCGTCGTCTTGCCCGAAGGTGTAAATGGTTCTCTTCCCTCCAGGGAAACTGGACGGGAGATCCCGTATCGAGTGTTTAAACCAAGTAGTGGAAAGAGCAAAGGGATACATATGCACATCCATGGCGGAGGATGGGTATTGATGAGCGAGGCTTAGTAAGTTACTAAATCTCTTCGTTCTTAACTACAGATGCGGATACGCCAGTGCATGTAGTTAGGTGTAAATTGTTCGGTTCTTCGTAGACCCAGAATTCCAAATGAGGAATGGATGGAGGAGAATCAGGTTTTGAATGACGACAAAAATAGAAGGAAAGAAGAACTAATCAAGCTATGATAGCCAAGATCCCTACCTGAAATACCAAGCCGACCACTTTGAAGTAACGGTCGTATCAATCGGCTACCGCCTCGCGCCCGAAGACCCCTGGCCTGCAGGCGCAGAAGACTGCTACGACGCCGCAGAATGGCTAGTCAAAAACGGACCTGAAGTTTTTGGTGGAGAGCTCATGTTTACTGGCGGTGAGGTAAGTCTCCCCTTCTATTGTCTTCTCGTCTCGTCCTAGCTATGTTGGAATTGCTTGTGCTAACAACATACAAGTCCGCCGGCGGCCATCTCGCCTGCCTCGTCGCCATGCATCTCCTCGAGACGATGCCAAGTTTCGCATTCAAAGGCCTCCTCCTCCACTTTGGCTGCTACGACATGTCGTCCTTCCTGCCCCACGTTCTGCACCACGAAACACATCTCGTCATCGACCACGACGTGATGAAATCTTACATTGACGCCTTGCTTCCCAACACCACGGAAGCTGAGCGCCGCGACCCCTCCATTTCACCTTTCTGGGCTGACCTCCGTGGAAAGAAGTTACCGCCTGCTCTGTTTACGTGTGGTAGTGAAGATCCGTTGTTGGATGATAGCGTGATGATGGGGGCGAAATGGGCGATGTGGGGGAATGAGAGTATAGTCAAGATTTATCATGGAGCGCCGCATGGATTCATTGGGTTTCCGCCTGGAACTATCAAGAGTGTGCAAGAGGTTTTGGATGATACTGAGGCCTTTGTCAGAAGTAAAATGGGCGCTTGATTAAATTGGATAGGTGAACTGGACGCATTCGGTGGGTGCCTTGCCCTTGATATCCTAAGCTAGATATACCACCTGGTTGAACGTCTGGCATTCAAGGGAGGAAAGCAGAGCTTTCGGGTCTTTTCGCATCTCTCTCAAGAATTTGCCGAATTTCGAATCCTTCTTCGCTAGCAGAGCCTCGTATTGTCTCTCGTATTCTATGCTCATCAATACCTCAGTCGGATCGAATATACGGGCATCCCCAACCAGCCTGTAGACCTGCTTTTCGCCATTCAAAGTATCCATTGTGTAGACTGGTCGAAGCATCAACACGTGCTTGGCCGTGAGATCACCTCTGTACATTCTGTAAAGACGGCTGTGTAGAGGCAGAAGTAAATCACCAAGCTCGAGTGCCACATTCCCATAGCCGACCGAGTTCACTCCAGTGCCTGGATCACGAAAGCAAAATAAGGTGTTTTCGTTGGCTAGAGCTTGTTCCAACTCTTCTATGAAGCCTTGAATGTAGTCAGAAGACGGTTTTGGACTACATTGCAGATTAGGCTCTATTGATATCCTAGCAAGATAGTCCTCGAGCTTCGAGTAGAACTGCTGGTCTTCATCACCACAATCAAGCACATATTCCTTGATCATCTCGACGAGGAGATTGGGGAAAGTCATCGGATTTAGCTTCCGAGGTATCGACGCCAACTCGAATAGGAGTGGATGGGCACCTTGTACAGCCTCTGGTATTTGAAGCATTTGATACAACTGCGAAAGTTGGGAGTCAAATGACATATGAGGACGCTTTGTCTCTTTCGAGATCTTAAAGTTGACAGTATAGAGCTTTTTTTCTTTCCCGTCCAGGATAGATCTCGTAACGGGGACGCTAACGCAGAGGATCCCTGGTGCAATTCTGCGTACGTGGTAATCAGAACTCTCGCTTTCAAGGCAACATCCTCGCTTTATCTTTTGTGGTGGAACCCGCCAATCTGGTACCCAAGAAGGCCAATTGATCGGTGGAGGCGAGTGTCGACGCGTAAGCAGGGCTGTCCAAATCAGCGTCGCGCTCGTTGCTTCCATCAAACAAGCAAGAGCAAAAGCCTCGTATGTTTCTCGTACACCCAGCGAATAGTTGACATCTATGCGGATTGGGTCGTCTTCTGTCATGGTGGAGAAATACTTGAGGTAACTAACGTCTGTTTCCCCCCAGTCTCCAATAGGTCTTACATCGTTGGCCATACTACACAAGGCGAATATGCGATCCCGTGGATCAGTGCATTCGTACAACCCAAACTTCTCCAGCAAGGGAAGAATCTGGGTTTCACCTCTGACAGCCGTTTCTTCTTCAGTATTGTTCTCGCGAAAGAGCGAATAGATATTCCAGAGTCTCCCAATCTCCACAATGGCTTCCGATTTTGCCTCGCCACCAGGCTCGTGCCATGAATCCTCACGTTTTATGATAGAAAGCGCAGAGACAAGTCGGGAAAAGGGGAGTTCCATTTCACCACATATCAAGCAGACCTCTACATTGAAGACAACCTCTTGTACTATCCAGAGTCTGTTGAACCAGGGAAGATTGAGGAATTGCAGGACTGTGCTGAAATGTTTGTATGATCTGTCCGTTCGGGTGGTGTTGGATAGTCGAGATATACGGTCTAGTAAACGCATGCCTTTCTGCTCGACCGTAGTATCGCCGCCAGGATCAAGCCAAGCCATCACTCTCCTCGCACCTCGGAAGATTTGGACCATTAAAGGTATTTGAATCGCTTTTTCTTCATTATCTTTCTGATTGATGCACGCAGCATCAGCCCAAAGCAGTCGTTCGCGAGTTTCGTAGCGTAGGTATCGAAGTGCCCGATCGAGATTTTCCGTAACGTAGACCTGCATGCCGTCCTCGCCAACATATAAGGGAAACGTCAAAACTGGTTCTCCCCACGTGTAAGAAACAGCGTCGTAATCTCCTTCGACATCTTCGAGTTTTGATGAAACAAAGTCTATTCGTAGAGGTGTGGCCTTGGACAAAGCTGGTTGCAGCACAATGAGTCTGATGTATTCCGGGCCCTCGAGTGCTCGATACGCATATGCGTTCATGCTGTGCTGATTGGATCAAGCCACGAAGTGTAGGTAAAATTGAGTGAAACTTGAAGATTGTAACGCGAAAGAGCGTTGGTCGGTCGAGTGGTTGGACAGGCAGCAATCTGCTGGTGAGTAGATAGCTTACATGCGGCAAGGCTGAGTGAGGGGAACGCCTGATCCAATCATCAACGCGCCTTGTCAGATCACCTTGCATCTTCCCGTTTTTGGAGCGATAAGAGTGCGAAGTGCCGCACTTACATCTTGACAAAGTAGAGGTGTCCGGATACCGACTTTTGTTGTTAGTTCATTACGGACAACACCAGCTCCCTATCAGTAAGGCTCGCGACTTTCTGCGACTCGCTGATGTCAGTCTTTCGAGTCCCCCTCATTCACGCTCGCAACTAGTCTTTCGTTCAAAAACAGCAAAGCCAAACAACACGTCAAAATCATTGCTTTACATTCCTTTTTGTTGTGCGCTCCCACAATCGGATAAAAGGACAACCTACCGCAAGGGGTATTGAACCTAAAAGGAAATCCGTAAACTCATAGCTCTCGTGTATGCTCCTCCCGAAAAAAAAAAACTCCCAAGCTCCCAGGAAACATTTCTTCAGAACCCCAAGAACCCGGAAATGCGATACAGTAAAACACAATAGGCAAAGAAAGCCAAAGCCCACACTAACACCGGAAAGCCGAAGCTCACACACACATCAGGCGCAGAAACGAGACACATCCACCTCTCCCATGCACCTCTTTCTCTCTCTCACACACACTCCTTCTCTCTCTCTCTCTCCCTTCCTCTCTCTCAATCCCCTCCCCTAGTAAACCTCCCCACCCTCCTCTTTAGGCTTATACATAATCGTCGTCAAAAACTTCTGCTTATACCTCGTCGTCGCACTCGTCGCCAAGATATTATCTTTAATACTACTCGTCGCCAAATGATTCAAAACAGTATGATTCGGATGAATCAACACACTACTATCATCCTTCATCGGCGTCGTCCCATTCAGAATACTCTTGCCCAAAAACCCGGGCAAAGTAGGTGGCGTAGGTAAGTTATTCGTCATGGCGTTGCTGCGGGCGTAGCGCGAGGATTCTTCGGGAGCGTCGAGGTCGAGGAGGTAGCGGGGTATGTTTTGGTGGTATTTCTTGGTTGGCTCGGGGACTGGGGGTTTGGAATCGATGGGGGGCGCGGTGACGGTTGGGATGGGGTTTGCGGTTGTGGGGTCGGCGGTTGCGTTGAGGGGTGGGGTTGGTGGTAGGACTTGGGGCGGGTACATGCCAACAGGGGCTTCGCGTTCTTGGACGGGTGTTATAGAGTCATCTAGAGGGTCGTTTGTTGCTGCGGTGGCGGCTGGCGGGCTGGCGGGGAGGGGTGTGAGTTCTGGGTAGGGGACTTCGATGTAGTTTACGAGGATGTTGGTGTAGTCTACGGCGGTGGGAAGTTTGTCGGATGTTCGCATGTCGTTGTCGACGAGGAAGGTAAGGTGGTGGGTTCCTGGGGTGACGGAGACGTAGGCGGAGAGGGCATCTTTCTTCTTGCTGGGTCCGCTATAGAGTGTCAGTATTGCCGGTGTGCAGTGTGACCTCGAAAGAGGCAGTCATCGAATATAGTCCAAGCCTGCTGGGAATGATTGACCGAGTCTCAGCCCGAGTGGAGCTAGGGAGCCACCAAACGGGAGAGTGCAGGCAACGGGTATGTGCAGGCAGATGTAGGCAGAGAGAATGAAAAACGTGGTTCCACCTCTCCAACCCACCATCCCCTGCATCTACCCGTGCGGCTGATGCAGGCAAAGTCCATGCTCCGAGACATTCCAAGGAAACCGGTACCACTTACTTGCGATGCAACTTGTACTTGCGATTCCAGCCCGCAAAAGTTCCCGTGACATATACACGCTCCCCAGGACCTTCCCACTATTTTTCCCCCAAACGTCAGCATAAATCTCTTTAAACACCACCACCACCACTCTAAGCAGAATCGGGAGAGAGATTCAACATACCTCAATCAACGTAGGAACCGTAGGCCTCCCCTCACTGCCTTTAAACTCCTCGCCCAAATCCCCATCCTCGTCTTCCCCAGCCGTCGTACTGCTCACCATGGAACTGCGCCTCGGCAGCATACCATCGGCATCGCTCTCGTGCACAGGTGTCCATATTTCACTGACCCCGTTGAATCCACTGAGCTCCTGCGGCGCTATGATGGGGCTGCCGGGCGTGTGCACTTCCTCCTCGATAGGCAGGGGCAGGCGCGGCGGGCGGGAGAACTGTGAGGCCGAGGCTGGAATGAGGTAATCGGCTGTTATGGAGGCGGAGGTTGGTGATGGGAGGTCCGAGGGAGACGAGGCGCGGGGGTCTGGATGCGAGGCAGACGAGGGGACATCGACGGGGAGGGTAGGCGAGGGTGGGCGTGCGGAGACTTCGGGTGCAGCTTCAGCTTCAGCTTCGACAGCTTGTTGTTGCTGAGCTGCGGTATCAGGTATAATGGCAGCGGCAGGCTGTGACGGCGGGGTGGTGTTCGCATCGCGGGGCGAGACATGGTGCTTGTCTTTATCCCTGTGGCTGTGCGCGCCGCCCTTCTGGCTGCTCTGCTCGTTCCCCATATTGTCGCCAGTTCGGGTGCTGTGGGTGGTGTTGTACAGGTCCTGAGCAGCGCGCAGCTGTGTGGTGACGGCTTTGGTGCTAGTCCCTACCGTTTGTGCCCTCCCACGCGAGATGGGGCGGGCCGACGTGGGATGGCTCTCAGCGTTCTCGAGGCTCACGCTGGGAGCTGCAGGCGCTTTGGCTGCACTCAGTGCCTGGATGGATTCGCGGCGGCGGGCCGAGTGATGCTGGCTGTGTGGGGGGTGGAGATGGGGGAGATGGTGGTGGTGGTTATGCGGTCGGTCATGGCCATGTGATGCAGTCACGTTGTGGTGGTGGTTGCCCGCGGCATTGTTGATGGGCGATTGCGGGTTCGACGTGGGCGTCGTCGACCGCGAATTCTGGTTCCCCATCACAGGCACGATGAGTGCATGGGTAGATCACGACAGATAGAGGTCAGAGAGCGTGCCACCCAGGTGTCAAGCTATTACTAGGCCGGCCTACTTGGATGGAGCTGCAGCGGCACACAGGGGTCAAGATTTCCATGCCAGTCAATCGCCGATAGCCTCCAAGCCGCACGAGCCAATGACACCCATCGTGGGGCTAGTCGGCCCTGTCCAGCGTCGCCTTAGTATCCCACAACCACACCGACACATCAACGCGTCGGCCGCCATGGACGCGCGAACGGTCCTCGACATTGCCACGCGTGTCTCAGTGGCATTGGCACGCGTAATCTGGTTTCCCATCAGTAAAGCCATCAATCTAGTCATCATACTATTGCTGCCATTCTACAACGTCATCACTTTCTTCCTACTGCCATTCATCCATCTTGGACAGGCAATCATCAGAGTGCTGTCCATACCATTCAGCGTCAAGTGGTTGGAGAGAATAGAGGTAATCAGCTTGTCATCTCCTTCCTATATTGATACTGATTACACAGACACTATACGTCTACCTCGGAACAGCCAGCCTTATAGGATGCATCACCGGCACCGTCCTCTTTGTTATCTTTAGGTTTCTTTCATCAACTCTCAAGATCGATACACCCGTTGTTCCTAGGGAGCCTGAAAAGGGAAGAACAGCCGCGGAGTACAGAGCTGCGCGACGTGTGAAGAAGGAGGATTCCATCGACCATTCACCGAGTGCAACCCCTGTAGTGTTGAAAAAGGTGGCCGGGCCTCGCAGGCGAGGTCTACTCTCTCAAGCCATTATCGAAGAGGAGGATTCAGACTTTTGAACGCGGTCAACGCGGATCAACGGCGTTGTTAGACATGTTCATATCAGACACCAGAGTAGAATGTCCAGAATCTCTCCAATGCGATTCTGTTTGTGAACTGGGTCCGCAATGTGATGGTGTTGCCGTTTGACTCAGGCCGAATTCGAACTTGTTTGTGGTTTTTGTGCCACCATCATCCTTTGCATCGATCGATAGCAAATCCAAGTCAGTTGGTGTGAGCAAGGTTGGCTTCTTTCGTAGAGGTTCCGTCTGTGGTTGCAAAGGTATTCCGGGTTGTTGGCTGCCACTTTGCCGGCTTTGCGGACTGGAATCAGTCAGTACACGATTTAATTGCTGGTTGCATTTTTTGGTGAGACCTACGCTGGGGTGGCACCTTCGTTCTCGTCAGTACCGACGATGGTAAGCCAGTGAAAGACTATGGCAGCCCATGTGACTGTCATGTTTGCATCAGCAGGGTTCGGTGGCTGATAGCAGCGAACATACCATCAAAGGTGCATAAAGTGAGGCAGATCTGGAAACAAGATGTTAGATCGGGATGCCTCGTTTGGGTTATCGAGATCTGAACTTACAAAAGCTAATTCCTTCCCAACCAGAATGCATATAGCCGCAAGGTTACCGCCAGTGGGCAGGATGACCAAGACACATCCAATCAAGGTCTTCTGGAGTAGAGTTTCGACTCTCTCGACGAGCGCTTTGTTCGATCGATGAAGGTCCATGGTGGCTTTCTGCTGTACTCGACCCAAAGCCTTGCTGATGCACAGTGTCACCCGGTTTACAACACCATTACCGGAGCTTGTATTATCCTTGACCAGAGGGCTCAGAAGATAGATGAAAACAGTTGTAAGGTAGAGGTTGATGACAATGTCGCACGTCAACAGTGGGATGGCTGCGTAACGCTGGAGACCTATACGACAGCGTCCATCCACCTCTGAAAGTACGTATTTGGGCGAGACGATGCCGACGATACAGATGGCACCCAGACACACAATTATGGCGATCGTGCTGAGCAACCATAATAAGTCTTTATATCGGGGTGCGTAAGGAGCCCGCAGTATGTGAGCCCGCTCGACGAGGAAGAGATACCTGCAAGTCGTGAATGTCAGCAGAAGCTGAAACGATATCCAAATGGCTTGTAAAGACCATCGACTGACATTGATACTTTGCTGGCTGCATAGAACATAAGACATAGCATTACCGAAGCTTTGCAGCTACCATCCGTAGTAAGACCGAGGCCATCGTTGACGACCGCGGCAGAGAAGACGAATCCGATAGAAAAGGTATAGAGTGCAAAGATGTAGATCTGCGTCAACGTAAGGCGATTCGCTGACTTGCTCAGGAGATGTATGCGATGCCCTACTCGTGGTGGTTAACAGATGTCTAGAGAAGATGCATTCTGCAGTGTGACGAACCGACCAGCCCCGACAACACACATATACAGAGTTTCGATAATACGACGAAGATTGTGCGATCTCCTCTGGGTTCGCTATAGATGACTGGGCTTTTCTGTGGCAACGTTGTTGCAATCAAGATCGGCGCTGGAGAGACGACCGCCGCAAAGCATGCCCACACTCTCGCGATGGTAGTCATTGGGATCGATCGTTATGTTGGTGCTCTAACAAGAAGTGGCTTAGGTAGGGTGAAACATTGCTGGTGGGTATCGATAGGTCGTGCGCGGGCTGTCCAAGGTATAAAATTGGGTAAGGTGAGAGAATTAGAGAGATCGCGTCTTCGGACTGCGATTGCTTCCTGGTAAGATTGGCGCGCTCGACCGCTTCTTCCCTTGCACGATGCATGGCAAGAACTACGATGGTAAGTAATCGTTCACTCACCGTACACACACTTCTACAAAGGAGCAGGAAACATCCTTTTGGTAAAACGATCGTGGTGTAGTCTGCTCTCAACAAGTCACGTCTGAGATGAATGTCTTCCTTTTGTACTATCAGTCAAGGTGATTTCCGTGGTAGTTCGCCAGCTCAAATGTACAAAGCCACGTGGTATCATGAGGCGAAACTAGATGACAAACCTCGTGATGGTAACAATATTGGGAAAAGGCCTGCCATAAAGCCCTTAATGGACATCTAGGAGACATATCAAGCATTCAAGTACAGATATCTAGTACAGTTGACAATGTGGTCTTAACACGATGCCCCCGAGAGTCACGCTATCGCAGCATGCAACCTACCGCGGCCAAATCCTTTTTAGAAGTCCTTTCAATCTTCTCTTTTCAGGTGCAGTTTGCTCATGCTGTGGCTCCACGATCTCTCTTCTCTCTTCGGGTGCAGTTTGCTTCTGATGCAGCGCTACGATTTCTCTTCTCTTTTTTGGTGCGGGTTGCCCTTGTTGCAGCGCCGCGATCTCTCTGCGTCCATTGACTGGAGCTGCATGCATTGCGGTGCCGCGTTCACCACTCGGAGCATGACGCACGGCGCCCTTATCTTGTAGCAGCGCTTTAGCCTCTTCGAAGTGGTTGGTAGAAGCCACATAGAGTGCCGTGCCATGTCTACTGTCTGCGTTCACTTCAGCACCATTTTCTAGCAGTAGCTTCATCATAGCTAGATTTCTTCGCTTTACTGCTACAATCAGCGGAGTATTGTCTTGCTGATCTCTACTGTTGACCAACGTAGGGTCCACAGCAAGTATCGTCCTTGCAGACATCTCCCACTCCAGCCATAAAGCGCAATACAGCGCTTTGCTATTCTCCGAGTCTTGCGAATAAACCCCAGACCTCCTTGATGCAACCGAAAGTGCGAGAACCCTATCATTCCAAAGATCTGCCGCATTCATGAGAAAGCCTTTTGACTTCGAGTACATAAACCCAGTTTCGCGCCGTACTTCACATTGTTTGTCGAGGACTTTTGCAATAAGACTTCTATGAGCTGGCTCTACCTCGATGGATTTTAAGCACACTTCGAGAGCCTGTTCGCTGCACGTAACAGTTGCGGCGAAAAGGGGACAACCGTGGGACTCATCCTCAAGATCCACACAACAGCTGGCTGCTGTGCCGAGAGCTCTAATGAGATTCGCCATATTATGCTCAGCTAGTATATAGAGCAGACTGACGTCTTTCTTGTGTCTTGGACCGTTGAACAGATTGTCGAGCTTGACCCATCGACGAAGCGGAAAGCTGTCGAGAAAGTCCACCTGGGAGATGCCTCTGCCTCCTGCTTCTTCCGCATGGTAGAGTACGCTGTCGACAGCAAACTCTACGAAGGAATATCCTACTGGTCTGCCTTGGCTCGCTAAGTTATCTGAGGCTTTCCGTTGGTTCCTTGGAGGCTTCCAAAATACGACCGAGTCCATACTGATGTAGTTGTGACAGCATCGCTTTAGTCGTTCGTGGCTCTGGCCCTGGAAGTTGCTTTCTAGCTCAGGCCAGATCTTGCTGAGGCCATTGTCCTTCAGTAAGAAGTCTCGCACTGACTCATGTATGAACTGTACTGTTTTATCCCCGGATTTGATAATCTCAGTAAGACCCTTAGACGATCTGAGTAGGAACCGTCTGATTGTATCTGGTGTGACATCCTGATGATCCAGGCTGGCGATTGCATCAGGCTCAGTACCAGCAAGGATTGCAAGATACAGTTCCTCAGGTCGCAGCGATGTCTTAGCAAAAAGCACCCACTGTAAGCACAGTATTAGCTCTTCTTTGTCGTTTGAATCGCGTGTGAGTAGGTCACGGAACAGTTCGTGTAGATCGGCAGGAATAGTTTTCAACCTTCGTTCCAGAGCGTACATCCGGCCACCATCATACTCTTGATTCAAAATATCTACCACGAGCACAATCCACATGAACACACCTGAACTCTTCTCTTGCAGATCGTTTCGAATCTTTTGTGCCGATGCGCTGTCACCTATCCTTAATGCACTCTCAAGATAATTGTTGATGTCTTGGTTGTGGCCTTCTTGTCCCTCAAGCACTAAGCTGATGCCCCTGCGAATCGTGATTTCAGGGTAGTGCCTGCTCGACAGGCAGACTCGGAAAGACCTACCGGATGATACTGCGAGCTCGCCAAGGTGCTCGAAGAACGACAGCATGCTCCGGACCTGCCATTGTTCGCACTCATCAAGGGCATCGATGAAGCAAATCATGGGTGTTTCTTCGAGGCTCAATACAGCTTGCTGAAGCTGGTCCTCGAGCGAGTATCTGGTCCATTGATAATCTTTGATGTCAGTCAACGATAACAGACTTAACGAGTCAAGAGTGCACTGTAGCTTGGGAACCTTCTCGAGAAGCTGCAGTAGAAGTGACCTGTACATCCCCATGATAGTCTTTTCAAGGATTGCGCCTCTTGCATTGAAGAAGAAAGCGATCACAACATTTTTGTTCGTTGATTCGCGGGCCTGACCCAAAGCGAACTTCATCAATGTCGATTTCCCGGTTCCTGGCTTTCCTTTGATCCATAGAAAGCCGTGATGAATGGGCAGTCTCGCTGAGTCAAGCCATTCAATGTGTTCTGATTTTTGCAACAACCACTTGCATGTCTTGGCATGGGCGTTTTTGATCGTCGCATCGCGTGCGCCAATTTGATCAAATTGCAGCGACTTCATGAGGTCTTGCCTCTGGTATGACTGCACGGCTGCTGACCTCTCTACGTTGTCCAAGAACCCGTATTCATCCTGGGCAGCCTCCTTTATCTCTCTCCGAAGCCTCCTAAGTGCAGCAGCCTTCTCTTCGCCGTATATTGGCACCATGCTGACACCAAATATCCCTAGCATTGAGTATGCACTGTCTTCTTCACGCTTCGTGATACGGCTCCTAGCCCATGACATACGCTCTTCCACAGAGAAGCTATCAAGGGAGGCTCCTCGGAGGGCAGAGATGGAGATAGACGTGACATCGTGGATATGTTGCTCTAGACTGGACTTGTCACCAAGCAGCCTTCCATCGCGAGAGAAAAAGAGGACAACGCGGGGGGCAAGCAGTTCCTGGAGTGTCCAGCCTCGAGTGAACCATCTGCTGGTCTGGAAATCCGAAACCCAAGTGACATCGGGCGCTTCGTGATCAAGCGTTTCATGATCGACTTTTTCTTCCCTTGTCGTGACATCTGCAAGATACACGTAGCATTGGGCCGAGTTCTTGTACCAACGAAACATGGACGTGATAGCCTCCGAGAGCTCTGCGCTGCTTGACTTGTCGATGCAGCAAGTATCGACCCAGAAGTGCTCGAGGCCGTCTTTGGTAGCCTGCTCAGCACAGAACTTCAACTTGGCATAACCGCGTTTGTCTTTCCCTGTCTCGTTGCGCATGTCGGAAAAACTCACTTCATCTTCGTTGTTTTCGCTCCAAGTGTGCGACAGTATCGCGTACGGCGGGATGGAGGTGCTATCGTAATTGACAAGGCTGAAGCTGCCGTTGGCCTGTATCTGTAGAAGCCGCATCGAGATGCATTCGAAGTAGGCGCTATGGCGAGTGGTGAGAACTATATCGAAGCGTTCCTGTACTGCCCGCAACTGATGAAGTCGAGGATGCTGTAATGTTCTGTTGTTGGAGGAAGGCTGAGTGCTAGAGCTGATTCAGTGAGGTGGACAGGCAGAGTGGCTTAGACAACGAGGGGTCTGATCGCTTGTGCATATTGGGGGCGCGAATGACCTGATGTGTGCATCGCTGCTGTATGTCAGTACTTTGATCTCACGCCTGCCTATGAGTTGTGCGAAGAATCATGGTCGTAAAACTCTAAATGCATTCGAGGTGTTGATGTCGTTCCAGCAATACTGCCGACGTCGTGGGGACGTTCGGTGCACAAGCGCGTGCCGTGTGCCAAGCAGTGGGCTGCGCCACGTGAGGCGCTTTCTGCTTCAGCTCTTGTTCACTGCCTAACGAAGGATGATCAAACCACCTCACTATGCATCTGGATCATTAACTCGCAATGGGCATGAATCTTATTCACTCAATCTTCTATCGTTGTTTCAAGCTTCATATGCCTCAGCATCCTCGCAAACAGCCAACAATAGCACAAGCGGGTGAGCGGCACGGAACTGTACTGGACGGCCTGGAGAGAAAACATATCAGTGGTGCGATTGCTGGCAAACCTTACAACGGACGCCGAGGCGAAAGACAACCATGGAAAAACAAGATCCGAGTTCATGTTCTCTAAAATATCAAAATACAAGTAGTCGTGATGGAGTAGTCTGAGTAGTGTCTGTGTAGGAGGTATCCCGAATAACAAGATTGCGCTAAATCAAACAGGGCTGCTTGTATGTGGAGAGCCTCGTAGTGCGCAAACCGGAAGCCCATTGTGCAAGGAAGCACTTCTGCCGCGGGACTATCTACATTCGAACGTCCATCGTCATTGTGTAGACCAGCTAGTCTTGGTTCGTACGTCATGAAGCTCGCTTCCAGCCGTGGAGTCTCTCGAACAAGTACCAGGATCGCGATAGCAGTCCAGGTTGCAATACCAGTTCAAGTAACAACCGCGACATACTACTCACACCCCACTGGCTGCAGTCGAACACTCGACTAGCCTACCATAGCTGGGTTTTGTCCAGTTCGGTGGGCCATGCTCCACTAACCGCGGTTGTAAAAGCAAATTTGCCCGCCAAACACCCTAGCAACAGCTAGTGAGGCGTTGTAGTACGCAGCGGTTGCTGGCTTACCGCGGGTAATGCGCGGCTTCTTGGTAGACGTAAGTGAACTCTTGTGCTACTCTTAGCTGAACGCGTAAGAAGGTGGGAAACGTGTGGGAAGCGAATGTGGGAGATGCAGTGTGCTGCAAGGGCGCGTCATAGGCGGGACGGAAATGCCTCACGACACAGCCTCTCGCGACTAGGACCGAGTGTAGAGCTTGGTGCGAGAGTGTGTGAGACGAGGCTGCAGGTGCTGACTAGACAGTGAAATTGAAATCGGGCATGGTGGAGCAAGGCAACACGACAGGACATTCACCGCAACGGTCGAGGCCGGTGTGGTCGCATCTCGCACCGTGTTAACATGTGAAGTGCCTGGAGGGGGCAAGAGCGTCCCGCGCTAACGTGCGTCTGGAGATCGGTCAGGCACAGGGGTCTGCGGGATAAGCGAGATTGGGCAGTCCGAGCACTGCCTCCTTCTAGAGCGCGCGCAGCAGACGCCCATCTTTTGTCTCACGCCTCTGCTCTTCTTCTCTCCCTCTCCCGCCAAGTACTAGACGGACGTTGCTGCTTGCCGGATGCTTGATTCGTACCTCTTTTAATACCTTATCTCTACACCGTTATCGCGACTTCGGCTCTCTTTCACCAACACAGCCCGTGCACGACGCTCCCCCGAGGGAAAGGAGACAGAGAACAACAACAGCAACCATGCGGAGAGGCGTCACCATTTTCCTGCTCGTCACCATTGTCGTCCTCGGCTTCGCAGTGCACAGCGTATGGACACTGCTCGGTCTTCTGATCGCTTCTGGTCGCGAAGATGCTATTCTCCGCGGAGAGCTCCCTGCGCCCAACTCGAGCGCTATCAATGAGACGCCGCAATTGATTCCCAAGATCATTCACCAGACGTACATCAACGAGAGCATACCGGCGCACTGGAAGGGCCCTCAACAGAGCTGCTTGGATCTCCACCCCGACTACGAGTACAAGCTGTGGACCGACAAGAAGTCGCGCGAGTTTATCGCTGCTGAGTATGTTGTAAACTTCCGACGCGACAAGGCGTAATACTAACCTGCTCAGATACCCATGGTTCCTCGAGACTTTCGACGGCTACCCGTACCCCATTCAGCGCGCTGATGCCATTCGATACTTTGTTCTGCACCACTTTGGTGGAATCTACATTGACCTGGACGATGTACGTACAACTCCCTCTATCAACCACACCAATACTAACAATCTTAGGGATGCAACCGCAGCCTCGACCCTCTTCTCGCCTACCCAGCCTGGGTCCGCCGCACAATCCCCACCGGAATCTCCAACGATGCCATGGGCGCCGTTCCCCGCCACCCCTTCTTCCTCAAGGCCATTGACTCTCTGACCGACTACAACCGTCGCTGGCCCCTCCCCTACATCACCGTCATGGCATCCACCGGTCCCCTCTTCTTATCTCTTGTCTGGCGCCACTACAACAACGCTTCCCCCGTCGACGAAAACCGTGTCCGCATTCTCTTCCCTGAGGAATACAACAACCACCCTTGGTCCTTCTTCACCCACCACCTTGGCAACAGCTGGCACAGGACAGACGTCAAGATCATTTTCTGGCTCGCCAAGCACTGGTTGCTGGTCACGATCCTTGGATTCGTGGTTGGCTTCACAATCTTGGGTATGCTGTACAAGTTCTTTGTGCTCAACAAGCGATCAACTGGCCCCGGCAGCCCGAAGATGCGCCTCTTCAACCAGAGGATGCCATTTTACCGCCGCATCAGTCAGAAGAGAAGCTTCGAGCTGGACGATCGCCATGAGGTTTAAGAAGGGAACTGTTGAGAACAGTTTTGCGCATTGCATTGTTTGAGCGTTATGTCCGTATCACGTGTCTTGCATTTCACCGGAGTTTCAGTCGAATCGCGGCCGCCTCGCACTTTGGCTTTCTTATTCTACGCTTATTATCTTTTTTTTCTTTCTTCGCTTCTATCCATATTATTTGATCGAGGGTAGAACGCCTTCCTAGCTTGTTTTAACTGCTTTGTGGGGGGGAAAGTCCGAGAAATACATGGACGGGGCAATGGCGCTGTAGGTACACACACATTGGAAGAGGCTGGACCGCTGTTGTGGGATTTTGGTTGTTGAGGAAAAGATCCCTGAGGTATCATCATAGAAGGACCGGACCGGGACCGGCACAGTTCAGAAAAGACCGAAGAGCTCGGTTTTGTTGGAGATACTGTTGCATGTAGATATGTAGAAGAAGCTTTATTGCTTATGTTAATATGAAACGTACCTGCATCATTGGAGATGGCCACATTGTTCTTCCGCGATTAGTGATCTGAGGACCGTGGAATACATCGACTCTTAACATGGATACTCTTCTCTCAGCATTTGGTTCTCTATCTCATATCGCATGATATTTTCTTAACCAGGTAGCTTATCGGGAAGCGTAGATTGTGGATTCCATCCTACTTTCAACCCCTTACCAGGGAGTGAAAAAATATGCGAACAGGCGGGTAGGGCAATACGCGTTATACGAGCCCGTCCGCGATTGGCCGACACGCAGGTGAGAGGTGGGGAAGGCACAGGGGAGGCGGAGGGGTATACGGAAGACGTCTCATGTAAGACTGGTGGCAGTCTTATGTCAGAAAGATGGCTGTATTGTGTGCCGAAAATAGCGGCTTGTGAGGAGGAGGTGGACTTCCTGTGTAAAGCAGGTAGTAGTCTACTCGCACTTGAACCTGAGGAATCTCATGGTTGAAGCCTTTGGTTAAACACTTTGTCAGTGATTGACATGGCATAGCCTTGTGCGAAAATCGTTCAAGTGTTTTTGAATCTGGATATGTATCATCATTCCTTGCGGCGACTTCTCATACGACAGCACGTTGTCGCCTTCCGATTGGACCATCACCACAATGTGAGACGCGTCTTTAGAGAGGCTCAGTAATGTTGCTGTTCATTAGTCGGAGTTTATCTACATGTTGAGCAGACTTTGAATTCTGACCTGATAGAGCTTCATTGGAATTGGAAGAACAAAAACACGTTCCGGACATGATGGAATCTTGGCAGAGTGGGCAATACGCGTTACAGGAGTGTGGCCGGGATCAGCCGGCACTCCCGCCTCGCTACATCCTCCCTGGTCACCGGCTTAACCCTTTGCGACAACACATCGGAGTCGCGAGGACCTCGCTGTTGGTAACATGTTCCTGGATGATGCGCAACAGTGCATGAAGTTTATTGACCATCGACAGCGCGAGATCATCATGTTGCTGCGTCGACCTGCTCTCGGGCCAATGACGCCAGCCCGCCACTTCCGTAACCGTTGCAAGCCTTCCGTCATCGTTCAGCACCTGCGCAAACAAGCAGCCATTCAACTTTGGAGCTACGCAATGTTGGAACTTCGCCTCTTTACTCTAAGTTTAGAAGTTGACAGCCGGTACCCGTCTCTCAGATCCACTTCTTTCTCATATCCTGATCTTGTACCTGACGTCTCTTCGTCTCTCCTCACATCACCTTCCATGGACGCGACTTGATCACCTGCCACGTCTACAACCAAATTACACCCTCTACGTCACACATTCGGAACCCCGACCGACTGAGCATCACCAACCCTTACAATGGTCGGAACAACCCTTCAAATGCGCGAGGGCGCCGAGCTCGTTGGAGAACACGGCTTTCGATACCTACTTGTCAAACCCCTCGGCCAGGCCAACGTATGGGTCGCCGTCGACGCGGCTTCACAAGAGAAGATCTTCATCGTAAAACAGCCCGGCGACGATGACGTCGGGTACGGATGGCCAAAGTTTCAACATGAGATGATTATGCACGAGCTTCTCAAGGGCATTCCAACAATCAGACAACAAGTAGACCGTATTCCACCCACCAGGGGTGGTCCACCACGAATCGTGCTCGAAATCCTTCAATCAACCCTCTGGGACGCACGAAGGAAGCGCCAGTTCAGTGACGTGGAACTCAAGGGTATCATGCGCTCGGCATTGTTGGGCCTGCGAGACGTACACGAGCGAGGTCTGGTGTATGCAGGTACGTTTACATGCAGTATTCACTTCAAATGAGCCAACATAGCTAACACCAACAAGACCTCAAAATGCAGAACATCCTCCTCAGCGGCTTCGAAAATGAACCAAGCGCCAACGCAGAGATCGGCGACGACCGCATCACTGCCAAACTCGGTGACTTAGGAATCGTCATGGAGCCAGCAAAAGGTCTCGTTCAGCCCATCGTATACCGCGCGCCCGAAGTTTATTTCCGCAACGAAATCAACCAACCAGCCGATATCTGGTCCTGGGGCGTAATTTACTGCCAGCTCCTCGAAGCGCAAGCTTCGTTCAACAAATACGGTCTCTACGATGAACTCCTACAGGGAAACTCAGGCCAGGGTCAGAAAGAACGTTCAGTTGAACGAGCTATAGCACATGATTTTGGACTGGGCGCCTTAGACTACTATGATGGGTGTCGACTTCCTTACCAGGACCGCTCACATCATGAAGGACAACACTGGGAACAACTAAAAGCCAAGGGTGTGCCGGAGAAGGAAATCAAGTTCCTGAGCTGGGTCCTCAACCCTGTCCCTACAGATCGGCCCACAGCCCAGCAGATTCTGGATGCAGGCTGGTTCACCATGGATACGGCCAAGACGGGCAAGATTGCCGACAAGTTGGAAGCGAGTGCTCAGGAGTCGAGACGCAGGAACATCCAGAGGAAACGCAGTGAGCCTTTGTTCACCTATTCGGCGGCGAAACAGCAGCCGACCGGGTTGTATACGAGGGAGCCTCCTACCACATTTTCTTCCACGCATGCTTCTTCCAACACTCCTTCGTGGTCTCCTACACCTTGGCAGCCACAGTCGTCGCAATCGTACTCGCATTTACCACCTCAATCCCAGTCGCAACAGCCGTCGCAACCTCAAGGACAAGGATACCAGCCTACGCCATACCAGCCCATGTCTTTCAAACCCGTTACTATCCAGGCGAGTGAGGAAATGGGGAACAAGGCAAGGCCTGTTACGCCGAGGTCTAGTACGCAGAAACCGAGTGGCAGTACGTTTTTGAACTTTGGCTCTTTTATGCGTTGAAGAAAGAGGCTTATGGTGGGTTAGGTAGAAGTACTGCTGGGGATATTGCGATGGTGGTTTGGAGCTTGGGGTTGTAAGTGTATTGTAGTTGGGAAGTTTTGTGTGTCCAGGGAAGGAAAGTGGAATTGAATCGGTTCATGAATGATATTTTCTTGTTATGGAAGTTTGGTTTGATGAAAGGTGGAGTACTACTGTAATTTGGTATTATTTTAAGCTGTTTTAGTCGTTAAGATAGCATCAACGAATTTTCGAGTCTCTTCACCGATACAATCAGGGTACTCCTCCTGCGGGAAATGACCAGAGGGCCCAAGCCCAATGACTTTCGTAACGCCCATCCATTCAGGGTATTCCTTGACTTCCGTGCGGTGGTATCAGGATACCTGGCTCTACCCAAAACATCAGTTTTGGAACTTAATTGTTGCCAGCCTTCAACCATTCCCAGAGTTGCTAAATCAACATGCCCACCTCTGGCGAACGTCCTTCAAGCGGAATCTCGTTGGGAAACCGCCATGTGGGTTCGCGATCAGAAGGGTTCATAGGCAGGACGATGTTGGATTTCCGTGCATGGAAACAACGGTGGATACCGATGTGTTGGGAGTGCTTGTATCGATGTACGCCATGAATGAATCAAGGGTTTTGACAGTCTTCTTCTCGAAGGGAAAGTCCGGGGAAATTTCCTAATGTCGCCATTTTCGATATATGGACAGTTGATGAGGCGCGGATTAAGTGGCGTAAGAGCAGGGAAGCAATTGGGGTATCAGATATGACATGAGCTCGGCAGCGTCGCGATGAGAGGAACTTATAGCCACGGCTTCTTCAATCCAAATGTTTGAGTATGGATCTGTAAATGTGCGAATGTGAACATGTCAATGGTATAGTTTCAGCTTACTGTTCGATCACAAAGCTTGAAATGGGTGTTAGTAACATTAAAACCATTTCTAATCATTCTTCAATGTAGTGACACTACTTTCTAATCATTGTGCAAGATTCATCCTCTGATGGTTTCTGAGATACTACAGCAGCATTTTGTAAATAATTGTACGGCCGTAAGAGCCTCATTGCAGAAAGGAACGGCGGTTCTCTCGGGACCCGGCGGCCCCGGTGTCAAGAGCTTCTGGAAATCACCAGGATCACAACGCTAGTTGCTTAATATGATTTTGCATCTCTCCAGAGTACGGAGTAAGCGAACCTAAACAGCATTGCCGTAGACGTCCGCATGGAAATCAACAGACGTAAGAGATGGCACAGACAGTTTCGTCTGGTACTGTTTGTTCAGGAGGTACCCAAGTCCTTGACCGTTATCTGTCTTCCTTTATATTTCCATAAGGCCGCAACACTCTTGCCATGTACAATTCATCGACCTCTTGCTTCACTGTTATCACTATACAGAAACTTCATACAAAATGCCTACTCTCAAATTTCTCCTTGCCAGTCTTGTTGGCTCCGTCGCTTTCGGGCTACCATCAAGCCTCAGATCCGAGCCTAGATCCGTATCCCAGACAACCTCGCACTCACCTGTCAACGTGGCTCAATTCGCCGTCGGAACATGGATCGAAAACCTGGCTATACGCCCGAATGGCAAAATCCTCATCACTATGATAACTCCGCCTGAGATCTGGGAAGTCGACCCTTTCCAACCGCCTGCATCAAATGCCACCGAGCTGGTCCACCGCTTCGATACTAGTATTGCCGATCATACCAGCGGAATCACGGAGACAGAACCAGACGTCTTCGTGGTAGTAGGTGGCAATAGCATCTGGCGCATCGACATGAACGAGGACCTTTCCAATCGCGTCTCCGAAGTCGTGAACATAGCACCCTCACGCCTCCTCAACGGCGTGACGACTCTCGACGCAAATGCTGGAATAATTCTTGTCGCTGACTCGGAACTCGGTCTCATCTGGCGCGTCGACACAAAGAGCCTGACCTACGAGATTGCTTTACAGGACGACACAATGGCACCGAGGGAGACTTTGAACCGCCTTATCGGTATCAATGGCGTGCGCGTCTGGAAGGATTACGTGTACTACAACAACAGCCCCCTTCAGCTTATATGTCGTGTTCGCGTGGATCGAGCCACCGGGCAAGCCGCAGGGCCGTACGAAGTCATTGCTCAAGGCGTTTTGGGGGATGATTTTGCTGTTGATCAGGATGGTACGGTATATGTCGCTGAGATGACTGAAAATGTTGTTACGCGTGTTCAATTAGATGGTAGTCAGGCAGTTTTTGCCGGCAACCTCAATTCTACAGATGTAGCGGGCGCGACATCAGCTGTATTTGGGAGAACAGAGGGCGCTCGCAATGTCCTTTACGTTACTACCAATGGAGGAATCTCTGCGCCGGTGAATGGGTCGATCGTTGAGGGAGGGAAGGTCGTTGCGATTGAGCTGTGAGCGGCATCGATACTTCAAGTCGACTTTGGAGACGCTGGTCTGAAATGCTTGACCATTCAAACCTGAAAAGGGTAGTATTTCCTTCAAGAGGACTTTTCTGACATGCTTTTCACTATCTTCTTGCGTGCGAGCAAAAAGGTCAAATCGCTTGTCACCTGTATTTACTAGCACTTACGTAGTAGAATAGACTACGCATATCACTAAACCTCTTGATCCACTATCGATACATTCTTTTATGACATAGTTCCGAAAGCTTGTTTTACACGGTCTCAGATCTGTCTCACGCCAGCTACCTGGGGCCATCTATTAAATATGCCGGACAGGTCGAAAGCAATCATCAGAAGCTTTCGCTGGTTCGATGTTCAAGTTGGTGCTGAATATGAGCCATCATTGGAGATCTTCTTGGTGTCACGCCTTACGTTGCAGCCACAATCCGTAGTAGACAATTCGTTCTAAGCGCCGTGATACTGGCTTTCTTGTGCCTAAGGTTACTGGAAGTTCACCCATCTTCGCACCAAGAGTATACATATGCTCCTTGGCGAAAAGGATGCGCCTTGACCTAGTCTTCATGTTCTTCAACCGTAGATATGCCTCTCCCGAAAAGGGTATGACGCCATAGGCACTCCGCATATCGCAATGGGCCGCGCTGGAATCCTATGCCGAACATGCAATCCACTAGTTTCCGCGTACACAACAAAATCGAGATCATGGGGTCGAACGGGGTATCGTATTAAGAAAAAAGCGTACCTCAGTCGGTCCTCCACCCAACATACACCTCGTCGGTCCTGAAGCGCTGTGTACATGTCGTATCTGTCAACTCCGTCTTCACTCCAGTACTGTATTCCAGCAATCCCGCATGTGCAATCATAATGCCGTTGTCGATACAAAACATCTCGTCTGTTGCAAAAACATTTCCACCTCTGTCTCTTGCCATCATGCCCATCATTTGTTGTAGTCGCATATTCGAGCCTACACCACCTACAACCAGCACTTGCTGCGACCCGACGTGTGCCATAGCGCGCTCTGTTATCTCGACCAGCATGGCGAAAATAGTCTCCTGGAGAGAGAAGCACATGTCTGCTCGTGTGACCAGCTCTCCGTCTTCAGTCTTTAGCCGTTTCGCGTCCGGTAATGACTCGTCTAACCCACGCGCGAGCAAGTCCGCTGCAGCCAAAATACCCGAGAAACTTGCATCCATGCCTTTGACACCATATGGTAAATCGATCAGGTTCTTCCCCTTCTTGGCTAATTGCTCAACGTTGTATCCAGGAAATGGGTCGTTGGGGATCATCAGCGTGCGAGCGAATCGATCGATGCAGTTTCCTATGGCGATATCTAAGGTCTCACCGAAGATACGATACCGCTGGGCAGAGTAGGCGATGACTTGGGTGTTGCCGCCAGATACGTAAAGGACGACGGGGTTGTCAGCGCGTGTTATTGAGCGACCCATCTCGATATCTAGCATATATTAGCCAATAGTTTTGACCGTGGAATCGCAATGACTGACGGCCGACGCAGTGGTTCACTCCCACCATGGGCTTCCCCCATAGTAGACTGATTGTCCTAGCTGCGAGCGCAACGCTTTGTAGCGGTGCACCCATGCCTGGGCCTTTGGTGTAGCATATACAATCAATATCCTCAATCTTGACTCCTGCTTGTCGCACAGCTTGCTTGATTAGCCTCACAACCCATGCTCGGTGATGTATTGCTGTATCTTTGGGCAGGAAACCTTCGCCGGGAGGGGAAACATATGTGTGTCGCAGGTTCGCAAGGATGATGGGAGGTTTGTTTGGACCTGGATGAGAGATGACGCCCACGCCTATCTTGTTGGCGCTTCCTTCTAATCCTATGGCAATCATCGTGGCGGCAGTCGCGGTTTGGTGTTGGTGTTTGACGCGTCGAGGCGGGGTGTCGTTGGAAAAAGCTATCGATAAGGGATGACATGCATGGTAGGGCTGAAGCCACCGCTTGGCAAGCAACAATGACTAGTTGCTCTGTCAAGCAAGCCGCATTTTTCGAATTACCTCGTCCCTTATAGATCCAGAGCATTCACGACATGATACTTCATAATCGCAGATGTTGTTTGATCAATGGGCAAGATATAGCGAACAGGGGCGTCAGCTCGCAAAGGCGCAAGGATCTAGCAAAAGGGATATAGGACCAGTCTCTTTTATACACTTGGGAACCTACGCGATGGTCTCTTTGCCCGCAGCCATCATGCCACATACATTTGTGCGCATGCAGTGCGCATGCAGCGAGCAAACCGACGTTTAAAAAGTTCACGAGCAGACGTCACCGCCGTTAGTCATGTGCTGCCGGGTCTGATCATTACCGCAACAAAGTCCACTAATTACTTCAACCATCTTCACAATCATTTCAACAAATCCACGTCTTTCGAATTTCGCTTGCTTCATAAACTCTTTAAAACACAATCATTGCGCAGCGTCGCAAAACTTGCAGATCCCAGCCACAGCAATTCGTACTCCGCTCGGACCAAGCGGCCTCGGTTCCCCGTTGGAGCCGCTAAATAATATCCACCAAATATCCAATCCTCCAACTCTTCAAAACATCCCACATCGCACCAGAATCTCTGCGCATGGCAGACTTTGACGGCGCCAGTCAGAACTTTCTGACATGGCTTAAGCAATCTGGAGCGGAAATCAGTCCAAAGATCAACTTGGAGGATCTGAGAAACAAGGATGCTGGACGAGGCGTTGGTAAGTAGCTACTCCACTCCAGTACTACACCCCGACACCACAGACTCACTCTACGTCGCTACAAAGCTTTGCGACATGCGATAAACCTTAAAGCTAATTCAAACAGTTGCAACCCAAAATATTGCCGAACATGAACTCCTCTTCCGCATACCCCGCGCCTCCATCCTCAGTGTCGAAAACAGCATCCTGAGTACCGAAATCCCCGCTTCAACATTTGCGCTTCTCGGCCCCTGGCTCTCCCTCATCCTCGTCATGCTCTATGAGTATCACAATGGCAGTGCCTCGAACTGGGCGCCTTACTTTGCCGTCCTACCTACCGACTTCAACACCCTGATGTTCTGGTCCGACGACGAACTCGCCGAGCTCCAAGCTAGCGCCGTGGTGAACAAAATCGGAAAGGAAGGCGCTGATGAAGTCTTCACGGAGCAACTACTACCCGTGATAGAAGAGTTTGCGGACATAATATTCAGTGGAGATGAGAGAGCCAAGGACAAAGCGAAGGAGATGCGCAGCCCGCAGAACCTGGAGTTGATGCACAAAATGGGTAGTCTGATCATGGCTTACGCATTTGATGTCGAGCCCGCGACACCAAGCAAGGACGTGGACGATGAGGGTTTTGCTGAGGAGGAAGAAGACGCTGCACTACCTAAAGGCATGGTTCCGCTAGCTGACATGCTTAATGCCGATGCCGATAGGTGCAATGCGCGCCTGTTCTACGAGAAAGACTGCTTAGAGATGAAGGCGCTCAGCCCGATTACTGCAGGCGACGAGATTTTCAACGATTATGGTTCGCTGCCCCGAAGCGATTTACTAAGGAGATACGGCTACGTCACCGACAACTACGCACAATACGACGTTGTTGAGATTCCCGCCGAGCTCGTCACTGATATTTTAACCAAGGAGGGTGTCTGGCACGCGGACAGGTTAGAATACCTTGACGAACAAGAGGTCATCGATACAGGCTACGACATCGCCGCCAGCACGCCCTATACGCTTCAAGAAAGTCTCTCTCCCGAACTCGTCGTTTTGGTCGAAAGTATGCTTCCCCCAGCCGAAGAGTTCGAGCGCCTTGCTAGCAAAGGCAGACTGCCTAAACCAGAGAAGACCACCAGCCAAGGAGCGGAGCTGCTATTGCAAATCGTCCAGGCTCGCATCGCGCAGTACGCTACAACGCTGGAACAGGACTTGCAAACATTTGGCGAGGTTCCGCCTGCCGGGACGGCGTCGCCTAAGCAGCGAAGATTTGCTATGGCAAAGGCCGTGCGTATCGGTGAGAAACAGCTTTTGACGAAAACGAAAGATGCGTTGGCAGAGAAGATTGCAAGAGATGGTGGTGCGGCGATGGCGAAGAGGCAGAGGGTTGTTGATGAAGAGGGAGATGTGGAGATGGGCGGTATGGGGAAGAAGCACAGAGCGTGATGAAGATCACTGCATGCATCAAACCCTGTCGTGAACCGCATCACCGATGGTGGTTTGACAGAACGGTCACCAGGATCTGGCCTTCACCCGAGAATGCGAATCATAAGAGCGAGAAAAAAGGTCGGACAATAATTATGCGTAAGTTTCTTATTTTTTTTTGTCGCCAGCCAAAGTCCATGCGGCACTTCACCAGGCGTCTAAATATGTATATCCAAGTATCGACTTGCTGACTTGTTGTGTCTAGGTAACCTTCGCACCTCCCTTCACCCACCCAACCATCCAGCATTGCCTCCTCCTCCCTGAATTTAAAAGGCTACTGTACATAACTTTGGTAGATCTTTGGAGCCAGCCCACCGAGCCAATAGAAAACAAAGGGTATAACTTGTCGATAAGTAAAGCGCTAAAAGAAGAAGAGATTGTAAACTGCGGGAATTTATCTCCCGGAAGAACCTCCAGCTGCGGCAGTTGTGGGTGTAGGAGGAAGAAGATGGCCGGATGCAGATCGATTGTGGTTTTCAATGGACCGGCGATTCGGATTTGGTGGAGGTTGTTGAACCGCAGCCTTCTCGCCCTGGCGCTCAATCATGATGCGATACCTGATGTGCAGATTGTCTGTCCAGTCGACGGGATATGTCTCCTCATCTTCACTGCTGTCGCCGGAGAAGCGCCATCGATCGGCCAAGCGGTCGTCTACCCTCTCGGTCTTTTGACGCTTCACGCCTCGGCGATCGATCATCATACGCCCGCCTCGACCGATTCTACGACGGAAGCGAGATTGATCATGGAATGGAACGTCATCTGGAGGAGTGGCAAAACGTATGCGCGCACTTCTCCGTGGATCTGTCTGCTTACTCGACGGCACCACTGCTGTCGCATCAGCACCTTCACCATCAGACACGGACGCAGGAGGCGTGGGAAGCTGACTCTCCGTAAAGACTGTACGGAAGTCCGACTTCGCAGCCGGCGGCTCCAAAGGTGGCGTGATGGGCCGCCATGTTGCGTCGACCCAGCCCACATTCCACTTTTGGTGCTTAACCAGGTTGTCTTCGATGAAGCTATCGATGGCCTCGGTGCGCTTGGCTTGCTGCTCTTCGAGGTACACTATATCACCATCAACAAGACGCCCGTCTGGACGTGTGTTGGTAGGCTTCATGCCTGGTAGAGTCTGACGTTGTCTTTCAACATCGGCAGTTCTCTTTGGCTTAGGAGCAGGCTGGGACGAGTTAGTCATCTGGACAAAACTTCTGGTGAGTTCATTGCGACATACCTTCTGAGTGATGAGTAGTTCGTCATCATCACCCTTGATGCTGAGTCTACGCTTGAGCTCCTTGACGGCATGGCGTTGTTCGAAGATCAGCTTGTCTGTGGCAAGCTGTTCTCTGATGACTGCCTCTCGTCGCTTGACTTGCGACATCAGCAAACGAGCCTCCTCCAGTTCCTTCCTCAGCTTCTTGAGCTTCTCCGTTACTTGCGCGTCGCGACCACGCGTCTTGCGGACCTGTCGGACCTCACGGCGTCGGAAGCAAACATACGGGTCAGCATCATCGGTTTCGAGATTCGTCTCGAACTTCAGTGAGGGCATCAGCGGGCGGTTGCCCTTTAGTAATCGTTGATTCTTCCAATGTGGGTAAATGTCTTTGGCGAACCGCCGCGCCGACTCGCTGATTGTCTCATCGAACTCGGCTTCAAGTTCCTCATAGGCAAGAGCAGACGAGTTGTCGACCGCGGCATACGGCTGCTTGATTGCTGTGGTTTCTTCGAAAAAGTTCATAACCTCTTCGAACTCGTCTTCTGAACAATTGTTGTTTTTGCCCTTTTTCTGGTTGTAAGACTTGAGAAAGGCGAGATCATCACTGTTCATGCAATACGGGCAGCCGGACGTATCCTCCACGGTTGACGAGAACCGTATGTAAGTGGCAGGTTGTGTAAACCGTTTTGGATAGACATCTTCATATTGCAGTGTGCTGGCGACAGCATCCGGAGTCGGAATGTAGAGTTGTGCAATCTTCCCACCAGTCGCGCCTTGCGCAGCTGCCTGGGCGGCGGAGATGACGGCCTGTAGATGGTGCTCCTAGAAATGATGTAAGTATGTGTATTGTGCAGGGCAGGGGAAGTGAAAGCCAAAAGCGGACTAGCGCGACTTACAATCTCCTCGCCCTTCTCAACACCGGTCTCAACCTTGGGAATATGGCGCGACGCATCGTCATCAGCAAGCTGTTCAACCTCACTCTCGCGGACGACAGGTAAATTCTGTTTGGTCGAAAGCTTGCGCTGCCTAAAGCGCTGCCCAGTTGCGCGAGCCGTCATTGTTTGTTGTCGCAGCGAAGCGCACGTGACAAATGTTTGGGTCGTTTGGGCTGCGTATGGGGCGTGGTGCAAATCTGGCGCCTGGGGGCGGCCCAGCGAAGAGGAGTCACGCTCCCAGAAGCGCTAATTCGACCACCAACGCGCCTCAATACTGCTGATATGGGTGTCAAAAGTGTCGCACTGGCCTCGGCATGCGATTTATCGCGTCGAAAGTGATGAAAAGAGGTCGTGGGGTGCTGTTTGGCGATGGAAAAGGTTTCGGTGAGCGGCGATGTCGAGCGTGAACAAGCGGATGCGTTTGGGCGGGTTGAGAGGCAAGGAAGTTGCAAGCGAAATGGACCAATCAAATGGGCGATCGCCGGGAATAGGTGGGACCTGCGCGATCGTCTTACGTTCATCACGGTCTATCTACAGGCCACGCTGCATATTCGCATTCACTGACCGCGAGCAGAGCTGCGAAAATCTGCTGCAACCCTACGTGTTTGCATATATCGTGGGTTGCGTTCCATGGTACCGTGTGAATGGCATCCTGATGGAGTTAGCGTGGCTTGGCATGGTGTCCATGGCTTTCCAGGAATGACTACCGTCGTAACTCTGATCACAACACCAGCATTACCAGCAGGACTGTCATCGAATCATGTCTCAAGAGAAGTATGCCTTTTTGTTCCGTACATTCGATGCCTTGATATCTAAGCTTCGAGAAAAGATGCCTCAGCGTTCTCCAACGTGCTTTGGACGTCGCTGGGTGTCAACGGCCTGTAATGACGAAAAAGCACGTAATCCTCAGCTAGGCCAAAGTATATTTGCTCCAAATATTCAGCGATTGTGATTAACCCTCTTGACTACTATCTAGGCTCAGCAGAAAGGTAAACAGGTCCTGCTCGCATTCATGATATACATGTATCCTGGTCTAAAGCCACTGCTTGGTTCCGTGGTGGGAGACAAATGCACCACCGTACCCATCCTCAATGCTGGCCTTTTCCCATGTCGACCTGATGATCGGAATAGCATCCTCAACAGGTGTCGCGCCTTTGAAATCAGGGGCGTAGATTGAGATCTTGCCCATGAAGTTCATCAGACCTTGCATCTGGTCGGGGGTGACTTCGAATCGGTGTCAGCATGAGTACTAGGAATCACCTAGGGTCACCGGTCTACTTACGATTGTCAAAATGGCCCACTTCTACCACGCCTGGGCTCATACTCATGAAAAGAACGCCGTCTTTCTTATACTGCGCGTTGAACTTGGCGACAATTGCATTCAGAGCCGCTTTGGATGCGGCGTACAAGGAACTGTTCTCGACTTCAAGATTGTTGATGAAGTCGAGATCTGCATGGCCGCTGGAGATGGCGATGACCTTCTTCACCTTACCTCTCATGACAAGAGGCAGGAAAAGGTTGAAGAGATGGATGTTGCCGACAACGTTGGTCATGAACAGCTTTGAGGAGACTTGTTCTAGTTCCTCGACTTTATCGCCCCTATCGAATGACCGGCGTTAGACATGGGCGAACTGATGAGATGAAAACAGATGTAGGCTTACAACGCGCCGATGGGGTCGAAAGCATCGAAGAGAGACGGAAATGCTCCGTTGCCAATGAGATAATCGACACCGCGTTCACCGATGATCTCGGTGGTCTCTGCAGCGGCTTGCTTTAGGCTAGCGTGGCTGGTGAGGTCTCCACTGAGGATATGGATGTTTGGACGTTCGCCTATTTCTGCGATCACTTTCTCCTTGGTAGACGCCTGGTCGCGAACCAGACCGACAACGAGATTCTCCGGGTCTTGTGAGATTTGCTTGAGGAGTTCAAACTGGACCAAACTTAGCAGAATGCAAGTACATCACCATACAGGGTATACTTACTCCAATTCCCTTGGACACACCGGTAACTACGTAGACTGACATATTGCGATTGAGGTGTCTGGAATATCTTGTGGATCAAATAGGTTGAGATGTGGTGCAGACATTGTGTTCACCTTGTCATCTTTATAAACGCAAAGATTCATCCGCTACACTGCACGTTTGCGGACTTCTTGGAGCTATCCCGCGCACAAATACTTGTCCGCCGCGATACAGGTAGGTAAGACTCTGACCGCTGCGGGTTCATGTTGCGGCGTGGAAGGTATGTAATGAATCCTGCGTCGCTGATATGTCAGCGCAAAGAACTTCGGCTTTGCGTGGTGTCTTTGTCGCGAAGCAGTAGGCATCTTGGCGGCTTACAAAGAGCGGTTCTCGGCGAATGTGAGGCAGCTTGAAGCTGACTGCAGTTACATACATATCCTTTCCGTAAGTTGGTCCTTCAGTCAATGCGATATGCGTCATTGAGGATTGGTAACCTTGTTTTACAGGATGCCGCATTGCGGACTAGTCTCCCGCCTTGCGGCCGTCTGTCCAATGAGCATGAACTCAGCGGATGACAAATGTGCGCTTACTATACCTCGACTTCCGCACAAGACAGAATCGACCTAATAAACCTCCAAGAAAGATACTGGGTAGCCATACCCTTGGTAATGTCGTTGCGATCCGAGTCAAACGCTTGCACTGCCTGCGCAAGAGCAAAGCGGAAATGCGGTCGACAGATCCCAGCTTGCGCTCGATGCGCGGACAAGCGCAAGTCGTGCATCTATCCGCCATCAAAAAAGCAGACAGTTTCTTCGTATCGACACTTGTTATCGGATGTGCCAGTACTGAGAGGAGAGGATACGTCGTTCGCCGAAAGCCCAGTCAGTACGTCGCATGTCAATGCGAGCCTCTACACCATCGATAATCTCATGTGGGATGTGGGATTACCGTCCCTTGGCAGTAACATCGACGCACCGGAGTCTCAAATCCGGATCCCCAGCGCAATGAAGACCGATTGGTTTCTTGCACCGGAGACGTGGACGATATCCCGCAGGTCGACAAATTCAGACGATGTACCAATCGGCACAGCAGCAATGAAGAAGTACGTGACGGTACTGCAGTCTTGGTTCAAAAGCTGGGTCACAACTGGTAGCAATCCCTTTGTACACTCCTGCTTGTACGGTGTGAACTTCCCAACATGCGTACAAGTCGCGTATGCCACCCTAGCTAGTTATGTGTATCGGACGCCTGCGAATACAGAAATCGTCCTCCGCATAGTGGAAGATCGATCGAACGACTTGTTACTGGAGAATGGAGCCGTTTTAGATCAAACTACTGCAGGGAAGTGGGTCGATGTTGCAGGTCGTCATGACGATCTATGGGGGCAACTGACACGTCTTCATGCCCTTTTAGTCTACCAGATGATCGGTCTCTTCGATGGTGACGTCCGCGCCCGTCATGTCGCTGAAGGACATATGGCGATACAGGATAGCTGGGCTGGAAAACTCTTCTCCACTGCCAGAACCGCATTGTCGAGCGAACAAGACAGCATCGCTCATCTCGCCAACTGCCTACCCAAGCTGTCTACTTACCTACAGCAACAGTGGTACTCGTGGATACTGTCAGAAAGTATCCGTCGCACCTGGCTCGTGGCCGTCAGTCTATCGCCTGTCTTCTCGGTCCTCCAGCAGCGCTGGGGAACCTGTCCTGGTGGCATCATGTACACCAATCGAAGTGGTCTTTGGGATGCTACGAGCGCTGGGGAGTGGGAAAGACAGTGTTTGGAGAAGAATGTGGCCTTCCTACAGCGCTTCGAGTGTGCGAGGCTTTTTCACTATGCGAAACCAGCTGATGTTGATGAGTTTGGCATCGCGATGCTCGAGATGACCTTCAGCGGGGATTCATTGGAGAACTGGAGGGATAGAACTGGCGGCTTGTAGTCTGCAAAAGATGTTTAGTAAGTTGTGCCAGCGCGATATCAGCAATCGGGTGTCACAACGGGTGGTGACTGGGAAGAAGGTATCTAGTACTTTCAAGGTTGTCTTTCTCCCTGTCTGTCAACGCCCGGAACGCGTCGGAACGTTCCGAGTAATGTTGTTTCCATTTATAGGGCTAGTACACATTAATAGATTCCAAGGACCACGCCGCAACGCCGCCCAGATCAACAAAAGTCGGGCCAGCCCTCACTCAACCTCTGTTACTCTTCGCTTCTACACAGCTCATCACTCAACGAATCAGACACACCTTGGACACACAGCCAACATTGATCTCTCGTCAAATCTGTACCTTCCAGAAAGCGTCAAGCACACCAATACCGGTCGATCTATTAGGCTAACCAGCGAGGTATGGATCAACTACCGCAGGAACTCGTCGAGAAGATTACTAGTTATGTACCCACGGAGGATCTCAAGAACCTTCTCACTCTCACAACGAAGTTTCGCTACAGCGCAGAAAGATACTCCGGCGCATTTACGGAATATACCCTGAACAAGCGCAATGCCGACAAGTTTGTTAAGATTTTCTCAGGGCACCGTCTGCTATATCTACGGGAAGTGATCTTTCGACCCAATCTTCCTCCACTAGTCTGGACTCCCCCAGCCGGCGAGGAGGATGAAGAAATCGAATGTCGCGAAAGTGCGGATGAAATACGAGAGAAGAATGAACACTTCACACGTCAGGTGCAGATTATCTATAAAACCCTTAGAACCGTCGAGGAAAATGCTGGACATCATGCCCCAGGACGATATCGACTCCTGGTGCACGGCCCTACGAGACTGCTCCATGACAACAGCATCACTTGTCCGCATCGCCAGTATAGCAGCTGGCGAGTTCAACTACTCAATACCGAAATGCCTCTGGTGTATTCCGTTCGTTCTCTAGAGATCTACAATGTATGCAAGGAAGATATGGACATCTGTCATGACTCTCATGATTACCCACCAGACTATAGCAGCTGGGAGGGACATGAATTGAAACTGGATCTGGGTGTCATGGTCAAACTAGCATCGAGACTCCCAAACCTTGAGTACATGGGCTGCAAGACCGGAGGGTTCGAATGGCACCCGCCCTTTTGCCACCAGGGTGGCGACGAAGAACCCAATCGTCATTTTCAACACGATTGGGACGGTCCACGTCGTGATGCAAGACATGATTTTGCAAGCGCCGTTACCAGACATGAAGCTCAGCTCCCAGCTTCACTCCGACGGGCGAACCTAGACTTTGTCCACCCACTATATCGCACACTGCATACTGTACAGGACAGGATGCTACCTGACCTAGTCAGACCAGCGCTGTACGACCCATTCAGCTCCAGTCTTCGTCTCTTAACCAACAACGTTCGGCAGCTCCGCATACGGGCCATCATCGATGAAAGCTTATTTCACATTGACGATTCTTCACAGCCGGCATGGCCTAACCTGGAAATTCTAGAGGTCATGTTTCATCCATCACGGCCTGACGGATCGTGGTACTTTCATGGACCTAGAGGTCAGGGTCGCGACGCTGTAGGTTATGCAATTACTGCTGCCTCCTACCCGCCTTTCGAAGCGAATGATCTCGACGCTGAGATGGAGGGGCGATTACACGATCAATCTGTTCTTGTAGATTTACCTAATGGTCATAGCAATGAATTCCGCATCACACCAGATGAACAACGACTCAGACCGCTGCTGGAAGGTTTCGCCAGGGCCGCAGTACAGATCCCTTCCTTGAAGAGAGCCATTATCCGGTCGCCGTTGTTCTGGGACCCGACTGAGGGATACGATGACGGAATTCAAAGAAAAAGTCTCGCATGGGGTATACAGTATTCCGATGAAGATATTGGTGTTAACATGGCAAAGCATGATCCGACAAGCCAAAGAGAGCAAGTTCATACAGCGACACGTGCTTTGACTTGGATGATGAATGATTGGCATCCTGATGCGCAGCTGCACAGCCTTTTCCAGCAAATTGGACGCGAGAAGCATGGTGAAGATTTGGTTGAGCATTGGGAACAGAAGTACATGTATGCCGACGATCTCCCTCACTGGATGTTCATTAATGCTTTTTGGAGTCATGATCACGGTCATTGGATCTACGATGATGGGTATGATGATCCGGGCCGTCTGCCTACTTTGCTATTGTAGGTTGGCGATCATAGGCTCAAGATTAGGCACCAGTTGTGCCTTTAGAAATCCTGACCACCGAGCATCCAAATTTGATCACATTCAGCGTAGCCTATCCTACTCTGTGTTGACGTACAATTTGTTCAGCACTTCTAAGCTGCGGTCTATGTCGGTTTGCGTACTAGAAAATGAGATGAATGGTATCTTCGTTCTATTAATACCCACACGAACGCGATCTGAAGTACCCTCAATAAGAACACAGAAAACATGACAAAGGTTGCATCGAAATATGCTATCCACAGATGCCACCCAGGGCAGATACTGGACGAATTGGGTCGCATGTCTTGGTCGTCGCTGTAAAGCAAAAGTGTAGGCATGTATTGAGAGATCCATTATTTATGACTTGCATTTCGCATATCATCTTAGAATATGCTTTCTCTTTTCTCTCTCGAGTTCACGACTTCATACCGCGGCCGAAGCCTTCAGACTAAATTTCCATGCGGCGTGGGATTTTCTCCGCTCTCAGTGATACGACCATACTCGCTCATCAGTGAGAACGGCGGCGACGACAATCTATTCTTTGTATCTAGATGTTTTACAATGTAAGCATTAGGCCCATTCAGATGTTCGCTGACACCCGTGTGATGCGCACCTGCATCGTTCTGGGGCGTAGCTGGTAGCAAGCGAGCATAGTACTCGCCATCGTTGAGCCGCGACAACGCCGCAATATGGAGAAGATGACAGTCAAGAGTACGGTCGCGTTCGCGGTTGTTTCAGAAGAACTTCGCGAAGTTTCGGCCTCCAACCCTCACAGAAACTGGGGCTGAATTACCTCGCCACCGGATATGCAAGACCTTGGCCATGCGCGTTCCTGTACCCATGTAGAGTCTGTTCGAGCCCGAGATAACACATAGTAGCGCTTGCTCGGACCTTGTCACACACCCTTCACAAATGAATCGATTTCTGTTCTTATTCTTACACTCTGGATTTTGCAATGTGATATCGTCGCAGAGCTGCAGTTTTGCTCATATGGAACTAAGAACCTTTGAATAGTGACAGCAATATTTCTGTTTTCCTTGCTTGGCTGATGTTCTTCCGCATCTGACCACGCAGTCATCATAATGGTGATCCTGACTGTGGCATGGATGCAGGATCTGCTCGGCTTCGTCGAATGACACAGCAGAGGTAAGTCGGGCTAGGCTGTTCGTTTAGAGTCGCATTCTGAGGCCCCCTCATGATCCGAGACACACAGAGGTTCGTGTTAGGCATCATGCTCTTTGTAGTGGCACAACGTACTGAGCTCAGTGCGGCAGTGTTTGACTAAGCCTCAGAGGCAAAGGCTGCTTGGCCCAAGTTAAGTAGCATATCGATACTGTTGATGGTTAGGCGCTGCGGTGTGGTTGTTTCGAACTGTGTCTTGAGTTGAGTTGTGACTGGGGGCGTGATTTCCATAGTTATGGTCGGCGAAGACTTGAAGCAAGTATTTAGCTGGATTGTGTCCTAACAAGACATGCGCAGGTCATCTCTCAACTTCACTTTATACCTTGATAAATCTGAGGTCGAAATTCCCAAAATGCGTTGTCTTCTTGCGCTGCTAGCTATACGAGCTATTTTCGGACTTGCTGAAACTTGCGATCCCCAAGCCTACGAGGATGGCAATCCATACGGCTTGGAAGAAACCAACGATCCAAATGTAATGTCAAAGTTGAACGAGTATCTAGTCGACAATCTATGCATCAAGTATTCCGACGGAACCGAGCAGAATATCAAAGAACAATGCAAAGACGTCTGCATTCCGAGCCAAAGTGCAAGCGAAGGCCAAGCTGTCGTATCATCTCATAGTTGTATCTTTGGCGACAATCCTTGGTACGATACAAGCAACATGACACCTCTTCTGTGTGGCGCCGACGAGGCATTCAAAGGTATGCTGTGTTCTGGGTTTGTCAAACTTACAGACTGAATTCGAGCAACTAATTTTCAAATCAGGTTTAATGATAAAGAAAGGTTATTGTTCCTGTGACCTTCCCATCCTAGAATTCGCTGGTGAGTTCTTCATTGAGGGACTGATCGAGGCAGGCAAGATCTTGGAGAAGGTCATATGTCCAGCTCTGAAAGCTCTCGATGTTGTCGTAGCTATAGGCATGGCAGCAATTCCCCCTCCGGGCCACGTTATCACGGGCGGAATGGGTAAGCATCCAAGGTCCTTTTTACTATGTATCGGGTACTGAATGAAAGACACAGTTGCGGCTGTTCGATCGGCAAAAGCATACAAATACGCACACGAAGCACAAGACGCTGCTCAAGAATGGGCCGACTTTTTCCTTAGTGGGGCAAATTTCGCAGAACAGGCAGGATGTGGACCACTAATACCTACCAAGAACAATCTGATAAAGAAGGCTTTCACACCCCTGGTCGATGCACCAGACGAGCTTGTACCAGGAGGGATGAATTACGAAGACCTACCGTGTCCCAAAAGAGGTTGTAAGGGCTGCAAAGGCCCAAAATGCACGAATGGAAGCGGCAACGAAGGCGGCGATGCTTCCAAAACTAACATCCAACCTGCTCCGACCACTGGCGGTACAGTTCCCCCGCAGGTCACTACAATTGTGTCGAAGACTTCGTCTGGTTCCCTGCTGTCTACCGCGGCTGTGTCGTCAATCATCTCCTCTTCTTCATCTATGTCTTCGATAGCAACACCTTCCCTGTCCTGTCAAGACCTCGCTACGCTGGACAGGGACGAGGAGATCGTGGAGCCAGAGGTTCTTAGGCGAAGTTATCCAATTGATCTAACATATCATAGGCTGTATAAGCGTGAGCCAAAGAAAGGAAAGCCTTGCGAACAGTCTTTGAACAGTTTCAATTATCCGAGCACTTCGGAATGGGGAGATCACCCACCGACGAGATATGGCTTCAACAAACGAAACTCATGCGATGACTATAGTTTCGACAATCCAGACGACGATGAAAGCGTTGATTATCAGACTGAGCACGTTCTGGAATGGCAAACTGTTTGGCGCTTCTTTGATGAGATGGATGGATTGATCACGACCAAGTTTAGTCATCCTCAGCCCGGCAATACTGCTAAGCTCAGCTTTTGTGAATACTGGACAGAGTCCTGGTTAGTGAGTTCAGTGCACAAGGACATCCCAGAGCCACTCATGGAAGGTCCTTCTTCCGATCCTGCTGCGACCCCAGATCCTGCTGCAACCCCAGATCCTGCTGCAACCCCAGATCCTGCTGCGACCCCAGATTCTGTTGTCACTCCAAATCCTGCTGCCACTCCAGATTCGAAGTCCACTCCTGATGCGGCAGCGACTTCTGATCCAGCGGCGACCCCTGGCCCACAGACGAAGAAACTTCCTCCGCGTGGTTGGCTCGCAAGTCAATATACATATCGGCAAAGTGGAAAGGAAATGTGGCTAGATGAAATGACATTATTGGAGAGCAACCTCAACGGAAGAGTTAAAGGCATTGTACGTACAGCGCTTTACGTTGACTGAGTAGAGTGAATCATGTTAACAAGAGTCTTGCAACAGTTGTTCAACCAGAAGAGAACTAAGAACGGGCTTTATATACAGATTCGCGACAAGAAAAAGATGAAAGAACTGATAGAGGGGCGAACAAAGGAAAAAGATCTCAAAAATCTGAACCTGAGTCCTGGAGATCAAACCCGCATAGCGATCCAGCGGTTACGGGAGACGATTGGAGCTCTCAAATACATGCAGGATAAGAAGATCTCAAAGATATTTGTCGACCAGAAGAACAGAATGGGAGCGATGATTGGGCATATCGATCGAGAGCTGCACAAGACACCCCGAGTGTATAAGGGTGACGTAGAGGGTCATCCGTGGCAGGAACAAAAACTCGAAGAGAAATGGAATGCCTACATGGACAACGTCTTTTCCGTGGCAAAGCAAAGAGCTACAGATTACATGAAACTCAATATTGGTGTTTTGAAAGATGAGTGGAACTCTGACAAGAAGAAGAACGAGTTCAAGGCCGATTCGAACGATGATCAGGCGAAGAAGGACAAAAAGAAAGGACTAAAGAAGACCCAAGAAGAAACCCTGGCTCTTATCAAAAAACTTAGCGACGAGTGGGACAAGGTCAACGACTGGCAAAAGCCAGAGAACTGGTAGAGTGACTGCTTTCGATGCGTGAATGCCGCAACGGGATGCGTGGAAAACCTGTGTGGCGTTGGACATTCACGTGTTCAGAACGATTGGGATTATCGTCTGAGGGGAGGAAGGAACACGGCTGTTCCTCGCCCCTGCGTTAGCGCTCGGAGTGCTTCGGATCGTCTCATACTGGCTTAGCGTGCTCCTCATCTGTCACACAGGGCGTCCCTGAGTCGCAGATATAATGACAAAGTATTGTTGTTGTGACTACGCCGCAAACCCGCTCAGGTCTTAAAGTTGCCAGGTGCGCTTCCAACACGGTTATTGACTGTCTGACATAATTTTGCGAAACCCACACAACAACCTGGTCGCTACCTGTCATCGAGTGTACAGATCTTCCCCAGACATCATCACAAATCTTCGTCACATCATTTACAGACAACCAGGATATGATGGAAGGACTCCCACAAGAACTCATCGATAAAATCTCCAGCTATCTACCCAGGCGAGACTTGTGCAATGTCCTTACCCTAACTGGCAAGTTTCGCTTTGCTGCTGAGAGGCACTGCGGAGCTTTTTCCAAATTCACTATCAACGAAAACAACTCGGTCGACTTCCTTGCGCGCTTCTCTAGTCATCGGCTTCTCTACCTGAAAGAAGTGATATTCCGGCCAACCTTCCCAACGCTGTGTGGTCCACGCGACAATGAAGATGACAGTAGCGACGACGACCAAGTCCTGTGTCGAGAGCCTGCTCATGAGGTGTATGAGAGGGACGAGTCTTTTACACGACAGATACAATTCCTCTTCCACATTCTTCAACTAGTCGAGAAGCAAGCCGGTGAAAAGCATGCCCCAGGCAGATATCGTCTGTCACTTTACAGTCCAATCAGAACAGTACGTGCCAAAAACGCATGTCCCCATCGCTATCGAACTAGCTGGCGTGTTCGGCTACTGGAAGCCGAGCTATCTCCAGTCGCGTCTATTCGGTCGTTCGAAATCTACAATAACTACGGCAACGAATCATTCGCTCCTTATCTCCATATAGACAGATCTGGTAAACAAGAGTTCAAGCTCGACTTGCGCGTTCTCATTGATCTAGGGATCAGAATGCCTAATCTTGAATATCTGGGCTTCCGAACTGGAGGATACGAATCGTGCGAATCGTTCAATCCAGAGATGAATACATGCATCGAGCACTACGAGCACGACTGGGCAGGACCTCGTCGAGATGCTCGACACGACTTTGCAGATGCTATCATCCGCAGTCTCGATAAGATACCAAAAACGCTAAGGCATGCCTCGCTTGATTTCCTGAGCCCTTTGCTTCGTGCAACTGATATACATCATGGCAAACCATTGCCTGATCTAGTTGGTCACTTGACATACGATCCATTCACTTCGAGTCTTGGTATGCTATGCAACAATCTTCGCCACCTGCAACTACGAGCGATGATCGACGAGTCTCTTCTTTTGACACCGTCAAAAAGCTTGACAGAGTTACATGTCTCTTGGCCACGCTTGGAAATACTTGACATCATGTTTCACAACGCACGCCCTGATGGAACCTGGTACTTCTCAGGGCCGGCAGGGCAAGGTCATGTTCCACGTGGATATCCGGTGACCAGTGCCTCCTATCCTCCTTATGCACCCACAGAGCTCGATGAGGATATGGATTACGACTTCCTCGACGCTCCTGATCCGCGTACGGCATTCAATAAGCAGTTTCGCGTCGCCCCTACTGCTAATCTCACCCCACTTCTTGAATCCTTTGCCAAGGCAGCAATAAACATGCCGGCACTCAAGGAAGCTGCTATATGGTCCCCTTTAGAATGGTCCGGTAAAGATTTCACAGGCAACGATATTGATTACTGGTCTAAGACCGAGGGCGAAGACGACGACAAGATGCTATATAGTCTGGAGTCTCTAGCCTGGGGTATCAAATACGCAGAGCCGGGACGACATACAGATTCCAGGTCATGTCGTCGACTGCAGTGGGTAGTCGGGGATTGGCATCCTGATGGAGAGCTGCGGAGCCTATTTCAGGCGATAGGGTACGCAAAACACGGTGGAGAGCTTGAAGAGGTCTGGACTGAAGGCCTCGCTTATGATGGGGGAAGGATTTCGGGAATCGGCCACCGGGGTGAGTTTAAAAGGATAAAGGCGTAGTAATGATATGAAGAGTGGCTATCAACTCATGAAGTCGCACGCCTGAAGTTGCACTTTGTAAGTAATGTCATGTTGTATATGGTCCAGAATCATCCTATGAAACATTCTGGTCTCATGGGGCTGTGGTCAACCGTGATTGCCTACATAGGCAGAGAAGCTAGAAGGCATTGTCGATGACGATGGCGACGGTATGGCAGATTGTTCGCAGCACTTGGCATGGGAAACAATATAGGAAAGAGCCTCACATGATTGAGATCCAAGGTACTGTCGTGGACGAGATAGCATGTCAGGTGATGGTGTGAGACGAAGAAAACCATCAAATTGAAGAGGATTGCCAAAAGAGAACTATCGAGGCAATTCGCTATTTCAGAGACCTGACTAGACTTCGGATCGGCACTGTACACGAAGCTTGCAGACTAGTGATGCGGGCCGTACGCCACGATCAACGGCCCTTTACCCAAGTGAGGAAAGGACTATCCACTACCTGCGCATGTGACGTTGCGGCGCGCCTGAACATCCTCGAAAATGTATAAATGTGCGAAGTGAAGCCCGCATAATGTGAAAAAGCATCAAGCCACGAGAATGAAGGCAACTTTATCTGTTCTTGCGGCGCTGTCCGCAGCAGCCGCTGCACTTGACTCAAAGTCCAATTCTGACGATGGCTGCCAAAAGCCACTTCCATCAGGCGTCAAGCTCGATCAATCCGTCGACTTGACATTGAATAGCACGAGCGGTGTCTCGCCTCGCAGGTACCGCTTACATATTCCGTCCTCATACGACAGCAACACCCAAGTCCCACTCATCCTATCCTTCCATGGCCGTGGCAAAGACGCAGAATACCAAGAAGCCCTGAGCCAGTTCTCGAACGCAAGCTACGGTTTCGATGGGATTGTCGCATACCCCGAAGGCGTACCTGTATGTGAATCATCTCTTCAAAACCTGGCCGACGGGGTGGAAATTGTCGAGATGACAAGCTAATGCATCCCCAGAACGCAAAAGGCACGCAGCAATACCAAGGCGACCCCGACTCCCCAGCCTCAATCAACGACGTAACGTTCACACTTGAACTTCTCGACCACCTACAGTCCGCCTATTGTATCGACCCATCCCGTATTTACGCGACCGGGAAATCAAACGGCGGAGGATTCACTGGCGTATTGGCTTGTGACGCAGAAGCCACCAAACGTATCGCTGCATTTGCACCCGTGTCTGGTGCGTTCTACCTAGATGCAGACCAAAATCTTCCTCCTTGCGAGCCTAGTAGGCGTGTGCCGATTATGGAATTCCATGGGTTGAAGGATAAGACAATTCCGTACGCAGGTGGCATCAACACGCGCGGAAACGCTAATTCGACTGATGTAACGACTTGGGTTGATGACTGGGCTAGGCGCGATAGATTTGATGTTAGCGCAAACGAGACGAGTTATCTGTGTGAGAAGGACGAGGGGAAAATGGTTACGCGCTATAGTTGGGATGATGTGGTCGTGCACTACAAGTACGAGAACTTAGGTCACGATTGGCCCAGTTCGTTCCCCAACGGCGACACGGGCGATGATGAGGGCGTGTTGACTTGTAAGGAGGCGGAGGCAACACCTATCATTCTGGTGTGGTTTGGCAGATGGAAACTGTAGACCTGGTTGCGAAGTAACTGTTGATCGATGGGCGCGGCAGTCGGCCAATGATCGCGTGAGGCGAAGGTACAGGTGATGCGCGCGAAAGATGTTGTTTGTGTGACGCTCAGCAGCTGTAGTCAGATTGATGGAGAACTAGAGCATCTTTTGCCATCACGCGATCCTGTCATGCATGGAAGATCAAAGGTTGAGACTAGATGAAAGGAATTCACAAGAAGGAGTTGGAGAGGACAGAACGACAAGGTAGACGTTATGATGTCATGACCACACATCACTGATAAAGAACATCGTCTCTTCATCTCATCTCACCTCCTCCATCCGTTCTCCATCTAATGTGCCTGCGCGATGGATCACTATAATTCCGTGCTTGTGTTTCATCACCTCCAAGTCGTAAAATAGCTGGCTCCGTCGTGGCCTCGGCGATGCCTGTGCAACGGAACTCTGGAAAGCTTTCACGCGGCAGTCCCAATCAATGAAGCATTACAGAGAACGGGTGGATTATTTCTTCAATCATGTTTTAGTATTAACAGGCTTCGTGTACAAATTCTCTTGTAAATATCCATAATCACATGGTTGTGTGGTGATGTCTGGTCACCCTCACCAGGCAACTGCCTCGCACGTGCACCACAGCATGAACGGTAAACACGCGGCAAAAACTCAATCTCATTGTCGATGATACATGTCACGCAGTCGTATATGTATGGAAACACATTCTGCACTAGAAATAGTCACGCTCGCTCTTTCGCTTTCCAAGTTCTTCTCCAGCGTATACCTTTTGAACTCTGGCGCAATCTCAGTGTTTACCTTGACAATAACGTCTTTCTGCTTTTCACCCAGACCAACCCCAGCAACTTTATTCTAACCACGACGGTGGACTATCGTTAATCATTGCGACGATTTCCTGCCGCGTCAACAGGACAATACCGACACGACAATATCGATGCCTTACGAAACGGCGTATATTGGCATTGCGACAACTCCGAGCGGTGGTTTCGATCATTTTGTACGACAGTTAAAGACGTCACATTTAGCAGGCGGCTATTGGAGATTTCAGTCTACCGACGATGACCGGCGCGCCTATGCTCGCGGCTTCACTACACCGGAGGATGTACTTTGCGCTGCCGAATCCACGAGCGAAGGCTTCGATGAGATCTTCATTCGATGGATAAGGGGAGCCAATGATCCTAATATTAGAATGGCTTTATCAGGCACTCCATCACAGCATCTTCAGACCATCTATGAACTACGCTTGCTGCTTGGTCTACCGGTATCATCGCGAGGACAGATTCCGCTGTACCCTATCAGTACCAAGCCAAGATTGAGACAGTACTGGGAAGCCAAGTATAGAGCACAGCGACCAGATATCGTCGATACAGCGAGCCAACTGCCAGATCAACCGATTGCCTCGCCTGTGACACCACGCCCAGAAACCTTGGTTTCGCCACAACCCCAACATCCGGTACAAGCTACACCAAAGCCTCCTGTAGGTCGAATCACGAGAGCTCGAAGTAAGGAGATATCACAGGTAGCACGAGCGACGCCTGCGTCCAAAACTACGTCTCTACAACACCCATTCAATGCTACTACGGAGCACCTAACACTGTCTCCCGCAGCGCGCGCGTTGTCCCGTGAAGTTGCAGTTTCGAGCCTTCCCAGCTCTACGGTGAGCCGCCACCAAGTCACTCCTCGGGATAACTCTTCACTGGTATCAACGTCCATATCACCCGCTCCGTCTGCCGGTAGGTACGTGCCATCGATACCTCGCGCTGCATTGGAGTGGGGTTTACAGCCGTCCACGTCACCAACTTCGTCGACTCTAGACCAAGGTATTACACAGCATAACTGGGTGCATCCATCTGCTCGTAATCTGAAGGCTATCGCTACTTCGAATACACCATACCGATCTCCATATGCTGTGAGCGGGACCCAACCAGGGCACACGATTCCAGTCGTGGCAGCTCCAAAATTGCCGCTGGAACTCAACAAGAACGCTGCATCGCCATGTGGCGGGGCGACCACGTCTGTCACTACTGCCAATCCTGCTCCTGCTAAAAACTTCTCTAGTCCGGTAGCTGTTACGGCCGAGCCTTCTGCTCCTACCGAAAATGCTTACGACAGTCAAGTCCTAACAAGCCCTGACACTCCTCGCCATGTCTTCCCAACGACACCCTCCAGAAGATTGCATGCCCCTTTCTTGGATAGCATGGGAAGCCCGATTCCGCCTCAACCAGGTTCGCCACCTTCTCGCACTGGAGTCGCACAGCTTGGGGAATCATTCACACCAGAAGATACTCTCATAGAACCGCCTGACAGACCAGCTTCTGCTGATAACGAACATAGGCAATTGCCCGAAAACAAGCCCAGCTCTCAGCAAGAACTTCGCCAGCTCAACATAGGCTCTGCAGACGCAAGTGGCGCAAAAGAAGGATCGAGAGCGCAAGCGACCGAGGCAGCTTCGGAGTCATTGCGCACTTATATGGAAGGTTTGAACAATCTTCCATGTATGGACTGTGGAGAATACGATGGTCATACGTGGGACTGTCATCTTGGTAGTGAGTGTCATGACCGCAGCTCGTCAATCTCTTGCTAACAACATCTAGACATTCAACCGATGCAGAACCTTACCATGCTCGATTACCGTATCTTGGCCGAAGCTGTGGATAAATTCGATCCCGGCCCATGGACAACGCACTTTGAAACCCATCCCGAGCCCGAGGTAGAAGACGCAGAAACACAGATACGAGGGATGGCGGAGGTCATCCGGAACGAAGATAGCTACAAGATGGACAAGGAACTTCACAACTTGCCGGACGAGTTCATGATCATGCTGTGGGCATTCAAGACTTCAGATAAAGTTCGTGTTATCGATCAGTATGTTGGCGAAGATTACTGAGCACCTGCGCATGAAGGCCCGATACTGATTTTTAACGCAGGTACGACTGAGATTCTGGTAGCGGTGAGGATGATATCGGGGAATCGAATGGTGTTTTGCGAGCCTAAGGAGTATAAGTTCGAGGTTAGATTGGCGGGTGCGCTCCACATTTGATGTGTCTGTCGTAAAGAATATGCGATGTCGCGAAAGTCAACAAGTGTTGAGACAGGCGGTACATCGTCCAGATGTTGCGCGTGATGCGACAGCTGCGATTTGCGGCTTGGCGGGAAGAGAAAACCCAAAAGCAAGAGAGATGGCATTGCGTCCTTCTCATGCTTTCTTTGTTGCTGCTTCGTTGATGAGCCCGTGCCGCCTTGTCGACGTCGTGACTAACGGCTAGAACATTCAAGCCCCGCCCGTAGTGAACCGAGGTACACCATCGTAGTGTACAACGGACAAAAATCCGACAGCGCATACCAGGCGGCACTGCTACTATAAAAGCTTCTTTATGTCAGTGTGCCGCTTCTTCCATCCGTGTCGGTTGTGCTAGGTCTGAAGTGGGAATTCTGACATAGTGATCCCTGACTTTCTGACATCGGCTACGTCTTTCGGGCTTGTCCCAATACTAGCGTATCTTTTCGCACTTATATACCAAAGGAAACACTAGAAGTCTACTTCCAATCAACTGATCCCCCAACAAACAGTCTGAAAGCCATATTCGTTGCAAAAATGGTAGACTTCGAAACCGCCATCCAAGACGCCGTCGCTACGCAAGAGATTCCTGGCTGTGCTGTGGCAGCTACAAGTCGCGATGGTAATCGCTCTCTTCTCTTTGCAGTCCTTGTCCACCATTTTTTAACAAGCAATAGGCTCATTTACCTACTCTAAAGCCTTCGGCGCCACGTCCATGGACTCTTCTCGCGCCAAACCTTTCGATCTCAATACCATGATGTGGGTAGCATCCTGCACCAAACTCATGACTTCCATCAGTGTTATGCAACTCGTTGAGCGCGGGAAGGTGACCTTGGATGAGCCTATCTACCGCATCATCCCCGAACTAGAAGCGTTCAAAGTACTGACCGGCTTTACTGACGAGGGTGCTCCAATTGAAGAGAAGCACAAGAAACCGATTACGCTACGGAAACTTTTGACGCATTCAAGTGGTCTGGTGTACGAGGGCATGAGCCACCCATTAGCGGCGGCGTGGTCGAAGTACCATAAGAAGCGTCCTAGTGGCAGTGGGAAGTTACTCGAGCGGTTTACCTGCCCCCTCATGTTCGAGCCCGGTACCAGCTGGACATACGGCCCTGGGATCGACTACGTCGGTCTAGCCGTCGAGCGCATATCCGGTCTTACACTCGAAGAATACATGAAGAAGAACTTGTGGGGGCCACTTGATATTACTGATGTTACATTCTTCCCTTCCACGCGCCCAGATCTGCAAGCTAGAATGGCAGACATGAGCGAGAGGACAGAAGAGGGAAAGATGAAGCATAGTGATTCGCCGATGCCGTATCTAGACGGGGAGGGTAAGGAAGTCGTCGATTGCATGGGTGGCCAGGGCAGTTTTACTTGCGTGGGAGAATATATCAAGGTATTGAAGGGCGTGTTGGCTTGCGACGAGGGTGGAGAGGGGAAGATCCTGAGTAAGGCGAGTTTGGAAGAATTTTTCAAGCCTCATTTGAGCGAGGGGAGTCGCAAGATGTTGAATGCTGTTATGCAGGACGATATGGTATGTTTCTCTTCCCCACCTCCTCTATCCTGCTAGTTCACCTCTAGAAGACTTTTCTGATAAACGACTCCAAGGCGAATAATGCGATGGGCAACACCCCAAAGCATTTGACCAAAGACTACAGTCTTGGCGGCATAATCATTACATCCGATGCGCCCGATGGCAGGAAAGCGGGGACTATGCATTGGGGCGGCTATCCCAACTTGATCTGGTGGATCGATCGTAAGACGGGGCTTTGTGGGATCTACGGTGGACAGGTAGTGCCACCGGGTGACCCTAAGTGTGCCGCCTTGACGACGAAGTGGGAAGAGGGTGCTTATGAGTTGTTTGAAAAGCATGGGCGAAACGGTGAATCGAAAATCTGAATGTTATATCCCAGGAGATGATGTAACACCGGACGGGACAGAATGGAGTATGTCTATATATTATTCTATCAATGTTTCACTCAAGCGCATCCGCTGCTCAACGATGAGTCAATGTGAGCGTTTTATGTCCGTATCTTTCTTCGTCCGCTGCGCTCATATCCATAGTAGCTAACCGGACGTCATGTCAATCAGCTTGACCTAATCAGCTTTCCAAAACCGCGCCGTCAACCAAACAGAACAATGAAAAGGAATACCACCACAGCATCCAAAACTCTAGCGACGACGACCAGTAGCACGAAGCATGGCATTGCGTCCAAGAGCTTCTTGCTGACGCTTCCGTCCATAGTCGCCGGAAGGAATCGGCATCTGACCAAGCCCAGTGCCCATCATGTCAGGTAGGTTCAAGACGCGGCCGGTATTGCCGTTGTCATTGGAAGTCGTAACCTTCTGGATTGAGTTGCCAACGACACCGTTACTATCGGGGCCACCAAGTCCCTGGGTAGCAGGCATAAAGTTATCGAAGATATCCCAGTTGGTTTCATCAAACTCGAAGTCGGGCATGTCGAAGTTGAAGTCTAAAACGGTGGGGAGGGCGTTCTTCTTCTGCGCTTCGTGCTGAATGTTGAACGCCTGGCAGGCGCGGAAAACAGCGATATCCTTGTCGGAGAGGTCGAGATCATCGCCAGTGAGGTCGATGGTAGTACTTGCAGCTGAAGTTGAAGTTGACAAGGGAGAAGGCTCGTCCATGAAATTGGTGCCATCGTCGCCGGTGCCGAAAACATCGTCGGTGACCATCTCGAAAGAGGGCGGAGGAAGGAGGCTACCAGCTTCACCGATCCTTTCACCCGTGTTTGGATCGATTCCTTGGAGAAGAGGGAGGAGGAGAAGGCCTTTCTCTTCTTGGGAAAGATGTGACCAGGGTAGGGTGTAGAGTGTTTGCACACTACGAGGTCCGCTGGAGGGCGCTGAAACAGTGCGCTTGTGAGCCTTTTCAGGCTTCGTGGTCTTCTTAGCTTTGGTGACCCTGGGCTTCTGTGTTGTCTTGACAGACATCGAGGTCTTCGCCTTAGGCGCACGATGCTTGGTGGGAGCACGGGAGGGAGTTGGAGTATCTGGCAGAGCAGCATTGATAGTATCTAATCCTATCAAGGGCCTCCAGAGAGTCTCGATGGTGCCTGAGGAGGGGGATGAGGAGGTGAGATCGACGGGATCAGCCTGACGATTGTTGCTACACTCCAACAGACCATCGGCAGGCCAAACAGACATATCAGAGTGGAGGCTCTCATTTTCGAAACCAATGTCAAAGGCCGAGTCGAAGAAGTTAGCCGGGAGGTCTTCGGTGCACTCAATCGAAGGGAGAGGGACGTCGGCACAGGGGAGGATGTCCTCGTCGAAGTAGGTGCTTTCGGTGAACATATCGAAGGCGTGCTCAGGAGTCTGGCTGGAAGACATAGTTTGAGATACTTGTTAGGAGATAGCGTATCAAAGAAGTCGTAGGGCTGTTTGAATATGATCAGAAAGTGGCGTGAATTGTTGGAAGAAAGGATAGATACTGCAGTCGGCAGCTACTATGAAAGCTCTGAAAAGAGCAGGCTGGGCATTATCTAAGCCATTAAGAGGCTGATTAGCAGTCATAGGGTATAAAACATGTCAAATCCCTCACTTTTTCCTCAATCTTGGGGAGTGCTCGTTGCGGTCGTGGGTACGATACTACCCCATTTGGCAGCGCGAAAGGCAGCGGCGGGACGCAATTGGCCCAGCCTCTCCAGATTCCTGATTTGTCGCCATGGCGTATCATTGCTTTGCGTAGAAAGGGTGGTTGGGTAGGGAAATCGTGTTTCAGGTCACCTTCACTTTGTGGCGCAGGCGGACCTGACTGGCCTGGAAAAGGCTCAATAACGCGACAATGCCAAAGCATACGCTAGGCGATGAATATTTCAACAAGCTACGTCACCGTGACTTCGGGTGTCTGTTGGCCTGATCGCGGCGATGCGGGTGGGTAGGTGAAGGTAGGTGAATGGGTGACGATACAAGCACGGCGAGCGGCGAAAATACAGCGGCGCAGCATACCTCCGGATGGCGTCCAAAACCGAAACCAAGGGAAAACAAAATTGAGCATGATAGCATACTTATGTATGAATCTGGAGATGCTGTGTACAATCGCACCTCAGTGACCGATACTCTTGTTAAAAGTGAGATCAACATCGTCACTTCAAGAATTCGCGCTCTTAGCAAGGTAGCGTTCACCTACCCGGAAAAAAGTAGAGTGAAGGACGCGCTGAAGATCGCGTTTTATATGTGCCCGTTTGCTGTCGCACCTCCGCAATTTAGTCGCAGAAGCGGCGGTGAGGCCTCTTGGTGAGAGAGACCGATAAGGTCGTATATCACGGCATGTGCCGATTAGCTCGAGCGAGGCTACATAACGATTAATTGATAGAAAGATTTTGGATGATGCCTCGCAACTCCGACATAGCTTCCACTGCGTCGTTGTGATATATGGCATTAGCATATATGTGAGAATTTTGTCGATCGGATGTGTGGGGTCGTGGGTGAAGACTGTGGCAGGCTCATATAGCAAAGCCATCATTCATGCACAGGGCCAGGAAATACGGCTGGTCCATATTGATGATATTGCCTGATAAATAGCAATGTTGGCTCTAAGAGACGAAACAGCGTTGACATGTCAAACGCCAGTCAACATGTGTGTCATTCCCGGATTGTCAGGTCCTACCCGAAGGATCTAGCGCGAACATGGGCGGGCAGAAACATCCCCCGTGAATGCCACCTTGCCCGTCATCCTTCCCTGGCCATTCACAATCCCATTCTACCATAGGTGTCTCCCAAATTTCGCGCATCTCTGTGTACCTCTACTCATTCACAGCTGTTACCTTGTACATATACTTTGCATACTACGGACGCGCAGTTGCTGCCTCATGCGGCGGTCCAGGTTACTTCATCGCACCGCATCGCCACCCATTAGTTACTCCATCTGTCTTCGTCGCATCCAAACAATGAAGACTATCTGTTGAGTGCAACAAGCCGCGTCTCCAGTGGTTTAATCATCTTTCTTCGTGACGTAGAGTCTGACCCAGTTGACTTTGAAATCGTCGTCAAGGTCTTCATCTTCCCACGCTTCACGTGTCATCCTGCTATCAATCTTCAGCCACGATGCTCGCCACTCAGGAACTCGTGATTTGTCCATGGTGGAAGCCTGCGCAGTCCGGTATGCCGCTTGAGGCTTTGACTTTAGCGCTTGCTTTGTAGTCGGCCGCCTTGCTTCGCGTCTAGCAGCAACTTGGTTGCCGCGCTTCGGAATGACAGGATCTTGCGCTTGTTTGCTCGAAGTGTTCGTCAGAAACAGTGCCAGCAGTTTCAAACGATGCGTCGACAGGCCGTTGTATGCCATGGAGTTGGTAGGAATCTGAGTGTTGCGTGACCTGTACGTGTCGCTCATCGAGAATTGTCCAGGGCCTGTGCTACTCAGATCTCCGTTGTGATGGCCAATCTGGATCTGCATCACGGCATCATCCTCCACCAATGGCTTCACTATCTTCGATAGCCAGACTTTGCCCGCAACGACTACGGGTTGCCAACCTTGAGGTCGTAGCGTTTGCAAAGCTTCTATGGTCGCCGAGAGATGTGTAACGCCCTCAGCATCGCACACAGCCGAAGTGATCAAATGAGCCGGAACGCCTGCAAGACCGTTCATGGCAGCGCACGGCAACATCTTCCGGTCGAAAACGACCGGATTCATAGGTGGAGCTGGCTCAACAAAGTGCTGCTCACCCTTTTCTGCTTTGAGGGCGGCAATCTCGGCGTGTAAGCGTTCTGTAGTCGGGACAGCCTCGTTATGGTAGAGATGCCACCAGTAGTCACTCAAGTCCTTAGCCTTCATCACCTCGCTCTCAGACTTGTCTTCAATGGTCGCGCCATACTGTTCGACCTCCTGCACCTTTGCCTCCATCCTAGCGTTCGATTCGACGAGGCTCTTATTTTCTTCCGTGGTTCTGCTCACTAGTCTCAGCAGTTCACTATGATCTTGTTCACCGAGAGCACCTTGCTGGCCCTGGACCACTTTCCGGAGCATGTTCAGCTCGTGCATCGCTGCCTTCATGCTATCGTGAAGCGTACTGCTGAACCTTTTACTCTGGATCAGCTCGACGTCAATGCTATCGTACTCGATGGACAGGTTGAGATTCTCGCTGTCAAGCTTATCTAGCTTGCCTTGCATCTCAGCTTTGTCATTTCGCTCGGCTTGAAGTGACTCTCGCAGGTGTTCATTCTCTTGCTCAAGTGCATCAAGCGCCGCGCAATGCGCACCCGCTGGAACAGCACCTTGCTGTATCTTCTCGAGCTGATTCGCCGCATCGCGAAGTTGAATTTTAGTGAGCGCCAGCTTGTCTTCCAAGAGCTGGACAGTATCATGGGCGCGTTTTGACGCAGCTCGCATATCCTGCTCGGATTCTCGGTGACGTTTGCACTCATTCTGGATGTTCTGCAGCGTATCGAGAAGATTCTCATTGTACTGTTCCAGCCGTTTCACCATCGTTCGGAGCTCCTTGGCCTCTTCTCTGCTCGCGGTACTCGCCTCGATGATTTGGTTGAGCTGATGTAGCTCGGACCCTTGCGTGCAAGTTTGTTGTAGCATTCGACACATGGTTCCATGCTCCAACTCCAATTGCTGGTTTCGAGTGACAAGATTGACGATAGTCTCCTTGTTCTTGGTAGTAGCATCAACACAATCAGCGGACATCCGATCGTATTTCGTCTTCAATGCCTCAAGCTTCTCTTTCAGGTCATCAGTCTTGTTCCTACTGGTTGCCCAAATCTTTCCCTTTTCACGGATGGCCTTGGCCCGAGTCTCGTCACGCTCGCTAACTAGCTTTGTCACCATTTTCTGGAACGTGGAGTCCTTCTGCATACAGGCTTGGTGCCACTTCTCAATTTCCACGTCCTTGGCCGCGACATTGAGATCATGCATAGCCTTTAACGTCTCGATCTCGCGGTCTTTTGCTTCGAGATCGATTCGATGCTGTTCTTTCGCGTCGGCGAGACGATCTTTTAGGACTTGCTTTGCGCCTTCAACTTCTTCGCAGTCAAATCTCGCATCAGCAGCTTCCTGGGCCCAGTGGTCCACCAAGTGCTTGTCGTTCACGCGCTGACTGCGCTGCTCGGTGTATTTCTGCTCGAGTGACTCGTACCGAGAGTGTTCCTCGCTCAACTGGTGCTTCACACTGCCAAGTTCGTCTTGTAGCTTCACATGCTCGCCATTCAGTAGCATCAAGACCTTGCTGAGCTTCAGTGCTGTCTTGCCACCGTCGCTTTCACAGTGCGAGGTCTGGTCAGTCTCGGAACTTGAGCTGCGCTTGTCGCTTTCGGGCTCAGGGCTCGACTTGTCGCGATTGCTGGAGGAGTTGGATGTCATTTTGGTTGTGACATCCGAGTTGTCTTCCGCGTTTGCGACCAACACTGTTCGTTGAACCTTCTTGTTTGCGACGGTGATACGGGCAGCCACCTGCTTCTGTGTCTTGTCAGCCACCGAGTCTTCTTCCATGCTCATCTTGATACTGACCTTGTCTCCCCGAGTCCAGTGGCTCGGAAGTTGGTTCTCGATGCGGCTGGTTCTGTCCTGATGGGCCAACCTTTTCTGAAAGCGTCTAATGTGCGCTTGTTCAGATGATCGCTGGCGGTGTGCGATGTTCTCTCGATCGGCCCTAGGCTTTGCGAAGTGTTGCTGAATGTCCATGGTGGGGATAGTGGTTTTGGCGCTGGTGCGCGGCTTGTTCCTTTTGCCAGCTACTATGCTCAACATGGTTGCGACCGAAATGGAGGGCGTGGTGAGAAGAACACGATGGCACCATTCGCAAATTCAACTGGGCAGGTTAAACAAATTTACCAGTGTGAAGATGTAACAGGGAAAGATTTGGACAAAGGATAAAGGGTTGCTTTGGTCATTCACGCATCGCACAACTACCATGACGTAGGCGCATGACTGCCATAACATTCACCAAACTCATGAATTTCCGATTCGACCTCTTCTATGGAGACTTGAGCCGACCCACCTAAGAAGCGCTTATTCACGTGGTCTTCGTTCTTGGGAGATTCTCATTAATGTTGTGGTCTTTGTGGCAAAGCAGCATCAATTCGATGGTGTTTCGATCTGGGTTATGTTCGATTTTGGTATTTTTAGTGCCTCTCTTATGATGTAAACGAAAAAAGTGCTTGTCAAGCAGGGCTGATATTGATAAAAATATCGAAATGGGCTCCTATGTTCATGGCTTTCCCGTTCAAAAAGAAACCAGATAATCTCTAGCAGAAGTAAATCGACACTCTGGGAGGTTATCTCCCCACTCGTGAGAAGAATTTCATAAGACTTAATAGACACCTTTCAAAGAGAATGTAGTAACCATCTTCGACGTCACGTCTGACCAGTCTGACGGAATCGATGAATGAGATACTACAGGATACTACGAAGCTCTGAATTTCCCCGCCGTCAGATCCTTGGAAGAAACCTTCTCAACTTGGAAGGGGCCTAGAGGCTGTTGGTTCATACTGGAAAGGTACTATGAGCATACACACCTCGGATCTCGTTCCCCAATCGAATCAACCCGGCTAGTGTGATTTCAGATTCAGCAAACCTGCCCACAGTCGGCCATCTAACAGGATAGTCAAGTGCTTCGGCTACTACACCAGCCAGATTTTACACTGTGCTAAAAAGGTGTTGGATAATCTTCTCTTTGTCTACTGGATCGAAGCATACTCGACATTGCGCGATACAAGTTTACAGTATGTCGGTCTAGATGGCCAAGACGGTTTCATTGACTACGACATTCGACAGGATGATTTGAGACGAAAATAGTGAATATTGAGTTCTGACAGCAGCTACACCACAGATCTATAACGCCGTTATGCTAATTGAAGCGCTAAAAGTAAAATGCTCGAGGAAAAGAGAAAGCCTCCATAGATGATCGTCATGCAGATGTTTTCTTCTCGCTCATAGACTGAACCGCGGGGAAAGTGCTGTCCACATCCACATCCTGCGGGCCCATGGCGGGTGTGTCTTTCCACCTTAGGTTGGGTGAGTCCAACAACGCCATCCTGCCCTCAGCCCTCATTCTATCAGCGGTGATTCTCTCCGGGTAGTTGCGCATGAACATGTTGGTGAAATGGGTGCCATAGTGAATACCCTCAGTAGGCTCCTGGCCTGCCTCGAATCCAGGCAAAGGCTTCATGACAGCCGAGAAGTTGGGCTCGTGGAAGTAGGCGAAAGCGAAACGCTCGCGTGTGTTGAGGCCAACTTTGTGGGGAGTAGAGGGTAAGAAAGAGTTGGTGATGTACTGCATCATATCGCCCGGGAAAACAGTGAAGACATCAGGGACAGGTGGGACGTAGACCCAGCCATCGGCATCCTCGTTCTTTCCAGCGGCTGTCTCTTTCCAGTTTGCGTACGTCTCGCCTTCGATGGGAGGGCGGATGAAAAGACCGCCTACATCGTCCTGCGCGGCAATGACAAGAAGACCGTAGTCAGTGTGCGACCCGATACCACGACCTGCCTTACCCTTGCCGTTGACTTTAGTGTCCTGAGGGAAGCGCAGGACGCGCATGTGGTGCCAGCCATCTTGCGTGTACCTTGTCAAAGCATTTCCGTCCTTGAGACCAAGGCCCCAAGCGATGAGTTGCAACATCTTCTCGCCACTCTCGCCGAGGTAATCCATGTACGCTTGCATGATAGTTTTCATCTGCGTGAACGGCCAGGGGCACGGTCCATGGCATGGCCACTTCTGTTGAACCCGGGGATCAGACGGTGCGAGATCTTTTGTAACAGTGAAGATCTCACTGTAGTCAGCGATGTTGTCCGTAATCTCCTCACCAGAAGCGATATAGCCCGCGAAACTCTGATCATCGAGACAAGCAGCCTTCTTCTTGTGGTCGAGAGCAAAGAATTTCTTGCTCGTCAGGAAAGCGGCGTCGGCGAGCTTACGGTTGATGGGGTCCATGGAGATTTGCAGTATGCCGTCGCGCTTCCATGCGTCGATCATGCTCTTGCCTAACGCTTTGTCGGAGGCACTTCCGCTTAGTGATTCAGGTAGTTCGAAGGTCTGGAGGTGGCCGACTGTGGCTTTGTGACCCGGGGGCATAGTGCCAATTTTAGTGTCGGCCATTGTTGCTAGGCGGCGGAGTGCTACAGTGCGTGTGGATGCGTGGGAGAGGGTGCGGACCGTTGCTGGTCGCCGTATCATGGTGCGGGCAGACATTGTGAATATTTCGTGATGTATATTGAGAGGAGAAAAAGAGGACGATAATGGTCACTCCAGATGATTTGGAAAGATGCTCTTGTATACTCACTATCACGGATAGAAGTAGCCGGGAAGATTTCAGAGTGCGAAGAGTTTGAAAGAGATGGTTTCTTCGTGGTTGATCCATCTCAATGGCATCTGTCTGCTGGACTTATATACACATCTCTACCATCATTGCTCTGGTCTCGGATGCTGGCGGCTGCTCTGAAGCTGCATCTCTGATACGATTCGGAAGTTTGCAGTTCTGACACTGACCGGAGGTCAAGTCTTGGTCTTTCCTGTGCTACCCCGGACGGCGAATCTCTGTAGTGTTGAGTGTAGGGTCTGAGAGTCTGGACTACGCGGCAGATGACCGTCACGGGCCCTCTGAAGATGCTTGCATTATATCCGTGCTTGGGTCCATAGCGTGGATTTCTCGATCGAATACCTTCCATTCGTTGATGTCCTTGTAGAAGGTCTCTGCGTACCCTGCCTTACGTATGCGGATACGGTCTTATTCTGGGAATATAATTCCCTTTTAAGATTTGTGAGGTGAGGCTCTGTATCGCGAGTGCTAAGGCTGACGGTACTGGGATCTGGGGTTTTTAAGATTTGGCCGACGTCGAGGTTCGACCGCGTTCGGTAACACTATGTTTAGCAAGCTTTCGGCAAACGCCTCACAGGTAACGGTCGCGGATGATGTCATATTTGACCGTACGTCACTTTCAGTCTCAGGTAGGAAGACGGTAAATTTTGATGCTGTACTGTTGCAGAGATGAATCTACCACAGATCTTTTGCATCACTGCTTCCCCGGACTTGGCTGTTACCGGATCAATCGGACCTTCTTAGTCATCTAGTGCGCCGCCTCGCACGGTGCGTGTCTCATCAAGTACCCCAGCATCAACCCGGGAGATCGGTGCTTACTTCGCAGATTCTTGTGTCGAATTGTAAAACTCGATGGTTCGTTGCCAAGAGAACAACTGAGGAATACCTCGGGATAAGATGTCACCGAGATTCGTCTTCTTTCACCAAGCGATCTCGGGAGCGCCGAACATCGTTCGAGGCCTAGCAGACCGTCAGTGTCTATATCTAGACATAATCCCAGAACCAAATGCAGACCGCTCTCAAGGAATAGAGTCGGCCGCATATCAGCACGGCTAAATCCTTTACACCAATCCGATGCTTGCAGTGCGACAAGACCTTGGAAGCCTCTCAGTAGCAACTGCCGGCGCAGTCTCAACAGTCGAGGGCTGGAATCAGTAATCTTTTCTCCACCGCTCTTCCGACGGAATCAACACCTTGAAACCGCTATCTTACGAATTCTTGTCAGCCTCCTGCAGATATGCACAGTTCGGAAAAATTCTACATGGACGTCGCATTGCGCGGGTCAAAGCATTCCGCATAAGCTGGAGTCTAGGCTTTGTCTTCTATCCTTCAGCAAGATATACGGCGCGGATTCGGCCTCTCCGTATTCTGAGGTTTCATATAGGGAGGTGTAGGTCTCGGTATTGTCTTTGCGATGGGTTTAGGTACGATCGCATTCGCATTCGGACACTGTATTCGCCAAGGGTAATAAAATAGTACATCGACAGGGAATAAAGAGAATCAAGGTGACCAAGGGTTTCTAACAGGGGAAGTAAGCTTGGATAATGGTTTATGAAGGCTCTTGTCGACAGACCTTGCAGTGGAGACGAGCCCAAAAGCTCGAGTATCGATAACCATCATTTTCAGCAGCAGAGTATGAGATAAGAATTGCGAACAATGTATTGCAATAGCTAGCGAAGAAGAAAGATATCTACAAGAATTTGTAAGGTGCCAACTGGCTGACTACTCAAAGCGGAGCGTGCACATGGCGTCTGCTTAGTTCTTGCCAGTCTTGGCCTTGAGCCAAGCGACGAACTGGCTGATGGTGAACTCCTCAGGGAGCTTGGCGTCAGAGCCGGCTCCAGCAGTAGGAGTAGCGACGGGAGCGGCAGCAGAGGTCGAAGAAGCGGCGGGAGTCTCAACGGGAGCGGCGCTAGAGATAGCGGCGGCGGAAGAGGAAGCAGCCGGAGTCTCGACGGGAGCAGCAACGGAAGAAGCGGCAGCAGTGGAAGAAGCAACGGGAGTCTCGACAGCGGCAGCGCTGGAAGAGGCAGCAGGGGTCTCGACAGCGGCGGCGCTAGAAGAGACCGGAGCAACAGCAGCCTTGGAAGAAGTAGCAGCAGGGGCAGCAGAGGAAGCGACCTTGGAAGGTGCGGCGGCACTGGCAGCAGGCTTCTCCGGGGCCGCGCCGGCAGCTCCACTGCCAACCTTGGTAGTGAGCTCACCATCCTCGATGTATACACCGCTGAAGAACCAATCCTCAGCGCCGTCCTTGTCGGCGTTACCTGGAAGCCTTAGGACACCAAGATGCCAGTCAGCACCGTTGGATTGGGTGCTCGCGTCGAATGGACCAGCGGTCTGCTTCAACTCATCAGCACCGGTGGAGTGCCAGAACGAGACGGAACCAGCATCGAAGTCAATCTCGTAAGCAACGTTGTGCCACTCGTCGGCGACGAGCTCAACGTCCCACTTGGAGACGCCACCAACGTGCCATTGCAAGTTGGTGTTGGAAGATCCAGACGCACCGTACTTCAGCTCAGTGAAGTGGCTCTCAAAGAAAGCAACCTGATGCTCGTTGGTGGCAGTAGGGGCGTTCTCAGCCGTGGTCTTGACGGAGAAGTGGTAGTAGACCTTGCCCTTGTTGATGGCAGCCTTGGTCTGGGGGATGAGTTCGGTGCGCAGCATGGTCTGGCCGTTCCACTTCGCGGTCTCGTCGATGGTGATCTTTACACCTTGCTTCGACGCTGTGTCGGCGGGGTTCTTGTAGGTGGCATCGAGGTTTACGTAGTCGGTGACGGGACCGGAGCCGTGGATGTAGTATTGGTAGCTGCCGACGGGGTTGGAGAAGGACCAGTCGGAGAGCTCGGAAGAGGAGGTCATGTCGTTGAAGCGGCCATCCCAGATGATTTCTGGAGTAATGATCAGTAGCTGCTCTCGTAGGGAAGATAGAAAAAAGCTTACCAGCAGATGCAGCGCTGAGCAGCGCGCTCATGAGAGTAGTTTTGGCGAACATCTTGAAGTATGTGTTTGGAAGGTAAGGAACAGAGACCAGCTGTAAGTTGATGAAAATGAAGGAAGATACTACGAACACGAAGAATGAATGACAGTAGTGAGCGATGGAACAACACGAACTGAAAAGCACGACGAGGCCCAGCAGATAATATAAGAATTCCACTTGACTCGGCGCATGCTCCTCCAAAGCCTAGTTTGGCTTCTAGACAGCGCGAACGCATCGCATGGCTAATATCCAGGAAACGTGCGCAACTACATTGAGTATCGCGCAAGCGGCATCTGCAGGCATGAACGGTTTTGACAGGACGCCAGATGGCATGACAGCCGTTTGGTGATGGAAAGTCCGGTGTGAAACGTTCGCGACGGAGACGCTAAGCCACACCGAGCCTTAGTTAGACCCGCTTTCTGCTTGTTCAAGGCTAGTGCGGGCGGCTTGAAGATGAAGGATTTATGAAACGCTCCCTGCTCATAGAAGCTTGTTTCACCGTGATTCGCGAGACCGAAACGGAGATTAGGTGAACCAAGGCGGATATTAGTGCATTCTCTTCCTCACAGACTGAACATTGCTATTGGAATTCCATTAAGCCATCAAGGAGACCAAAAGGCTGCTGTGGCAGTAGTCGCGATATCGCGTCCAAAGCATATGAGAGACCATACCGGTCGGCTGAGGACGTAAGAGAAAGGCTCAACTGCGCTTGTGCAGTAATGACTGCGCAGCATTATCGAGCCAAAAGAAAAGAACTCATCATGTAATCTTTGTTGCCGTGTTCCGGTTTCCTGGAAGTGGATAAAGCCAAAAAGATCTGCTCCAGGTCTGCTTCTGTCGCGTATTGTATACAGTTATACCCTGCCGTCATCGTTTCCTGCAATCTTGGCACCTTCAACCGCAGGCTCGTGTGCTTCCAGTTCAGCCGGTGGTCCAGGGACAACATGCACCGCCTTCGAGTCAAGTTCGTTCTGAGTCGCTTGAGTATCAATCTCACTCCTCCATCGCCCGCCAAAGTACCACTTGCGCTCGGTATGGGTGTGGTCTTGATCTTCCATCTCTGGTATCACGACATCCGGCTCCTCGGTCGTACTAGCTTTTCGACGACGTCTCAGACACCAGAAGATCAACAGGCCTCCAGCAAGAGCAGCAGCAAGTGCTACCCCTACCCCAATCCCTACTTGTGTGCCAGTGCTAAGACCATCGGATGCGGGTGCGGCCGTTGGCTCTAGAGCGTTGTTTGTTGGTGTAGACGTACTGGCTGGAGCAGGTATGCTATACCTCGCAACTAACGACTTGACGTATTCACTCGGGAAGGTTTCGATGTCGTCAATCTGCCAGGCGACTACGACAGGATCAGCAACCGCTAGGCCTGTTGCAATCGTTGTGATACTGGAGATCACAGTTGTCCCGTCAGAACCGTAGTTAGATGTATATTCCCAGACCGGAGTGATATCCTGGCCTTCAAAGGCGGGTTCCGTTATGATCGCAGCGTAAGCACTGACGGGGGTCGAAAAGCGGCTTAGGCAAAGATCTGGGTACTCCGGGCCAAAGGTCATATCGCTATTCGTCCCATGTCAGCTAAACAGATATTGACAGACAGAGAGCAATAGTGTCAAACCTTTTGCAACAGCTCGCTTGCCAGAATAGTTTGGTTCCATTCAATGCACTACTTGCGTACGCGGTTACTTCTGCAATTGTTTGGCCGCTAGGACATATCCCAGGACTATAAGTAGCCGTTCCGTAGAGCTGGCAGTTGCTGTACTCGACATCGGAGACGATCGATCGCGTAGGATTCACGGACCAGACGGTATCAAGGCCAATGGCCGTGTGATCTATACCGCAAGACGGCGTGGGCGCTAACAACCATCTGTCAACACATGATGGGCTTGGGGTAAATACAGATGTAAGGTCTGCTACCCTCCCTGATCCTATAGCAAGTGAAGTCCCGTAGGGTGTGACAAAGACCTCGCTGTGAGACCATTGTAAGGCGCGTTTGACGGGCGTCCCGTTCGCTGTAGGATGTTGTACAGTTACAGTCGCCGATGCCGCACATGTCGGCAAGTAGGTCGACGTACCGATGGCGGTTACGTTTGTAGGGCCTATTATAGGCATCTCGTGTTCTGACTATCGCCACGAGAGGCTATGATCCGTGGAGTATAGAAGCACGCAAGGCTGGGGTATTCGAGTAGGGACGCTCCGTCTCTTAAGGAAACAGCCAGTCCACAAGGCTGAGTTGCGGTAGAAACGCAACGGCAGAACCGATAAGCGTCCTGTCCGATTTGATTTACCGACAGACATCACATGGCACGTAGTGGGTGCGCCTCCTAAATCATGGTTGGTTGCGGCATCAATGCAAAGCCTTATGCAGGATTGACCATCGGTGAGAGGCCTGGTGTATCAATTTGAATGCGCGATCTTCAGAAATGGAGATGCATGAAGTCTGTTAAAGGTGCGATTGTTACAGAGAAGCTCATAGCCCACATTGAAAATAAGTCCGTCATGGTGATATTGCGATATAAAAAGCGCTCATGTCAGATCTTAAAATTCACCTCGAGGTGATCTGCAATCTGCGAAGGCGTGGCATGGTGCTGGAGCGGGGCTGTCTGGCGGAGGAAGGGCGTCATTGGATGATATTTTACGCGAGCGGTGAACTGTCATCCATGGCCTACTGGCTTATTCGCATTTTGCCTGTGGGAGAAGTCGCGAGTGGTAAGAAATGATTTGGCAGTTGTAAGTGATGGAGATGTATCATTGTTTCAAAAGATGGACGCGTCCTCAAGCTATCACGAGGGATCGGCGCTAAATCCGGCTAGCGGCATGCGGCTGATCCACGTAGCCGGCCTAGGCTTCTAGATCCATTCCACTTTTCCAAGCCCACCTAGAATACATGACAGCGCTTCCACATGGCTGCGACGAGAGCAACATTTAGCACAGCATCATCATCTATAGTGACTGCGCAAGAGGAGGGCAGACGGCCATATGCAGCGCTAGGATCAGCGCAATCATGACAGCATTGCCTTCACTCGACAAGCGACCCCTCGAACCATCGTCTCAGAATGGCACGTCACCCCTGCATCGTGTCGGCATGCTGGACTTGCTGCATCGAGACCCACGACCAACCTTCATTATCGACACTTCACCAGATAGCTTAGCCACGGAGAATGGATGTCTTCTGGAATACTGGAATTCGGCCATGGCTGCAATCGACCCTGGAGGCCTGTTGCAACAATTAACCCGCGATGGCGGCGCGTCTGGTGCTAGCCAAAAGGGCTATGCTCCTTTCATCGCGTTTCGAAGCTGGTCTCTGGAACAGGACACGACGAGTAAACCTTTTCTCTACCACGGATTCAATTGGACGAGGGTTCACGTGGCTGACCGGTGGAACGTCATTAGCGGTATCTCCGCTGCTACATGCGCAGAAGGGGAAGGCTCCGAAATGATGCCTTTGAGTCGGAAGACGTCCAAACCAAAAGCACCAAACTTCGATTGGACGGATGAGCTTCCTCCTCTGCGGTTGACACCACATGCGGCGTGGGCTCGCAGCATCGATTGGGCTTCTACGCCTCTTGGGCCGATGTCGTCCTGGTCATCTCAACTACGGAGCATTGCCAACCTTGTTATGCAGGATCCAAGGCCAGCGGTAGTCTTTTACGGACCGGATCTGATTATGATCTATAACGAAGCAGAGATAGAGCTCTTGGGTGGCTTTCATCCTTGCATGGGAATGAGTGCTCGTGTCGCTCTTGCCTCCGTCTGGGCCGAATATTTTGAGCCCATCATAGACGCGAATCTGGCGGGGGAGACGGTGGAGAAGACTAACACGGTCATACATATGGTGCGCAACGGCTTCATGGAAGAAACATACTTTTCGCTAAAGTTCATACCTATATTCGATTCCGAGGGTGTCACAGTTGGACATTATGAGCCTTTGGTAGAGACGGTAAGTGTTGCTCTTCGTATCCTCAATCTTTTCCTTTGCTGCCTCGTCTTCTCCAGTCAGATTTGGTCCTACTCGGCAACGAAAAGCTCACGAGACTTGAGAGACTACGGAAACGCAGGCTTTTGACTTTTGGAAATAATTTGCCCATACTGTAGAGCTGCCGTGAAAGCTACTGACAAGCGCATAGACCAAACAAGTCATCACGCAAAGACGTTCACGCACACTATTGGAGCTAAGCGAGGAGATACCAAGAGCACGCAACACAGACACTTACTGGGTCCTTGCGACCGAAGTCCTATCTCGCAACGACAAAGACGTTCCTTTTGCTTTGCTATACTCAGCCGAAGCCGACGGGCACGGGTCAGAATCAAGCAGGACGCGGTTTTCTGATACCAACCAGCAACACTGCAAGCTGCGCGGCTCTTTCGGTCTGCCGAAAGGTTCACCAGCGGGTCCCGATAACCTCGACTTTCAACAAGACCATGGCTTTACGCCGTACTTTCGCCAGGCACTCACAGCCCGAAAGCCGATCATAATTCGGTTCGATCAGGATCCCGTGGCTGCAGATTTGGTGAAGGATGTCGACTGGCAGGGTTTCGGTGATCCCTGTCGAGCGGCGGCCATCTGCCCCTTGAATCCGACCTCTTCCAAAGACAACATCCTTGGCTTTATGGTCATTGGGATCAACCCTCGTCGTCCGTTTGACGAAGACTATCTTCAGTTCATTCTAGTCGCAAGTCGACTTTTATCTACATGTTTAACGTCCATTCTACTTCATGAAGAGGACATTGGGCGCCGAGAGCGGACTATTGCTAATGCTGAAGCGATGAAGTTCCAACTCAAACACCAACTGACGCTGTCTCAGCAAGAGTCTGAGCGAAATTTGTCCAAGTTCAGACGCTTTGCGGAACGCGCCGACATTGGTATCTTCTTAATAGGCATGGATGGTGTTTACTCGTACAGGAACGAAGCTTGGTTCGAGATGCTGGGCCCGGTAGACCCCTCGATTGATCTTGCCGATGCATGGGGAAAGATCATTGATGACGAATTCATTGAAATGGGTAAATCGAAGTTTGAGGAATTGATAAAGACCAAGCAGCATCAGTCAGTCATATCCATCTCGCTGTATATAATTAAACTTACATCCAATAGGTCATTTGAGTTGCGTCTCAAGAAGAGATGGAACGCACCTAATCAGAATTTCGATGACACGTACCCCGAGAAAGAGCCAATGTGGGTCATCACATCGATATTTCCCGAGCTCAACGACGAAGGAGAAGTGATTGAGATTATCGGCTGCTGTACCGACATCAGTCAGCAAAAATGGGGCGAGAAGCTGCAAGCTACGCAGGCAACAAGAGCTCGAGAGTCCAAGCGCAGCCTGGAGAACTTCATCGATACAACGTCCCACGAGATGCGGAACCCGCTTTCTGCAATCGTTCAATGCGCGGATAGCATCATCGCAGCGCACAAGAGCTTCGGCAAGTCGACAGATTACCAGAAGGTGTACCAAAGCATACTGGAGACTACCGTCGACGCTGCCGAGACTATTGTTCAATGCTCGAAGCACATGAAGACCATTGTGGACGATGTGCTTACGATGTCTAAACTAGACTCTGGATTATTCGTCATGACCCCCGTCGACGTCAAGTTCGATTCCATCGCAAGAGATGCAGTCAAGATGTTTGAAGGCGAGGCCAAGTCCGCAGGCGTAGACCTGCGATTCCAGCTTGAAGAATCGTGCAAGAAGATCCAGATCGACCATGTATCGCTTGACCCAACGAGGGTATTGCAAATACTCATTGTAAGTGGGGCGCGAGATCTAAGAAAGTTGCAATGGGCTAACAGCAAAACAGAACCTCATCACGAATGCTATCAAGTTCACGCGGCTGGAGGAAATACGTGAAATCTCCGTGAGCCTGGGCATCTCTCTTGAGCAGCCCACTCACAGCTTCAGTGTGCCATTCTCGCGCACCTCGGACGCTTCCGAGGCAGCGACATTACAGGCGGATTGGGAAAAGGGCGAAATCGTGAGTCATTCATTGAGCAAACATGTTGCTAGGGCTAACTGCTAACATGAAAAAAGGTCTATGTCATCTTCTCCGTGCAGGACACGGGTCGTGGCTTGAGCGACGAAGAACACGAGCTTCTCTTCGCTCGCTTTTCCCAAACCTCTCCACGAACACACATCGACTATGGTAACCTCTAACCGTGAGATGAGAAACTGTTGATTTTCGCTAACAAAGCACACCAGGTGGTTCCGGCCTCGGCCTCTTCATCTCACGACGCCTCACCGAGATGCACGGCGGCGCCATCGGCTTCGCATCCAAAGCGGGCGTCGGCAGCACCTTTTCCTTTTACGTCAAGAGCCGCAGGAGTGCCTTGCGTCCCGACTTCAACCGCACGCAGAGCGATGCCGCCGTCAGCTTGAGCATACGCGCCCAAGAAACGCTGCTTTCAAGTCGAGCTCGCAACGAGACGGACGAACCGCTTGAACCGGCCACTCTTGCAAACGACATACCGCACAAGGACCTCTACGTCCTCATCGTCGAAGACAACCTCGTGAACCAGCGCGTCCTCGCCAAGCAGCTGCGAAACACGGGAATGCAAGTCGCCGTGGCAAACCACGGAGGCGAAGCGCTGGACTATTTGCGTACGACAAAGTACTGTATATCGGATGGCTCTGGGAAGGCTCTCGCGCTCATTCTAATGGACTGGGAGATGCCTGTCATGGATGGTTTGACGTGTGTTAGGAATATCAGGGAGTTGCAGAAGGAAGGGGTCGTAAGAGCACACGTACCCGTCATAGCAGTGACGGCTAATGTGCGGAGTGAGCAGGTGGAGGTGGCACTCAAAGCAGGAATGGACGATGTGATTAGTAAGCCATTCAGGATACCAGAACTCTGTGCTTGCATACAGAAGACGTTGAGGAACACGGCTAGGGCGTAGTGGTTTGGAATGCATTTTATCAGGTTAGGTAGTGCCTTCACTCAGTAGACTTATTAGATCGAAGTAGCAGCGTCTAGACTCGAAGAATTGTAGTGGATTCACTCGTCGGATTGAATCAAGAGCGCGTGGGAAGTGTCGCTCTTAATTCTGAAAAAGACTGGGCGAGGGGACAGCTGAGGCAATACCCATGTACTTAATACATCAGATTGGCGCTCCGACGGCAACATCAGATATCACGCTTCGGTACCGCATCAGCCGTCTATTACTGGGCCCAAATTAAACAGTAGTCTGATGCGCGGACTGTGCCTAGTAATGTCGCGAATGCTCTCTATCGCTCGTGCGTGCTAGCGTATTACCCACACGGCGACTCCAGGTCTCGGTGCTTTTCTTCGCTATACGTAGCTTGCACCTGTATGTACTCTCGGAGAGTTAGTAGTCTGTACAGGTCTTGTAGTCCATTGTGTAAGAAGTCGCCAGCATATTGCGAGCCATCCCCGAACCTATCGGAATGAGCTAGCTGCAGGATGGAGAAGCTAGACGGTCGACATGCCCATGCACTCGTTACCTCCAGAAGTATCTCGTAGGTTTTACGGAGATTGTTCTGCTGTAGAGGGGTATCTTGGGTCTAGATTCGCTGGAATCTCGGGTTAGGATTGGGTATTGGTAGATTAGGAAAGGCCTATGGAGGTGGAATACTGGTTGCTCCTTCTTGTCGACGGGGATGCGCGTCTCATTGATGGGGTTCCGCGTGTGGGTGGTGAGGTTCCGCATCATGTCGTAGATGGTGTTCCGCGTGTGGTTCCGTGTCTTTCTCGTGGGTTCGTGAGGGTCCGCATCTCGTTGTTGAGGATCCGCGTGTCCAACATGTGCTCGCGAAACGTGAGTATAGTCACTGTCAGGTCATGTGCTGTGGGCTAGAGACAACTAGAGACTGCTGTGGTTGCAGTGGTGTTGCACGGCGGATGCACGAGATAGGGAAGCCAGGCAGCGAACCAACTGCCGATGGCCCGGACTCGCGACTACCGGGCGCGGACAAGGGCAATTTATCAAGGCGCCGAGATGCGATGACAGCTGTCAAGTGTCACAGAGGGCCAGCAGACGTCGTGTTCATGGGCGGATGGCGAAGAGTGCGGTGCAGGGCGGAGTAATCTGGGTGCAGAAGCATCATTGGTTACCGAGACGAAGAATGCATGCGCCGACCCGTGCCGTAGAGTTTTGTTTCTGCCGGTTCAAGGTTTGTGTTGTCGTGGTTCGCGGGCGTGCGGTGCAGCCGATTGCGGCGGGAACATCAACTTTCTGACTCAGGCCCCACTAAAAGACATTGAGAATTCCCTCACTTGCTCTCCACTACTCCATACTTTGCTCTACACACGTCATTGCATATAGATACCACGTCTTGCACCCCTTCCCACCCTACACCAACCAGCAGAAAACCACACATTTCCAATTGCATCGCCACAAGCACAAGCACCCTCGCCCAACATGTCTGCATACACAAACGGAACCACACACGAGTCGGAGCGGATAGCGCACACGGAAGAGAAGCACCTGCCGGGCGGCTGGGTGGTGCTCAAGTTCGGGGGTACGAGTGTGGGCAAGTTCGCGGAGAACATAGCGGGCATCGTCGAGTATGTCTTCCTATTTACCTGGAGAAATATCTCCTACTCGACAGACACTGACAGGACAACAGAGCTGGCCTTGAGACGAATCGCGCGGCTATAGTCTGCTCCGCACGCAGCTCCAACACGAAGCTCGAAGGAACCACCAACCGCCTCCTCCGCGCCGCTCGCGCTGCCGAACAACCCAACCACCGCGGTTACGACGACATTGTCGAGGCCATCCGCACCGACCACATCCAGGCCGGCAGGGACATTCTGAAGAACCCCGAGATCCTGGCTGCTTACATCGACGACGTGAATGCCGAGTGCGAGAGTCTGGTCAAGATCCTCGAGTCGGCCCAGCACCTGGAGGAGGTGACGAACCGCGCCGAGGACAAGATCATCAGCAAAGGCGAGAAGCTGAGCTGTCGGTACATGACTGCTATCCTGAACGATCGCGGCACGCCGGCGCAGTTCGTCGACCTGAGCGATGTGGTCAAGTTCAATGCGCCTGTCAAGGGCGGTCTGTACGACATGTTCTACAAGGACCTGGCCGAGGATCTGGGCAAGGAAGTAGCAGCATGCGGCGACAAAGTCCCCGTCATCACCGGCTACTTTGGCAACGTGCCCGGCGGACTGCTCAACTCCATTGGCCGTGGTTACACCGATCTCTGTGCTGCTCTGGTCGCTGTTGGTACCCGGGCCAAGGAGCTCCAGGTCTGGAAGGAGGTCGATGGCATCTTTACTGCGGACCCACGCAAGGTCCCTACTGCCGCTCTGCTTCCCACCGTCACGCCCTCCGAGGCTGCTGAGCTGACCTTCTACGGCTCCGAGGTTATCCATCCCTTCACCATGGAGCAGGTAATCCGCGCCCGCATCCCCATCCGCATCAAAAATGTTATGAACCCTCGCAATGCCGGCACTGTCATCTTCCCCGACAACCCCGGTTCCATTGACGACCGCGCGCCTCTCCGCGACGGAAAGCTCTTCCGTACAAGGTCTGCCAGCCTGCTTACGCAGCTCGAGGGCCCAAAGAGGCCTACGGCTGTTACTATCAAGCATAATATCGTCGTCTTGAACGTCCACAGTAACAAGCGTACGCGCGCTCATGGATTCCTGATGAACATCTTCAGTATTCTTGACCGCTGGCATTTGTCAGTCGACCTCATCTCTTCCTCTGAGGTTCATGTATCCATGGCGCTGCACTCTGAATCTGCGCTGTTGAGTGGTGGCGGTGAGGACGAGTACAAGATCCAGAGCAAGGATCTTCAGGGCGCTGTCAACGACCTTGGACAGCTCGGTACGATTGACATCGTGCCTGATATGGTAAGTTGTGGTTGCATGAAATGCTTGTGAAATGTATACTGACTATATGTCTTCAGGCTATCGTGAGCTTGGTGGGTAAACAGCTCAAGAACATGATTGGTATCTCTGGCAGATTCTTCAGCGTGTTGGGCCAAAACAATATCAACATCGAGATGATTTCGCAGGGTATGTCGCGCTATCAACAACTATACTTGTGCGACTGCTAACTTTGCCCAGGTGCTAGCGAGATCAACATCTCCTGTGTCATTGAAGAGCGCGAAGCCGACCGTGCTCTCAATGTTGTACATACAAATCTTTTTACCTTCTTAGACTAGATGTCGCATCCGCATGAGCGGAGTTTAAAAGGTTGATACCACCTAGATAACCTTTCTGGGTCAATTATATATTTTCATGTCCGTCTTGCTTTCAATGCTGTACTCGTGTGGACGTTTGAACCAAGGAGCTGGAGACTTGAATTCTGTGGCATGATATGCGGGCTGTTGCGATGTCACAGTGACAATCTGTTCACGACTTCATCTAGTCTAGGGGACCTGGACGGAACGATGCTTTCAACCGAGTGAAATCACCAGTATCTCACATTATGTCTCACTTTCACATCGTCATACTCGAAGTACGTTTCTCTTATCGCGGGTGCTCTCTGCGTCATGTCCACGATTGTTTCTCTTCACCGAGTATGTTTTACCTCGAGTCGGGCCTCCGAGCGTTTGCTTTCCAGTTCCCGCGAGTGACTGTTGCGCCACGCAACAAACGCCGGCCGTGATATCTTATTTCGCCATCACATTCTCTCCAAGACACTGGTCTGCCCTTATACCACGCGCATGACTCTCAATCTTCTCGCTCAGCCTCCACCAGTCTCGCCTCGACTGCGCCCACCACAACCACACCCGCCATGCGGTAACTTCATCATGCCAGGCGTCACAACTACCACTTCGAACAGCGTGATATCGCCTATCACCGGCAAACCCATAGCACGACACGAAGCCGCTGGCCTAAAAGGCCTAATTAGAGAGCAATACCCCAAGTTCTGGGAAGAAGTCAGCAACTGGACCACCGACCACTTCTCCTCAGCCAAATGGCATCAAGTTGTGAAATGCATATGGCGTAGGAACCAAGAAGACTACATGATGGTCATAGGTTGGCGTCCGCCACCCAGACCAATCCACTCCATCGCCGCTCCCAGAGGACGCCATGTACTACTTTACAGCTCATCTTCCTTCACCGCACCGACTGGCGCACATCCGCTCCGCCCAGCAAATCTCCCACGCATCGAGACTGGGTCCCCGACTACACCGCGGCCACGCTGGGACGTCGTATCTGCAGGCCCCGCAACCCCTCTTTCTGCCACAGCAGCTGGCCCCGTCAAGAACGCTTTCGCTGAAGGAGGGCACTGGGCTTCGCTCACGCCCAAGACGTCAGCGGCTGGGACGCCGACTGCGACGACACCTGTCACGGCTGTACCGGTTGAGATGTGGGAACCAGGCATACCGACTGACCCTGCTAGTAAAGCCGTATACGAAGACGCCAAGAGCGATGTGAATAAGATGGCTCTTCAGCTGTGTGCCAGCAGACATGCGCTACGTCGCTCTTTCAGCGCGGAAAACGACGTCATCCACCCGTCCATGGTGAGACCGAGGGATACGTTGCTAGCTGTTGAACTCACATTGGAGAGTTACCAGATGCCTGGTTCGTTGGCGGATTACATCGATGCAGTGTTGCCGAGTAAGCTTGAGGCGTATGCGGATGAAGAGGCGGCGGGTGCGCGACAGTACAATATCACGAGTGGGGAGATGCTGGAAGATAAAGATGCTTGGTTGGGGTATGATGAGCAGACTGGACAGTTCACTACTATCCTGGAAGCGAGACGCGATTTGCTCAGGATGAATCGGGAGAGGAGGAAGGGGAGGGACGTTGCAGTCGGAGAGGGCGGTGTCAGACTGGCGTGGGTGACAAAGGTTGTCTGCGATGTTGAAGGAGAAATGGAGAGACGGAAGGAGCTAGATGGTGAAGATAGCGACGACGAAGGCTATGATTATAGCAACTTTGTTAGGAGTCTGAGTGCTAGGGATAGCGCGGAGACTGTCGATGAGCGATGGAGTGGGTCGACGTTGGATTTGACACTGACAAACAGCTCGACAGCATACAGCAGTAGCAGGGAATCGGAACTGGATATTTCGCTCGCTCAGCGGTCATCTAGCAGTCCCATTAAACCCACATACAGCCACGATACGCTACCGCTTCGCAACAGGACTTTTACGCTTTCTAACCTCCTCGCCGGCGCAGCTTCTTCTGACCCGCATACCCACAGCCATGCGGACTCGTATCCCGCCGAGAAGACTTGCAAATCCAGATTCTCACCCAACTACGCACATAGTGTTCACAGCCTCCGTCGCAGCAACACGACGAATAGATCTCGCCACAGCCTCAGGATCGACACTTCTGACCAGTATACTCCCTATTCCTACAACCGGCAAAGTCCCCTGATCAGCCCGCAGGAACGTGGCACCCGTCGCCGAGGTCCCAGTATGCAGGCTCTAAATAGCTGGGCTGATGAATTGAAGAAGATGGAGAGGAAGAGGGCGGAGATGCGACTTGGTGTTGGTGAGAGTAACACGGCATTGACGGATCGTAGGGAGATTCTTGAAGAAGAAACTGTACACGAAGAAGAAGATGGTGGTCTGGTGGTTGGTATCAAGGATGATGTGTCGGTGGTCGATGCAAAAGATAATGGGTTCGTGATTAATGGATGTATGCATCCTGCTTTACGGGGAGGCGGGGAGGGTGAAAGAGAACAAGAGGAAGGGGGGCAGGGCAGAAGGAGTAGAGGGGCTACGGGGAGTAGTACAAAGAGCTGGCGTTGCAATACTGCCGTGGAGATCGAACGGAATAGCCACAAGGAGTACAACAACTCCATCTACAACTCCAGTTCCAACGACGACGAGGTCCAGGTCCACGACTTCCAGTACGAAGACCACGTTTACGACAATGACTACCACGGAGAAGATTACGATGACGACGACGACGACGACGACGATGAACACACAACAACACCAACACCCAAGCATACAGACCAGTCATCCCACCCCCTCCGCTCCTCATCTTCACCCACTCACCCACCCATCAAACGATCCTCTCTCCAAAATGCCTTGGCCAAACAACGTCTCTCGCCGCCCCGTCGCCCGCCCCGACCCTCTCCTCTACTCATCCCACCACCCAAGCCAATTCCACACCTACCAGTGAGATACAACAGACACGCCGCAACATCGTACGAACGACAGGCTTCAAAAACGCGTCGAGAGCCGTGGTTCTTAGAACCGTGGCAGAGTGACGTGGAAGAGGAGAGTGAGATGGGCGGTGGTGGTGGTCATGCACAGGTGGTGATTAGTAAAGCGATGTTGTTGGAGGAGAGTGCTATGAGGGCGAGGAGACATGAACAAATGTGCACACAGCGATCGACGAGTAGAGTAGGTCAGAGGAGTAAGAGAGAGGAAGAGGAAAATGAGTGGGATGCGGAACTGAGAGCTATGGAGGGGAGGGGGAAGAAGAGGCAGTTGGAATTACTCCATGTGCATAGGGGAGAAAGAGGATGATCTGTTTCTTTGGGGAAAGAGGTGCGAGAAGAAGGTCTGGGAGTTGGTGTTCGGGTAGTAGGTTGGATCGAGGTTGAGAGGATTAATTGGACTGCGTTCTTGGATATGCATGTTCTGAGTGCTAAAGATTGTAGTGCAGCTATAAGAGTTTGTTTGGTCGCTATATCTTCCGCGCGAGGCTGAGAGCTTCTCTTCTGCCCTAAAGATTGCAGTGCAATCATGTACGGGACCCCCCGATCCGGTAAGCATGCTGACAGCAAGGCTGAGATCTTCTCTTCTACGCTAAAGATTGCAGTGCACACCACACAGCGGTCGACTTTCTGCCGCCAGGACTTGATTTCTATTGGCGGCCCGCCCTGCGAGGTGCATGCTGACAGCAAGGATGAGATTGTGTCTTCTACGCTAAAGAATGCAGTGCAAAAATTGTCCTCCGGTCTCATATTGGCGGCCCACCCTGCGAGGTGTTTGCTGACAGCAAGGCTGAGGTCTTCTCTTCCACGCTAAAGATTGCAGTGCAGTAAGAGCGCGTGTATTTGACGCAGAGCCGCAAGGGTGCATGCTGACAGCAAAGCTGAGATCTTCCCTCTTACGCTAAAGATTGCAGTGCAAAAATGCAGGCAGAAATCTTGACCCACAAACCACACTCAGGCAGAAACCCGGCTCCAGACTGCGTCATTTGTCGAGACGTCGAATGTTGGAAGATGGGCTCGGCTGAATACGTCTGCGAACATCAGTATCATGCATCACCAGCAGCCTGCCTCTATGCCCACCCAAATCAAGTTTCAATATTACACGCCCCCAAAATCGACCTGCTATCCCTCCGATATTTTTTTAAAAAAAAAAATTAGTAAACCATTCCTGTCAACACCCAAGACCTAGTGAGGTACGCATGTAGAAGAGATTGCAAAAAGTCATAGCATCCGGATCATCAATATTCCCAACTCAATTCTAGCAATACGACAACAGCACCATCAGCACCAACCATCCAGCATCAAAAAGGAAAAGAAAACGGGTATATCCGTACTCCGCCCAAACGCCGATCCTTCATCCTCATCCGCACACTCATCCGCACACTCATCCGCATCCCTATCACCCGCTAACTAACGGTACACCACCCAAAAATCGAATCATCTCCATCCCTGACAAGAGAAAAAAAAGTCAGCAAATCATCGCCACAAAGACCGTTCTAACCTTGCTTCTCCCCTTCCTCCTCCTCTTCCTGCTCCGCCTGCTCCTCCCCATCGTCTCCCACCTGCTCCTCCTCAACCCTCCCCTCCCCCTCTTCCTCATCCCTCCCATCCTCCCACCCCCCACACTTCCCAATCGCCCACCACAACTCGAGTGAAAGCGCCGTCGAATTCTACATAACAACGCACTTATCCCTATCCTCACCCTGTGGTTGCCCCTGACCCTGCTGTCCCTGCGAGTGTCTCCTACCACCACCACCTCCTCTCCCACCCATGCGTCCTCCAGCAGCAGGAGGCATGTAACCAGAATGATGACGTCCACCACCACCAGTAGTCGACTGGTACGCACTACCCCCTTGTCCCGGTACCGGTGCAGCAGGATTGGCCGGATGTCCCGCTGGCGGATTGTACTGGGGAGTTTGAACAGCTTCTTCGTACAAAGGCGGAGGAGCAGGTTCGCCTGCAGGTCTGTGTCCTGTAATGTTGTTGTTTCGGCGAGGAGGTATGACTGGATTTCCTTGATTACGAGGTGGCTGTGGAGGTGCTGCGTTGTCGCGGTTCCTCTGTTCCGTTTCGCGTCGTTGGCGATCTTCTTCTTCTTCTTGCAGTTGGAGTGCGAGGGCGAGATCATGATCTTCTTGCTCTGCTCTGCTGAGAGCTTCCGGAGATGTGGCATCGGGGTCCTGTGGGACGCCGGATTGTTGGTTGTTGCCGCGACGTCCTTGTACGGTAGTCCAGCCTTGTCCATTGTCGTAGTCGTGCGGCTGCTGTTCCTGAGCTACTGCTCCGGTGTTGCCCGTACTGTTATCCACGCTTCGGAAGTCTCCAGAGAAGAGCTGACTACCCTGACCGTTCACATCCGTCAGACTCTCCCACACAATCTCATCGTGTGTCGAGTACCCCTGATCCGTAACCAGGGTAACCAGCTCGCCGTTTCGCGGATTCTTACACAGTGTGGAGAAATGGTCATTTCGGAACAAAATAGCGACTTGGCCTGGCTGAAGATTGTCATGGATGACTCTTAAACCATGGTCCGTTAGCTGCGTTGGCCACCTCATCAAAAACTCCTTAATAGCATGGATATCCGTGAACATCTGCTGCTCATCCTCATTCAGACTCTCACCAGCACCCAACTTCGCATTCAACTCCTCCTCCTGGAACTGCACAAACTGGCTAGTCTCATAACTGGGTGCAACGCGGTTGAATGCAGCGTAAGCGTCACTTCCAGCTTCTGGTAGCCATCCATGCATCAAAGGTATGTTGAAGGTGCGGTATAGTTTCATGTCCTGTGTGTTTTCGAATGCGCCAGCTCGATTCGTGAGCGTAGCGTGGTTGTCACTCGGGATGTTCGAGTCCGGGACGAACATGGGGTTGACGTTGAGACCGGTGTGGAGAGCGAGGAGGAACTTGTATAGCTCGCTCACGTCAGGCAAGGCTTGCGCAGCGTCACCTCGTCGGCCAGACATGAGCTCGTCAAAGACGGCATCGAGAAGTAATCCTAGGCTGACCGTCTCGCGTGTGCGGAGTGTTTCGACGAGAGCGGTGTCGAGTCTGGCGGGGGTAGAGAGGACCAGTGCATTGACGAGAGCAAGCAAAGGACATGGACCGTTGAGGTTCTGCGTCAGAATGGGCGAAACACGCATGTCCTCGGTATTGTTGTCGAGCCAACGGATGTGCTTGATTTGGTAGTGTTCTTTCCGCTGCCTCTCCATCCGAGTGTTCGGCGACTCTGGACCTGGCGCAGCTGTAGAGCTCGCACCTGTATCAATGGGCCTGGGTGGCATGGCAGGCATCATATCTTCATGTGATCTACGTGGTGGCAGAGCTGGCGGAGGTTCTTCCAGGGTGGTTCGCGTCTCGTCCGGCGTGTAGTGTGGTGGAGGAGGTGTGGTATCTATGACATGCGTATTCTCAGGGACAATGGGTGCTGGCGCAGTGTACGAGCTTGTAGCATGAGCGGCTGCATCACCTGCTGGTACTGGCGCAGTATGCGAGCTTGTATCCGAGAAACCTGCTGGCGGTGGCGGTGCCGTCCATGCTACATTCTCAGCACGACCATCGTGCGAGACGGGCTCCCATGGATTTGTATCGAAAGACGCCTCTGGATGTTCCGAGCGAGGCGTGGGCGAGTTCACCGCAATCACGGGCGGCTCTTCTACAGGCTTCGACTGAGCAGGCGGAGGATGATCATCTAGTCCTAGGTTCTTCATTTCATGGGAAGGTGTACTTGGCGTTTGGAACGCCGGCAGCTCTACAGGTGCCTCGTACTTGTGTGCCTGGCTCGGCGCATCACCCCAGATGGCGTCGCTGCTCTCATCGCCCCACCCGCTTTGCCCAGTTGTCTGCATCTTCAGATATGGGTTGTTAGTCTTCAGCGGGATGGATCCGTTTGATTGCTCGGACACAGTGCTACCGTTGTATGAGGCCGCACTGGCACCGGTGGGCATGGGTGAAATGTTCTCCTGCGAGCGCTTGATGGGTATTCCGACTGGTGGCCCTGGCTTCAAGGCATCTGGAAGGTCACCGCTGATGTGTGCGGTCGAGGGCACAGGAGGCCTCTTGCCTGCAGCCGGCTTCAACGCGGCAGGCACGTCGTTGTGGTTGACATCTTCAAAGTCGTCGTCGTCGGACTGGTTCCACTCGTCTTCGCTAAAGTCGGAGTCGCTGTTGTGTTTGTCGTCAGGCAGACGGGTCTCTTCTGGCGTCTTGATGTTGAAGGCTGGCGACTTGCTCGTACCGGGTGGGTCGGCGGCATGGTCTGGGGATACGGGAAAGGCAGGCGGATGCTCGTCGGAAGGTGTTGTGGGGTACGGAGGTATCGCTTTGGAGAGCGGCGCTGGCACGACGTCGTCGGGGTCGTTGGACTTTCGAAGCACCATGTTTGGCGGTGCTGGCGCAGGCTCGATGCAGTCTATGTGGTGAAGCTTACACGGTAGTTGGCGCAGCGCGGGCTGCGGGAGTTGTGGAAGACGCGGTTGAAGGGGAATTGATAGCAAAGTAGGACTTCTGGGGAAGAAGCAATGCAGGCGACGTAGTAGACCCGAGTAGCATACGCGGCCAGGGTATTGGATATGCGGAAGTCGCGTACAAGCGGAAGAAGATGACGTACGATGTGGCTGGGGCCTGTGGCTGTGCTTGAAGCGTGGCGTTGCGGCTCGGAATTATTACTTGCAACAAATTCACTAGCTCAACTCACCTCGCGATTTGCGCCAACCGAGCAACCTTGGGACTCTAGTGTCAAGAGATTCATAACGACACACACAGTCGTTGTCGCACATGGTATAGTGAAACTTGACAGCCGCGACCAAGTTCGCCATGCATTCCTGCGTCCGCCCTAACACGCACGTCGCCTTGCGACTGCCCTCCGGCCTTTTCAAGATAGTCGAGATCACACCGCATACGTACGTCGCATAGCTGGCGTGAGCCCCCTACATACTCCTTCGTATGCCCACCTTGCAGCTCCTTCTGACCGCCTCCCAGTAACATCAATCTTGGGAAATTCGGCACCTTCAACTCGAACCTGCTCCTCGGCCGGCCATACTACCTCACCTACGAACTCCTCGACAAGGACGATGGCAAGTCCAAGACGGAGCTGCGCGTCGTACCCGCCTCCGAACTCCATGCTGAAGCTCTAGGCGAAGACCATGCGCCAGCTGCCGAGACTGGCGATGAGAATGCCGAGGGCGCTGCCGGTTTCGACATTGTCGGGGAAGATGGGCAGGTCATAATGCGGAACAACCGCCTGACTGTCGATGATGCGTCGCGTCAGGCGCTGTCCATGGCCGAGATTGAGGAGCTGAAGAAAGCGGGGACAGGTTCCGGCAAGGACATCATCGCCAAGATCATGGCCTCCCACAATGCGATTGACGAGAAGACAAGCTTCTCGCTCGCCAAGTACACGCTAAGGAAGTCGAAGAAGTACATGAAGCGCTTCACGGCGCTGCCCATGGATATCGGGCTGCTTACAGAATATGTGCTGGAGAAGGAGGCATACAAGATTATGGAGCTGAGGGAAGATCTACTGGGCTTGATCAACAGCTGGGCGAACGTACACTCGGGAGCCACCAACCAGATTCTCACGGGAGAAGACGGTGTCAGCCAGATAGGAGGAGGGCGATGGCTCGTGGTAGACGATACAGGAGGTCTCGTTACAGCAGCGCTCGCAGAGAAGATGGGCATCCTCTACCCCGAGGAAGAAGACGAGGACTCGGAAGACGAGGCTGAAGATGTCGAGATGAATGGTACGGCAGCGACAGAGACGGCGACGAACGACGGCCCAGAAGTAAAGGACACAGATACCGCCATGCCTGACGCCGACCCTTCAGATCCTCCTGCACGCCCCCGAAAACCCCCCCGCCCACACATCCCCCAAATGTCCGCGCAAACCAATACTCTCACCGTTCTCCACCCGAACAACCAACCGAACCTTTCCTATCTCAAATACTTTGGCTACGACTACGGCGCCCCAACCCCCGAGCACCCACTCTACAAACACCTTAAGTCCATATCCTGGCTCGCGCTCCTCCACCCAGAAGACGACCCCACATACGACGAGCCCGAGGTAATCTCTGAAGAGGTGCTGGCTGGCATGAAGAGTACGAAACGGGGCACGTATTACAAGAAGAGGAGGAGGTGGGAGAGGGTGAAGGGCGTCGTAGATGAGACTAGACGGGGTGGCTTTGATGGATTAGTTGTAGCTACGGCCATGGACGCAAAGACTGTACTCAAGGAACTTGTTCCCTTGGTCAGGGGAGGAGGCAGGGTCGTTGTGTACAACCCCAACGTCGAACCCCTCGTCGAACTCTGCGATCTCTACTCCAAGGAACGGAGGGCGGCGTACATAGCACGCGAATTTGGACCGCCGCCAACTACGACACAGACCAACGGAAATAAGAATCGCAAGGGGGAAGAGGATGTCGATACAACTGCTAGTACACCGGAAGGTGGCAACAACGAAGAAGAAGACTTCCCGGTCAATCCTACCCTGCTGCTTGCGCCCTCGCTGCAGACGGCACGTGCGAGACAGTGGCAGGTTCTCCCAGGCAGGACGCATCCTATGATGACGAGTAAGGGTGGAGCGGAGGGCTATCTGTTCACTGCTACGAGAGTGTTACCGGTGGAGGGTAGAGTGGAGGCTCGAGGACATCATGGGAAGAAGAAGAGGAAGATCGAGTTGGAAGAAGAGGGCGGGGATGGCACAGTGGTGTAGATGCGAAAGATGGCATGTGGGTGTGTAATGGAGAATATTACTGTGATAGATATAAAGTGCTTGAGTTCGCCGTGGAACACGGAAAATACGTTCAAGCTTTGAGGCAGTGCTTGTGTGTTTATGCAATGTGATGTCAGCTCTTCGACGAGTATTAGAAGAGTAAGTATAGTTGTCAGGATTGATCTGTTCAAAAAAAAAAAAAAAAAAAAGCTGGTGTTGTAACCATGCTTGCATATAAATGGTGACAATATCGAGCCTTTTAGACACTACTCATTTCTTTTCTGCAACATATGTTGCTATGAAAGCGGATGCAGTGATAACATCCCCCCTGAAGCGTTCGCACATCAAACACCCACTGTATCTAGGAACTTAGAAAGCTGCAGCCTAGCTCTCCCACTATCCTCTGCCCACGCTTTTCCAAGATTCTTTCCAATCAATTCAGCGTTCCTCCGCTTCCTCTCGCCCACAGCTGTAAAAGCTGCTGCCAAAACGTCCCCAACTTCCTTTTCCCAAGCATCCATGTCATGTAGAACATCCTCGGATCTGGCTGCCTTGACGGGACAGTAGTTCGCTCGCATCTGAGTGAATTCAAAGCCGGCGTCCATAGTATGTGCCATGTGGGTAATATTGAGAGGCTGGTCAATGGCAAAGGGCCAACCGATCCTGAGACAGATGAATATGCGGGATGGGTCGATGGGGTCTTGCTATACACACATTGGGATCCCTTGGGTAAGCGCTTCCATGACGCCGTTTGCTCCTCCGTGCGTTATGAACCATCCGCACGCCTGAAAGCTTAGTATAGTCTTCATCCAGGTAGCGTATGACGGGAATTATATCTGTACACATACCTCATGGGATAGCACGGTTTGTTGCGGCACAAATGGCAGAATGAGTGCTTCCTCATTAGCAAGGTATCTGTTTTTCAATTTGGAGATGGTTTGCGCATCCGCATGTGCATGTGCCAGTAGCTAGATGTGGTTTTAGACAAACGTTAAATTTAAGATATCCATTGCATCGGTACACTTACAAAGGGATATTTACGGGCTACCATGGCGTCTAGAAGGATTTCGAGGTGATTAAGAGAGGATGGCCTAGGGCATGGTCAATTTTGCCTCGCAACTTTCAACTTGCTGGTCAAAAGTAGACGTACCAGTGCTCTGTGCCAAAGCTGATGTAGAAGACACTATGCCTTCCATGAGATGACATACATCGATCCAAGAAACGTGTGACGACGATACCAGAGCCATCTGGACATGTATTGATTTCAACTTCAATAGCTTTGGCGAAGAAGGTAGTAGTGCCCGGAGTAAGTGGCAACATCGGACCAAGATGGAACGTTTGCCGACCTCGTTGACATGCAATCCAATTCGAGATAGCGCCGAGACATTCTACACTGTCATATTCCGGAGCACAGGCTGTCAAAAGACCGTCGGCTCTCTGTGCAAACCTGGCCTGTTAGCCAACGGCGTACAAATTCTAGTACCCGTGGTACGTACTGCATCATGGTGGTTTTAGCAATTTGAATCTTAATTGCTTTGTCACCTACGTCTTGGGGATTCAGATCGTGGCATGTCATTGGAAGCATGCCTGGGATGAGTATGTCTTTGTCGCAGTCATGCGTGTTTTGCTTCATGAACTCTGCACTTTTCGTCTGGGGTTCCGTTGGGCCACACATGTACATGAAGCCTCCCGAAAATGCCATCATCCATTGGAAGATGGGTGGAGGTGAAGGTTCGGATCGGATGATCTCGAGCCATGATAGTTGGAATCCCTTTATCCAGGACATTCAGTGGAGTATACAAACTTTGGAACTGTGTGTAAACCTACATCAAGTATCACAGCTGAGGGTGGTACGATTGCCTCAACGTGTTTCAATGTATAGCTACACGTGGTGACCTCACTTTTCATAAGAGCTGTCCAGACAAGCTTGAAGGAGCGGTCTGTATCTCCATTATCTGCGGTGTCGGTCGACAAACCAAGGACTCTGAGCTAAGATGAGTACAGGACGTGAATGAAGACGATACGTGATAGGCGTTGCTGCGCCGTGACGCGACATACCTGACTTTGCTGGAAACATTCACACCTTCAACACTTGCGCACCTGGAAACCTCTTGGGCCACTCTTTGCACAACATTACCCGAGCTGGACACCAGGATCGTAACATGAACGGCTCTAGAATGCGCAATTCGAGCAGAGAGTATGCACATGGAGCGGAGGTGGCCTGAGTGGTTCATAAGATCAGTACAATTCGCAATTCGCACGTCTGCACTTACTCCAGTTCGCCTTGCACGAAAGTACGATATGAGATTGAGCCATGTAGCTGACTCAACTTACACAGCCAGTGCAAGTCTCTTCTACTTTCTGATTATGGATGAGTAGATGGAGTTTGATAAAGATGTGGCAATGAAGTTCGCGCGTGGTGATGCTGGATAGTTCAGTTCCCACCAATATGCTACAGCCAACCAGTGTTGATGAATATTACGTATGCATTGCTAACGTGCTTTTCACTATGCCCGAATTGGACACCGCTCGTTGATAAGTATGTCTATAGATATGATTCAATCTCATGTTGTAGTCTTTCATTCTCGCACCAAATCGCCCAGCCTTTTTCTGCTGTTGGTTCATGATGGTAGTGCCTGAAACTAGGCCTTCTTTACAGGTTGCTATCTGGTAAGCTCATCAATGGACGATTCCTAGCACCCGATGCTCACAGATATGTCTTAGCGGGGGTGGCATAGCGGGGATGACTGCTGCCGCATTCCTAGCAAAATGCCCAAATATCGACGTCTATTTATTCGAGAGCAAATCTGAGATCCGCGCCATTGGCGCAGGGGTCGCAGTGTGGAAAAGATTCTGGGACATGCTTGAGGAATACATGAATTTTGATGCAGAGTGCACCTCTAGAGGGCTAAAATGTCTTCCATGGTCAGAAGGCAAGTCTTGCAGCAAACGCATGAGAGGATTTGGAATTCACAATCGCTCGACATCTATTAAGAACTAATTTCTTTCTAGTCAGTGGTCCAGACCTCCGAAAATCCGATAGATATCCAAGGGGAGAAGATTTCTGTCAAGTGCCACATGGACCCCGAGTTATTCCTCGAGATGGCCTCCTTGATATCCTCCACACCCATGTTGACGCTGGACGATGCCAAATCAAAACGAACAAAAAATTGAGATCCTACATCCAAGACAAGTCGGGAAAGGTCACCCTGTCCTTCGAAGATAACACCCAGTTCGAAACCGATGTGCTTATCGGAGCCGACGGAGTCCATTCACGGGTACGACAGCACATGTTTTTGGGAGACCACATCCTATCTGCACCTCAATTCAGCGGTCAGTTTGCATACAGGATGAGTTGTTCACGAGCCGAGGTCGAGAAAAGGTGTCCAAACAGCATAGCATTACGCGGCTTCAGAATTGTAAGGCGCCGTCCCAATTGTGACAGTGTCTCGAACTAATGACGCATGCCACACCTGCAGTGGTGTGGAGCAGGACGGCATGTTACCTCGAACATTGTCAGGGACGAGATCCAACTAACGGCTTACGACAACGTATTCGCTGCCGATGGTGTCCCACCCCTGTTCGACGGCCCGTGGGTTGCCGAGATCCCGGCGTCGCAGATCGCTGAGCGTTATGCCGGGTGGGAGCGAGACCTCACCGATTTGCTGCACATTCCAAAGGTTGCATCGCGATGGGCAGTCCACGTCGTAGCCCCACTCCCAGCATTTGCGATGGAGAGAGTTTGTCTGATCGGTGACGCTGCGCATGCCATGACACCACACCAGGGTCTCGGTGGGGGCCAAGGCATCGAGGATGCATATATCCTAGCTCGATTGCTGGAAGATTCGAGGACGACGGTGTCCGCCTTGCCGTATGCGCTAAAGGTGTACGACGCCATCCGGCGGCCAGCCTCTCAATTGGTGTCGCGGCAGTCGCTGGCCAACGGACTGACGTACGGGTTCTTCGGTTCGCAAGTCCGCGACTCATCTCTGAGTGAGATAGGTGGAGAATTGATTGCAAGCTGCCGCTGGCTTCTGGACGAAAGAGGCGCAGAAAAAGAATGGATGAAGGCGGAATCTGCATTTGGTGCTGCACTAAAGCATTGCGGTGACGATCTCGCTTTCCCCAGCGCGCCATCCTTCACTTCGGTATCCAAGTAGTACTATGGGGTGTCATCATAATCAAAGATGCGACGTGACAATCTCGCCCAGTTTTTAAAACTTTTCATGCACCCTCAGGATCAGATAGTGAGTTTTAGATCCAACAAAGCAGTCTTCTTAGCACGCTCAAGCTAGTCCATAGTTATATGCGTCCTTCTCCGCGAAAAGCAGTCTATGCCGTAAAGGATCTTTCACCTGCCCATCCCATTTTCGCACATCCTGATTAAACTGTCACGATAGTACCGGGATAGAGAAGGCAGGCTTTCCTTCGATAAACCTACCAGACGGGTCACCACCATGAGTACCAATCAAATCCAGCGAATCATCGTACCAGATCGGGAACGAGCATGCCAAGTCCCAAGTGCAGAAACTGTCGGCGCTGCAGTATCCATTCTCCAAAGGGATGGCATCGTGGTGTTGGAAGACGTTGTGGACAAGTCTGCCGTAGCAAAGCTAAACTCCATCATGGCCGAGAGATCTGAACAACTGGCCAACGAACCATCGACCCATTTCAATCAAGGAAAACCTACCCGTAACATCTCACAAAGGCCGCCGGCTTCTCCGGACCTAATGTTTCAGTCTATTTGGGCGAACCCTTTCGCAGCCAGTATAGGCGCCGCAATTCTGGGACCGAGTCCGCGAGTAGTTTACGCGAATGGCAACACAGCACTTTCCTCAACTGAACGGCAAACTGTTCATGCAGATTTAGACCATGAGCACCTCCGGTTTCCATTTGCATTGGTGGCAAATTACTATCTTGTCGACACAGGTCCCCTAAACGGCGGCACAGAAGTATGGATTGGGAGCCACAGAGACACCAGCATGGCTGATCATGTTGAGTCGCGCGAATCGCAAGGGGGCCTATCAACCATCAAGCCAGAACTTGTCAGCAAACGGCGTGAGATACTTCCGCCCGTGCAGATCTCGGTAAAAGCAGGAGATCTAGTACTTCGAGACCTAAGATTGTGGCACGCAGGAATGCCGAATCGGACGAACGTGCCCCGAGTCATGCTTGCGTTTGGGATATTTCCTTGGTGGTATCAAGCGTCTTTGAAGATAGCACTTCCTGTTACCGCTCAGCCATTGGTGCAGCGGTGGACGAAAGAAACAGGGCTAGAATTTGTGGTGGAGTGGCAAGAGAACTATGTGCCAACTTCAAAATTCTTCGTGACCGCTGCCTCGGCGAACAAGCACTTAGTATATGGGTAGAACACGCCATGTGCAGGATAGGGGGGTCGCTTAGATAGCATGCAATGCGACTACATGCATGATGTATGTGATTAAAACAGACTAGGTTTAGAGCTTGGCAGAATCGATGCAGAAGATCGCGCTATGGAGATTCAAGTAGATATATTACCTCATTGATTAGAAACCTAGCACAGAAGCCTACTGAATTTCGCTTGCATGAGTCTACTACTTACATTATAGGCTGTACATGGTTTTGAACACGAAGAAGTATCACCATCATCCTCTCATCGTGCTGAAACAACCAATTCAATGGCTGATATTGACGTGGAAGAGATCCTTTCTCGACTCTCTGTCGCCGAGAAATGCGATATAACAGCTGGTGAGTTATCGTCGCTTCTACTAGTCCCATTCATGTCAGACTTACCAGGCTGCAGGACTTGATTTCGCACACACCGTACCCATCCCACGTCTAGGAATTCCTTCCTTAAGAACAAGTGACGGCCCGAACACAGTGCGCGGTACACGTTTCTTCAACTCAACACCAACAATATGTCTGCCAGCTGGGCCAGCATTGGCAGCCTCGTGGAACAGGGAACTACTTCGTGAGGTAGGAGGATTGTTAGCCGATGAATGTATCGCAAAAGGAACGCATGTGCTCCTAGCACCTTGCGTGAATATTCCGCGGTCTCCACTTGCAGGACGAGGGCATGAAGCGCTTGGAGAGGATCCTCTCCTCGCGGGGACCCTCGCAGGATACATGTGCATCGGAATCCAAGAAAAAGGGATAGTGGCTACACCAAAACACTTTTTGTGCTCCGACCAAGAACAGGGGTGTTTTAGTATGAACTGCATGGTCACTGAGCGCGCGTTAAGAGAGATATATCTCATGGCTTTTATGTTGACAATCAAGATTTGTGATCCTGGCGCAATCATGGCGGCCTACAACAAAATCAACGGACTCCACATCACAGAAGACAAAAGAATCTTACATGACATCTTAAGGAAAGAATGGGGCTTTCGTGGCCTGGTCATGAGCGATTGGTTAGTGAACTACCCCAGTTCTTCATTTCGAGTCTGATTCCATCAAAAGTTGTCCTTCAGAAGATCTTTAGAAGATAAGCAAAACTAACTTTCCAATATGTAGGCACGGATTGTATGCAACCACAACTCCTATCCAAGCAGGCCTGGACCTCGAGATGCCCGGACCTAGCCAATGGAGGGGAAAGAACCTGCTACACTCACTGTTGGCTAATCGTCTAAGCGCTCGTGATCTCGATAATTGCGTGCGACGCATTCTCAACATGATCAAAGAAGCCGCTAGCTCCAACATACCGGAACAGGCGCCGGAGAAGCCTTTGAACCGTGAGAAAGATCGCGAACTACTTCGTCGGGCCGCAACTGAGTCGATAGTACTCATGAAAAATGACGAAAGCATACTTCCCCTGAATCCCGACAAGGCGATTGCTGTGATAGGCCCGAATGCTGCTATTGCAGCATACCGAGGTGGGCGTATCGCTCATCTTCGACCTTACTATGCGGTGACCCCTCTGCAGGCTATCAGTGAGAGAAGCAATGGAAGCGTTCAATTTTCGCGAGGAATTTACAATCATAAAGAAAGGCCTCTTCTGGGCCACCAACTCCTGACAAGTCACGGCAAGCCTGGATTCGACATGTACATCTACAACGAGCCGCCAACCGTTGCAGACCGCACTCCAGTCGATCATTACGAGTTCCTTAACTCTTGTGGTTACTTCTTCAACTATGAAAACATGAAGCGTATTGATGGTGAAAACTGGCACGTGGATATTTCGGGTCGCCTTGTAGCGACTGACACCGGGCCCTACGACTTTGGCGTTAGCGTACAAGGCACCGCAAACTTGTATCTAGACGGAAAGCTCGTGGTGGACAACACAAAAGACCAGCAATTTGGCGAAGGCTTCTTCCGAGCGGGCACGGTGGAGAAGATAGGCACTGTTCACCTGACCAAAGGAGAGTCATACCACGTGCTAGTCCACTGGGCTGGAGCACACACTTCAGAACTCATCAAGAACTCTCCATTGACATTTCATCCCGGCGGTTTACGTCTTGGCGGATGTTATCAAATGGACGTTGCTGCCTCCATTCGCGCAGCTGCTGAGCTAGCGTCACAGGTCGACCAAGTCGTTATTCTTGCAGGTCTAATGGGGGACTGGGAGAATGAGGGCGCAGATAGACCTGACATCGAACTTCCACAGCACACCGACGACCTCATCACCAGTGTGCTCGATGCGAACCCTAATGCTGTTGTCTGCATTAGTTCAGGAAGTCCTGTGACGATGCCATAGGCTAGTCGCACTAAGGCTTTATTGCATGTATGGTATGGAGGCAACGAGACGGGAACAGCGATCAGCGATGTTTTGTACGGCGACGCCAATCCATCAGGAAAACTACCACTATCTTTTCCTGTCTGTTTGCGCGATAATCCGACATATCTGTGCAGCCAAGCGGAGAGAAAACGTATACTATATGCGGAGGACGTTTACGTAGGCTACCGATACTACGACACCCTGGAAAAACCCGTACTCTTTCCATTCGGTCATGGGTTATCCTACACCGAGTTCCGCCTCTCGAAACTTCGACTTGAAATACATGGCTCCCAGGAGAAAGCAGTGATCACAGCGCGAGTCCAGATTGAAAACATTGGCAACTTTGACGGCGCAGAAGTGGTGCAAGTATATGTCGAGCCGCAGAAATTCAGTGTTGGCCGCCCGGTGAAAGAGCTGAAAGGGTTCGAAAAAACACATGTTCTCAAGCTTTCCTCCACTACCACCCTTGCAATAAACCTGGAGTTGAAATATGCGTTGGGGTTCTGGGACGAAGCAGAAGGTCGCTGGGTATGTGAAAAAGGAAAATACAATATACTCGTGGGAACAAGCAGCAGAGGAACATTCCTACGAGAAGTATATTCCCTCGAAGAAACGTTCTGGTGGCAAGGTTTGTAGATGCATTAATAGATAGACTCTCAGACACTTCCGACTAGAGGAAGGATTAAGAGTTTGAAACTCGGAGTACAAATGACTGCATCAAACTCATTCCTCGTGACTATCGCGACGTCCCTTGATCTTCTCGTCAACATCCATGGGTGGCGGCAGCCTCTCATTCAGACCCGCAAGGGTACCTTTAATCGTCTCCAAAGCAGTTTGATGACCTTTGACCACGTCTACAAAATCTGCAGTGGCTAGTAACAGGTTGAAATGCTGTATCCACGAATCCTCTTCTGCCGAGATCTTGAAGGATACGGTCATCAAAGGCTTTCCGTGTCGATGTTTCACCTCAACAAGTCGATTGACGGCTTCAAGAAATCTCGGGTCGTCGCGTTGACCGAACTTCCGAGCAGGAAGACCCAATGAGAGGCGAAGGTCTCCCGGGCCTAGCATGAGGCAATCTACGCCATGTGTGGCTGCGATAGCGTCTGCATTTTCCATTGCAAGCTATTTCAAATCAGTAAGCAGCGTGGCTGTAGCTTCTCACAATGACCACGCACCTGGCTCTCAATCTGGCATATGACAGCTATGTGACTATCAGCCACTCTATCATGTGTCAGTCCTTGTGGAGCTGTATCCGTAATTCCAGAGACTAATGCGCATGGCGATAGAGACCTGTCTCCACCAGAGGTCGCGTATCGACACTTGGAAACAGCTTCGGCGGCTTGCTCGGCGGTGTCAATATGTGGGAAGATAATTCCTGCTGCACCTACAATGGAGACGACGATCCGATGATTAGCTTCTACTATGGAATACCGATGTAGGATTGAAAAGTCGGTCTGCGTATACGCATGTCCCATGGCGGATATGCAGCCGAGACGGCATATGTACACATACCTGCGTCAAGGGCGTGCGTTAGCAGATCCGAGTGTGCAGACGGGACCCGCACAACGGCGACTGTCCTGCCTTCGCTACAGAAGTTGATGGTCTGTATGATGCGGACTAGGTTCTCGGTATCGATAGGACTTGATTTTGGGTTAGACATGAGCGAGCGTTGCCTGGTGTTAGTTACTTACGTATGCAATGCGTCGACCATGACAAAATCCATTCCTAAGACAGCGATAGTTCGAGCAACCATGGTATGCGGAAAAGCCATAATTGATCCAAAGAGATAAGAGGGTGCTTTGAAGGGGTCCATGGTCTTCCGGATGGCATGTGCCAAGTTGGAAGGTTGAAAGAGTGATGTTGCTCGAAAGTGTTGCATTGCGTTAGCTCTTCGTCGCTACTCCGGAGGTCGAATGATGTGTTGAAATGGGGGATTGTATGCAATATATCTCTTGAAGGTTTAGACAGCGCGCCTCTTGCTTACGAGTCGCGTGACACGGTGATTGCAGTTAGTGTTTTATAATAGGAGTGGGTTCATAGATCCTCGCGCAGAGTAACTCAAAATGAACGGTCACGTCAAAATCAAAATGATGATACACGACTTATTGCCGAAACGACTCTGGTTGTAGTGTGCTATATCCACATCGAGCCTGCATTGTCGTATGCCACCACTAGCATGTTGCGCCGACATGATACCTTCTACTGCAACAATGCTTCTTTCAATGAGCACCGATAACCATTAAGGTCTGTCTTTATCATGATTGTTTAATAATCCCTGCTCCGGAAAGTTCCTCGATGATTGCAAACAAAGATGCATCTTGACTGGCATGCTGGAAAACCACGTTGCCTGTTTGTGAGGCGTTGAAGCAAATTCGAAAATAACATGATCATGTAGATATCATGTAGGTCAGCATTGTCGATATGGTACAAACCCAAGACAACGGATATCGTACAAGGGATCTCGACGACCAAAATGGTTAGCGTATATGTGGGAGAACCGGGTACTTGAGTTAATTTCGGGTTCAGCAGAAGCTAGCTATGATGGGGAAATGGGCTTTCTGGCCTAGCGCAGGGTCCACACTAGAACTATCAACCCTAGTCTCGAAGAGAATAAGCGCAAATTGCGAATTATACAAGTTTCTTGTAGAGACCACTTAGCCCAAGCACATACATGCAACTATCAGCCAAGATTTCCAAAGGTCTGTTAATTTATTCCAAAAGCAAGGTGTGGAGGGCTTTTCGTAGCGCATCCGTCTCATCCTTCGTACCCACCGTAATCCTCACACAACCTCTACAACCAGCTTGCGCACCAACATATCGGATAGAAATACCGTGCCGATCTCGGAGTTGCTGCGTCAGCTGCCGAGCTCGCATATCGTCTCGTTCTTCCCCAACAAGAATTGGAATCAGCACAAAGTTTGCAGCTTGGCCTCCAATTGTAGCGCCAATGCCATTGGAGGCAAGTAAAGGGTCCGCGAGCATTTTAACCAGACATTCTCGTTGAGTCATGACCTGGTGCTGCAGTGCGATCGCACAAGCCTGTCCCTCTGTTGAGAGCGCTCGTTCGGCAAGATCTAAGACTACACTTGACAGCTTGTATGGCATTTGCACCTTTGAGAAAAGCTCTATGATGGCAGGATGCGCAATAGCCATACCGACCCTGAGTGACTCTTAGAACTGTATCAAGGTGGTGAACCAAAATTGGCAATAATCAGACTTTTGACCTACCTGATTCCAGCGAGTCCATGAGATTTGCTCAGAGATTGAACTACGATTAGATTATTGTACCTTGGCAAGAGCTGAACAGCTGAGGCTTCCTTTGCCATTGGTGCAAAATCTATGTAGGCTTCGTCAATTACGACGATGCCTTTGAAGGCTAATTCTCATATCGTTTCAGCGCGTGTCAAAGTGGGAACTAGGAGCTGCTTTCAACTAACCTTCCAGGTCAAGTATGCGCTGTATCTGATCCACTGGAATCAACGTGCCTGTGGGATTTCCGGGTGATGCTAGCAACAGAACTTTGATGCGATCGTCCTCCGACAGTGCGGTGCAGATCTGTAATAGAGGCGGTCAGTCCTGCGGATCATGGGGTTTAGCGTGATGTTTGACAAACCTGCTCCACTGGGATGCGAAACGTCCCATCTTGAGCTATATCCTGCATGCACTCCTCCACTTCGACACCTTGAAGGGTTGCGCAAACCTTGTACAGATCAAATGTGGGAGGTGAGAGCAGGATCTTGTCTTGACCAGGGGTGCATGTCATTCGTATAATGACTTCGATGACGTCTGAAGCACCAGATCCAAGACCAACTTGGTCAGGGGCTAACGGCGAATGATAAGTTAGTGAACTCGGTGTGGCCGATAATTAGAAGAAGGAGGAAAAGAAAGCAGAGCCTACAATCTAAACCTCGCCACTGCGCGACCTGCCGACGCAGGGAGGCCTGAGATGCCGACGGATATCGATGCAGATTCTTTAGACCGATAGGTCCCTGCGGTGTACCATGGTTGAGCGCACTCGGGATGCAAGGTTCATACCTTGGCACGGGCACCAGACACGAACCAGCGGAATTCTCGTTGGCATCGAGGCAGATGGATGAACGTGCTTTCTCGTGGTCTGACGTGGTCGCTTGGTATTTTGGGAAAGCAATCACATTCGGCCTAATGCTGAAATGTAAAGAAAAGTGGCTAGGAAGCAGTGCACCTGGCATGATGTGTTGGAGGTCGTGAGACACCACATTGCTTCCCTGACCCCAATTTTATACACCGGCTACACAATGGAAAGATTGCTATACCAAAAACATCAACATCTAACGTCGAGATGTGGAGCCGGAAGAGCGGTCAGTGCAGGTATCGAAAACACGGGTCACACATATCCAGTAGTTTTGATGCACTTTCTAGGCAGATGATATGTATGGTAGATGGACCCCTGGCATTGTGGTGAGACGGTCTCGTTGCTGTTTAATCTCAAGCGTCTTAAACTACTGGGTAATTTGCTCTCGATCGGAGGAATCAACTTTCTCTAATGGCCGTTTGCTATCATCCAGGTCTTGCGCGTCCCCATGCCACAATGAATTATACCACTATCTCCGCCCATTGTCGCAGAGCAGCAATGGATCACAGGACGCGACATGCTTAGAATTTGATGGCCAATATAGTAGCGTGACTCCGAGAGAAGTAGACGGATCATGCAATTGGATATGGCAAGGCTTGCGATCATCTTGCGCTGGATCGAATATGCAGTTCAAGGTAGTTGCGATGCAGGAAGTGTGGATGGCTCGGTTCGGCTGAGATATAAATTCGCCATGGCGCGTCTCTCAACATGGTTACGTCTCCTAGTCCGTCCCATAACGAACAAGAGCCAGCGTCTTTGGTTCAGACAGCCTTGAGATTTTGCTGCGGTGCAGCCGCCCGTTCATACCGCCGTTGTAACACCTTCTTTTTTTCTTTTTTTTCTTCTTTCTCCCTCATCTTGCATGTGTCTCTCGAGCAGTGACGAGATCAGACGATGGCCGATTGCGACGCGCGTTATGGTGATGGTGAGTCTGAGAAGGCGCGGCTCAGATGGGCCGCCCTTCTTAGCCCGCACCTGATACACGCTCTAGGAACGAGCGGATCGTACAGTCAAGACAACATCGAAGCCCACGAGACATTCTTCAGGAACCATGTCTGCGGCTGGCTAGGTCGAGAGCCGTCGTCGTTGCCGCTGCGTCCTGCATATCCATCGGCGCTGACGTGCGACGCTACACCACTGGAATTAAGCTACAGCTGGAACGGCAGGACGTCGGTCGCAGTCCGCTATGTGGTCGACTTGATCCCGATAAACGGGACGCTGACTCGTTCGGCGTCCCTTGCCGCTGCACTGGAAACGATCAATGGGCTGCGTCGGATCGCGTTGGCCGAAGATTATCACGTCGAAATGCTGCCAGATGTGTGGGTGGCTGTGACGGCGCGCCTCGCCTACTGGGAGCACACCGTTCACCCACTGCCATCTGCCGACCTAGCACCGTCCACAACCTCCTCGTGCGAGCTATGCAGCCCTTCATCCACCTTTGTCGGCTTCGACTTGACTCGTTCCGGCGCACGCGGCAAGCTATACTGGTTGCTGCCTGCCTGTCTCTCCTCACAAGGCCTACTAGACCTTCTGGACGACGTCTTTACTCTGCTGCCAACAGACATCCACGCCCACTGGCGTCAGGTGCGCCACTACCTGGCTTCGCAAGCCTCCAGCGTGCTGCGGCCTCGCATGCTCTGTATCGATGCGACACGCTACCCAGCGCCCCGCATTAAGCTATACAGCCGCTGTTATTTTGATTCGCATACTTCTTTTGCGACTATAGAGCCCCACCTCACGATGGACGGGGCCGTGCCGCTGCCGCCGCGCAGCCATTACGCCACCCTGTGGGCAAACATCCAGGCCAAGTACCGGCTAGACCCGCACCCGCAATCGCGCTACTGCATGGTCGTGTATGACATTCTGCCGTTGCAACTTAGGAGCAAGCTCTACTGGTTCGCCCACCAAATGCCCTGCCGCGATGGCGCCATCGTCAAACACGTCTTGGCCGACTTCGCACAGCCTACTGCCCTCCTTCGTAACCAAGTCGAGGCTGGTCACATGTCTGACGACACGACTTTTATTAGAGAGATCGGCGTGGCTCACCAAGGAGATGCTTTCGACATTGCCACTTATGTTAGTCCTGCTTTGTTTTCTGCTTAGCTAGCTACCAGTCTGATCATTTTTACTGTGTCTTCCTCATGATTTGCAAAAGCCATGATATCGCTTGTATCTTTTGTGTTGCGAGAGGTGTGAGTGGCTCGCCGCCTGTGAGTCGCTGCGCATGAGAGGATGACCACTCGATGAACACCAGAGAAGGTTACGAATCAACGGTAAGATGTAAAAGAAAAATCCGTCTTCGTTATCTCCACCCGTCCGTGCCGTGCCGTCCATGCTATGAAGCAGCTAGTTACCCGATCCCCTTACCCCTCCATACCTTGCTTCATACGAAGCCCCAGCATAGGCCTCCATTGCTGTCTATCCTTCATTCAGCTACCCGAGTCTGTTCATCTGCATTTCTAATCCCCTTACTCAACCAGCTTGTCACGTGCCTTGTCAGTACTGCTACCACGACAAAGAGTCCCACAGATACCCAGAACGGAAGGTAAGTCCATCTGCCCCCCTCCTGAAAGCCGGCTGTCATTAGCCCCGCGAACATGGGGCCACTCACGATACCAGCCATCCGATCTGCCACGTTGAGTCCCGTGTAGAGCATCGTAACCTGCGCTCTTGGAATTGACCTAGTCATGCTTGACTGCAATGCGCCCGTCATGCCCCACCCCATCATGTAGATGAGTACAGCGCATACGAAGACCACCACTCGCGTTCCCTCCACTCCACTCAGGCACGACATGGCAGCGGTCAACATTCCCACCAACGTGAGCCATTGACAAACATTGACCAGACCGATGTCGAGCCTCGCGCTGGCGATACCTACTTTTTGCAGCCCGTGAAACGCCCATGAGAATCCAACCAGCGTCGCAGCTGCTACCAAACGCTGACCGGCCACAAAGTAATTTGTATGTGCGAGCGTCCATCCAAAGCTACGGCTGCTCCACTGTTGCACAATGCTATTCACGCCGTGTCCCAGCTCATTCAAAAAAACAATGGCGAGTGCCATGGCCGTCGCGGATTCCCGAAACAGTTCTGAGGTTCGCCAGACCGCCCTAGTCATTGGTGTCCACATCCTTAGCCGCATAGGCGACCCATTGCGCTCTTTCGTCCTAGCGCTGACGCCTGCGAGTAGAAGATCGGTGGTCTCGTCAGAAGCGTCATCTGACAGCTTGAGCCGCCGCGTGTGGTCTTGGGGGTCGACAATCCAACAAAGCACAGGGATGGCCAGGCAGTACATCGTTACGCCCGTCAGTGCAGGTGCCCACAGATTTTCCTGCATGAGGCGTGCCCCGACCATTTGACCGATGGCATTGACGATGAGACGCAAGGCATTGAGTAAAAAAAGCACTTTACTCCTGCATGTGTTCGTTAGCAAAAACTGCGTTGTATGATCCGTTGTGGGGGTGATACAGGTGTGTTGCAGGTAGGCTCTCAGCGATCAAGGCATTAGCAATGCTCAGCAGAACACTGTCCCCACCACCAAAGAGACGCCACAGAGACTGGCACAGAATGAGCCTGATGTTGAAGATCTGGTGATAGTAGCCTGCATCATGGTTGTGTCAGCTCGCCACCCGATCATTGATGGGGACCGGTGACTGTCGTGATGACCTACAGATGCATATGGTGTACGTGGAGGCGGTGACTGTACCAACAATGTTGGCTGCTAAGATGCGACGTCGACTGAATCTTGCGCAAAGCGACGCGTAAGGGAATGCGGTCATAATCTCTAATCTCTGTCAGTTCTCGCTTTGAGTGATCAGTACGAAAGAATGATGAATTGTAGTAATACCAATGATTGATGACATGGCCACGTTGTATGCATTTATCATAGCCAAGTCTCTTTGTATGGCGATCGCTTTGCAGTCTTCTTCGCTCAAGTCGTCCGAGAGCAGGGATCCAGGAGAAAGCTGCCGGTGATAGGAACGACACAAGTCCAGTTCTACGATACGCAGAAAAGGCGCCTTGAATAGAGCTTGTGCTGAAGACTCGATAACTAACAAGAGGCAGCATGCCAAAGCAGTCTGGTGTTTTGAGGCATACATGGTGCGGAAAGATGTTGGAAGTGGAGTGACGCTACCGATGCGCATCGCTTTCTGAGGCCTCTTTAACTGAACAGCCGAGCCGACGCTGCATCCATGTATCAAGGATATTTTGGTTCTCTCTTTCGACCCTCAAAGATTTTGCGCGTGACGCTGAACACTGGGTGTGATCATTTCTCCTATCACTGATTTGTTTTTTTTCTTTCCCTTCTTCCACCGCCTCTTGATCTTTAGTATCCGCAGGCTCCACCGCCTCTTGGTCTTTAGGATTCACAGACATGAGGGACGACCATCCAAGGGTACTCATCGTTGGAGCCGGCATAGCTGGACTTGCCCTTGCGCAGGGACTGAAGAAGGCATGTGACACCTTCAACACTTCAATATTGCTCTACGATCTCTAATGAAACAGTTAGAAAGGAATCTCGTTTCTTGTTTTCGAGAGAGACGAATCCTCATCCAGTCGCGCTCAAGGATGGGCTCTCACCATCCACTTCAGTCTGCCGCTATTGCGGGACTTCCTTCCTAGCGAACTTGCGAATCGCCTACACACAACCCGGATAGATCAAACCGCGGGACACGACCAGAGTCATTCTACATTCATGAATCTTAAAACTTGCACTCCCAAGTGGTCTCTACCCCCGACGTACGGCGATCGCATGCGAGTTGTTCGAGGACGACTCCGTGACATGCTCATGGAAGGAATCGAGGAGCGAATCCTATGGGGCAAGAAGCTATCGTCGTTTGAAGTTGAGAAGAATGGTGTTGAGGTACAATTCAATGACGGAAGTTGTTATAGTGGAGATCTTCTCGTGGGAGTCGACGGCTGTCATTCGACCGTGCGCTCACTTCAGTACGGGGCGCCGCTTTCTCAGCCTACGCCTATCCCGGCGTGCTTTCTTGGTACCGAGGCACTGGCCAATGAGTCCCAGATGAAACCGCTCCTTGCGCTGGATAAAACCCTCTTCCAAGGATGTCATCCGTCAAGCCCTGCATGGATGTGGTTCTCCGTCATGGAACGCCCGAACCCTAATGTTTCCGCTGTGGTGGACCCTGTATGGCGTGTTCAAATATGTCTCTCGTGGCTTTCCCCTACCGGACACGCGGATATTCCTAGAACAGATGGCGGGCGCATTGACTTGATGAGGCAAAAATCGACGGATTTTCATCCTACGTTCAAGAAAATCTTCCATGAGATTCTGTCTGATAGTCACGGACCAGTTATTAACGTTCCGTTGGAGTTTTGGTGGCTGCCACATGCAGAGTCGCTCGGCAAATCCAAGGGGCGAGTCACGTTGGCAGGCGATGCAGCGCATACCATGCCTCTATGTTCGTATCACCTGTTCGTTTTGCTAGTTTCTCTGGGAAATGCTAACATGTGCAGATCGCGGAGAGGGTTTCAACCACGCCCTGATGGATGTTAACAATCTCCTTCGTGCAATCGATGCTATCCTTTCGAATGAGGCAGATAGAGAGCGCATCCTTCACGAGTATGAGGAAGAGGTTCGCGCGCGTGGTCAAAGATCTGCATTGATGTGCCGGGATGCTTGTCTCGAGGTACATCAGTTTGATAAGCTTGGGGCTCACTCTGTTGTTCGGCAAAAAGCCTTCACTTAGTACGGAGGCCTTCAGCCAGTGAAAATTGTGATACTTGGGGTTGGGGGGATTGGGGGGGTTCTTCGACTCGCTAGTGTTTGTTTTCGTTTTTTGTTGCTTATGGCTTAGTATCAAAGACCTCGTTGCTTGTTCGGGCTTTTACCTGTAGAAGAAGGAAAGAGCTACTCTTGCTGTCAACACGCTTTTCGCAACTCCATAACGCATCGGGCTACACTAAATATATATTTTCCAGAAATTTCGATAGACCGATCTGGGCATCCGTTCGCCAGACCGCCACACCCAGCATACAAAATTCATGCCAGTATCACGACGCTGACTCTGGCTCTCTCATGCTACTCTTTGTGTTTTTCATCTTTTTTGCGTTGTATGCTAGTCTGTTATGACATAAGTATGGATAGTGAGTCAGGAATTTCCAGTGATTCACTAAATATCATGGTTCTCAGATTTGTTCTACGACGGAAATAGCAATAGCGCCCGGGTTGTCCCCAAAAATGCTACAAACGACGGCGGGTTCAGTCCATCGCTCGTTCTCTAGCGCTATGGCCATATTACCTATGATGATCATTTCTGTCTCAACCTCTTCCACTTCATAAGACCCAACCTCGATCTCATTCGTTTCTCCCAAGTCAACATCAAAAGTCACACGCATATCTCTGGTCAGAAGGCGCAATACCATGGTCGTCATCTGGAGCGCGTTCAACATCTTCCAGGCGACCCAATTTGTTCTAGCAATTACGTTGACTAGCTCGGCCTATACTCATCTGTTTCTCTGGCTGCGGCGCTCTGATCTTTCAAAATCATCTTTCAATTGGGGGCAACAATATCAGGACGAAGATGGAGAAGCTTCCAAAGAATCACTGCAATCATTCGCAGATCGTCTGCCGCGAGCGGCGTTTGCCCTGCATACTTTCATTGGTAGCTTAGCCTGTTTTGGGTTAATTGTGGTTGACTCTTGCCATGGAACCTCGCTCGGCGGATTTCTCCAATTTGGCATATGGGTACCCTAGTCCTTCCGTAGGTATACTCAAAACGAGGCTGACGTCAAGCTTCTAGATCAATCTGATGCTACAATCTGTGGCGTTATTCACCGAATCATCTGCTCCACGCCGATTTCGTCAAGCAATTTGTGGAAGCATGAACTGCATCAACGTATCATGCGCTCTCCTCTTCGGTCTTTATGTTGGATTACCAAATTGGAGCACACTAGGAAACAAAGGGCGCGTTCTTATGGCGGTTGAGTTTGTGTCAGCCGTGCTAGCATGTGTGTCTGGCTTGCTGCTGCCACGCCGCCCGGACGTCTTCTGGAAAGGAATTTTGGTCGATAGACGATTCACGGCCTCCGCGTTTAACATCTTCTTCTTTTCTTGGTCTCTATCAGCGTTACGCAGCTTTTCGACAGAACAGTCGCCAAAGATATACAACCTTCCTCAGCTCAATCACACGATACGCGCGCTACCTCTTTTGCAGCGCTTCCAGGACTACAGATCGCTTCGAAACGACAGTCGCTCACTCTGGAAAGATCTGTTTTCCATCAATGGGCGACAACTGGTTGTACAACTGAGCATGACAATTTTTGGATCTATCATCAGCTTTACGCCTCAGATAATGCTTCTTGGCATTCTTAGGGCCATGGAGCGAGATTCTGGCGGGGAAAGCAAACTTTTCACCACAGCTCCATGGGTTCTTGGTCTGGGTATGAGCATCATATGTACCGCTTTGATGGACACAGGAACTATTTGGGTCTCAAGTGTAAACTTGGGAGTCAAAATGCAGAAGCAACTCACCATGCTTCTCTTCGATAAGATGCTCCGTGGTATCTCCACGCAATTAGGAGAATACGACGGTGAAGACGGTTCCGGAATAGCAGATCTGACAGGTGTGAACGTCATCAGTCTTGTCACTCTGGACACGCAGCAGATTGGAAACTGCATTCGAGACGTCTATCGAGGTTATGAGGCTGTCATCAAGTTGATCATCTCTGGATGGTTCATTCAGCAGCTCATGGGCTGGGAAAGTTTGCTAGCTAGCATCGCCGTGGTTGTGTTGCTCTTCTTCGGCAACGTACTTGTTGCAAAGCAACATGCGCGTGATCAGATCGGACTTATGGAGGAAAAAGATCTTCGAGTGGCTGCCCTCACGGACGCTCTCGGAGGAGTTCGTCAAATCAAACTGTCCGGAACCGAGCAAAATTGGTTGACATATATTTCACAGTTGCGAGAGAAAGAGTTGGCAAGTCTATGGGCAGTAAACCGATGGAACATGGCTTCGAGCGCAATCTGCACCATGACCCCAATCATGCTTTCTGTGCTTGTCATTTCGATACATGTATACGTTACTGGACAGCTGAAGGCATCAACAGCTTTTACAAGTCTGTCTATCTTGGGCTCCATCAACAGCACACTAGGAGCTATTCCGCAACTACAAACCGGTTGGATACGCGCCTTGAACAGTTTGAGGCGTCTCGAAGACTACCTCTATGCACCTGACAAATGCTTCCCCTCGACTGATCACGACGAAATTAGTTTCCAGAATGCGACTCTTTGCTGGAATGGATCAAGTCCGGATGTGTTTTCCCTCAGAGATGTGACCTTATCTTTTCCCCCGGGCGATATAAGTGTCATAGAAGGGCCCAGTGGATCTGGAAAGAGCTTGTTGTTGGCCGCAGTTCTTAGCGAGTGCGAATTGGTCGCTGGTAGCGTCACAAAACCCTCTGTCGCCACCCATGCGCCAACAATCGCAGGTCGCTCTTGGTCTTTGAATTCGTCTATCGCGTACGTCGGACAGGCTCCTTGGATTGAAGCTGGTACAATCATGGATAACATCACTTTTGGTTTCCCGATGCAAGCAAGGCGTTTTAGTACGGTACTTCATGCTTGTGCTCTCGAAACAGATCTAGCAGCTTTGAAGGATGGCGACCAGACCGAAATTGGACCGCACGGAGTGAACCTGAGCGGTGGGCAACGCTTACGCATCACACTTGCGCGCGCCCTCTATTCCCCCGCGTCTATTCTAGTTCTGGATGATATCTTCAGTGCTATTGACGCTCACACAGCGCTTCATGTAGCGCAGAACGTTCTAGGCGGCTCCCTCATCCAAGGTCGTACTGTTATCTTGGCCTCACATCATCCTTCTCTCTACATGCCCTACGCAGACTATATTGTATCGCTATCCGGTGGAGGCCAGTACGAATACAGATTCACAGAACGTTGTGGCCTCACCAAGCCACAGGAAACTGTTTACACGACAAACGAGATGGCACCGAGACGTCGTCGTGCATCAACTAAGACGGCTGCATCAAGACATGCTCGCAAACCTTCTGTTCTTTCGGTGGCTTCCATTGAGCCATTCCCAATTACTGAGTGTACCGATGCCGCGGAAGTCTACCGATATGTCGAAGAAGAGCAAGAACAAACCTCTGGATCACAACACAAGACCTTGATACAGTACTTGCAGTCCATAGAACATGCTTGGTATCTCCCTCTCGCCTTACTAGCTTATGCGAGCTACGTGGGTATGCTCGTAGGACAGGTATGTCACGCCGTCAGATAAAGATTACATTGAGACTGATGCACAATAGTCATGGTGGATCGCCCGTTGGGTACAACAGGACGAACGAACGACCCACAACTCACCCGATCCAGGTCGTGAGAACGAAACCAGCCTTGTTTGGTACCTGAGTGTATATGTCACACTCGCAATAACTTCGTGTGTCTTCGGTATAGGCCAGAACTATTTAACGTACTGTTGTGCGTTGAATGCATCAAGACGTCTATTCGACATGCTTTTGAATGCCGTCCTGCGTGCGCCAATGGACTTTACCGAACGGAATCCACTGGGCCGGATAATGAATCGTTTCACAAGCGATACAGCCATCCTCGATGAACAGATTGGTCAAATCATCGGCAGCGCCTTGACAAGCGCCTTGATGTTGCTTTCTATTTTTGGAGTGAGCATTACCGTCAGCAGATGGATACTACCCATGTCAATTCCGATGCTTCTGTTGTGCGCATACAGTGCTAACCAGTTCCTTCGAGTGGCTCGCAAATTGAAGCATCTTGACAACATAAGCCGAAGTCCAGTCCTGGAGGGCTTTTGCTCTACGATGGATGGATTGCCCACTATTCGGTCTATGCTGCTGCAAGAAAGATACACGACCAAGTTTGCAACCCTGGTAGACGACAACACACGAGCGCTTTTGAACCTTTGGCTTATCAACTCATGGTTTGGATGTCGCATGGCGTTGATTGGGTCAGCCTTCGTCACCATGGCTAGCCTGGTCATCGTCTCAATGCCCGGTACCACAGTCGCCATGACAGGCTTCGCACTAGGATTCTTGATCCGCTACACAGACAACATCTGTACATTTGTTCGAAACTTTGGCGGTCTTGAGCTTGCACTCACTAGCACCAGTCGCGTCATCGAGTATACGAAGATTCCTAGCGAGAACTATAGTGGCGGGCGCGTGCCACCTGCGGCCTGGCCAGAAGAGGGTCGTGTTCACATTTCCAACCTGGTCATTCGGCACGCACCCCATCTGCCTCCTGCACTGAATCGGATCAGTTTTGAAATCGGACCTAATGAACGGGTGGGGGTTGTCGGTCGCACGGGTGCAGGGAAATCAACCCTCGCCATGGCCTTCTTTCGTATACTTGAGGCAGAACAGGGCTCCATCACTCTTGACGGCATCGACATAGCGGATGTGGCTCTACAGCAGCTTCGCCAGCGTCTTTCGATAATCACGCAGGACCCGCACCTCTTCCCCGGTACTGTACGCTCAAACCTTGATCCTTTTGATACTCATGACGATACTGATCTTCTTCACGCTTTGGGCCGAGTTCACTGGCCAGGCTCAGATGATTGGTTCAGCGAACAAGCCGATATGGTGTCCGGTTCGGGACTATTCTCAGATGCTGATTCCGTCGTCCCTAGCCTCCACCATGCAACGTTGATCCAAGGTCCCTCACTACTCTACCAACCCATTCTCGATGGGGGAGAGAACCTCTCTCAAGGTCAACGTCAACAGCTTAGTCTTGCGCGCGCTATCGTAGATCGCTCGAAGCTTCTCATTCTCGACGAAGCAACGTCTTCCATGGATCCCGACACAGATGCGTCGATCCAAAAATCCATACGTGAACTCTCCACTTGTGGATTTGCATCTATGCTTGTCATCGCGCATCGCATAAGCACAGTCATGGACTTTGATAAGATCATCGTTTTAGACAAAGGAGTTGTCGTGGAGTCGGGTAGTCCTGAAGATTTGCTAAGGCTTCCTGGAGGATATTTTAGAGGCCTAGTGGAAAATTCTAAAGGGACGGATGAATAGTCTGGATTGGACAAGATAGTACTTGAAGACGAGATGGCTCAAAGTACGATAATGCAAGGATTCGCACGAGGATGCGATCCACTGTTTGGTGGTAGAAGGCAGATCGAGCGCTGGTAGCTTGTAGAAGAGTAATTGGGCGTTCTAGGTCATAGAAGCATGCGTAGTAATAGAAGAATATCCTTCTCTTCGACACCAAGGAGTGCAATGCAGTCCCGTCACGCGGTTGGGGCTAATCACATTCAATCACGCAAAATGATCACTCAGGCACCCAAATCCACAAGACAACTTCTCATATTCTTACACATGTTCTCGCACCATCTGGTACTTCAGCTTTTCGCGCACCACAATATATCGCCCGCCCATTGGGTATCATGCATACCCCCCATATCCATAATCCATGCTATGCCTTGCCCTATATATGATATTCCAGAAGGAAGAAAAGAAAGACAAAACGCCCTCGCTATGCATACAAGTGTTTTATATGATACAACCCCATCGAACCTCGACCTTCTTCTGAAAAACTTCCCAACACGGATCAGGACGTCTAATCCGACAACTCAATAGCGTCGTCCTCGGTAGCCCCCGGTTTCTCGTTGCCGGCTAGACCTTCACTACCGCCATCTTCTTCTTCTTCTTCTTCCTCATCATCCTCGTCATCCTCATCTTCCTCATCAAAAGACTCTAGCTCCTCCTCGACCTCGTGCTCGTCCACATCAACCTCCTCTTCGTCAAGCTCAGAGTCCTCATCATAATCAAGCAACTCTTCATCTTCCTCGCCGTCATCGAGCATCTCAGAATCCGCGTCTTGCTCTGCGTCTTGATCGTAGTACTCTTCTTCCTTCTGCTCATGTTGCTGCTGGGAGAGAGAAGTAGTATACTGAGCACCAGGATACGAGTCCGTAGTACCAAAGTGATTGTTGTACGGCTCAAGTTCATCTTCTTGATCAGTCATAACGGCGTTGTCGATTAGTAGAGAATCCCCATTGACGGCCTGGAAATTGCTGGCTGACATGAAATCACCAGTGTACTGTTCTTGCTTGAAGCCCATTGGCTGTGTCTTCGCCTGTTGATTGTACGAGACCTGGGTCGGTATCGGCGAAGAGATATCCAGAGGCTCTGTACTAGCAGGTCGAGTGCTGGCAGGTGATTTGCTAAGACCCTGTTCAATCCTGTAGGCACGAACGGCTTCCGCACCCTGGCCGTAGAGATGGCGGGGTACGAAGCGGCTCGTGCGATCCCAGTACGCTGGACGGCTCTTTGTCGAGGTGCTGGTGCGGAATGTATTGCCGTACGTAGATGTACCGTATGTAGAGTGCTGGCTTTGCGATGCAGAGAGGCCAAGGTTAGGTACACTACGACTCCAGTCGTGTTGGACGTTCGACGCAGAGGCGGCGACAGATGTGAGACCCCTAGCTCGTGCGATGAGCTGGCTCGCATTACCGTCAAAAGATTCCCTTCGATACACGGACCTGCTAGGGGTAAAGGAAGGTGGTGGCATCTCGGCCTTTGAGTTTGCTAGCGTCTGCCGGGCCCTTGCAATGAGACTACTTGTCGAATCATTGAACGAAGACCGTCCGTTGAAAGACACTGCGCCGTTGAAGGACTGAGTAGGTGATACTGAGGATGCTGACCTTCTGAAAGACTCCTTGATGGCTTCGACACGAGCACGCTGCTCCTCAAGCATAGTCTTCGGTGCGGACTGCTCCTGGTGCTCTGGCGCAGGAGAATCCGGTGATAGCTTAGGTCGCTTTGATTCGATCAGTTTTGGCTTTTCTTCGTCCGATGAGCCAAAATCAAAACTGCGCTTGCGGTGCTTGCTTGGATCGATGCCTCTAGCTCGTAGCCTGAACCAATCAGTCTCGGTTCGGTCTACGGGTGCATTTGCAACTGCTTGTTGATAGGCCTGCGAGTACGCGGAAATCGATGTGCTAGCGTTGCTTGTGTTCTTGTCGAATGAGGCCTCAGGAGCTGTGTTGTTGGCCAACGTTGGTGCCGGTTTAGTCGGGCTCACACCATTTGTCTCGGAAGCTTGAGCCTGGTGACGCTCTTGGGTTCGCTTGGCGCGCCGACTGTTCTGGGGAGCCACAGACTGCTTCAAAGATGATCGTCCTTCTGGTGGCACCACTGTTGACGCCTTGCCGTTCGAGATCGCCGGTTGTACTGGTGCAGGCGTGTCTGCAAGTTGCTCTTCTCCCCCAACCTCTACCTTCGCTCGCTGTTCCTTCAATCGTTTCCTCCTCTCCCGTGCCTTTTGCAGCCGCCTCTTCTTCTCTGCCGCTGCCATCATCTTGGCCAAACCCGCTCGCTTCAACTCTTCCAAGTATTTTTCGTACTTCCGGTCTACCATCGCTACCCTCTTCTCCATTTCTACCGTCATCATAGCCACCCTGGCCATGTTCATGATATCGTTTTCGACAAACTGCATTATCAATCCTTCCTGTGGGTTAAACATTACATCCGCCGTGAGCGCATGCAACGCCGCGTCCTTCTCCCGTATCCGTGCTGCGCGCGCCTCCTCCTCTTGTAGTTTACGTTGCCTTGCCTGTCGTGCCAACTCTTCTTGCTGTTCGCGGGCCTTTCGCTCTCGCTCCGCCTGCGCTTGTCTTTGTTGTGCAGCGGCAGCCTCTGCCGCCTCCTGCTGTCGCCTCTGCTCTGCTTCTTTCGCCTGCTTTGCCTGTTGTGCTTCCCGTACGCGCTGGCGTGCCTCGTCCTCTTTTCGTTGCTTCTCAGCAGCTTCCTGTTTCGCCTGCTCCGCCTTCTTTGTTTCCTCGTCTTGTGAAGATGTCTCAGCTGGCGGTGGTGATCCAGCAGGAGTGAAGGAAAATCCTTCCTGTCGTAGTCCATTTGCAGGGGTAGAATTGAATGACGATCCAGTAAAGTTGAAAGCGGAAGCAGGCCTGGGCGTAGCTGTAGGGGCTGATACTGTGGGTTCAGGGACAGAAGCTTCTGGTTGAGTTTGAGGTTTAGGTTGTGAGGGTGCGAACGATCCGGACATGAACGGATTTGCAGGAGTTGGAGGTGTCGTAGACTGAGGCTGTACGGCATTGTTCTTCAAGAAAGGGTTCGCGGGGGTCGTTGATGTTGTTGACTCTGGGTGCGCAGCATTGTTGAACTTCAGAAAAGGGTTTGCAGCAGTCTGTGGTGTAGATTCCGACTGCGCAGTGTTGTTCTTCAGGAAAGGGTTCGCTGACGGTACAGGCGATGCCGAAGGCCATTGATTGGCGTTCTTTTGCAGGAATGGGTTGGGCTTCGCTTCCGCAGGCTGCGCGAATTGGATGTCATTCTTTGAAGGATCAAACAGGCCAGGCTGAATTGCTTTCGCGAACGGATTTGGAGATGTTGTAGAAGCGCCATTAGGCTGGAAGGGAGACGCGGCCGGGTTGTAGCCAAAGTTGCCAACGGAAGATTTCGTCTCCATAGCCTGTTGCTTGAAGATGTTGGTCGTCTCCGGAACGAACAGCGAAGATTGATCATCCATTTGCTGAGCTTGCGCAGTAGACAGGCCACCCTTTTTGGCCTCCTGGACGGTCAAGCCTGCAATAACAGCTGACAATGGGCGGCCACATCGCTTTACCTCGACAATCGTTTCGGAGAAGAACTGAGGCTTGACATCGGCTTTCGGAAGCACGTCAGCTTTTCGGTTGAAGTTCTTTTGCTTGATGTCCATGAAAGTGCGGCCTTCCTCGTTGACCTCGAACACGAAGCCGTGCGCCTCACAAAACTCCACGGCTTCTTTTTCGGTGTCCATACCAAGAACTTCCCTCAGCTTGTCCGTTGTCCAAAACTCGACAGGGACTTGGTGCCTGTACAGACCGACCCGATAACAACGCCATACTACATCAAGCACAACGTGGCGGACCCTATTAAAAGATATAGCGGCCGCACATGCCATGAGATATGACACCCTTGGCGACTTGACCAGATCCCAGAATCGCTTCCAGTTGGACTGGCACTGCACGAAGCTCTTGTAGTTGTTGTGAATGATGATGGTTTTGAGGAGGCGGAAGATCTCCAAAGCGGTCTGCACTCGTGGATTGTTTCGTAGGTCGCTAGGCAGACGATGGAGTTCGTTCTCGAGCTGGGTACTGGCGTAGATGGGGGCTAGAATCAATCGGTATGCCCAGAATTCGGCTTCGCATTCTGATATGATGTTGGCCCGTCGGTTATCGGCGTATCGCTCTTTAAGTGAGATCAGCGTCTGGTTCAGCTGCTCGACGTCTTGTTGATGCGAGTAATCATCCTTTGTACTCCGTGCCATGTGGTGGGCCGAAAGCATGTAGAAACGGGCGCTGTACTCGAGGGAAGTGAGCAGTATGGCGATGTCGGCTCTGTTTTCGATGCGTTGCGTCCGGAGATCTTTTCGAATAGCTCGCGTGCGGTCCCAGAGCCATGAGTGAAGGAATTGGAAGTCATCTTCATCTAGGCGTCCGTATAGGTATTTGAGGGTTCTCTGCAGAAATTAAATCACGGACATGTATAGACTGCTGCTAACTTACCAAGCAAGTGGGCGGCGACCGAATCTCCGAGACCAGCTCCACGTCCATGCCTGCCGCCGAGCGTGCATATGCCTTGACCATGCGCGATTCGTCTGCGATGCGTTGACTACGGGACGGTAGGTGTTGGGTCTCGGGTGTACATTCTGGCGCCTTGACATCCAGTTCGACTATGCGACGCACGCGCTCGTATTCCGGACACATCTCCTGGCATAAGCCGTACAGCTTGACGGAATCGACCAGGCGCATTTGGCCCTCTGGGTTCATCAAGCCGTCACGAATGAACTTTTCACGTATCTTGGGGCGCTCCGCTTTAATCTATGACTGTCAGTACTGAATAGCTAGGGAGACATCCATAGTCCTTACGTGTTGTAGTCGCTTCTGGTATTCGTGGGGCGCAAACGATGGCGTGCTCGACACGCCGAAGTGGCTTGTATTAGAAGAGTTCCTATAAGAGTCATGTTAGAATAGGCCGCGAGCGGCCGTCGGAGGCCCTCGTCTGGTATGCATCGCAACGATGGCGGTGGTGTAGTATGCTCCTGGTGACGGCGCCATCGGTCCGCCCGCGCCCTGTGCTAAGGTCAGAGTGGGTATGCAGACTTACGAATTGTTGTGGTTGTTCTTCGCATCCGCGCTCCGTCCTCGTCCCTGTCCGGGTGTGTATAGGCCTTGCGCCGGTCGCTCCTCGTTTTGCGCATTGTTTCTACCGCGCGCGCGATTGGCATTGAAATTGTTGCCGCCTTTTGAACCGCGTCCTCGGTCGCCTCCGCCGCCGCTCTTTCCGCCTCGTGGTGTCGCCATGGTCGCGACTCTATCACGAAAGGTGTTAGTTCGCGATCAATCCACGTCAACGTCACGACCGGTGTGCATGCGACAAAGAGGTTCGGTACGGGCGAGCGTTTGGCAGTCGTGATTTGGGCTGCTTGGCCGAGTCGGGTTGGATGCGACTGGCGGTTGCTGCTGAATGCAACAAAGGCCCATGAATGTCGCGAACAAGAGAAGCCGTGAGCTCAGAGCCCGGGCCCGTGACGCGGTCGGGCGCCTTGGCATACGTGTGGCTGGAGCCCCGAGTCTCCGCCCTTAGTTTCACACTTCCGCCTGCACCATGTGCAACTCTCTCCTCAGCGCCACTTCACCCGGAACTTCACGCATAGCATCCATGTCTTTGATTCGATATCTTGATTTGATATCTAACATACCCGAAATATTGTTCATAACCATGTTTTGTGTCCACATGTCTTTCCCACCACTTATTTACCGTTGCATGGCTAACGACCACCCACACAACCTGGCCACCTTCCCACATCCTCTTCCATAAAGACCAACTACCCCAAGCTTTTGTACAACGCCTTCTAGCAAGAACAGTCCCAAACCTAGGAAACTCGCCTGGTATCCAATTACTTCCTCCACTAGGCAGCCATGAACTTTTGTACCGGCGTCGTTGCAATGCAGTCGTGAGCGGCGTGACGTCGTATGGGGTATATTGCAAGACGCGGGCGATCGTGAAAGGTAAAGCCAAGAAAAGCGCACCAGAACATGTTCCAGCGAGAGTGCCGAAGCATCCAGCATGGCAGGGTACCAAGTCGCTGTGCTGGAACAGAAGCTCAACAAACGTGGCAGCAATACAAGACAAGAAAGGGGAACGTTACATTCGTGAGTCGTTTCGAGGACATGAGAAACTAGCAACAAAAGGACCAAGACACAATCATGTAGGCAAACGCGAGAGATGCACGCTAAGTCGCAAGCAGTTAATGGTGAGAAGTTTCGGGTTGACAGCTGATGCTGTTCACAGTAGGTAAACCATCGAAGAACGGCGGAACAAACACGTCATGATAAACAGGAAATCCAGCGCTGCTTTCGAACGTTGAAATTCCGGCTTGAGGATGGTAGGCTGGGAACATGGAGAACGGCTGCTCATATCCAGATGTGGTCGCTGGGATTATGTCGGACCGGCCAACACCCTGTTGAAACTGTGGGATATGATGGTAACTTGGAAGACCGTTTGGGAACTGTATTGGTTGGTCGTAATCAAAGTTACTCCGGACTGAAAACCGACCCTGGTACGGTACATGGTCGGCCAGCTTGACGTCCAAGTCCATGTTGTCATCCAGGTGACAAGCGTGCATCGACTGACCAAAGGAAGTGTTGAGCGTTGTCGTGGAGCTGCCCGCATGCATGTGTTGTAGATGCGGAGCTGGATCTCCATGACTTGGAGCTTGCGCCTGTTGTCGCGGTTCTCGAACCTGTCCCTCTATTCGCACATGCGACTCGGTTGCGGTGTTGTCGACCTCGGTGTCGTGGCCAGATTCGTGGGCGTCATACTCTGTTCTTGATGCTGGCTTCGTCCTGGTCTGTCGAACGCGTTTCCTAGGGGCGGGAGCCTGCCGTGGTGGTCTCGTAAGTGGTTGCCAGGTCACATGTGTGCCTATACCAGGATCCCGATTCTTTGTACCTTCATAGAGGGTATATCTCGCAAAATGTTCCTGGTATGATAGTGCAATGTCGAAAAGATTCGGTATGATCTCGCCCAGGGCTCGCCCTTGCATCCTCTCACTAAACGCAGAACCTTTGGACGAGGAGAACTGATCCGGTGGTGTTGTTTCTACGGCATAGTGCGCTGCATTCCTGAGCCTGGTGACCCAGTCCATGTTACGCTTGCCCACGTCGATATTACGGTGCTGGAGCATGAGATCGACTGCTAATGTCAAGAGACCTGTAAAGAGTTGGTTGGCATCCGATTGCGAACGGGAACGACAGCTTACCATCTTTATCCAGGTGAGAGGGCTCTTCATAGGGCACATCCCGAGGCCACCAAGGTGGGGTACATTCCTGAGGCTGTTCATTAGGCAGCTTCTTGTGGTATGGACCGAACCGGGTCAAACGCTTCGGCTCCAGTAGCTTGACCCAAGCCGTGACGATAGGGCGTACTGGCTTCATGGTGAGTTCGTCCAGCCGTTTTCGGAAGAAGCGCTTGAGCTCTTTCACGTCACCAATGTAGAAGGTGTAGGACTTTGCGGCTGGCACACTGACATCTCTGTCGTCGCATTGTTCGTCATTCTCGTCGTCGCTAGGCTGCCGAGCCACGGTTCGACTCAGGCGTCCTCTTGCTTGTGACCGAGTTCTCTCACGCTTCTTAGTCTGGCGTTCTCTCAACAGAGCTGGACCAATTAGCGAAGGGAACTTTCAGAGCAAGCACTCGATCTTACCCGGTACCTGGGATACGATAGACTGGGAGACTGGCATCACAACAGCCCTAGGCGATTCTGCCGGACGGGGAGGTCCCTGCAACTGTGCTGGGCCGTTGAATAGATGTTCGAAGCCGGGGATTGGCTTAAAGACGCGCTCTTCACGACCGTCAGGCGAGATGACCTTCCAACAGCCGATGGGTGTCGGAATGGCGACAGCCTCCTCTGGTTCGTCCTGCTTGACGGTGGCTTCGATAGCTTGCGAGGATGTTGCCTGAAGGCGTCAGCATATATGCCCATCGCTCTTGCCGATTATACCAGGCGTATGCCGGTCCCGGTTGTTTGGGTCACGGCAGCCGCTAAATGTGGCGCCATCCGCTGGAAGCGCAGGAGCGAGCCGAAACCTTATCAACTCCCCGAGACATGAAAAAGAAACAACACTCACAGACGACTTCCCAAAGTCATCGGCACCATGAACCATCGCCCAAGAGTCTGCCCCACTTCGGTCACCCGTCATGGCAGCGCCATCGCTCGTCTGCATCGGCTGCCGGTCCCTGGCGGGAGGGGCCGATGGGTTCACGGGCCGGAACTTCGCCATGCAGGTGGGTAGTTATGGAGTTGCAGCTAACGGAGCCCGCGAACTACTCGATGGAACGCCTTTACTAATATAAGAGCATATATCGTCGTCTTGTGGCGTTCGACAGAAACACAAAAGTAGGGATAGGCTGCCCATTAGTCAGTTGAATCTTATACCAAGAGGAAACCACCTCATTGGAGCAACAATCGAGGCGAAATAGATGGTCGAGATCGGGATGATCGAGACGTGACTCGCTGAGCATGGTCCTGAGCTGCGCACACTTCGCTTAACATCTTGCGCTGGAATTGCTTACCGGAAAGAGCCAGTCCCGGGCCAAATCCCAACTTTTGGGCGAACGAAAGATGCCCCTCTTCTAGTTGCAGATCCGAGATAAGCCTGAGCTCGGTGTTGGGTTCAGTTGTATCGTAAAGGTGCCGCCACATCCACCATCGAAGAGACTCGGCTAGTCACGATCTTCCTAGCCACTCCGAAGGTGTTTGAACGAGGTGCCAGTAGCTATTCGGGGAAGCTAGTTGCGGGACCAGAGGCGGGCGGTACTCCTGTTTGACTGTTCTTTGCGAATATCGTCCGCGCCAGCGTTGTGAACCTAAGCAGAGCCGCAGTATTCAGGGTAAAAAAGCAACGAACGAGTTCTTGATGGAACAACGATAATAGGACCGAATGTATTGACCAGGCTCTCAGGTTATAAAGCAGGCCTCACTTCATTATAACAAGCCCCAGATCTGTCGACTCCTATCTCCTGCACACTGCACCTACCCTCATACGCATCCGTTCGGCGACGACAGGCGTCTTGACCTCTTCAAGCAAACACACAGAACACATCGCATGAAATGCCTGTCCGCGGACAATGGACCAAGGGCTACCGTAGCCGTTGAGCGACAGGAGGCGTCGACCTGGGGGTCTGAATTAGGGCTTGTGGAGACGTCTCTTGCATCTTCCCACTCCCCCGAATGTACGCCGTAACTCTATTTGGAGACTCTGCGCTCTCACTGAGTAAACGTCGAACCGAAAAAGTGACCAGCTGCGGGTCGGACAGGGATCCTGACGTTGTTCCGCATGAGTGTATACACACTAGTGTTGAAGCCTGTTCCGTGGCGCATACGGGGTCCTCGTGATCGATTCCATCTGGATAGCATCAATCTACGATTAGTAGTTCTGATCAGGAACCCATTGAGCGATGACAACATGCTGCCATCACCGTAGACACAATCACATCAACGCCAGACTTCGCGCACATATTGGTAGCAGGTGCAGCTCTCTCGACCCCACATCTACACATCCCACGCAAGCTGTCAAGCTAGTCTACACTGCGATAAAATTAACGATGGCGTCTCGTCCACAGCCAGACGCCGGTCAGACATCAGATACCCCACGGCTTGCGTCTATCCCCTGTAATCGTCCTCGTTGTTCCACCTTCGCATACCACATTACCGCCAGTCATAGCACGGCCACTGAAATGTACAGCACGAGGCTTGAGCATCACATGTGGCGAGAGCGCTAAACAGATGCACCCGCATCCCCGAACCACAGGAACAAAGCCGTCAAACAACCGAAGGGTCTTCATCCTTACGGCACTGCGCCCATTCTAGCGCCACGGGCTGCATCTAAACGAAGTATACAAAAATGCTTCGAAGAATCCTTTCGATCTCGGTCAGGTCCGCGCCGGTTCATCCGCTTACCAGGCTGTTGGCGAGAGATTGAGATCAATCTGGCTCGATAAATCTGATCGATGCGATCTGATGTGAGTTGGCCCAAGACAAGTTAGACAGGTGTTCCATCTCGCTAGCGCCTGCGCACAGTTGCTGTACGTGATGGACTGATTCCTGCAGATTGCCGCACAATGTATCTACCCTTTCTGCTGTTTCACTCTCGTCGTGTGAGGATACCGACTCACCGACAACAATCTGCTGTATTCACATGGCTTGGCCCTGAGCTCATGTCGTATAGACAACCCAGACCCGGAACCCAGACTTCTTTCGCGCCACACTGGAATAGCGTAGCGGAGATAACGTGCCGCACCGTTGTACCGTTTCTACCAAGACGGCTACGGGCCGCTAGCCTACAACTAAACCTACATTACACGCATCACAGAACCATGCTCGGACACTTACGCCGGCCTCACAGCCAGTCATGATACTGATCTCTCTCACTAGGATCCGGCATATATGCGCCACCACATAGAAGCGGAAGGTGATGTGCCTTGTCAACGGATATGCCGTGACACGCTGGCCCACGCCATGACCCCTCCGCACCTCGTGTCGGCAAGGTAGCAAACGTTGCTTACACAAAGCCTCTGCGCAACGTTCCGGCGTCAAAAGAATCGCCCCGGGATCTCTGATTTGCACCAGTTGACAACGATTATGAACGCCATTGCTCTCGTGACGAGGACGCACGGGTACCGTAACCTGCTGCGAGTTTCCCCCCTCCCCCCATGTAGACGTCTATTGGGTCGGTAATCTTTCTCCAACGTGCGTTTCTGCGATGGCTATCTAGATGCTGGATAAGAGTGCATGATGTTCACCGCTAGATGACGATACACGGCGGCAACGGGGTTCGGAAAGCGTGGACGATGAAACGTTTGCTCCGATGTTCAAGTAACCATACTACCAAAGATAGACACAATGGAGTGACGATCACCTGACTGTGATCATTCAGTTCGTATCTGTCGTGGGAGGAGCGCCTAGGCACTGCTTTCACCGCTGCACTTGACAGCCTCGATTCATCTCCAGAATCTCTGTCGGGTAACTGCCGCTGTAAGATGCCAGTCGCATCTCAAATTCCTTCCAGACATCTCACCTCACCATCTGATCACAACGGCCGCTGTAATCCTTGCGGAAAGAAACTTGATCCTTCCGAACTTTCTTCCGGGGAATTGATACCCGATACCTCGAGAAGACTTGGCTAAAAGCAAGTGACAAGCCACGGTCCTGCTTCTCAACATACTCAACATGATAGATGTGGATATCGTACAAACGGCCATGATATCTCCTTCCTCTCACGTGATGAAGGATGGTATACCCACCAGGGCCGAGTGTTGTTTTGTGGCTTATCAATCGTTCATGCATAGCTTGACGCATGATATCACACTTAGACAGTCTTGAGATACTGCACGACCTGAAAAGACACCAAACCATCTGTACTTCTCTTGGACGCGGTGAAGACCTAGACGTAGATCGTTTCGACTTGCTGTTCGTAACGTGACTTGCATGGAGGTGTTGGCACGACAGAGTGGCACCCTCAAGTCGTGTCTGTAGCATAGGGTATCGTATCCACCCACCTATCATCCGGAAAACATGCTTAGTTCCAGGAAAAATTTGCAAGTTAAAACAGTATTACAATTTTATACACACGTCTACCAAGATTAACATCCTTTTTCCTATTCTTTTGTCCATCTCCACATCTCTCCACCAAGCCATATCTTTACCTCCTGCCACACTCCATGTAGCGAGCGAGATACACTCAACCAACGCCATCCACGTGGTCTCTTTTCCACGCATACCTCCCCAACGAGGCCAATCGTGGAAGCGCCCCGTCCACATTGAGTCTGCAATCTCTCTCTCCTTAATCTTCATCATACCCCATCGCACGCATCAATCATATTTTCTTTTTTTTTCTGTCAGGGCTAATCACTTCAGCTAGAAGACTGACTCATATCCAAACTATTCAACAAACCCGCCTCACGCACCAATTCGTAAAACAAGCCCTTCTGCCTAACAAGCTCAGCCGGGCTATCAAACTCTCTCACCTCGCCCTTGTCCAAGACGATGATGCGATCGCTGTCTAGAATGGTGTTGATGCGATGCGCAATGGTGATGATGGTCCTGTTGTTAAACATGCTAGTGCGGAGTGTAGTTTGCAACATAGCATCTGTTTCGACATCGACAGCGGCGGTCGCTTCGTCGAGGACGAGGATGTTGGAAGGAGTGAGCAGGGCACGGGCAAGGGAGACGAGTTGGCGTTGTCCAGACGAGAGGTTGGAGCCGCCTTCGTTGATGGTGGCGTCAAGTTGGCCGGGCATGGAGGAGATGTGGTCCTTGAGACGAGCGTGATCTGTGGGTCAATTAGATGGGAGTCCGAGATACATGTTAATGGTGACTTACCTAGTACACTCCAGAGTTCAGTATCGTCGTGAACATGACCTGGGTCGAGGTTGTCGCGCACAGTGCCTTCAAAGAGCGCTGCGTCTTGTGGGATAATGGCCAAGCGTCTGCGGAGGTCGAGAAGACCAATGGTGCTAGTGTTAAGGTTGTCGATGCTCACGTTACCCTCTGCAGGCTCAATGATACGGAACAATGCGAGAGTGAGTGAACTCTTGCCAGCACCGGTACGACCAACAACACCAATCTTCTCCTTTGGCTTGATGGAAAGATTGACGTTCTTCAGCACCAAGTCAAGACCAGGGCGGTATCGGGTGCTGTAGTTGTCGAAAGTGACAGCACCCTGAGACGGCCAGCTGATTGGTGGCCTGTTCTTGGAGATGATCTCAGGCGCCTCGCTGGGTAGTGCGGCATACTCAAGCACACGTTCAACAGAAACGATATTAGTCTCCACCTCAACAGTCTGACGAACGATCCAGTTGAGGCTCTGCGTAATCTGAAGAGCGTACGACATGGCCAGACCCACCATACCAGCCGAGAGGCCGCTGTGGCTGGCGACGGAAATAATGGCAAAACCAGCAGCAGCCAAGATGATGACTGAGCCAAGGAACTCCAGACGAACAGCCAGCCACCGGTTAGCGCTAATGGAAGGGTAGTATGCACGCAGATTGGCGTCGACACGCCATTCATTCTCCATCTCGAAACGTTTCTGCTGGTTGTACGCACGGATCGTGCTCATACCACTGAGACTCTCCTGGAAGTGGGCATAGATCGGGCTGCGGCTAACGCTGTCCAAGCGCTTGAGCTCCCGTGAGGTGCGCAGGTAATATCGCTGGATGTAAAGGTAGAGTGCGCCGAGCGGCAGGATGAGGGCAACGAAAACTGGGGTCGACCACGAGATAACAACAAGGGTGAACCCGGCTACATCGGTCAGTCAACTGTGACACAAAATGGGATGCATGTGGGGGTGGCTGCATACCTCGAGCGGAGTTGACGAAGAGCATGTTGAACGTTCGGCTAGAAGCACATGTTAGAAAGCCACCGGCAGATGGTTGGAAGAATAGTAATCAACTCACGCTAGAACTTCGTCGACTCGATAGATGTCACTGTCAAGCAGGTTAGCCAGTGTTGATATGCAAACAGGGTCAAGGCGCATGCTCCGCGGGAAGGCGGAAACACGGCTATCAAGGGGCAAGGGCCGGACCGCGGGCATGAACCTAAGTGTGGAAGATGACCTACCTTGAGAATCGGTTGAGAATGCGTCCTGCAGGTGTTGTCTCGAAGAAGCTCATTGGAGAGCGGAAGATGGCAAACGCCATCCGCTCGTGTAGCTTTCGGCTAGCTTCGATGGAGCAGAAAATCCAGAGAATCAACGTCTGCACGACGACAAGGGCAGCAGATCCCACACCAAACGCGAAGTAGATACCGATGTATTTCCCCACATGAGGGTTCCCATGGGCCTTCTGGTTCATCTCCGACCAATGTTTGAGCCATACACTTGCGCCTGCATGATGTTAGCGTCAACCCCAAGAAGACGAAAAAGCGACGAGCCAATAGCGTGCTCCTCACGCCTGTAGCGATATGAAAGCACCCATGATCCTGCGACTTACCAATTGATGATGTCTGGGCTCCCAGGAGGAGCAGCAGATAGATTGTAACAGCTGCAAGATTACTGGTCTTTGCGTATTCGCCATAGACGGACCACTTGACCTTGCCTTGCTCGGAGAACTCCTTGGTCTGCTTGCTCTTCAATCCGCCGCCCTCTTCATCGGTCAGCTTTCCACGAGGTCCCTTAAAACTTGCAGTGCTGGCGCGGCGAAGAGTCTGGAAGCTCGACTTGCGGGCCGTACCGCCTCCGACCCTCAAAGGAGCGAGATGCGCGCCACCTTCCTGGGCAGCCTCAGCTTCAGCTTGATCTTCCTCGTCGTCTTCGCCAGGACTACCACCGTACACGGTAGAGTCTTCGTCGCTCATGATGCTGTCAGATGTGCGAGTGCTGTCATCTTCTCCTTGGTCTTCGTTTTGGGATGTCTTGATCAGTTGAGCAATCTCGCCCTTCATGGCCATTAGTTGTCCATAGCTGCCTCGCTCCAAAATCTTGCCTTCGCGTAGAAGTAGGATCATGTCTGCTTCCATCAAGACCGGGATAGAGTTGGTTGCCAGAATCCTGGTCTTGCCTGCAAGCAGACCCTTGGGACCAAGTACGTTGTCGATGAGATGGCGTCCGACGTGCTGGTCAACAGCCGATAGACAGTCGTCCAGAAGATAGATATCCGCGCGAGCGTATACAGCACGAGCAAGTGTAAGACGAGCCTTTTGACCACCCGAAAGTGAGATACCTCGTTCACCAACCTCGGTCTGGTCACCATCAGGAAGTGATGCAAAATCATCTCGTAGAGCACAGGCGTTGACAGTCTTCTCGTAGAACTGAGGATCCCAACGATGACCAAATACAATGTTCTCACGAACAGAAGCGTTCATAACCCAAGCTGACTGTGGAACATAGGCGGTCTTTCCACGAAGCACAACCTCACCATGGATTTTCCAAAGATCACCGAGCACTGCTTGAAGAAGCGAGGATTTTCCTGCACCAACGCGACCGACGATACACGCGAGATCTCCCTTGTGTGCGGTGAAGTTGATGTCGTGAAGGGCTCGGCGCTCAGCATTCCTGTCCCAAGTAAAGCTAGCATCACGGATGCGAACCGACTCGTCGCCAATCTCAGCCACGGCGTCTTCACGGATAACAGCGTCCTCCTGTAACTCATCGGCAGTCAGATATCCAGTGATACGGCCGACAGCTACACTAGCCTCAACGATGGCAGTAATGACCATGGGAAGGATAGCAAGCGGGAATGTGAGGAGGTTGAAGAGCGTCAGAGCAGGGAAAACAATGTCAGTCGTCAAAGCACGGTTTTGCGTCAGAACGAATACACCGAAAGTTGAGCAGGAGACCAAGAATGGAGTGGTAGACCAAGTGAAAGTCGAGAAAGCTTGAGTTGCACCAATCTTGCGCAGGGTCTTGAGTTCCTGGTCGTTACGGATGGTGTTCAAGCGGTTGGCGAAGGCGGTTGTCCAAGCATAGAGTTTGATCGACTTCATGTTGTTGAGAATCTCAGAGATGAGTTTGGTACGCGAATCCTTGTTCTTCATTTGCTCCTTCTGCAGAGTCTTCATCCATCGTGCAATCACACCGTTGATGGGAATCATTACGAACATGGCGGCCACACCTGCGAAACAACTAACACCGAGCAACTGGTACAGTGAGAGCATGCACAGGATGATTTGGAATGGGGCAGACCACAGCTGTTGACCGTATTGCGCAAGATCCTGCAGACGCTGTGTATCCACGGCCATGTAGTTGACGATATCACCAGTTGACTTGGATGCACGACCTTCGTTGGATAGACGAGTAGACTTGGAGTAGATGGCAGCTGTAAGGGACGACTTGATGCGCATACCGGTCTCGAAAGAACGTTGAAAGTACTGGTGCAGACAGGCGGTCTGGGAGACAGACACGGCGAACATGGCGAGCGCGATAGCAGCGCCACGAATGAGAGGCTGAGGCTCTCCGGGGTAGTCCTTGCGGTACGAATCGACAAAGGTGATCAGAAGTCTGAGCAACTGAGGTTGAGCGAAGTTCAGGACATCGCTCACAGTCTTGATGGCAGCGCCGCGGAAGTAGGGACCGCCGAACGAGCGGAACATGGCCAGCCACAGCGAAGGGTGCTTCTTTTCCATCTCATATTGCCAAGAATCTTCAAATGTTTGCGAGGTGTGTCGAGTCGTGTCGCGCTTTCGCAAGTTCCAAAGATCGTCCTGGGTAAGGAAAGTCTTGTAACCCTGCTTCATCAGAGGTGTCATCCAGCCAAATGTCAAGACGGAGAAGACGTCTGCGTATTCGTATGGACATTCATCGTCGTCTCCAAGCATGTCGTAGTCGCTCAAGCGCTTCGGAACCAGCCATTCCAGAATGAAAGATAGTCCGGCCAACCCAACGCTAGCACAGAAGACTGCGAAGTATGCCACATGTTCACGGTGTACCTGTTGTGAAACGAGGGAGCGGAGCTTGACGGCATATGCGAGGAGCAGGAAGAGCCAGTAGAAGAGGACCACACCGTTGGCATTTCGCGAGCGCCAGTGTTCGATGTATTGGATATAGAAGACGACGCCGAGTGAGACGATGGTGATAATCGATGTCCAGAAACGGAAGTCGCCGGCCCATACGTCCTTGTAGTACTCGATCTGAAGCGCGGCTTGTACGGCCGTAGTGGCGATGAGGGCGCCGAGGGATATCTGGAGGCGCAAAATGTTAGCAACTGTCCAGCCGAGTCACCTGATGGTCTCTGGATATTCTCCGTACCAGCTTCGCGTAAAAGTGCCAATTGCGCTTTACAGGCTGAGGCGGGCACTTCCTGTAGAGATACCACAACGCGCCGGCGCCTCCCACGATCCCAAACACTCCGACGACGGCTATCCACACATCCAGGAAACACGGTGTGAAGTCGTATCGTATAGGGCTGATCGGGCCCCAGCCCTCGCTATTACCGCATAATGGCTGCCGGTCGTGCTTCGAGGCTGTCAGATAGCCGTGCGCGAGCGGGATGCTGGGGAGAAAGGGCGTCTGTTGTTGGCCCTGCATCGATCGGATGGTGCTTGTGATTGCCGAGACTCTGTGTGTCGCAGAGTTGAGGCAGATCAGGGCGTCGAAAGCGGCGAGAAGGTGTTGAAGCGGTCGCGGCGCGAGTGCACTTTTGAGTAGAGAGCTCGGGCCGTCGGTATGATATAATCATTGCTGCTTACTAGCCCTAACTCCCGATAACGCCGCAAGCTAGGCAGCCAGCTAACGTCCCATATGTGGTAATAGACGATGCGACGACGTGACGATATGAACGACCTGAATCAACTAGATTCTTTGTATAAACGATCCCGCGCGGCATAACGGTTGTGTGGCTGTCGTGTGGAGGCGCGTACCTAGGTACCGTCGCCGCGTGCAACACTGCCGCAAACGTCGCGAACCGATGGGCCGGTCTTTGTCCGATCCCCATCCCGGCGAACAGGTTCGCAGAAGTCAGAACACCAGATCACGTGCATGACAGTTCCAACTACAACCTGCGCGAGTACTGGAGAAGTTGTTCATCACCAACTCGCACCATAACAGTCAATGCTGACCTCGTATGGCCATAGTGGTGGCTCGAGATCGGAAAAAGGAAAGTGGTGGGGCACATCATACCCGCCCAACGCCTCCTGCTTCGCTACCTAATCATCCACCGGTTTCATTGACTAAAGTCTATATGGACAAAGGGCATTGTTCATATCGAGGAAACCTGCCCTTGTTCAGTCCTCTCGCACACTTTGGTGATTTGATGTTCTCCGCCTAACAGTCCATCTCATTACGGAGCGCAAACAATAGTCTAGCTCGCAGTCCAGAGCTGAAGACGCCGGCAGTTTCTACACTACGAGGATCAAGACATGATCATCGACAATCTGAAGTGCTTTGATAGTGTTAGAATACTAATGTACAAAGGGAAGCTAGTTGAAACAAGATCGATCTCTGCGCACAGCGTGATATATTCTCTTTCCCTATAGTAAAGTATGCTACGTGCGGTGTACTGAGTAGACAAAGACCGGCGATGCCATGCGCAGGATATGTTACCACTTAGCCAGAGCACTGGTAGTCATAGCTCCTGCGGGAAAGATCTGTATCTTTCGGTACCCAAATTCTAACCCTGTTCCCAGTAGACTCAAGAGTGCCTTCGTATTCGTCAAAGAGTGGACGCCAATAGATTTGACCTGTGCCGTCGGGGCAGTCGACGTTGATGGTGATCGACACAGTATTCGTCATGCTAACCGAGTAGCCCACTTCGATTCCGGTCTCTGCACTGATTGCATCCCATGCACTTGCGCCAATACTAGCGGATGCGCTGACCGAAAACGTTTCAGTCCTCGACTCCGAAACCTCGAAAGCGCCGCCATCTGGCAATGTTCCAACGTGTACCGCTGTTCCAGGCTTGTAGCTGTCAATCCGTGTGATTACATCTGAGAATCTGTCCGCTTGCTGCAATGTACCTGGTTAACTTCTGAACAGAAAAGTATGACAAGGCTAGAACACATACTCGGCTTTCTATTTCATTGGCTTCTGATGTAGCCTCATAGAAGGTACGAAGTTCAGCTTTCTCCTCTTCGATAGAGATCTCCTTGTAGCCGGACTCTGTGGACAACCGACCCCAATCTGTGTTGAGCCTGATAGCGACCTCCGTCCAGAGTTCAGGTGCAGGAGGGTACTGGTAGCCGCCATCATTGGGTGCGCAAGCGGCTTCGATGTCTCTGGCTCTGTCACCCCATGTAGAACGAGAGTAGCAGACATCTGAGGGTTCATTGTTGCAGAACGAGATGCGACAGTTTCCTTCGGTGAAGATGCGACATGCGTTGGCGAATACGCAGAGGCTATCAGACCCTTCGAAGAGTCCTTGATACTTATCATTCATGATTGTGCTGCCTGTTTACGAATAGAAAAGGTTAATTTACTTTTGACGGTGGAAAGGTCAGGGTTAAAGAATGAGCGAAGACTTACAGTCAGCCCAAACAGGGGTGTATTGAGAGTCACAATAGAGGCCACCAGTTTGTTCTCCGTTCCAATCGTCTTGTCGATGCTCAAGGGCTGCGGGAGCTCCCATAGCTGGATGAGCCACCATGGCCGCAAGCATTGGCAGCAGTGGAAGATTGTATTTCATCTTTGCGATGAGAATAAGTTCGAGTTTGAAACAGAGAATCGTCTTGCGAGTAAACCAATTGATCTGAGAAGTAGATGTTGGACTGTGATGGCCGTAACTGAAGCAAACATGCGACTCTTTATACCTTATGTACCAAGCTATTGTCTCACTCGCATCTGCATATTGGGAATCCTAGCTGACTCTATCATCCACATTTTCTGATGAAAGAAAAGGCAAACATCACTCGCATCCGTGTATCTAGAGTCTTGGCTGGTTCTTCAATCCGTGTTTTCCGATTGAGCACGAGGTATACTGGATGCCTAAAAGCAGTCACTGAATTCTGTAGGCCATTGCTATGTCATCATGAATAGCTTCGATATCGTGTATGGCTGTGTTCCAATGAAGCCAACACTCAACCTTGTGGTGTGGTACTTGGCTTTCGTTGGCAATCTCAAGGGTCAACAGCTTAGGATATTCCTTCGCTCAGCTTCCCGAGGCCGTGATACCCGAGTTTCCTGTTGAAGCCTACCTGGATAGGATTAGCAGAAAGGGAGGGAACGCCTGACTTTATGATCTCATGTGTTCCCTGGAAAAGTCCGTAGAGTTTGGCTGTATCAACAGTGACAGCATGTCTCGTAGTGTTTCAAAGGTTTAAACGATACCCGTGTGTTCCGTGTATAGTCCTTACGGAGAGACTACTAGAGATATTTTGAGTAGCAGTAGTAACAGTGATGAGCGGAAACAAAGCTACTACCAAGTAAAGTTCAGTTCTCTTTGTTCTCATGGAGTCTTACCCAAAGGAAACTACTCCATGTGGGTGAGCATATTATCGTTCGTTTCCTAATGATGAGAAAGGTTTAGCAGGTTTCCCAAGCAATACGAGATAATGATTAATGTAGCAAGACTCCTCTGTGTTGAAGTAGTAGCTCCACAATTAGGAGTTCAAGCGAACCAGAGGGCTATATGCTGACGCATTTTAGGCTCATTGGAAGCCTATCATACGTTGACGGACATGGAGTAGGATCGAGATCATTGTCAAGAACCAAAATCAGAGCTGATATTATTACCAAAGAGAAAGAAAACTGAAGCCAAAATCACGATCACCCATTCGTCATGACAAGACCTGCCAAGCGATGCGGCTCCACGAAGCCTTGGGACCGAGTGTACATTGTCCCGAAGAGGAAATTGATACACGTCGGGCGTAAGATATTTCTCTTTTCCGGGGTGCCTGTTGCTACGTGAAGGCATGCAATTTGCCGCAGCCACCAACTCGAATACCATGAAGGCGGCAGCGGCTACGCCCGCATGCCGTCTCAACCGCTTCGGAACTAAGCGAGATGCAGCCCGTCAGGGAATTGATGTGGGGATCAGTATTGAAAAGCGACATCCAAACCCTACTGTTTGCTAGGCACATTACTGAATTGGGTTTGAAGGACCCATTTTAGCTGCGCATACACTCAGAATGTCTCGGCTGTCCTTATCCGCAGGAGCCATGCACCTGTCTTCGCGGTTATGGCGGATACCGTGATGTCCTCACCTCTTGGCTGACATATTATTGCATTGTACGTGCACATACAATGAAGCTGGTATACAGCAATACAGTAAGCCTCCACAGCCTAGAGCATATCATCTTCGGTGCTTTGGTGTATTGCCCAACCTACCTCCAACCCTAGCTATGCTAACAGCGATTGCTAGATTCGGTCTGCTACCTGCGGCAATCCATTTGCTTCTTTCTACTTCATGTTACGCACAAGCCTTGAACGACTCCTCTCCGGAGTACTGCTACAGCCATGCCGTCAACTCGACTGGTATGGTTCGTCTAGGCCCGGGCCCAGCACTTGACGATCCATGGTACCTCAGTCTTACCATAACTGATAGACGCGACCCTATGCACATTTACGGGAGCAGCGCTACCTGGCAACAGCTAGAAGGCTATCTCAGTGTTCCCAGTTCGCTAGAAGGGGGTCAGGAAAGTAATCAGACAGACTACTGTATGTACATGCTTCCACCACATGATGCTGCATCACAAGAGGAAGCTGGAAGCTGCAGTGGCGTGCTGAGCGACGAGTGCATATTCGCGATGCAACACAACACGCCATCCATGTGGAATGGCGAGTGTCGTCAGCCGAGCAATCTCGAAGAAGTCTGCGGATCAAGTGCCCCTTTTGCGACCAGTAAGTTGTCCACCTTCTTTTCAGCAGTAGCATTGTCCTGTATTACCCGTCTGTTCGTACCGGAATTTTTGCTAACAATGCGAAAGGCATGCCTTGGAACTTTACCAGAACAGGGTGTGCTTTGACCGGGCTCCCGCACATTGATGTACCGGACGATTATCGATCGTACGGCCCTTTGCCCATGTCTGTGCTGCGCGGCGGAGACGATCGGGAGAACTTCGATCTTTACGACAAGAATGTTCGCGAAGCAGTGCCCATGGCGTTTACGATCAGAGATTCAGGTGGCGACATCGAACACAGGGTCCTTTGCTTAGCTCCAGACAACGTCGTCGAAGGCAGCCGTGTGCCGCAATCCGCTGCGGTACACTCAGTTACAAAAACTTCACCCGAAGTAGTCCTCGCTGTTATGGCTCTTATGTTCGTCTCTTCTGCCGCTTGGTAAACATCAGCTTCTATACCCGATTCAATAGATCATGCAAGTAAACAGACCTCTTACCATAAGCAGCCAGGCTTGCACCTCAGCTCAGTATCTCTACCTGACTGCTCCTCGCATCGAACCGGACTTTCTATCTGCCTCTCTCTTCGCTTTCATGTTACCCCAAAATCCCTAACCATCAACTTGAGCACGCGCTGATCGCTTACGACCGGTAATTTCACGTCGAGCGAGGAGCTTAGACTAATGTGGATCACACGATCCCACACTCCGACTTATGTGTTTATCTCGCCCTTTCACCCTCCGCCTTTCTGCCTCTTAGCCCTTCATACAGCCTTTCTAAATGTATGCTGCCTTAGGCGTATCACAAATTTCTTTTGGCATGATGGCGTTCAGTCTTTTCACAGGGACATAAAAAAGATCGAAAAAAACAGTATGGTTGATGCAGTCGCTTGGACTAAGGATGCTTTCCAACAAACATAGTGGGATACGTTTGTTCTTGTGCGCACCCATCCAATTTTGTCCCTGGGTGAAGATAAACTTGTTACTGATATAATTTGCTTCCACGAATACTTGCATCATTAGCCTTCCAATACGTTTTCGCCCTCTTCTCGACACAGTGATTTTGCTGGCAATGCAAAGCTGTCGGAGCTCAATCGCAGCTGTTTTTGTGGACAGTCGCTCAAGCAAGCTCTCTCGCAAGGCTATCGCGCTGGAGGCAGAATTGCTGCTCTAGGTTAGTTGATCCTACAAGCAAGAACTCCAGCTAAAGATAGATAGCATGCATCTTGTCTGGTGTGTTCGTTCTTCGTGGCCCATTGAACCAAAGAGCTTCTGTTATGCAAAGCAATGTCAGATACGATACACCCGGCATCATGTCTCTTGCGGTCGCACAACAACTACCAACTGGATATACTGGCGTCCGGGACGATGGGAGAGTCAGAAGTCGGACAATCACAAGTTTGACTCCGACGTTCGCTGAAATCATGCAAGAATACTCCTTGCGATCGAACATCACTATGGACACTGAAGCCAGTCCCTGTGGCGAGTCTTGTTCAACAACTATAAGGGTATGGACTATGAAGTTATACATCTCTCAACGTCTTAAAGCTAATGTACTAGGGTTTCGGATTCACATCACAATGCGACACTAGCGAAGTGGTCTTTTCGCACGACGGGAGCTTATCATACGAGCAAGAGCTTTTCTCCGTCAGCTCAAGTCTCTACAACGTCGATGGCCCAAACGACGATACATCTATTGTTACCGGAGTCAACAATCTGGCGGGATGGGAAAACACGGGTATACGTTTTAACGCTACCTACAGTATCCCACTCCAAGAAGGCGATGCTGATGGTCAAACAGACCCACAGGTGTTCCGATTGCGATCGCACATCTGTTTCCTGACAGGCAGCATAATGGAGTACCATTTTGAACTATCATCAAACTCGGCTCGACTCAGCACCAAACGTTCTGACGACAAATTTATTCAAGCTATGTAAGTCGTCTTTCCTCCAACCCTTCTAACCCCACAAAAATATTGACAGTCTGGTAATACACTGGACGATCCTTACATACAAGGCATTGGCTCGACTGTCGGAGGCTTCCAGTACGCGGCGTCTTACCTCTTCGGATCAAGTGTGAACTACAGATGGGGCGGCACGAGGTTCAGTGCTGTGTTCGCAGGCTCTCTTGCTAACCAGGTGGTCAAAATGGATAATATCGGCACCGGCCAGGCTACTATCCAAGACCCAATGGACCAGATGCTCGACGCGCCACGAGAAATCACCTTCCGTACAGCAGTACATGCAGGCAAAGATACCAGCACCCACAACGTCACTAACGCCGTCCAATCAGTAGGGTACCGTGGATACCAGCTTCAATCAATCTACATCACAGACCCATAGTACATGGTCGCTGCAGCCATATTAAGCATTCTAAGCATCATCGCGGTCGGCGCAACATTTTACGGATGGTGGGAATTAAGAAGGGCGTTCTCCATGGGTCCGTTGGAGCTGGCATTGGCGTTCGAGGCGCCGCTACTGAAGGCTGCTGGTGAAGATGCGAGTTTGGGTGATAGTGCGCATCGAAGTACTGCGCGCGAACCACGTGTGCAGTTTGGTAAGAAGGTGGTGGATGATGAGGGATAGTTTCCGTCCGGTACAGCAAGTCGAAGGTTAGTTTTGGGGTTGGCGACAGATGTGCAGAGGCCGAGGAAGGGCACGATGTATACCTAGGTAACTAAGAAGCAAGATAGTTTTGGAGGGGACCAAGACGAGTCCGATCTTCCATCGAGATACCCATGTCCACGTCGGGTCATGTTCACGTGCTACGCGTTTCACGAAACGCGACTTTTCGTGACATGAACGCGTCAGGGCTCCGCGTGGCGGCACGGTGCGGCGTAAGCGCATCACCAACACCGCGTCTACTGTCGACCAGGATGATCAACAATCCCTACACGACAACGCCATAATTGGAGGACAAAGGCGACAACAAGATATCGACCGACGCATGCATCTTTTTCCATCGCACGTGAGTGAGTATACAGAAGCAGCTCTGCGCGTTACGTTCACTATGCCGAAAACCTTCACGGTCATGCCAACGGCAGCGAAGACCCTAGCGTGTCACACATAACATTCGGCAGGCTTCAAACAATAGGGAGAAAGAGATGCTTGCAGCGTGTAAGCCAATGCCAACTCATACAAATCAAATCCAAGGTTCGACCGACGTCGGCCCACTTAGCGGCAGGCATGCAGGCACTGCATGTCGAAAATCGTACCCACTAGTCACCAAGGGCCCACGACCCACAACTCCGGCTTAGTACGCGATACAACGGCGGTTTGTTGCGACTTCCAACCTCCTTACTGGTGTAGAGTTGTCATTGGTTTTGTCGGCTTTATGTATCTCAACAACCACTGTTTCCTTCACATACGACCATAGGACACTGAAAATTAGGCTTCCCGTCCGCTCAGCCATATACAAGCAGTGTACCGGCGGATTAGTAGTTAGGTGGGTGACCACTAGCGAATCCCCGCTGTCGTATGTTTTTGATTTTTTTTTGTACATCCACAACTCTAGCTTAGCACGCAACACGATAGCGATGGGCAGCGACGTCCGCTATGCGCATGTTGGTGTAGAGCTGTCATTTGTTTTGATGGCTTCATATATCTGACTAACCACCATTTTCTTTACATATGATCATTGGACACTGAAAATTAGAACATCGTTCCGACTCATCAAATATCAAGATACCGTATTAGGGTCATGTAGTGGACATCAAGCAACTGTAACCAGCTCACTGTCCTTAGGTATAAGGGTCTCACTGAGATCAGACGGCTGACATCGTGTTGAATTACAAAGTTATCGCAGTGCGGAAGTAGGTTATTAATGCGAATAGAAAGAAAGTCCTAACTCCGGCGAAACCAACCCTTCTTCTTCATCGTCCCACCCAAGTACGCCACGACTTCACGATGCTTCTTCGCCTGCGCAAGATCCAACGGCGTCTTACCCTGACGATTCTGTACATTGATCGTAGCCCCATACTCCAGCAGCCCACTGACCATTACACTACTCCCCAACTTCGCGGCTTCGTGTAGCGGCGTCGATCCAGAGTAGTCCTCTGCATTGACGTTCGCGCCTTCCCCGATCAATTTGTCGAGTATAATGAGCATGTAATCGACATGTGTATGCACAAGCACGTGTAGAATACTTCGGCCTGTGAGATCAGTACGATGAATGTCCTCCCTTGCTCCGTAGTCTTCAAGGAGTATGTTCACTATATCGACGTAGCCCATCTGTACTGCGTAGAATAGCGCGCATGTCATGCCTTCTGCACGTGAGTGTACGTTTGCACCGCGTTCAAGGAGTAGAGTGATGATGCCGTAGTCGCCGCCTTCGAGCGCCATGGCTAACGGCTTCGCGCCATCTTTCCCGATGGCTTCGATGTTGGCTCCGGCATCTAGGAGTGCAATGACAGCGAATCTCTGCTGCAGCAAGATAGCAAGATGAAGCGGTGTATTTCCGTCCTCATCTTCTAGTTCTATATTGGCTCCATGCGCTAAGAGCATCGGTATATGCCAGCCTAGGAGATCGAAGTGTGTGACTGCATCGTGGAGTAGTGTACTCTGAGCATTCGCTGACTGGTCATTGATGTTTGCGTGCGCTGACAAGAGCTGTCGAAGCGATAGCGCGTTATTGAACCAGAGCGCGTATCTGAGAGGAGTGAAATCCGCTTTAGCTGCGAACATTGCCTGACGAGGCACGTCAAGCTGTGCCCCACGTTGAATGAGTACCATGGCTAAACGAACATCTTGCGTTCGAGCAGCTATGTGAAGGCCAGTACATCCACTCTTGTCTGTCGTATTGACCGACGCTCCGCAGTCTAACAGAATTTCCACAATCTTGTAAACCCAAGGTGTAGTGGCGTTGTTACTAATGACCCACTTAAGGGCCTTCTCCGGCTCATTTCGATATGATTTCTTTCCCTTGAATCCAGCTTGAGCAAGAAAGGCCAATGCCTGGGCCGTTATCTCTTGTGGTGATGGTTCTGTGTCGTCTTCCATGGTGTACTCATCGATGATATAGTCATAATAACTATGGTCTGGGTACGGAGGTAGCGGCTCGCCAGCAAAGTCATCGCCGCAGGGCAGCGAAGGAGGATTTGTGAACGGCCCCGGTGGGCTGGTTTGGGCGACGCAATCTTCACAGTCGCAAGTTGGAATCTGAACGCAAGGCTCTCGATTCTCATTCAGGACACGCTCTCCTTCACAAGACGAACACGTGCAAGTATTCAGGCATGACACTGCTGCGTTCACATCGCTCAACGTCTGCAATGAGATGCTTACCAAATGGTAGGCGCATGTGCAAAATGCCAGATCAGGCACGAGATCGCCGACTTCGCGGACTGCCTGGAACAAACAACAGACATCACACAGGCAATGAGTTGGCTCCTGTTGACGTGCGAGGGAAATCGTGCTCTGATACAGTGGCGGTGGCGGAGAAAGTTCGGGGTCGTCTGCTCCATGCTCTCGTAGTACATCGGCTATCTCCAGATTGCCAATGTTCTCGCTGATATTCAGTGGTGTTGTGCCAGCCAAGTCTTTGACATTCGCATCAGCACCAGTCGCCAACATTCCCAAGATGACCTCTGTAGGCGCGTCATGATAGCAGGCCAGATGCAGTGCAGTTTGACCATAATCGTCTCTAGTGTTGACATCTGCTGCGCCAAGGTAGCGGAGCAAAATCTTGGAAGTCTCTAAGCTTCGTCGATGGATTGCAACATGGAAAGCGGTCTGGCCTCGAATGTTCGTGATTGTTGCGTTGGCACCTTTCTTGATCAAATACTTTATCATACCAGCTCTGTTCCTGTTCGCCGAATAATGCAACGCAGTATGATTGAACACATCGCGTCGATTGAGGATCTGTGGATCCACAAAGAGGGCGTGCTCGATCACATCACGTGCGAGAGAGTCGTCGAAGAAGTTGCTGGCGACAAGCATAACATTGGCTTGGTATTTGTCGAGTGCCTCAGCCGCGATCAGGCCGGTGATTTCATCTCTCCAGTTTGGGTTTCTCTCCCTCGTAAGGGCCATGTGAGATTCAAATGCGCCGTCATCGGCTACAAACGCTTCCGCAAGACTGATGGTAAGAGAAGAGTCTTCTTCATTCGTGGGGTCGGCGGTCTTTGGTATATGCACGAACCGCAAATGAGTCGCTTCGTGCTCATGATCAGTACGTTTGCCTGTGCGATCCCTGGCTATGTGTTTTGCTTTCGTTACTTGCACCTCCGGTATGTCGGCACGAGTTTTATCCAAATCCTTGGTCTCTTCCGTACCAGGCGTTGTCGGTCTTGGGTAGCTGTCTTCGGTCACAGCCGCAGATGTGGCGCATAAGGGTACATTTGTATCGTTCCCGACGTTGAGCCATATAGGGTGCGACTGACCGACACCTCCCGCGGAATGATGACCGAAATATTTCTGTATATGGGAAGGCGTATGTTCCGTCTCTTCAATACTCGTGGGAGGTGCCAGAAGCGTCACGTCACTGCCGATGGATGTCGTCGTAGTGTCGTTGATGACGGTAGGTGCGTCCGACATGCCATTACTCAGTACGGCCGTCTGAAAGGTCTCATCTCCTGACTGCGAGCCTTCCCAAGATGTTGTGTCACTTCCATCTCCAGTCACACCCTCGTTTGCACAACATGGACCGCTGTAATGAATTCCTTTGGCTTGTTCCTGTGCTATCATCGTTTGGAGATCTTGAGCTGTGAGTCTCAGTTTAGGATTACTGGCTGTCATGTTACCAGTCCATTGTAGCAAGGGCTGATCACTCGTTGATTCATCCGACAGCTCGGCTATCCAACTCTGTATTGCTTCTGGGTTCTGCCAATAGTTCGTTGAGAGTGTCCCTTTGTTTTGGAAAAATTCAGCCTTCGATCGCAATTGTTTCTTGGTAAGAACAGTCTGGAAGTGTCAGCAGTGTTGGAACATACGTACAAGCGACTTCTAACGCACTGCAATCTCCAGATAAATACATCCCAGCGACCATACATCTGACGCAGTATTGCGAGGTTGTAACATTCCAACCTGAGATAGTGTTAGCAAAGATTCGGTTCATCATGTGTAGCTGGATTCACTTCGGGTGCGATGTATGCCGGTGTATAAGCTTCAGGTTGACCCATCGTAGTCTCTCGTTGCGCCTCAGTCCAGTCTAAGGCGAGTCCAAAGTCTGCTATATACACTTGCTCGCCTTTGATGAGGATATTGGATGGTTTGAGATCTTTATGGCGGCATTTATTATGGTGGAGATAGACTAGAGCGGAGCATAAGCATCCCACGAAGCCCCGAAGGACGACATAGTCTTGCGTAATCCAAACATCTCGGGTCAGATATTGTTGCAGATCCAGATCAGCTACTGGTTCCATGATGATGCCAATGTATCTTCGATCGGTGTATGAACTGACACGTTGCTCGTTAGCAGCGTACTGTACTTCGGCTTGCCCAAACTCACCCTAGGAGCTTCACTAGATGATGGTGCGACAGACGCTTGAGGTTATGGACCTCATTCTCGAACGACAGCAACTTCTTGCGGTCCTTTGAAAATGTGCCACTTCTTCGATCAATGCGTTTCAGCTGTTACTGATGAGCCAAATATCTAGCAAAACACATTCCAAGTCCTTACAGCGTATTCCATCAAATCAATCCTGCTTTGAACACGATGGACAATGCTGAAGCCGCCTTTTCCAAGCTGCTCCTTGGTGACAAAATATGAATCTGCACCTTTGTCTGCTGAAAGTCAGCAGCGAACGGTTTATAGAACTGTAGCTTACCGAGGTGATGATGACGGCCCCCTTGCACCAGATCGACTGATCTTGAGCTAAGTACATACCGTTGTTGTCGAAGAAAGCTTTGCCTGGAAGCAGCGGATTTGAGACTGGATGTGAGGTCAACTTCAGTGAAAGGGAAGTGAATGTCCTTGAACCCTTCGATAATGAGCATGTTCATCGCTCGTACTTCGTTGATCATCCGGAGAACGAGATATAACCTGGGCCGTAAACTCCAGTCATGCTTTCCAAGTATGGCGAGTAGTTCGCCAACCCCCAGAATTGTCTCGTCGTTGTATGGCTTATCGGTACCCATACGCTGGGCAGACGCGGTCGATAAAAGTGACGATAACCTCTCCTCGAAATCTTCAGCTCCTATATGCAGACTAGTTGTAGTCGTATCTAAACAACGCGTGGCAGGTAGCACTGGTGAGGGCAACTTGTTCGTTTCCAGGCTCAAGGCGTTCACTTGCGAGATTGCTGGTGGGGTCGGGGTGGTCGGCATGCTTGCAACACGTCTCTCCACTCTTGGCGTCGTTGGCGTTGACAGTACCTTCGAGGCTGGACTTTGGTCAATTGGCGGATCTCCTCCTGCAGGCGGTGTTTCGCGGCCCTTGCCAGCCCTTCGCGGTGGTACATGAGGGCGGGTTTTGTTGATGATAGGACGTGAGCTCTGCATCTCCTCGAGTATAGACGTAATCTGGTCGAGTCGCATTGTGGCTTGACGTCGGACTCTTGCAGAACTATGCTGGAACTCTTGCATTTCACTTAGCAGCACTGTCTGCTCTTTATCTCCTGGCGATACTAGGCGTTCGTTCAGCAATTTTGCCATTTGCTCTAAGGCCACCTCGAGTTTACTGATCTGAGCTTTCAGCATTGCGGCATTGAGAGCATCACGTTCAGCAATCTGCATTTGTTTACAACTGGAAGAATTCGTCAGCCATTGCGTTGATTGCTCAAAAAGGGTCGACATACGTTGTGACGACCTGAAACGCCAACTGAATTGAGCTCTTATGATCTTGGAAGTTGCGTTCGATGTGTTGCAGGTCATCCGAGCGTCTATCAAGCTTCAGTTGAAGCATGCCTTGTCTTAGGCGGCCTGTAGCCCCTGAGATATCAAGATCGTAGAGGAGATTGCTGAGTCTTTGAGCCTCACGCTCGCAGCTTCGAAGAGCTCGTTGGAGACATTCTAGCAAGTCGACCTGCGACTCGCCTTGCACTTCTTCCACCGCAGCGATGAAATTCGGGGCCTTGAGAACGCGATGTATGTTATCAATCAGGTCGCAAACAGCCTCTGAGTCGGCTCGAAGTTCGTCCAAGGACTGATGAACGCTACCCCCCTTAGAGTACGCGTCCTTCAACTGTTGAACTGCTGGACGGAGAATCTGTATGACCGTCAACGCAAGGCCTATGATGCTGAGAGGGTCCGCCATGTGAGGCAATTGATGATGAAAGATTACAAGGACTTGATCATGGAAGACATCAAGGCTGCGCTTCAACATAAGGCCTGGTGCACTACTTATCCTGTGGTGCACAGCCCCACAACCGAGCAACACATCCAAGCTGAATCCATAGCCATACATCTCAAGTCTATCTTTAGGCAGCTTTGCAAAGAAGCCAGGCAGAGTGATTCTATTGGCAGGGAATCAAACTTGACTGCAGATATGAGCCGCTTTAACACTAACCGCTGCACTGTCAAAAAGAGGGGGGCCGAGACCGAGTGGTAAGGAGGGTTGCTCGCGGAGATGATTGACCAGATAGCGCATTCTCTCTTCCACTCTTTAACAAGGAGGCTTGCCAAGACGCATCGAGACAGACATGCAGGAAGGCCACCGACAAGGAGTTGGGGGCTGATGACAAGGCTGAACGATAGCCTTCTTTGGGGAGAAACCCACCCCCTCACTGAGTAGGCTTTGCCGCTCCAAGCGACACCCTGAGTTGTCTCCATACTTCTGCATCCAGGCCCTGTCGAGGAGACACGACTCCAGTACAATGGCATTCTCGGAGCACCTGCAAGCCGTTGGGTCGACGATACGCTTTGGAATACCTACCTTGCACATAGATATGGATTCTTTAGGATTGACACGTCGCATACTGAACGCGATGGATTGACCAGTGTCTTTACAGCGCACGCCAAACATGATAGTTTATGTCCTCAAGTCACGCCAAACTTGATGCAGGAGTCTTACACGTCCAGGTGCATCAGGTGATCTCTGCGCTCAGCCCAGCAGTAGCGAGGATTCGCACGTGAGAACTCTTGGTAATGTGTCGCGTAAGCAGCCACTAAAAGCGGGCCATTGGGTTGAGGATCGGACGATAGTAGAGGGTAGGTACTTCGAACATCACTTATCCAACCAGAATTTTCCGACCAATCGTGGCATCCTCGAATGCGGTCTTGCTCCAATATTCCGTCGTATCCAGCTCTTTTGGTGTGGGTTGAATTGCAGATGTAGCGATGAGTGTGTTGAAGACATCCCGATATTCACCACGCTGTCATCCGTGCGGTCCGCTTACGTCGAAGGTAACAAGTAGAAAGCGGACAACGTCACGGCCTGGGTGGTCCATGGGGGCTTCTCGATGCGCTTGTACACGCCGAGCTCGGTTTCATGTTCGATTATAGCTTACTGGTCTGGCGCCTGCCACACGTATGGGTATGGCCAGTAGACACAGCGGAGTCTTATCAGCGATACGCACTAACGTGCACACACCCCGCTCTATCCAATCAAAGTGTGTCGATCGAACCGCTGCATGGCTACTTTAACATCATTGAAACATTATATAGTAAACGCGGGGCTGTGTTCTCCGGCCATAGCGACTCAATACCTACAAACGGGCCTGGGTGTTCCCAGGTCAATCACCGAGAACAGGAGATTTGGGGACATTCATGGTGATCAGACGAGAGCGGGTTAGGCTTCCTGTCTGCTCAGCCATAAACAAACAATGTACCAGCGGATTAGTAGTTTGGTGGGTAACTACTGGCGAACCCCCGCTGTTGTATGTTTTTGACATTCTTTCTGCACATCCCATCTCACTCCAAGACGTCTTCACCGCACGTGAAACACTACCTCCGATCCGCCTCGACTTCTGTCCAACTCCACCGCCTCGCCGTACATTATGCCATGCACATAAGCCTCTCCAATCAGCCAATAACAATCGGCTTTCTTTCGCAAGATGAAGGGCGAGAGACCTCCCCTTAGGACCACGACGATGTCTTCAGGTTGCATGCAACGGGGCCCTAAACCCATATATCCAGCTGCGGTAACGAAGAAACGACGGTCCTGACACCAGTGCACATGCACAGTATCCAACGTTGCTGTCATCTTTTCCATGTTAACGGGTGGTCTGATGTTGACACCGTCTGAAACGATGCCGTCCTCGCGAATAGCCAAGCTCTTGATGTACTCCACTAAAACCTTCAAGTCATTCGGCTGTGCTTCTTCCCCAGTCTTCGCCTTGCCAGCTACTAGTGTAGAAGCTATGGCTAGATCGATGTTCTCTTGCATTGTAATGTTACGATGATCTATAGTCATGTCCTTAACTGATCCTAGCCATTGATGATATTCTTCATCCTCGTAATAGATATTGTTATGACAGACGACAGTTGTTTGAACGACTTGATCAACCACTATTCCTTGTAGCAACAGCACGTTCTTTTCAAAGGATACGTCGCTGAGCAAGGATGGTGCTTCAAGACCCTCGTAGGCGCGATACTGATTAGGTAGCCAATGCGCGTCCTGAGGCAGGTGCTGCAAGTCTGCACGAGCACTCCACGTTGGAAAGGTTTGAGAGTCCGCTAATATCTCAACCTGGTGATTGATATCGCGCAAAACTTGCAGATTGTTATCTTCACATAATGCATACCTTGTAGCATCCCGCAACACATCACGAAGCGACTTCATGTAATTGACCTCTAGCAATGCCGTCTCATCACCTCCTAGGGTTTTGTCTTGATCGATGAGTCCCAGGATGGCGTAAACGCTATCACCAGCTTCAGTCTTCTCGAAACGCTTGGCCCGGCTTAACATTGTAGACAGAGCCCTATGATTCGATGAGTGACCATTATCGCGATCGAGCAATTCGAACATCTCAGTGGCACACCTCGCACCAATACAATCGTACAGGTCCTGAGTAATGAACGGGCTCTTATAGTTGAGCCACTTTGCAGCTCTTACTGTATCGAGAAGATCAAACTCGAAAGAACCCCAATGGCAGGTATTAGACGTTGCGAGAACGATTTCTTGCAATACCCATAGACGTCTTCGATGGTTAACGTCAAGCCGGAACATTCTTGGAAGTTTGGTGCGCGCCCTTACCTGAACCAAGCGAGGCTGAAGAGAACCTCGAGAGCCTCGAAATCGACGCCCTTACTGAATCCTTCTTTCGACACCAAACGAGCGCCCGTGCCTTCGGCATATATGGTTTGGTGTAGCAGGGTCAAATTAGCAGTTTCGGTGCGCATGTCGGTAAAAACGTCCTGAACAGCCTTCACACCTCTTCTGGCCATACCTCCATCTTCGCCAAGGTAAATGAGGTTACGTATGCCACCACAATAGACTGTTGACATGAAAGCCACTTGGTCACTACGTTCTATCACTGACGACTGATCGATACAGATGGCGTCAATCCAGAGTGTTCGCGGTCTGCCGCTGAGTCGCATGCGTCGTATTGCGGCTTCTGAGCTTGCTGGTACGGATGTCAGATGCCCATTGAGCTTTATCGTAGATGGAGGTCGAGGTGCCCCCCAGCAATAAGAGATGGTCTCGTATATTGGCACGAATTTGTGGCGGAGGGAGATGCGTCTCATGGTGCATTCAACGATTGCGTCGCCGATGCCAGGCGCAACATCAAGAACGCGTATCTCTTTGAGAGTCGGGTCTAGGGGTTCGTAGTGTGACGGCGGGCGAGCAGTGTTACCAGGGGATTCGTTTGTAGATCTTCGAATCCGTTTCCTTGGCCGACACTCTTGATGCTCTTGACGGGACGACATTGTTGGTATATTGAAGGGACGAGATGGATTGTAGGAGGCCATTACCAGCAAATCGACCAGGCTGAAGACGAGACGCGCGGATGACACACTACCCACCACCCACCAGAAGGCTGAAGCTCTTGGCTCCTTCCCACCAATCGCGCGTCATGCTAAGCCACCACCACATTCAGCCTGGCAAGGCATGATAAGTAGGTGCAAGCCTTTCGAGAGTCACTTCTCCTGGTTGTTAACGCCTTGCTGTACCGATGGCATGAGCCTGGTGCCTAGGCAGTTGGGTATACCTACCTAGATAGATGATCGTCACCCAAAGACGCTAGCCCGAAAACGTCGCGATGCGGGGCTGGGGCATCTTCCTGACGCGTCTGCAACGCCACCAACCACTCCTATCGCATCACACGTAACACGCATCAGTGCGCCCCCAAAAGCCTCGTCTTCCACGGATACGCAGACAGTTATGGCTGTAGTTTTCTGGTCATGGCTTTGCCTAGCCTCGACGTTCACTGTTGCAGCGGCCGCCAATCCTGGACTAAAGTACATCATGTACTTGACAGGGTAGCGCTAGAGATTCACAATCATTACGAGACGCGACATCGCTGATAGCTATCAGGCAGCACAATTTAGTTCCAGAGCGGTCGCTAGTCGCCAACATCACCGAAGTTGCTCTTGCTTTCATGCGGTCAGATACTTTCAACATCCCAGATCAGCATGACTGGCCGCTCTTCACTAGTATCGACGAGGTTCGACCCAAGTTTTCTGCAGGTACCATCATCCAAGTTGCAATCGGCGGATGGGGAGACACAGATGGTTTCTCAAAAGCAGCCAAGACCGAAGAAAGCCGGAAGCTTTTTGCTAGCAATGTAAAAGCTATGCTTGACGCGACGGGCGCTGATGGTAAATCACATCCCTTGGTCTTTCATGGTTGAACCAAACGCTGACCGGAACAGGTATTGACGTAGATTGGGAGTATCCGGGCGGCAACGGTGAAGACTACAAAACACCTGGTCACCTCAACAGTGACAAGGCCTGGGAAATTGATGCGTATCCTAAACTTCTCACCGAGATCCGTTCTGCCATAGGCCCAGAGAAAACCATCTCAGCAGCTGTCCCCAGTCTGCCACACGACATGCTCGCTTTCACCCCTTCTAACATCCCCGCCATCATGGAGGCAGTCGACTATCTAAACATCATGACATACGACCTGTTCAACCGTCGCGACAACATGACAAAGCACCATACTGGTATTCAGAACTCTCTTGAAGCCATCGACGCGTACCTTGATGCCGGGGTACCGCCCGAGAAAGCGAATCTTGGGTTGGCATTCTACATCAAATGGTACAAAACAGCTGCCAACTCAACGTGCAATACCAATCCCATCGGCTGCGCCACTGAACTCATGGAAGACCCCGTTACAGGCGCCGATCTAAGCAAAGCTGGTGCGTTCTCGTGGCATGATGCCGTCCCTGAAGAACTCTCCGCATCGTACGAACGCGCGATGCAGAAAGGTGTTTATGATGAGGTCGGAGGCGGTCATTACTATTGGGATGCTGAAGAGAACTTGTTCTGGACTTGGGATACGCCCGAGGCTATCAAGCGGAAGGTGCAGGTCATCATGGAAGACAAGGGTTTCGGAGGTGTTTTTGCGTGGGGGCTGGGTGAGGATGCACCAGCATTTGAGCATTTGAAGGCGAGTAATGAGGCGGTACGGGCGCTGGGAAAAGAGAATAGCGAGAGACAAGCTCGTGGTGAAAGGAGTGAGCTGTAGTATCGCTGACTTGAGACACTTCTCGACGAGTGTTGTACATTGCGTTGAATGCGATAGCACAGCGACGCATGTGGTGGCAGGGATGTGCTGGACAGTCCATGATGTTTATCCTTCTTCACAATGAGACCCGCATATAGTTGTAACAGTTCTAGTAGGCCTGGCTGTTTTCCAACACTTCACGATGCTTGTGCCTAGGTAGGTCCATCTAGGCCGAGATTTTGACAAGCGTAGACACGCCTTGGTGTTGCGAATTGCACCAAACCAGTGCCTGCTGTTTGCATTATCGCCCAATTTCTTCATTTTGGCATGACACCAGGCCAAATGCCGCCTTGAGTGTGTCGAACTCTCTCTGGTTGAACTATCAGCTCCTGGCCGGCCCAAGAGTACTCGCTTGGCTTTCGCTGTTCGACGACATTGCAGTATCTTGTCTCTTCAGTCGCATCCTGATCTTGCCAATCGTCAACACCTCATCCGATTGCCTCAAAGGGTCTTCGTTCGATACCGATCTCGGCAACACTTTGCGCCTGATCACCACACACAGCGATTGTATCCACCGCAGAAGCGGGTAGAGAGTGGGCACGGTGCCGCACACGACCAGCAGAAAGAGCTCAGCAGTGACCCAAACAAAGATGTCATATGTCGCCCACGTCAGATCAGTGCGGTTACCGAGTTGTGAAAGATGACGCGTCTTAATGCCCGAGCATACCGATGTCAGGATGTTGAGTCCGAAAACGATGCATAACTGAATGCGCTGGAGAACGCTGATCCGGAGCTTCCAAAAGACGGTTAGTGGGATCATCGCCAGACTAGCATCGGCAAAGGTGTAGAAGGCTGCTACGGTGAGCACTTTGAGCTTCATATATAGCTATCGAACTGACTTACAACCAGTAAAGATGCCATAGGCGGCCATGACTTTAGGGTCCAAGCATGTACCGTCGATTCGCGGATCCCACAAGCGCTGTGGTGGACGGCATTGTAAAAACGTCAGAAGCGAGCATGAGATGGCCACCAAGCTCGTGAAGATGATCGTTACGCTCCAGAGGTAGATGCGCTGCCACGTCCAGCCCATGTCTCTCATGATATTCAGCAGCAATGCTGAAATGGAAATCTTTCCGGACGCCACGCCAACAATGCCGAATATCTGCGAAGTCCAGTTCAGCAGGATGGCTCTTGTCAGATTATCCATTCCGCGCTTCTCCACATCCCAGATGTGCTGGCAGCCGCCGCGATTGGCATACAACGTCAGTACAACAGACCATCCCACAAAGCACATCTTAAGATTGTCAGTGCAAGCAAACTTCAGTCCGCGATTCACATACCCAGGTTGTACCCATGAAGATGTCATCCCAACCGATCTGGTTCTTACGCGCGCGGAAGATGAACCGAAGAACAACGGTAACGAATGAAATAAAAGTCAAAGCCCACATCAAGAAGACAAGTGCGGGCCCTCGATCGGGGATCGAGGCTGCATCTCGCTGGTAGAGTGCACTCATTGCCACTCAGACTATGCAGATAACAAAGTGCCAAGTCTCCATAGCCATCAGTCGAGATGTTGTCGAATCCCAAGTGTGCGGTCTTGCGCTCCTTTTCACAAACATTTGTGCTGCATAAGGCTGGTTTCGCAACATCGGCAAATCGTGCAGCATCGCCTCAAAAAAGTAAGCACAGTCGTCGCGTGTAAAGGAGCATGGGTCGTTCCTTTGATTCGTTGGAAAAATGCGCTCTCATGCGGTGCACTTGAGAACATGAACGAAGGATCACTCCTTCCACACATGTAGTCAAGCGCGACGTGCCAGCAAGTGTATGCGGACTAGTCGCTCACTTTGTCGGGTGCACCTTGCCTGTTTAAGCGAAAGTCCGAGCCGTGGACTACTGGACCGAGCCGCTTCACTATTTCAAGGACTTCTCACGCCTCCCGGCTTGCGACCGAGCTCGTTATCAAATCACGACCTTGCACAACCTCGAAGATGACGTCGCAAGCCGATCCTCAGGCTCTTATTGAGCAGCTGCAGCTGCTGAACGCGGATCCCAGCGCTTACTTCAAGAACGATGCGCAGAAACGTGACTTTCAGAAGTCCGTTCGGCAGGCGGAGACTGCGGTGGAGGAGCCGTTTGAGACTATGCAGCGTTTGGTATATGGCGTGAGTGATTGGTGTGTAGCGTTGTCACAGACAGTAACTGCTGATCCACATCCAGCCGCTACCCCTTGTTACTGCACGCATTGGCCAAGATCGAGGCATCTTCGAAGCACTCGCGAGGAGTCAAGATGGAGTACAGCTTGATGTTCTCGCTCAAGCGAGTGGGCTCCAGAAAGGTGTCCTTGAGGCCATACTGGATTACATGTGCACGCAGGGTATGGGCGTTGAAGTCGCACCAGGGACATACAAAGCTACGCCACTGACACATATGTTGCTTGTGCCGTTGTTCAAGGATGCCGTAACTCATTTGTTAGTGATATGATTACTGGCGTGAAACCATGCTGACTATTGGTAGTCATGACAATTGCGCTCCAGCTTTTACAGCCCTTAACCAAGCACTTGTGGGTCCAAAAGCAAACAAGACCGCGTTTAAGCTGGGACAGCATAGCGATGAAGACTTCTATACATGGATGGAAACGCATCCGATCCAACAAGGCGCTTTTCACCGCTTCATGGAAGCCCAGTTTGCCAGTCTTCCAACATGGCTAGATGTAATCTCGTTCGACAGTGAGATCGCCAAGGGCGTAAGCGCGGAGGATGTGGTATTCGTTGATGTTGGTGGCGGCAACGGATCGCAATGCGCAGCGCTGAAGAAAGCCTTTCCCGAACTCAAGGGCCGTATCATTCTGCAAGATCGCCCAGCTGTGCTCGAAACGGCGTTGAACGTCGATGGTGTGGAGTTGATGGCTCACGACTTCCTTACTGAACAGCCAGTACACAGTGAGTCTATCTGCTAAAATCCTGAAAAGCCCCAGGTACTAACAGCTCCAGACGCCCGAGCATACTACTTCCGTCAGATTTTCCATAATTTCGATGATGACACATGCATTCGGATCTTACAGATGCACCTACCCGCACTTCAACATAATCCCGAGAGCAGGATTTACATCGACGATAAGACACTACCCGACGAGAAGCCAGATGCTAGCACCCCAGGTGTTGAGTATACCGCAGCGCTTAGCCTGGCTATGAAGGCAATGTTCGATGCGCAGGAGCGACGAGAGAAGCATTGGCGTTGGATCATTGATCAGGCTGGGTTGGAAGTTGTGGAGATCCGGAAGTTCACGAAGTTTGATGATAGTGTTATTATTGCTAAGAGAAGGTACCAGGATCAGTGGAGGTAGCAGGACATTGATCAGTTACAGCTCAGGTTTACCCTTGTGCCGAGTATTGATCATGCGCAGGTTTTCCGGTAGAGCGGTTAAGTGCAACGTAATAGTAAATGAGCGAATTGTATTGATGAACGGGGTACGTCCTCCATGATCGGGCTTTTTTCTCATGTTCTTACT